CGGTTCAATTTGAAGGGAGACTCGGAGTTACAATATCAAGATGATCGGTTTCCTACTAGTACTAGTAAGATGAGGGCACCCCCGAGGCTGTATATTCGACTGGCTCTGCTGCTACTAGCAGTAACTCCAATTTCGTCAGTGGTCTCAAAGCCCTAGAAATGTCTTTTCCCTCTGCTTCCAACTGAGACGGAGGTCTCTCGGAAGCGGAGCCTCTCGACGACCTTGATTTCGATTCAAAACTCTGGATGGCCTTTTCAAGCCGAGTCAGAGCTCCCTGATATCCGAAAACCCCTTCCCCTTCTTCTGTTGATACTGCCACAGTCTCTCCGTACCGGTACCCCTACTAATATATGTGTTTAAGTTCATTGAAAGATTGCGCTTCTCTGGTATCGACCCGGGTTAGCTTTTGAGTTTACGGGTCAGGTTGTACAGCGTAGACTCGGCATCTACAGCGTGGATCAAGCTTGGGCTGTCTGTCCTACAAGCCGACTCGATCCCATTATCACCTTGAACACGCTGCCCTGCTCACCCTACACATCGAACAGAAGCATCGGCAATATCAAGACCAATCACCCCTCCCCAAAAGAGAATAGGCGACGGCCAAACCCGACAACATGCACACATCTCAAACGGGAAATCCAATCGAAGACATCTTCCAGAACGACCACGCAAAGCCTGGGTTGGTGGAAACCGTCCCGCTGCACGATGCAGGGTTATGCAAGATACCGCGTCGGGTATCGATACAGCGACGCACCACAACTAGTCCCCAGCATCGATTTCTCCCCCCCCGGCCCCATGGAGCTTTGTTGTCCAGGTGGCGAAACTCGGGTTTACCGGGTCACACGAGGGCTGAGCCAGAAGTGCGGTCAGCAATCCTGATGCTCTGTCCCCAGCGCGGGAGGAGTTCCGCATATGATCTCAGGTTCCTGTCATAGCCCTTGCTGGGCTCCCCTGGAATCTCCCCGTGCGCAGCCTCAAAAGTAACAGTGGCTAAGGAGAAGGGAGGAAGCGATGCATCGGGGACGCTCGTGTGTCTACGGAGTTAGGGTACATGTCTTGGGCTGAGTTGACGTTGGGGGGGGTGATCGAACGAGCCTTGTCTGCAGTGTGCGACTTCGTGGTCGATTGGAGCTGTCTGTGCGGAATGCATGTGGTCTGTAACTAGTTATCCAGGAGCTGTGCAAGTCAACTGCGGGTGGGAATATATTGCAACACTGTACGAAGTACGTACTGTCGATCTGATCCCAGTATACCCTGACCCTGGACGGCGCCCCGGCCTCACGGGGTTCGAGTTTCGGGATATAAAATCGCTTGGAAGAAAAACCACTCGGTGGGCAGGATTCGGTTTTCGTGGACGTCCCAGTCTCTCGGTTCATGTACCGCGAAAAAAACAAAAGGGTTTGCAACTTCCGTGCCATTCCACATTCGACTTGCCGGCCGGCACTATTGATTTGCTGTGGGGGCCCTTTCGTAGATCTCCCCCAAAGCGCTCGAGCGGGGGCAAAGGAGGATTCAATAGTACGAACCCAAGCTTTGAACACCCCTGCAGAGAGCAGAAAAATCCCGGACCTGGAAGGAGGCCCAAAAAAAAGAAAAAGAAACAAAACTTGGATGCTGTTACATGATCGGTCAAGAAGATTTGCAAGGAACCAGAGCCCTGGGAAAGGGCCAGTTTCTTGGGGCTGCATCCTGACAGGTCATTTATCGGAATTATTTCTCCGAGGTTGCTTTTTCCTTGAAATTATACTTTTACTTTTACTTTTACTTTTTATTTTCTCTTTTGGCTTTCTGTTTTTGGGGTTTCTTTTGGGGGTTTCCAGGAACGACCTGAGAACAAGATGACGGATAACAATAAAATACGAGCATAAATCTGCCCGCACCAAGCCCGTGCCCCCTCCCCCCTCACGGACCTGCACGGCACTCGCTGCCCCTCACGAACCTGATCTGCGCGCGATCCTCATGGGGCTTGACATACGATAGCTCACATTGCATAAGATGACAGCTCTGAACCGAACCCAGGTTCACCAGATCTGAACGTGATGCTCTGTGGCCCGCATGCAGCGGCAGTGGCTGTGAGCCCCCCCCCTCGTAGACCACGATTTACACCGCCAGGTCAAATAGGTGAGATGCATGAGATGCATCGCGCTGCCTGGGATTTGTAGAGCTGGGGTATGCCAGGAGGGGATTGCGAGCGAGCTCTGATTTGGTGAAACCGTACTTTTCCCACCTTTAGATCATGATGGTACTTTTTTAGGCCTCTGGCGTTCCAGCCCTAGCACCTTGCATACCCGCAACACCCAATCTTGGGCGGCCGCCTGTCGTGTCAAAATGGAAGAGACCGAGTGCTGCATGTGCATTTCCTGGTGCACCTGTAGTGTGTCAGTATGTATCCCGTCGATCGCGCACCTTTGGGCCAGGATAATGTGGTTGTTTTTTTTTTATAATGTGCATATCTGTACATGCTTCTGTTGGAGGAGGCGCATAGAGCGGCACGATCGAGAGAGATCGAGCAAAGTCTCGACTTTTCGATCCACATCGTTGCTTTCTTGGCTATGAAAAGCTTCAGTTCTGCTTGGTACAACTAGTCCTAGGCCTCGACATCCCAGAGGGGTGGGCCCACTTGAGGTCCCCCCCCCCCATCCAGGACGCGTTGCTTTTTTGTGATTATGGTGGTTATGATTTCCTGTTTGGTCAATCCTCTCAGGACGAGGGGGCCCTTTCCTGAGATCGCAATCAGGGCATAGACTGCAGAAGCTCTTTCCAAGGTCGTCTCTCTTGTTGAGAGTGAGACAGCATCCGCCACCGTTCCCAATTCTTGGAGCCGGAGTGGACACCCCGGGCTTGCTTGCTCGTACGAAAACCTGGCTCAACGTATTACAGCCCACAACTCCTTCCATCCACCGGATCCGTCGAACTCCAAACTGGGAACTTTACTCAGGATCCGAGGATTCGCCGATAGCGGATTTAATGTCATCAAAACGCTCGTGGATAAGCGCTGGGCTGACTGTGCAAGAGGATTCTCACGTGGCAAGCCCAGGGCGGACGCTGACTGGAGCAGCGAATCCTCCGGCGTGAACTTTATCTCCAGCAATGGCGCGCCCGTTCCGTATGAACGGGGGGTTTATGCTCTATCCAGGCTAGTCTGGAAATTAGGCCGGCGTTAGACTTGGTACTTTGGGCCAATGAAGTCCAGACGTGACAAATGATGGAGTTTTTGGTCTTTGATGGTCGCCCAAAAAAGAAACCCCTAGACAATTAAGCAAGGAATAGGAACCGTTCAATCAAGGCAAAAAGGAGTTGTGCTAAGAGAGTGACAGCCAGTTGACAGCTTTCTGACATAAACTCCGTTTTTTTTTTTAATTACCCCCCCTGACGTATTGACACAACGTTCCTGCCCTTTTGACAGCCGTCGCCGGAAGCCTTACCCCCCAGAAACTTGGAAGTTAGGGCTTTCGGCAGTTCTCCGTGGCAAGGACCCGAACTTCCAAGCACGTCAACAGGGGGGGAGGTGTGATCTCCGTAGACTTGCCTCACATGGGATGTACGAGAGAAGGGCTACCCAGAGTACTGGCAAGGCAGCTCGACGTCATATGAAAAAAGACCGTCAAGAGGGGAAATCGAGGGAAAATCGCGATCGGAGGGGAAATCTTTTCCCTTTTTTTTTTTTCTTTGAGTTGAATTTTTCGGTATATCTGGGCCGTGGTGGGGTCCGCCGGGCGTGGCAGGTTGAAGATGGAATATTGGGATTGGAAGGGGATCCATGGGCCCGTCAAGGCCCCAATATTGAGGTCATCCAATCTCTGTGACAGCTGAAGATTGGTCCCTCCGAAACTCTAAACCGGGGCTGACGTCCAACGTGAAGGGCTGAAGTATCCGCGGAGGCCCTGCAGACCAGATGGAAGATTGATACTGGGAAGCGTATAGCACCGGCTCTTCTGTACCCCAGCCTACCCGGACCTCGGGTGGGCATGGAAAGACAGAGATCGTGTTGGAGATTCCAGGAAAGAGGCCGGGCCCCGGCATAACTGGAGACTCCATGCCCAGGTGAGCAAGGGCGGGAGCCGATCAGCGCTTGGGATTGGCTCAGCAAAGTGGTGCTAGTGAAGCATGATCCACGTTTCCCGTCATGCGAGCAATCTTACGGGATCGTCCAGTGTCTCCTGGGTGGAGAGAGATAGGCATCTACACCTCCCCTCCCCACTCTCAATTTCAAGGTACAGATCAAGTGATCAAAAGTTCGGGCCTACGCCCACGGGCCTTGCCCACGCCTGAAGATGCCTAAGCGGGGCAACGAGGCTGCGCAATGCAATGCAAAACTATTTGCAGCTGGATAGATCCAAGGGAAATCGAAGTAAAAATTAGGCCAATGATAATTCCGATGCCGGTCGATCCCGAAGAGTCCCCTTCTCCCATATCCCGCTAGGTTAAGAGTAACATCCATGAGAAAGAAAAGAAAAGAAAAGGGTATCAATAACTGATATCTGAAGGTCCCAATCCCCCCATGCCCCATGCCGCGGTAACCTCATAAAACGGAAAGCAACAGAGAGAGGGAGAAAAAGGAAAAAGGAAAAAGGAAAAAGGAAAAAGGAAAAAGGCAAAAGGAAAAAGAGAAACCCCCTACAAGCCTTGTTCTCCAAACCAAGAATCCATAAGAGACAAATTGAAGACATGGGAAGAAAAGAAAAAAAAAAATGCCAGTCTATCTCTCCGCCTTTGCCTGGTACCAATGAACAAAACCCCATAACTCATGAAAAGAACAGAACAAGATTTGGGTAACAAAACCTGTATCGTAATCCGGATGAACGCTGACGTTGTCAATGCCGTATATCATGTAGACAGAACAAGAAACAAATGTGTAAGAATAAGAGCGAGACGAATGTCCACAATAGGAAGGCCATCGTCGGGCAACAAGAAATCGAACTGAAACGCACACGGTGGAGCTGGTTTGAAGCACTGCTGCATATTAAGGAGGGCTTCACGCATGTTCGAGAAAACAGAGTTTAATGGTGAGGCGACGCTAAATCAGACCCCTGGTCAACATCACTGAACGGAGAATGCCTCGAGTCGTCTCCCCCACCGCTCCGCATCTGGTTTCGCAACGCAGGCAGCTGTCGCCGCCGCGCATTAATAAACCAATTGCTAATCTAGAAAATGGAGAAAAAAAAAAGGAAACCCTCGTTAGTTGCATGATCTCATCTGCACCAGAGCGAGCCATTGAATTCCCTTACCTGACTGATGGACAGCCCCGTGCGGGTCATAAACATCTGCTTGTCCTCCTCGCTGGGGTACGGGTGATCGAGATGCTCGTGGAACCAGGAGCGCAGGATATCCGTCACCGGCTTTGGCAGATTCCCGCGCCGCCGTTTCCCCTTGGGGTCGTTCGGGTCACCCATGATTCCAAAGTTGGCTTGCGGGTGGCCCATCATCTGTGGCGGGGCGTGCTCCGCATCTCCGTAAGGCATGCCCGGATGCCCGTAAGGCGCCTGGGCATGCATGATCGGGTGCCCATAGGCCTCAGGGCGGCGATCGGTCACAGGTCCTGGAATCGCGGGCGGCGCGCTCCTGTAGTCGTGGGCGTAGGGGTCTGATCGGGGAGCCATCCGGCTGTCCGCGTATCCTTGGTATTCGGGCATGGATTGTAAATCACGAATGGGTGGTAAAATGGGACTGGGGCCCGGCGCAGACGCGTCCGTTCGTATGACGTGGTCACTCAGGGCTCGCCGGGGTTCGCTGGCTCTCGTTGTATACTCTCGGTGGTCTCTGTACGGTGTCTTGGAGGTGGGGGAAAAGCCGGGCATTGAACGCGGATCGGCCACGTCGTGACCGGAGGACGGACGGTCTTGGGACGGAGGTCTTGAGTTATAATATGTGGAGGAGTCGATCTCATCGTGGAGGTGTGGTGGAAGCAGCTGATCGATGGTGTGAGTTTGCAGACCCAGGTTTCCGCGATTCCAGCGCATTTGCGGAGCAGCCTTACCTCTCTAAATGACGGAAGTTGTTGCGAATGACCCGTCGGCCGCGGTACATAAGAAATGGCCATGTCGTCTTCGTCCGCCTTACGGGACTGGGACATAGACGATGAGTATGAAGGAAGGACGAGCACGGCAGGATTATATAGAGCTTAGAAAACTGAAGGTGCCAGTCCGATATCAGCTCAGTCCAATGATACGAGGGACTCGTGTATTCCGTCGGCACTTGAGAGATGCTCAGATAGGATGGGGGAGGTAACTCACCAGGGAAACTGGGCTAAATTTACATTGACATCGAATAGCCAAGATATGCAAGGTTGGGGAATGAGGCCTGATGGAAATGCGGTCTTGGGGGTGCAAATAATGCAGGGTCAGTACATTTTATTTAAATTGAGCAAAAAGACGATCCGACGCAGACCCAGCTGTTACATGTCCATGGAAAGTAAGAACAGGGGGGGAGGACCCAGAAAAATGACGATCGTGGACAAGAGTGGGTACCTGGAACCACAAACTACGGAGCCACCAGTGCCTCAAGGCATGCGGAGCGGAGAAGAGGGGTGCGCATCGCAAGAACCCTATGGCGCATCCTTAACTTGACGGACGCTAAGGGTCTTATACCTGTCAGCCTAGTCGCTGTCATGGCTGTCTGAACCGCAGGCACTCCCCGGATCGTGGTTTGCCGCTCCAGGTCATACAGGGTTGTGTGGCGTGGTGGTTTTGCATTTGGTCAATTCCATTTCTCTTGCTCTGATTGGTATGTCTATCCAAAATGGTTCCTCTCGTCGAGAAATAGAGGCAATAACACTCCGCGGAAATCCCCCGTATGGGAATTGCTACAAGAGAAGTGGGAAAACCAAAAGTTACCGAGAGTACCCAAATCGTATGAAAAGTGATGAAAAAAGAAAAAGAAAAAAAAAGAATGAAAAAAAAAAAGCACGAAAAAGAAAAAGAAAAAATCAAGAAATAATTCACAAATGGGGAAAACTGAAATCGAGCATACTCTGTAGAATTAGTAGGGGGAAAAAGCAAAAAAAAGAAAAAAAAAGCCTCCTATTACTCCACTCCACGCCCCGGAGTTACGGAGAAGTAGAGTGGTACGCATTGTTTGGCGGCCCATATACGGCCAAGTTGGAGAAACGACACCTCCCGATCAACCGGTTCTGAAATCCTCAGATTCATCAAGTGGAGGAGCTGTTCATAAATCCGTTGTGCGATCCGGACTTTCTGGGATTATGAATTCTGGGTCCTTTTTTTTTCGGGGAGGGGGGTAGTGCGGAACCAGATCCCCGATCTAACGAGTCATGGGAATGAATCGGGGCCCCATCGCCTGTAGCGCCCGTCAGCCCCCTGGAGGCAACATGATCGAGAATCGGCAAGCCCGGAATTCCAGCTCCAAGGGACACGCCCCGCGGATGATCCCGACTGTGACCTCGAGACATACCGAAGTTGGGGGAAGAATCGTCTAAAAGGAGTTTGCCGACAGCAACAGCCGCAGGGGTCGAACAAAAAGGAAAAAGTGGGGGCATCCTGCCATTCACGATGTTCCTGAGTCAAGCTGAACTTAATTAATTCAAATACCTCGCCAAATAAATTGCTTTTTCCCGACCCACCAGATTTTGCCGGTCGATCCAATGACGCTTTGGTACTACAAACCCTAGCAGATCGCCTTTGGAACTCAAAAGGATCTCTACTTAGAGTTTTGGTCCACGAACAAAGCCATGAGGGGAAGGCTCCCGGCTAGCAATGCGAACTTTCCGAAAAACCTAACTGAGCTGAGGTGGGGAGAGACTTCGAGACGTCGAGACTTCGAGACTTCGAGTCTTTTCTCCAAATCAGGCCCGTGAAACGATCGACCCCCCGGGCGGGGGAGGAAAGGAGGGCTCCACCGCACGCTTGTGTCAGAGGGCGTGGCTTGCGACTGGTTACCAGATCGTGACCATGTGCAATGGGATGCACATCCCGGGTACAATCGCGCGCATTGTTTGCTTTTCGCGTCGGGGTGAATTAGGTGCAGAACTTGGGTGCGGAGATCGATCCCAGCACCAGACGTGTATCCGTGGGTGTAGTGGATGTAGTAACCTTGGCGTGACTCGCAACAGGGATAGGCCGATCGCCGAGGGGGTTCTTGAAATCGTCCCCACTTCCTTCGAGATGAACTAGACTGTGGCGCGCCGGGTCCACGCCATGGTCTTGTCCCGTACGTCAGAGATCAGCGCCTCGGCTCCCACACGCCCATGGCGATTGGGGGCCTCCCGGGAGATGTTCTTCTGCATTGTGCGTCGGGCTCCCTGACGTCCCAACCTGCATATGATATCTTCGGTGTATTTCTTTTTCTATCTTTTTTTTTTTTCTGCTTTTTCTTTTCTTTTTTTTTCTGCTTTTTTTTTATTGCTTCTATCGTGTACTGGATTCTTGAACAAAAGATAAAACAGACATCAGAAATCAGAAAAGGACCCAGCCTTCTCTGAATGTGACACGGCGTTTGATCTCTCCTCATTGGCTACTGTGGCAAGGCTCTTGTGGCTGATCGCCAATCAGGGATGACCTGTTCTTATGAGGGGGTGAGGGGAAACAAGCTTCATTTTTGATTTGATCTAGACTGTGAAATTTGAAGTTTAAAGGTCTTCATAATTGCGACTTTCGCGCTGGAACCGATGTCCAACTTTCCCTTGGACATTCGGCCGAACCGGTGGATCTCGCAAAGCCGACCCATCTCACATCGTTCGCTACACCCAAGCCTTCATCGGAGATCCTCCTTGGTGGGGCACCTTTCAAATATGTACGGAGTAAAAGCTGGGCAATCAATGGGCCGTGGGATCCACGCACCAACCTTGGATCCAATCGACCCCTAGTGAACTCCGAGGAAGTAGTTTGTCCTGCCTCTGAGTGAACTCGTCAACGTGCTCCCGATCGTCAGGACGCAAGAAAGGCTCGTGCCCCGAAAAGACAAGCTCGTCTCTTTCGGGCTTTCTCCCGAGGACGGAGGTGGGGGGGCGGAGAAAGGGAGTGTCTACTCAATGCGGCAAATCTTCAACGAGGGCCCAGGCGCGTCGCTTTTACATAGCTGGTTCACGACGGTTGAGCATCCCTGTCAAAACTATCAATGTGACACTCCGGATCCTCGCCCTCAGGGGTTGTGGAGGTGCCTAGGAAGCGTTGGGAGGAATAGTAATCATTGCCCTCCTGGGGCTTTCGACCCGCTCCACCATGACCGAGAAATCAAGGTTTAACTCGACCCGTCAGAAAACTGGGACTTCTCGACACGGTAGCCATCTCCGATCCTTGAGACAACGCAGACATTGGCCCAGACGCCACATGCGAGGTTAGCAGGCGTCAAACGCAAGCTAAGATTCCTGCGATCCACTTCAGATCATAACCGATCTTCCCCCCTTCCGGAACCGGGGCGAAGGCCGCGCTGGAATTTGGACCCAGCCACCACGAGGCCTGGGATCTGGATCTTCTCTCGAACCGATTCGATCCCCGTTGAACTCTGATTCGCCCGTTCATTCAAGGAGGTCTGATCGAGATCGGCGGTTGTAAATGCTCCCATGCGGTGAACCTCCCTTACTGAAGAGCGATTGGGAAACATTGTATGGATCTGGTTATGCATCGCAAAGCGTTGTCTCCCCGCAGTGGCCAGCACACCTACTGCGTACTACAAGCGCCCTCCCAAAAAAAAATAAATAAATAAATCAATAAATAAATAAAAAAAAAAAGAAACAAGAAAAGACAAGAAAGAAATCGCGCGCTTGGCTCTAGTTCAAAGACGCGGGTCAATAAGAACCAGACCGGAACTTTGAATGCGCAGCGCCCAGCTACAGACGTAACATAATTCCAAGGGCGATCGTCATCCCCCCTCCATTCACGATATCCGCGATCGTGCATAAAATGGAGCAGGGATGTCGATCGGATCTCTGGAATGGGCGGACATATTACTCCATGACTGCGGGACACATAGCGCAATGCGCGCCCCCATACAGGAATTCGTCATCGTGAGTGCCCCGGTACTTGGGTCAAGGGCGTGCTGGCTCCCATTTTTGGGGTTCGCTGCGAGGAACCTTAATTCCTTGTCCGAGTGATCGAAGTCGCCATGGTTCATGTTTTACGTTTGCCTAGCCTGGCTACTAGTTATGTGAAGACTCCAGGTCCGAGGCAAGCGGCCAGATCACTCGCAAAGGGCTTGCGCACTGGTCGGCCATAGTATGGCTTGTTATTGGGGTGGGACAAATTCAAGGTTTGTCATGACAGGGCTGAAGTTTAAACGCCCACGTTACACAATCTTGCGAGATTTTGGGGGGAGAACGAGACCAGTCTCCTACGACTCGGGGCACTCACTCCTAGTAGAATTCGCAGACCAAAAGAAAGGCGCAAACGGCGCGATCAATCAAGCCACTTGATCCGAAGGTATCGAACATTACAGAATATAGAGTCTTACCAAACACATCACCGCATAACCTATTCCTGCCAAGCTCCCGCAGTCAATAGTGTTCATCTCCTGATGATGGCTTGACCACCACAACCTCGCGGATGTGGGAGCGAGTGACCCGAGCGAGGCGAAGATTTGAATCTCAGCCAAGAGCCCAGAACTACACTGGTCGCCTGGTAAAGATCAATCAAGAATGTGAGGGGGCGCTTGCCACGCAGGGCGTCCAGTGGGAAGCAAGGTGATCTGAGAGGGTCTTTTACCCGTCTGTCACTCCGTGCCAATCCTCCAACCCTCCTCCGTTCTCTTAGGGGAGACAAAAGGTCCCAGAACAAACCCCATCACGAACTTGGGTTTGGGAACCTCGTAGAACCGCATTCCTTTTTTGTTTGTTGTTTTTTTCTTGCCAGACACCATCTCTCGTCCATCTCTCGTACTTCTGCTCACGCGCTGTATCGGGCCGTAGCGGGCCTTGAACGAGATCTGCGCTGCCGCTATTAAACCCTATCTTGACAAGGGGGCCCGGGCTTTTTGGCAGCGAATCAGCTTTCTCAGGTCGTCGGTCTTCCCAGGACATCTGTTCGACATGGGCCAACTACTAATGCTCCTGCGAGGTAGATTGAGCCAGGAGTTGCTCACGGGTCCTCCGGCGCCAGCTGTTACGCAGCGATCGTCGTAATGAGGTGTCAATGTAGGATTGTCCGCGCCACTGCCTCTTCAGGCAGCAAGATACCGGGGCTGAGACTTTGCCCGACTCAATCCTCGTACTTCTGAGCTTACGAGGCATGTCGGAAACGGGGCTATGGAGTGCGAGACCCCGGGCGGTACCTTTGTTCCAGAATGTCTGGTTCTTTTGTCATGGCGAGTTTCGCTTATTCGCTAAGGTGGTGGGCAAGGCGTTCTTCGATTCAAAGCTATGCATATTCCTCTCAAGCGGGTAACAAAAGTACTTTGTGGCGCTGGCATTCTATGACATCTGTGGCTTAGTATCGGCTTGCAGTGGCGTCGTGTTGTATAGTAGTTGTTTATAGTAGGAGTCGAAGGCTTTTTCTTCGGATCCGTGCCGGCCTTACTGCTGCGAGGGCTCAAGAGGGGGGGAAGCCAACATGGACCTTGGTCTTGGGACTCGGGACGAGGTCCTGTTTACACCATTGACTCAGATATGCTAGCCAAAAAGAGGCTGCCTTGGCCGAATGGAGACATTCAAGCGCGCTCAAATCTCGCTTCAGCGGAACAGCTAGGATATGCAAGGCTGTTGGAATCTGGAAGAGGGACCGCCATGCGCACGTCCTGGCCATTGAGTCGCAGGTTCCTGCCCTCCATTTTGTTACATGCTAAATCCACTAGCACAGGACGGAGGCTGAACTGATCCTCCTGCACTCCTTATGCCTTAGCTTTCTCAACGTCCCTATTTGGGACAATATGCACTTTTCATTTTGGTCGGATTCTATCTTTTGTCTGTACTATAGGTTCTCGTTAAGTATGGCATCTGATCATTTCTTGCCCAGCTCTGCAGCTCTGTCAGTGGCCGCCTTAACAGCCTTGTCAACGATGTCCTTGAATCCAAGGCCCTCAAAGGTCTGCAGCGCCGCGTGCGTAGTTCCATTAGGACTGGTCACGTTTTTGCGAAGCTGGCTGGGCTCATCGGATGACTCAACCAGCATCTTGCCTGCTCCAAGACAAGTCTGAGTAGCCAAGCGCGTAGCCTGGTCCTGTGGCAAGCCGAGCGCAGTCGCGCTGGCGACCAGATGCTCCACCATCGCGAAGAAATAAGCAGGTCCGGATCCTAAAAACAGCTTCGTCAGCCCATCTGTCATCCCTGGGATAGTAACACAAGCACAAGCACATAAGAAAGCGTACGAGCCCAGCAAACCCCCCCCCCCCCCAAAAGCAGAACCCATATCCCGAAAGCATATATATATAGACGAGAGTAAAGTGAAACTCACCAGAAAGCCCCGTCACCACATCCAAGAGCTCCTCCTTCTCCACCCACTCCGTCGCCTTACTCACACTCCCCAACAACGCATTCACCAACTCCTTCTCCTCCGCCGTCACATCCGAGCTCGCAAACGCCCCGGACGCCCCCTCCGCAACCAAAGCCGGCGTGTTCGGCATCACCCGCACCACATGCGGCGCGCGCCCATCCTTCGTCCGCGCCCATTCCTGCAAACTGCCCAGCGTGATCCCCGCCGCAATACTCACAACAACAGGTAAGCGTTCCCGGCCGGACCACGACGCCCCCAGCTCCTCGCACACGGTCTGCGCAACCTGCGGCTTTACAGCGATGATCACCAAGTCGGCCTGCGCGCCGGCCTCGACGTTCGAGGTCGTCGTCTGCACGCCTGTCGCGGCGAGTTTGTTGCGGTTGACGTCCCACGGCTCGGCCACAAAGATGTTGCTCTTGGCAACGTTGTTGCTGAGCAGGCCGCCGATGATGGCGGAGGCCATGTTACCGCCGCCGATGAAGGCCAGTTTGCTACTTTGTAGGGACGGCATGGTGCTGCTATGTTTGGCTTTTGGGCGGGGACGGTCTTGGTGTAGTGGGTGATTATGAGAAGGTCTTTGCGAAGATAGGTCTGTCTCTCCCCGCTCTCGCGTTCTTATCGGGGTGGGGCTGGTGGTCAAGCTGGGTGTGACCCGATATCGGGGAACACGCAAGTGTGGTGGGGGAGGGGGAGGGTTGAGTAGCTTCTTTGGTAGGAATTGGTGCGATTGAGGTGCTGATTTGGTGCGATTGAGGTTCTTAAAAGATTCGACTGGTTGCTGTTGCTGGGTTCTATGGGGCCACGTGACTGCTTATCGACCGGGCCGGCGTACCGGCTGGAGGTTATGGAGAATAGAAACGCGGGGTATTGGGCCATGGAATTTAGATTGACGCAACTGGGTGGTCATAGCTGGGGGGGGGCCCTGTCATGTCAAGGTTAAACGGTTCCGGGGGTCGAGTATACCAAGTATTCCAAAGGTTGAAGATGTTGACTATGTCACTCTACCGGAGCGTAGTATCTATATTCATATGCGCAGCATAGGCCAGGAGAGCGCATACAATCTAATAAAAGCGTGCAGTCGTCTGACCGGGACAGAAATTGTCAATACTTCAGTCATTAAACGCAACGGCCATCACTGGACACTTGATCTGATGTGATATATAACAGCTGACGTTGCAATTGAGCTGTCCTGTCAAAATATGAATCTGAGCCGCCATGCAGCTCAGAATCCCAATCAAAAACCCACCCCGAGAAGCGAACTGACCATTCCAGCCAATGGCCACGTATCAACTTGAAGGCCCACTGCCTGTTGAGCTCCCCCCGGATCTTCACAAGCCTGCTTAGGCAAGTCGTAGTGGAAGGGCGTAGGGCTGCTAGTATCTATGCCAAGGACCACGAAGCGTCTACAGCACCGGCCTCGAGGAAGTTCTAGTCTACATTCCGCGGGTGTGTAGTACCATCTTACATGCAGCTGAGAGTAGAATATGCGCCGCTGAAGCCGCTGGTAGTGTTTGCAGGAATACTAGTACTGGTAATCGCGTAATGAAAACAATCTATTGGAATAGTTCTAGTCCATATTGTCACCCGATTAGGGTTCAAAAACTATATGTGTACTTGAGTCTCAGCCGCCCAGAGTGAAAAAGAAAAACAATCAAAACCAAACGCAGCCGTCGCGTCAGCGAGGTATTGAGTATGGATCAAGCTCAAAACAAACGAAGCCGCTCCGCTAAAATACATATACACAAGAAGCGTTGCGCCGGTGATCCAAGCTTCCCTTTTGAGGTGTAGACCAATATGAACTCTCTAGGGACAGGGCGGTCGCCACGATGCACTTGAGGGAAAGTAGCATGATGAAAAAAGCGTAATGCGAATATGCAAAGCCACGCATCTATGCGTTAAATGATAAGGACGTAGACCAGGCAAAGAATGGCCGAATCGAAATGGGGCAGTAGGGTATGAAAAATGGAAATAGATGCCAAGTTGCCAAAAACAATGGCAAGGTTTTGCTTTTTTTTCCTTTTCCCTTTTATATTCTTTTTTTTACCAGGTTTCCTTATAAATCATTAGTAACGCTCTTTTGATCACGAACACATGAGATGTCAACTTACAGCAATGTACTGACCGGCCTCCTTCTTGCCTTGCCAGAACTGCTCGGCCTCCTGCAAGTTGAGATTACCTTTGGCCATGGCGACCTCAACAAGCGCAGCCTCGACGCCCTCGCCCATGCCCTTTCCGCTTCCGCAAACAAAGACACGGCCATCGAGGGCATTGATCACATACCACACCAAGTCAGCCTGGTGTCGGACTTCCTCTTGCACGTAGCGACTCTCGCCGCGACGGCTTTGGACGACGGTGCGGACCTTGTCCTCGTGGACGCCCCATTCACCACTGTACAGCTCGTCCAGGAGGGAATCGCGTACGCCTTGCAGAACCCAGACCTTATTGGCGCAATTGGCAGACTGGAGGCGGCTCTGGACGAATCCACGGAATGGAGCAATGCCAACACCTGCGCCGATCAGGAGCATGGGCCCATCGGATGCAAACTTCGTAGCTAATGGGTTGGCCATCAGGCCGCGAAACATGGGGATGTGAATGTCATGCTTCTCGCCAGCGGCCTGAGCGGCGATGGTTTTCTGGGCCAAGTGCTCCAGGTATCCAGAGCTGACACCGGTGCGAGTACCACCGCGCCAGTCCTCAGATTCGGCAACTGTGACGGCAATTTCAATCAGGCGGTGGCAGTCGGTGCCCTTGAACGTGCAGGAGATCTGCGGGTCTTGGGATAAGGAGTAGAAGCGGGGCATCAATGTGTTGAGGGTGGCCAGGAGGTGGTCAAGAGGAGGTCGGGAAGAGGGAAAAGCGTGCAAAAGCTGGGAAAGGGTGATGTGGGAGTTGGTGCGGAGGTTACAGAAAGCACCCTGACCTTGAGCCGAGGAGAGGAACTCGAGGATCTTCTTCTCATTCGGCTCCGTGGTGTACTCGGCCAGAAGCCGGAATAAGGCTTTGCTGGGGGCATAACTTTGGATATCAGAGCACCAGGACAGCACCTGGCGGCGGGTTGTGATCAGCTCCCGGGGCTGGTCGTCTCCCCAGATCGTAGGCCAGCGACCACTCGTCGTACGCAGGAGCACTTTCTTATCGCGTACCGATCGTGGGACACACAGGAGGTCCAAAATGTCCTCGACTTCCTCATCCTTGTTCTTTGGGCAAACACCAATTGCGCCACCGACAACAAAGTCCACCATGCCACTCTCGGCCGGGTAGTCGGTGACATCAATGTCAAAGTGGTAGGTCCGCTTCTCCGCACCTTCCTTGGTCAATTCACGCGCGGAATGGAGAGGGGCACGGTATACATCGTAAGGAGGATGGGGCTGCACGAATTGTGGGGGGTGATCAGCTGGTCCTGAGATCAACAGCAGCCGCCGATGCGGGGGCGCGTGCAAAAGATACAGTCTTCGGCGGCAGTGGGGCCATGTTGGAGAGCTCACTGTCCAATGTGAGGAGATCCAATTTCAGTCCCAGACTCTTGAACGCTTCGTTCCCGGGTGGGGTGATCGAATTGAAGCCCGAGATGGGACCATCGATGGGCCGTAATGGCTGACCCTGGCAGCAGCCGCCGCCGCAGCATGTGGATCGAACTTGCTGAGTTCCGCTGGTGCCCGCATTCTCTAGCACCCGTCTCATGTCGTCCGAATTCTGAGAGATCAGCATGGTCGATGCGCGTCGGCGCCGGCCATTTTGCTCCTTCTTGTCGACTGCGAGTTCCTCCTCGCTGTGAGATTCTGGTGGGGTAGGAGGGGTGGCGGGGGAGTTGGATGCGGTCGAACTTGAAGCAGTAGAGGCGCCAGCGCCGCCGAAACTGGGATCAGTTACCGATAGAGAACGAATGCCTCGCGGCTCCTCGGGGATTGGGTTATCTGGGTGGGACGTGGACGAGACGGGGATATCCTGGAATGTGCTTTTGCGACGCCCCGAGACGATTGAAGTTGCCGTCGGCACGACGGTGCCAGAATCGACGGCGTGAACTGCTCGGAGGGCGAGTGTCAGTATGTTGCGTGCAGTGGGCATGATGGCACGATGGTTTCGAACCCCACGTACCCATAGTGGGCGGATAATACAAGTTAAGTATGATCCGGCCAGGTTATGACGATGTCGGGCGACAGAAAGGGAAGTGAAGTTTCTGGGGACAAGACCGGTTTTAATCATTGCAGTGGAACCAAGGAACTTCGGGTCCTAGAGTGCACGGAGCACGAGATCCAGATGATAAGAGGGGCGGAGGAAAATTACGGGAACCGCACGCCATATCAGGATACGAAATTATCTGATTTTGCCACATTCTGGTCGGGTACCGGCTCTGCCTTTCGGTATGAACTCCCCTTGGGGGACCTCAGGAATTACAGCAAATTTGGTCTTATTGGATCAGATGTAACTCCGGGCGGATTTGATGCCCCAGATCGACAGTGCATGTGTACTTTACAAGATTGGTAACAGCCAGTCGGGGGCGAGGGAGATGTCATCGTGTTGTCTTCGTCCTCGGGTACCTCTGGGGGGTCCAGCCGAGTTCCGGCTGCGGCCCTGAACGTCATACGATGGTCCTCGAGAGTCTGGGGGTTTGAGTTGGCGTGAAGTAGATTGATTGGGGGCCACAAAATGCAAATCATGTGAGTTTCGTCATATGGAAAACCTAGAGAAGCCTTTAGAAATAAAATTCCGATCGAGTCAGATATTCTCGATCAGAAAAAGCTAAACTGCAGGAGCGGGCGCATCAGATTAGGGGTGGGCCGACACCGGAAGTCCCATCCACCTTACGCAGAGCGTACCGGTGTGACCGGCTCTTGCCGCCATGGAGTGTGTTTTCGATGTAATATTACCATTCCGTGACAGATAGGCGGTGTGCCGCCCCTGTTATCAATCAATCAGATTAGCAGCCCTGAACTCCCCAACGCTATATTCTTATTGGGAACGGGTGGTTAAGTGCCCTGGAGAGCCCCTTGACGGAGTCCACGCCAAGGGCTTTGGTCCACTTCCCGTGCACATCGGCCCATTATTACCTCAATGCGATGATCCATCATCCCTGCCCCTTGGCTCACGGAAATTCACTCACGGAAATCCACTGCGTATTCCATGTGTCAACGTCCCAGCAATTTGGGCCCGGTGGATAACCGTTCACCTACTCCAGACTAGCAACTCCCACAGAAGGGGTACAGTGGATCATCCTAGAAGCTCTTTATAGCGTTCGTTAGCTGATTTTAGCGCGAAAGTGTCCGTCCCGTCGGAATGTCCCTAGGGGCCGCCCCTAGTAGCCTTGTCGTAATAATAGCAAGCCTGGGCCTGAGACTCACCTGAGTCTTAGGTCTCGGAACATTGCCCATCCGGTGAAGTTAAATTCTGTTGTGGCATGTTTTCTCTCCTTGATCGTGCTCGGCCCAGAAACCCCATTCATTCTCATGACTTAAGTTACGCCAATCATCTGTGGCCGGACACTGTCCGCATCTGCCCCTGCACCATACCTGGATTGACCTCTTTGGGAAATTTGGGATGTATCCGTCCACTGGTGATGCCGGCGATTGCGTCTCACGATATTAGACTTGAAGAGAATTTCCCCAAGCTCGATACTACTGGTAGTAATTTGTCGGGTAATCTAGTCGAACAGTTGAGGGGGAAGCATCCATAGCTGCTTTAGGCCCTTGTACCTTGTACGGGGCCCCTGCAGAGCCTCGGAAGAGGAATCTTTCGTGACTCCGCGCCGCACTGCACGCGAAATTCGTTTTGCTCCTAGTTGTCACCATCACGTCGTTAAAACATATCCAACTGCTGATAAATAGATACAGAATAGCCGGTCAAGGAATGAACTCTGACTCTTGGATCAGGCATCAATCCATGGTCTTGCACATTGTGTTTTACCTTCCAATCTTAGAGACATATTAGAGACCATCGTCTCTATTGACTAATGCCACGGGCGGGATGAAATGATGTCGCCCTCTGGCCCAATAATATAGCGTTGCCGATCCGATGACGCCAATATACATAACCACGCTCCAGTTCATCGTTTCTCGAGTCACAGAGGTCGACAGGGGAAGAAAGCGAAAACAAAAACTGGAAGTAAAAAGACCAGGGCCCCAATGTTGACAGCCATTCCAAACCGGCCCAGTGACCACCGGTGAGGTGGCAAGCCCTCGCCTCGGAGCCGCTTAAGCAGCACACAACCGATGGACACGATATAAGCGGACATCAAAGAGGTGATTGTCAGTGAAATCACAGCATTTAAAGCTACTTCGGACCCAATATTGACCATTGAGAGGAGCGTTGTCACACCCAAAGACACCATGACTGAGTTGAGAGGGATATTCCATCCGGGTGTAACCTGTGAGATATGTTAATCAGATTCCATGTCCACCAAACAAAAGAAAGGAAAGGAAACGAAAAGAAAAGAAAGAAAAGAGGCCTGGATAATAAATCCAATGGTGCTCCTTACATAGGCGAAGAACGATGAAAACGGAATCCCTTCATCGCGAGCAAATGACCACAGCTGTCGTGACGCTGTGGCCACCTCAGTGATTGTGCTTGCGGTCAATGTCACAACAAGTACTGCTGTCATGGCATTCGTGGCCGTCAGACTTCTGGTTGTGTTGTAAAAGATCTGAATGAATGGCGAGCCAGTAGGGCTGTCCAAAACCTGGTCAATCTCTCCAAGCGTGAAGCACAGTGTCACCAACATGACGAATCCCAGAACCCCGTTGACCACCACAGAGGACATCATGGCCTTAGGGAGAGTCTCCGAAGCATCTTTAATCTCCTCGGCTAGGATTGTATTAGCGTCCGTGTACGCCAGAAGATCGTTCCAGGGAAGCTCAACTTACACATGTGCACGGAACAGTCATAGCCGAGCATGGACGTGATGGTAGTCGAGAGCCCAACCATGGTCGCAGTTCCTGCGTTATCCCATCCACCGGCATTGTTGAACTGGGTGAATACCGCACGGGCGTTGTTTCGCGGAGCTAGCACCCATAGAGGGATTATAATAGCAAAGATACCGAGAACGTGGATGATCAAGATTAATCCTTCCACAAAGGGGAGATTCTTGGCGAGGAAAGTGTTAAACAGAATAGAGAATGCCGAGATAGCAATGACAAGCATTGTGCCATGCCATCGTTGGAAATCATAGTCGGGATGATTCAAGACTATGAGACCTTGAATGATTGTCCCCGCCAAGTATGCGATTGATACAATAGCACATTGCCAGCCCATGGCAGAGAGCCATCCTTGTGAAAATAATGAGTCCATACATCTGTTATTGGAAGATTCAAAGTGCTCGTACCTGTTATATAACTTAAAAACTTTTGGCCCCGACGGGGCGCAAATTCTGATACCCAGTGATACTGACCTCCAGCGGTGGGTGCCCTTGTGCATATGTCAGCATGCAGCACCAGCCGCCTTTTCGTGACATGACCTACATCGACGCCATTTCAGCCACGCTGGCGTAGACGAGGGAGAACCCCAAACAGACACCCACAAAGCCCCATATCAGACCTGCGGTTCCGCCATCGGATAATCCAGCGGATAGCAATCTGCCATCGCGATTAGCGGCATTGGTCGACCTGGGAGGATATGGTCCCCAAGCAGATACGGAGATTTAAAGAGGTACTCAACTCACGTCAGAATCACTTCCCATGTACAGATCAGAGTGCAACCAAACCCTACAATTGAGATGAATCGGAAGTTTCTCTTCAAAAAGTTAGCCATGATGCCAATAGGGTGTCTTCAAAGATGACATACTCGAAGAACCTGCACTCTGCCAAGAGCACTCATATCTCGCTGATCAGCCAGTGTTCCCATATAACGGGGCTCCACAAGTCCCTTTCGCTCATGCTTTTCCACATCGTCGTGATCACTCCCGGTGACTGTCATTTGGGTGTCATTCATAGGTCTGCTGGAAGGCATTTTATGAGATGCGTCGACGAGGGTTCACAGTCACCAAAGGTTCCAGCACAATAGCCGCAGCGACTCAAGCAGCAAAGAGTGCAGATGGTCTTCAGCGCCCACGGGCGTAATAAATTATCTTTGTAAGCCAGCCTCGTTCCAACGGCCCAGAAAATTTCGAGGTGTACAAGACCCTCTGAATCCTCAAGCGTCCGATAGTGAGAAAGCCACTAATGGGAGGCCGGGGTTAAGATGTCTACGTTGAAAAAGTGAACAACTGTTGACATAACCCACTCACTGGGTGTCATATCGCGATAATCGAAGCGTGGCAGGGGAGAAAATTGTCGGGCGCCAACCATGTGGTATATCCCGGCCGGAATTTCAGTGGCACACCTCTGAAGTCCGAACTGGTAGGCTAAAGCGTTGCATTGATTTTAGGCCACTGTTTGTCGTTTCCTTTGAGGGTTATCCCTTGACCCGGAAGTGCCAGAAGAATGGCCGATGAAGCTAGCGGCGCCTTGCATGCCAAGGGGAGGGGAGATCTTGAAGCCACCCTTCCTAGCAGGCAACCAAGCAAACCTTGCGAAATCACAATCCGAATTCGAAATTCTTTTTTTTTGGTTTTGAGGGAGTCAATTCTTGAGTGATCATTTAGTTTACTAGGAAGGTTGCTTGGTTGCTTGTTCATTGATTTACTCTGGCGAAGCTATTGATACGCCGGTAAATACTAGCATGGAAGGAAGGATAATTGGCGAATAAGTATATTTGCTTTTTGACCGAGCAGGTAGAAATCCCAATGATATCCGACTAGCGTCCTACATTGTACTACTAGTAGTAGTCCGGCCTTTCAGTTTCATCTGACCTGTCACTTCGCTCCACGCATTCCCTGTCCCGCCCATGATCATCCCTGGGATCTTAAGAGGCTTGATGCGCGCCACCTGCACCTCTCCAACCCGCGGTAGAAACCCGGCCAGAACAACGTACAAATGAAAATGGCTAGGCCAGGAACAACGCCACATATCCCTGTCGGATGTTCGGCTTCCGATTTTCTGACCCATGAGCATATAGTTTGCATGGCGATCAACGCCCCAATGCAGGAGTGGCAGGTGCGGCTAGCAAATCTGGAGGCAACCCACTTCGACCACGACGTGAGGGAGGGTTACTTGAATCCTGGAACTCGAATTCCACAATCGTATGCTATCAGACGACAATATTTTAGCTGAGAATGCCATACGCGGAGTGCACATAATAACAACTTTGTCGCCTCACCCCTACGCAGGTAGTCAGGTAGTTGAGGAGAGGAAACGGATAATTCCACAAATATTCTATAATTGAAAAAGGCGGAAAGTTTGGTCTCATTTGTCGCATTCGAAATACTCGGCGGTCGACTTCAGCAGCCCGCTCACTCTGTCTCTCCTACATATGACTCGGCCCCGCCCCCGTGGTTTCCCGCTGTCCACACATGGAGCGACTGATGCCCTCGTTTGCTCTTGCGGCTTGTTGCCGCATGCCTTGAAGTGAATATACCTTTATCAAGGCTGATCGACCTTCCCAGTGCACGGAAATCCCACCTTGACTCGTTGAAACGGCTCGGATATTGTAGTGCTTCTCCTGTTACTTTACGTCCACCGAGGCCAGTCTTGATAGGATCCCAACCCCCAGTTGCTCAGCGGCCTTTCTGCATGCCATGGGCCCGTATGTGCCGCCGGGCCAGTCTCCGCCATTTGAAGTTGTGGACGACTTCCATCATGGTGCATGGATTATCATAACTGCGGCACTAGGGCTCGTAGTGTCACTGGCGTGTCTTCTCATTCGACTCTATGTGCGCCTCATGTTGATTCCTCCATTCGCGCGGGATGATATGATATTACTAGGCGCCACGGTAAGGCCTCACCTGAATAACACTCATTCTTAGAAGATTCGAAAGTTGATCGTTCCGGAATAGGCATTTGGCATAATCCAATCCATCTTGGTGTTCTACACATGCTCGCGCGGGTTCGGCACTTCGATATTCCTCATTGACGGGAGCAGGGTCGGGCAGATACAGGCAGTAAGCAATTTGTCCCCGGTGGTTATCCAGGAAGCTAATCCATCAGTTGATTGCCACAAGCGACACATTTTCCCTCGTTGTCATCTATCTCTCCAAATGTTGCGTCGTCGCCATCTACCTGCGTCTTACGCCCCAGAAACTTCATAACCTGGCTTCTTGGGCCACGGCTGTGTTATGCACCGCCTGGGTCGTACCGGCCATATTTATCTTGCTTGTCAACTGCGAGCTCAATAAGCCGTGGAGAACACAAGGGGGTCAATGTCGGCATTTGGTAAGTCGTAGCTTGAATGAACCATGATATGAACGATCAGACCTCAGGCTGGAGCCAAGCTAATATTCTCTAAATTGAGCGGATTTAGTATCAGAGATGGCAGTTTATAGCCATTATAGACATTCTCACCGAGCTATGTCTATTCATCCTCGCTGTGGTCCTCTTGAAAGGGCTGTTCATGTCAGTGAAACGAAAAATTGGCATCGGCCTCGCATTCATCTTTAGATTTCCGTGAGTATATTCCACCAAATCGTTAAAATGCATCATGGCTAATTTAGGGTAATTGATATAAAGTCTGATAGCTTTCACCATTCTACACCTCTCAACCCTCAGCACCGCCCTTAATGACGAAGATGTGACCCTTGCCGCTGTCGAACCAACCCTCTGGCTCCAGGTCGAGGTACACTATGCCCTAGTAGCCTGCAGCGTATTCTGTCTCAGGCCGTTCATGGCCGCCGTCAGCACAAATTACGGCACAGCCGGTGACTCAAATCTCGAAAGCAGTGGCTCCCGGTCCAGAGCTACGAAGGACAGCTCTGGCTCGACCTCCCCAGTCTGGGGTCGATGTCCAGGGTCCGAAGGAAAAGAACAGGGACTGTTTCTAGAGTACCCCACTCATCTTCAAAGGAGGAGCTCTGTCGGGAGGAGTCTGTGAGGGCTAGTAGTAGGACTCCGGCTGAGAGAATCCCAATGCGGCGGTCAATATTCCCTCTTTGCGCACCGGAGAGACGCGAGCCTATGGTGGGGGGAAGAGCTAGGAAAGGGGACCGCGGCCTGAATTCCGGGCTCATGGACGATCCAGATGCTATTGAGCTGGTGTCGCAATCGCGTCGCCGAGGTGATATGCAAAGTCATGATATGGTCGTGGAAGAAGATGTGCATACAATGGCGATCCGGAAAGAGGTCGGATACTCGATCCAGTACGAATATGACGAGGGCCAAGGTTGCAGAGAAGGTCGACTCAAGACCACTGCTCTCGCCGATGCTGATATGCATTGAGAGATCACTGAGCTGTGGTTCCGCGCCTCTAGTCAGGGAATGACAGTACATGTGCAGGTAGGTCCAGCTGGTCTTTGGATAGGTGTATCAAATTTATCTTTGGTTCCAAAGTTGAGATACAATCTAATTGAACTGCATCGAGAAAGATCCTCTAGCAACGCCTATCAACTATATGTACAGCAGAAATACCTTCCCAATTAATCGTTTACGCTCAATCTCAAAAATGACCCGATGGCCTTCTAAACGGGTGTGCTTCAGTGCTCCTGCTGGTTGTTAGACGCTGGGATCGGGAATTGCAGGTGGCTGGGTCACTCACAATACATAATCATCCAAACTGACGACATGTGGCTCAGAAAAGATGAGATAAAGATACTTCAGGGTCTCTGCAAGCCAGAAGCTCTCCATCTTATCGGACAAGCCAGAATCCGGTTCACGAACGTCCCAGGCGGTGGAATGTCCGTATTTGTACGAGTCAGCCTGTCGATGTTCTGGAACATACGCCAGGCCGTATCCTGTAGAGACTTGTCTCCTGTTATTCTGTACAGGTAGAATACTGATTCCAAGGCCTCGGGTCTAACAGTTGTCAGTTCCTGTACGTGATTCCTACCGCCCTCTTTGCAACCATTTAGATAAATTCACCTACCTGAGCTGATACTTCAGATCTTTATAACTGGCAAAGCCCGGCGGAATGTTTTGTTCGACAATCATTCTATCGGCTTCTCTGTATTGTTCCGCGGAGGCAGGAGGATGTCCCAGAACTGCAGTTTGCCACTTCTCTTTGTCCCATGGACACTGATCGGAGTCGGCGCATTGCACGTATTTGAAAATCTCAGGCATCACTCCTGACGGCGTCGAATCATAAGCCCAGATACAGCCGTCCGTCAGTCCGCGTGCGATCTCCAGGTCTTTCTCACGGCGGAATATCTTCGCGGCAAGCGCCACTGTGCCTCCAATGTAGCATTTGAGATGGTCCGAGCTATGCGTGACATGATTGTAGCCTCCGTTGTTCGCCCGCAGGTCAGAAGTAAAGAGGATTTTCTTGTCTTCATCCGGTGTCATGGCCCGGAAAAGCAGGTGCTTTTTCATGGCCTCAAAAGCCCGAGTGTACATCCTTTCGTACTGATCTGTCTGTGCGCCAAGGAGAATGTGTTCTTTGGGGAGATACTCGTAGGTGGAATCTGCCAAAGCGCCCATCGAGAAGTCGTATCCATCGAAAGCCAACCGGTCTGCGCTCACGACGAGCGGCCAGAGGCCCGGGACTCGGGTGGTCATTTGGGAATCATCTAATACATCCGTGATTCGCTGGATGGCGTCGTAGTACTTCGGGTTCCGGGTGAGCTGTGTCAACCGCGTGAACTCCACCGAGAATGAGCCCAGCTCGGCCAGGTATGTCCGCTCCAGCGGGTTGATCTCCTGGCCTTTCGCGGATTTGGTCCATTCCCAGCGGACTTGAGGCATCCGATTGTGGGTATCGAATGCGTTGAAGATCATATCCCCTAGCTCCTCTGCTTTCTGCAGCAGCGTCGGATACTTGCCATGTGTGAGGTCATGGGCGGCCAAGAATCCGCCCATGTACCTGATAACGATCTCAAAGACGTTGACGTCTTCGCTCCGGGTGGTGGTGAAATCAATTTGCTCGATTGCCTCCAGCGCAAGCTTGAACTCATCCTCTAGTCCCATAATGACAAGACTGTCTAGGGAGTCAACCAGCGTTGCTCCCCAGCCGCTGAAGGAGTCCACGAAACGCCCGCTTTGGGGAGAGACCTCGTCTCGAAGCCATGCACGGTCTTTGTAGCCATTCCAGGCGTGCATGAAGGTCTCCTTTACGGCGTCCTTGCGCTTCTCTCGCACTTTGCGCTCTAACTTTGTCTCTTCGGGGAAGTCATATTGGATGCGCGGTATTGGCAATGGCTTTGATGGAAGAGGGATGTATGAGCGAACAGGATATCTCTCTGTAGACGCGCTTAAATGTATGGAATCATGTGCAGAACCTTGGCTCTTTCTTGAGATTGGCCTGGCGGTCTTATAGAATGTGTTGAGTGGCAGCCAGACGAAGAGAAAATAAACCACTAGCAAGAAAAGAATTGCACGAATCAAGGACCGACCTGAGCGACCTGCGTACATCTTGAAAGTGCCTTCACAAGCCAAAAGATCTCATCTAGAAAAAAAAAGAAAATAAACCTCAGTCTGCTTCTCATACTGTTACTAGCAGAGGGCAGCTTGCCATACGGGGCAGTAAATAGGAGTGCATGCGCAGCCACGACTAGACTGAAGGCTTGGCCTGGGCCCACAATGGGCGATGATAGATAAAAGGGTGTCCTGGGAAGGGACAATTGAATAATTTTTCAAGAGGGGCAGAAAGAGAAACACGGAGAAAACGTCAGTGGGAAGAGTTAGTTAGTTAGACCCATCTGCTTTACGTGAGCAGATATTAGAGGCCCTGATCGTCAGGGATTTGGACTCCGTACATACACGAGTATCTTTGGAGTGGGTAACTCGATCCAGAGGGCCAAATGTCTCAGGTTTTGATTGGCGAGGCACAAATGGGGGTTGAAAACAACGACGCCCATTTTCTTGGCTGCGCAGCGAGGGAGCCAATCTCCTGATGGTCAACGATAAGAGTTTCCAGAATGCGGTTTGAAATGTATGGATCAGATCAATCGAAGCAAGGACTAGGGATGGCATCCAGAAATGTGATTTGTTTGTCTGGCTACATGCGCCCACAGTATGTACGAAGTACCAAGGGGTCCACTCCAAGAAATCCCCTGAAATGGCCCGAAGGGGAAATTTTATGGGTCGATCTGGATGGACAAACGGTGGCGTTCACGTCGTATTCCCGAGTCTGTTCACTATCTCAAATCCAAGGGCATTGTCGAGGGTGCAATAAGCCCACGAGTCAAGCTAATTTTGATTTAGTAGTTACTGTCCCCCACACGCATCATTTCAAGGATTAAAGACAAAAATATGCGTCATCCCTACAGATAGCACCGGCCAATGTGTGTGTTTGCTCTGTTTGCATCGGGAACGTCGTTTCGCGCATTTTCACTGTAGATGCTGTCAATAAAGTCTGCTCTAATCAGATGTAACAAATAGCTCCAAACAGTATGGACAAAGGAGATCGCCTCCATTCTACAAAGTTACTCCCTTTATAGTCCCCTGAGCTAATGCTTGAATAGTTACGCCCCTTGAGAGCTTCCTTGTTGAGCATCTTTTGGAGCCGGTGCTTCCTAGTACGCGGCGTGCTGGCAGTACCAAAGAGACAGCCCTAGCTCCTGAAGGCTTTTCGAGAAAGGCTGGCAGGTTTTAGTAGTAGTGAATTATAAGGGCTATTGTTGACTCGCCCCGGCCGAACGAGGGGTCTGAAGGCGACTACCACACCAACTCCGTCTTAACCGGCCGTTGCTTCAACTTGATATCGATGGTGCTCACTGGTCACAAGTCAGCCAGACAATAACCCTCTACGACAACAGCCTTGAAGAATCACTTGTTCAGCTCTCTCGCCGTTCTGATATTCTCCATCCCAATAGAGGCTCACAGTCCATTCCTCCATAATGCCAATCACCGGGTATCGTCGCCACATCATGATTTATGTTCAGCCTCTGCCGCGGACCCAGGGCTAACTAAGTGAAAAGTGTTTACTTTATTCCCTCCCACCCAAACTCATCAACCGCCCTCCCAGCCCTCACAGAGCGCCTCCGCGCCGCCTTCCCAGATGAGGAGCTCATCCCCACTGGCCGGTGGAATCTCGAGCAGAAGCTGATGCGAGATACCCCGGGCCTGATCGCATCACCCAACAGCCCTTCGAAACCCAGCTACATGCAATTCCTCCAGCTAACGCATTACCCCAAACACGGCTTCGTCTACACCTCCGAGCCGCCTGAGAAGACTCTCCAGCACCCAGCTTCTGCCCACCCGGCCCACGCTCCCAGTGCGCCAGGCGCTGTCCCTTCCAATGCTTCTGCGCCGGCAGCGGCTCCAATAACCGTATCTGGCTCCCAGGCTAGCACTAGCACCGCGGCCCCAGATGCCCAGCCCATGGTCATGGCTACTCTCCCCACCTCGTCCTTCGGCACGCTGTTTCACCATTTCACCTACGCGTGCCAGCCATTCTGGTGTCACAAGCTGACTGTCGCGGTTCCGGCTGGGATCATCTACGATCTTGGGGATTTCCGTGTGCGCCTCGGCGACGTGCGCCAGACGTTTCCGACGGGCCGAGTGCGCGGCACCATTGTTGAGATCGAGTGGCGTGGGCCATCGGTCATCGAGACGGCTCTCGCACCCAAGGAGGGGAGTGAGGATGCGGATTCCGGGATTGATGTCGACTTCTCTGCGGTCGAGGAGGCCGACGTGGATGCGGAGTATGCTGCTACGGCGGTGCTGATTCGGGAGTTCTGGGCCCGGTTTAGTGTCGATGGGGCACGGGAGGCTATTCTGGTTCCTGGGATTGGGAAGGAGGTGAAGGATCAGTTGCGGAGGTGTAGGGCCGGAAAGAAAAAGAAGGTTGAGAATGTGGCGTTTAGCTTGGGGGGTGTGGTTGTGGACGAAGATCCGGATCCTAATGCTGGAGCGGATTTGGCGAGGCAGTATATGGAGGTTTTGCGGTTCAATCGGTAGACTTGACGGATGAAGAGGTGTCTGGTACCTCTGGATTCTGAACGTTACGAACAAAGAGCACAAGGGCCGAGCTTAATAAAGGAATGCATTTGATTGAGTCTTCCTCCGGTATCATTACTACACATAAATACTCCAAAGGCTCGCAGCATTCTGCAGAGCTAATTCCAAGTATCCAAAGCAGAATCGCTCGAGTTCGTTGCCTTACTATGAAACACACAGCCCAAATCACCTGTTTGCCACGCCGGATCCTAAGCGTTATCTGCATTGCGACGCGCAAGCGCACGCTTGGTCATGAATCATTCAAATCATCGGCGCAAAAGCATGGACTACAGAAACCGGGAATGTGGAAATGGTGGAAGAGAAACGATACACATCCTTATTGGAAAATTGCGACTTCAGCTAAAGATGAACAAAGACATGGCGACATGGAGGTTTATTTTTGCATCATGAGCTGGACGAACTCGTTGTCTACACGAATTGCGTGGTTAGCATTGGACCGGAGGGCGGTCGAAGGAATGAGCGAGAAAGCTTGAGGAGCTTTCCCGTTTATTGAGACTTACAGTCGATACGGCCATCGCCATCCTGGTCCGCTTCGCGGATCATCTCATCAACCTCATCGTCGGTTAGCTTCTCACCGATGGAGGTCATGACATGGCGCAGCTCAGCAGCAGAGATGAAGCCGTTGTTGTCACGGTCGAACACCTTGAATGCCTCCCGAATCTCCTCCTCTGAGTCGGTATCCTTCATCTTACGGGCCATCATGGTAAGGAACTCTATTGAACGTCAGTAAACGATCTAGGTGGAAGCAGTGGGGTCCTAGAAAATCGCAGGTATCTCGTACCGGGAAAATCGATGGTGCCGTTGTTATCAGCGTCAACCTCATTGATCATGTCCTGCAGCTCAGACTCGGAGGGGTTCTGGCCGAGAGAGCGCATGACAGTGCCCAGCTCCTTGGTGGTGATTTGTCCTATTCATCAATTCGTCTCAGTAAAAATTTCCTCGATTGCTCATGACCGAGAGTGCCTAGTGTCGCCCGGGCGCAGATCGCACTCACCATCGCCATCCTTGTCCTGTTCCAAGGCATTACTGGTTAGCTAAGTGTTGCAAGGCAAGCAAAACCCGCGATCAAGATCGGAGCACTTACGAAGAGGGAGAACGCCTCCTTGTACTCGGACACTTGCTCTTCAGTCAAGGAATCGGCCTAAAGTCGGTGCGATAGCAACGGTCAGCCCAAGGTGTCCAAGCAGCATTATCTCTGCCCCGCAAAGCGGGGGTGAGATTGAGCCCAAGCCCATGGGTTGTAGAATGGGCTGGGAAAAGCCATCCTATGCGTACCATGGTGAAATGAAATGTTGAGAAAAGGTAACAAGAAAATGTAGAACGGCAGAGAGGGGTTGTGGGGAGAGAAGAGGTTAAGGGGAAGACCAGCCTTAGAGGGTACATGGTCCCGTACACATAAATAGCCGTGCCTGGACTGCATCCAACCACATGGCTCCGTTGCTCGGGCGGTCAGCCCTCCCCACCCACTTAGCACGTACACCCACACTGATGGAACAGGGCTGAATTGGTTTTCAGCTGAACTTTGGTGGCTTGACAGCTGCAGAAGAGGAACCCTGTGGTCCCAATACTCCTGGCTTGGTATCGTAGACTCTTGGCTCCGTTAACTGGGCTCAATCCCTCTTGGCACAGTAGCTGGAGGAACGCTAAAGCTTGGTGACTTTCATTCGGCTAAGACGAAAGAGCGACGCTCAGTATGAAACGAGTTCTATACAGTACTGCATATTGCTACACTAGATAGAATGAACCTCTTCGAGACCTTGGTCCTGCTGTCATTACACTGCGCCACTGCCTTAGCCTCAAAAGATGTGCAATTCAAGGTGACTGTTGATCCTTCCAGTGCCATGAAAAATCCCCGACTAGTGTCGGATTACCTTCACTAGGCTGCCAGGCGAGGGCTGAGCCCAGCCTTGCCACCGCTTTTTATTCTTAGGAGCTAGAATTGCATTTCGGGCTTTACGAACCAAACTGGCATCAGAGTCACTTGGGAGCTCAAAACTGCTGCCTTGCATGTATCTTGTACACATGGGATTCAATGCTACTGGCACCGTTTGAATTTCCCCTCTACTTCCTACGTTGAAGATAAATGAAACACACAGGCGTGCTAGGTGGAACCAGAGAGTCGGTATATTAGTATAAAGTCCGTATATGCTATTCGCGAGACGCTGTCCGGGTAAGCTTTAGCCTACTCATCCTGTTTGGGATCGTGGAGTATCATGAGGGGTTGGACATGTGACGGGCTCTCGCCATATTCAACCCCTATGATAAATCTCATGCACGAGCGAAGAGCTCATCCACTCATCGTATATTCGTATCTATAACTTCTTGCTCTCGTTCGAGTTTCGAGAAACCCAAGCTAGCTTAATCGTGGTATTACCTACCAATACAAAAGATACAGCCAGCCCGTGTGGCTGAAGCGGGATCCGTACCGGGCAAATACCATACCTCCTCCCCCTGCGCGGAGCTCCCCGTAACCTGTAACTCCGCTTTGCTTCACCAGACCAGGATAACTCGAGGAAGCACAAAGGACCACTCTCCCCTAACGAAAGCGCGGGCCCCGATGATGAGCGTCGCACTGATATCATATCCCTCGTCATAAATCGCACCCCGCCAATCCCCCATCGTCTGCAGCCACGATGTGGCGGGATCGCACCAATCTGTACACTTCCCCAGCTACGTCAACCCTGCTTACAGCGAGCGCAATACTAATGCAGCGTGCCGCTTGTTTATAGCTACATCTCCTACCGACAATCCTTCGCACACCACCCAGCTAAGAGGCCGCGCTTTGGCGTCTCGTCCAGTAATGGCTTCGACACGTCGCAGCCGGAGGAAAGCCGGCGCCTGATCTCCGAAACGGGTGGCTTCGAGGATGATGGCGACATGGTCATTGAAATGGACCTGCTGCCACCGCGCTGGGCAGACGTCCAAGAGGAGGTGTCCGAGCTGTTGGCGGACATTGCGCAGAAGTCGGCTCAACTTGACAAGCTACACCAGAAGCATCTGCTCCCCGGGTTCGGGGACGAGGATGTACGCAGGAAGGACGAGGGTGTCATCGAGCGTCTTACACAGGAAATCACTCGCGGCTTCCATGATTGCCAAAGGGCTATCCAGAGGATTGAAATGATGGTGCGCGAGTCGAAGCAGCAGGGTTCTGTGAGTAGCGGCGAGGAGACCATGGCGAAGAATATCCAGATTTCTCTTGCGGCGCGCGTACAAGAATCTAGTGCTCGCTTCCGTAAGAAGCAGAGTACTTATTTGAGGAGTATGGGCCTCTCTCTTCTTCCCTCTTGGGCTATTGTTATTCAAAGATCTTTTGGGGCTAACCATACGCGCTTTTAACAGAGCTACGTGACATAGAAGGCTTTACGACGCCGTTCGATGCCGCCCAGACCGCTGCCCAGAACCCCTATACGGACCCGTCATTGATGGAGTCCGACGCCGACAAGTCCTTCTCGCAGAACATGTTAATGCAGACCTCCGAGCGAAGCACGGGCCAGAATGACGCGGCAATTGCCCAGCGAGAGCGCGAGATCAATGATATTGCCAAGGGTATCATTGAGCTCTCTGATATTTTCCGTGAATTACAGGCTATGGTGATTGACCAAGGGACAATGCTTGACCGTATCGACTACAATGTCGAGCGCATGGGCACCGAAGTCAAGGCCGCAGACAAAGAATTGAAAGTGGTATGTTCCAGTTACCCTGCACAGGCTTCATTTTCATGAATTGTTCCCTGGCGTCTCTATGCTCAACATAACTAATCCCCTGTGCGAAGGCTACCAATTATCAACGACGATCAGTGAAACGAAAAGCCATGCTCCTATTAGCCCTGATTGTGGTTGGCCTGATCATAATTCTGGTTGTGAAACCCAAAAACAGATCAGCTCCTCCTCCAGCGCCTGCTGACGAATCGTCCAACAATATCCGGTCTCTATTAGCCTCGGTGGAACGATCACGGCGGCATACCTCCCCAAGGCGATTTACAAGAGATCGCTGGGTACCTTGACCTTTTGCAATGAACTGTTATTTAGCCCGTTTCTGTAGTACTAGTATCATACAGACGAACGTTCCTCGTTCAATGGAGTACCTCAAATGACTCCGCGGTTTCCCTATCATTTTGTCCTCAAGTCAGAAACGCCAATGCTCGGTTAAATCAAGAAACAACAGATGAAGAAAATTATCGAAAGATCAAACAATCATAGAAGTTAGATGGTATTTCAGCGTGAAGATATTGAGAACATAATCGTGCGCACGATCACCTTGGCAAAAGAGACGAAGAACAAAACGCAGAGAAAAACAAAGTTTACACATAATAGTAACACATGGCAAGAGATTGAGCCAAGGATCACCGCTGTTGCCTTTCCTCTTGGGCAATCATGTCCGCAACATCAGCATCCAAATCACCGGTAGCATACTGCGCATAATCCTCTTCGCCGTGCGAAAGCTTACGGCGCTTAGCGCCTGTTCCATTGGAGCCAAAATCAAAATCATTACCGCCGACAGGGGATATCGCAGTTGGAAACTCGGTTCCTTGGTCCACTTGAGCAGCATTGGGAATCACCAAAGACTGGGGAAGAGTGACTGGAGTGTCCTCCGAGAATGGGCCATGGCTAACATGCTGCTGCTGCTGCTGCTGCTCGGGCTTGGGCGAAGCCACAGGAGTGAGCGCCTCGACTGGAGGAGGAGTCAAGGCTTCCACGTCTGGCGAGATTTCCTGGTCGTTGTCGAACCCCTGTACAATAGCGTCTTCCACTTCGTGCTTTTTGGCGTCAATTTCAGCCTTCCGCTCGCTGAACTTGGTAAAGAGAGCTTCTTCGCGGGCGAGGTCAGATCGATTGCTCTCGAGTATCTTATCTAGCTCGTTGATTATGGCCCGGCGACACTTGATAACATCCGATACTGAGCTTTCTGCGTTGGCAAGGGTTTTGAGCAGCTGGCTGAGACGTGCTGCGTGGACGGGTGGGGAGGACGAGGTGTGTTTGGGTCTTGCATCTTAATGTATTCCGATTCAGCGTTCGAGGTTGAGGACCCGGAGGTCATGGCTGCTTTGGTGAGCGCTGTTTGGAGAGGAACTAATGGCCGTAGCTCGGAGGGAATAGAGCTGGAGGAGGATTCTCTGAAGAATGAGCCGCCGAGAGGCTGCTTCTTGGTGGTAGACCGAGTCTTGTCGATCTCTAGAAAAGGTGTTAGCGAACCTATTAAAGAGATTACGTACAAGGACCACTCACCGTTCACGCGGGCTTCCACCGCATCCAAGATGGGCTCCTCAAAAACCCTGCGCGCTCTCCAGACTTCGACGACTCGACGCAACTTCTGTTGAATGTCGACCGATGATCCCTTGTATGCGGTGCCGGTAGCTTCGACGATAATCTATGCAATTGTTAGTTTCCAAGATACCGTACAGCCACAGAAAAGTACTTACAGGTGCAAAAGCATTGAGGAAATCATCCTTGTTCTTCGCCTTGGATTGTTGTGCAAGCTCTGTAATGTTGGTTTAGCCGGTGTTGGTACAACGCGGCATGCGATAATTCACGCACCATTTGCAAGGTAGATAAGATTGAGCCGTTTCGGGGGTGGAGACTCGTGAATCTTGTTAAGCCATATCTGCGCAGTCCGTTCGGCATGTCTCCTTGGAGTAGGAAATTAGTGTTAGTAGGTCCTCTATCAACGGGGCCGTGTATACCGCGTACTTGTAGAACATGACCCATTGCGCCACAGTGACAATGCTCTCCTGCGTCTCGTTCAAAGCAGAGAGCTTCGCCTTAACAGCGTCGTCCGTGAAAGCCATTTTCAAGGCGCGTGATAAGAAACTATTACAGTGAGATATGAGGTGGGGTGGTAAAGTAACGTTCGGTCGAGTCGCAATCGGATGGCTGGTGACGTGGTGATCGAAAGCAATTGAAGACCCCTCGACTGGAGCCAAAAGAACCAAGAAAGAGTTCCTGGGTTGTAGATATGTCTTGTACTCGTACGCACCAGGCAAACTGGAGGCTTGGACCTGAGGCAGATGCGAGAGGAAGAGTGTTGAGCTGTTCTCCAAATCAACAACACTAGCTGCCTGACCGCCCTGGGGGCGTGGGGACTACGGGGCCTCGAGCGTTTGGCCGCCAACTTGTCAACTACCTACCACTGCTCTCTCCTTTTCTTTTCTCCCGCTCTACTACGTTACATTCCACTTTCATTTCTCATCCTGAAACCTGAAAAAATCTCCTCATCTACATCAATTATGGCCGACCGCTTCCCCTCCCTAGACCAGTTCGACGAGGGTATGATACCCACCCGCAGTCTTACCGACCCATCCGTGCTGTCAAGAACTAATCTTGTCCAATCTAGGCCAAACTGAGGTTGTCGACACTCATGCAAACGCCGAAGATGACTTCCTGGCCCGTGAACGTGCTGTTCTAGGTGAAGATGCGGAGCAATTCGCGACTGCTCAAGATCATGTGGCCCATGCGGGCGGCGTAGCGGACGACGACTTACTGGGTGGCGGCGATGAGCCAGCGGAAGAGATTGGAGATTTCGAGTCCTCGTTCCCTTCAGTTGAGGCACAGACACAAAACGAGGTACGAATGATCGGGTTCGTTTATCTGGAATTGAGCTGACATGTGTCTTGATCTAGAGAGTCGCCCCCGGCGGTACAATCACCGGAACCGGTTCCCCCTTCCCTGCCTCTGGCTACCAAAGTGCTCAGAATAACGAGGAAGAGCCTGCGCCTATTGCGTGAGTTGAATTGGCCCCTAGCCGGCGACTGCGCATTATTTGCGCAGTCCGCGACTCAGAATAACGAAGCTAATGACTTTGTTTGGGGTTCAGAGAATGGCGCGAGAAACGAGACGCTGAGATTGCCCGCCGTGCGGAAATCTCGAATGAAAAGAAGGAGGCGACCGTGAAGAAGGCCCAAGAAGACATCGACGACTTCTATGTCTCCTACAACAACAAGGCTGACAAGGCCAAGGCCCAGACCCGCACCGAAGCGGAGCAGTTCCTGGCGAACCGTGAAAACACCTCTTCTGGAGGCACCAGCTGGGAGCGCATTGCGAAGCTGGTCGATGTATCTGGAAAGGGTGCCATTGGTGGTGCCAGTGGCTCGGGCAAGGAGCGCTTCCGCGAGCTGCTGCTTGACCTCCGAAAAGACCAGGAGGCACCAGGCGCTAGCGGGATCTAGATTGCTGTTTTGACTTTTTTGAGCTCTCCATGATGCAAGACCAAGAGCTAACCGGTGGAAGTTCTATCTTATCATTGTTTTTAGGGAATTACGAGGTATTTTGATTCCCATGATCTTCCTTTAGTCTTCCAAGCACCATCAGTCTTCGGCTTAGAAGGCGTTTTGAACTGGCCTGTGTCTTATTCTCTTTCTCTCCATGCCGCCATTACTCCAGGGGAATTTGTGTAATTTAAGTATCGAAGACCGATGGCATCGTTAATACCATGACTTCCTTTTGTTTTTGTTCTTCTTTTATTTTCTACATGGAGTAACACTCCTGCGAGCTGGTTGCCTCGGATTGAACGTTACCTTACTGGAGAATAGGAGCAAAAGTTGTCGAACCAGGAAATTAACCAAAGGAATGTTAATACTAAAACATTAATAAAATAGTTGAAATGATGCACTGAGTATTGTCACCACAACTTGGAGATAGAGTCGACCGTCTCCCACTAATCCCTAAATCCTAGTCCAGTTCCGTAATGTCGCCGCCGGGGGCACCAACTTCTTGCCTTGCTTCGGCCTCCAGATCTGCTAATTTTTTCTGACCCTCTTCAGTCGTGCCATCGATGATGCCTTCTTCTAAGCTGAGCATGCCTCCCTCGCTCAGCTTTTCAACGATAATCTCTGCTTCTTCAACAGACATGGCCCCAAGAACCTTGTTTACCTCATCCAGAGACTCAGATGCCAAAGCCTTTTGAAGGTCTTCAGGAATGCATCAAAGATCTTGCGTGCTTCAATCTCAGTGGGGTCTTCACTATTGGCATTAGGCAAGTTAATGGTGATCTTGGTATTAGGGTCGACAGCATGTAGCTGAATCTGCTCAACGCCCGCAGGGTCATTTGAAGCGGAGGTCTCATTGCTGAGAGCAATGGCGCGTTCCTTGATACGGCCGTGTGTCTCATTGACATCGTTGGTGAAGACCTCCCAGGCACGATGGCCCTTGACTTGGATACTATATAAATGTTAGTAGATTGGACTGAGGCACGATTGGCGGCCTTGAAGTTTTGTAGTAGACATACCGACTGAAAAAGAGCTGAATACCATCTGGGCCAAGAGAACGACAGTATTGCAGCAGAAGCCCATTGTGCACACAAGTGCGAGAGAGTATTTCTCCTTAGCCTCAATCTCATTGCGTCTGGTCTCGAGTTTCTTGCGAGTCTCCTCAAGCTCTTTGCTGCTAGGCTGAGAGTTGAGGGTTCGAAGCTCTGATTTGATGGCATCAAGTTCGGGCTTAGCTTTGACGAATTCAATTTGCGCATTGAAGGCTTCCACAAGCAGTCCATCTGTCTCCTTCTCCTTCAAGATCTCGCGGTGAGATGCAATAAAATCGTGATACATTTTGTATTTATTTTCCTCTGTGACCTTCAGATTCACGAACTGTCTGGCAAGAGCACTGACTTCGACGTTGGCAGGGTCATCGTCATCGTTGCTGGCAGCTTGGTCTGAGGATTGGGTCGAAGCGCCTGGGTTCAGCAGCTCAACCTCTGTTTGTTTGCTGGTCGCAGATGCCTTGCCCTTTTCTTCAGCCTTCATAATATGGGAGGTATTGAAACCTTCATGTAGTTTATCACTTGTGATTTTGCTCCCCTCTTCCTTTTCGAGTTGAGCCAACTTCGTCAACAGCTCCGTTTGCAGGTTTTGAACCTTGGTCTTGTGTCCTTCAACGCCTTGGATATAAGCCTTGAACAAGTTGTCGGGCTTCTTTTCATCCAATTCCTTCTTCACTTGGTCCAACAAAGAGCTCATCATCTGCGAGAACTTGGGCTGCTCGGGCTCGTTTGTGTAAACTCCTTCTGGCGGTGTTGGGGCTTGGTCTTCCGCTGGATTGCTGGCGAACTCCATGACAGTCTTGAAGAGGACTTCATCTGGGGAGGTCGAAGAGCTCTCGCTCGCATTGAGATTGCTCAGAAGTTGGTCAATTCGCGAGAGGAGCCCATCGTTGATAAGGCGCTCATACTTCAAGGTCTTGATTTCATGACGGCGCTGTTCTCTTTGCTGGTGAATCTGGGCCTGCTTGGCTCGGATAAAAGATTTCTTGTCAACATTGGGGTGAACCTCAATATCTGAGTCATCAGATAACTCCAGGGCGTCCCACTTGCTGTAGTCGAGCACCATCTTGGGCTACCAAATTCGTGTTTGGCAACGCGGGGTATTGACGAAACACACGTGGGGTGATGAGGGGGTGCTTATATTCGATACTCGAAGGGTGGGAATGACCCGATGAGCAGCTTTAGTCGCAAGTAAATACTAAATGTCTCAGCGTTCCAGGGGGATACTGCGGGATATAACTTGGAAAAGCCTACGTGAATCTATAGCTCTCGATCAGCTTCGATGGGCGGTGAAATTCTGCCGCAAGAGCCGCCGACCACCGGGGACTTTGAGATCCCGATCTCCACATGTGCATCTGTTCCACATTGTGCAGCACACTGGTTATGGAAAAGTACTGCTCTGCCGCGCTACCTTCCTTGAGGTAATGGCACTTCCTGCTCACTCAATTTAACAACACATCCCGCAGTACTAGGGCTTTGATATTACGAAATGCGCGGCGTCCGGCTCCTGGCCTGGACTCCGGGCCTCAGCCCTCAGTCCGTTCTCAGACCTGAGAGCGCGGGTACCTATGGCATTTCTTCACAAATAGCTTCGCATTGCTTCAAAGCTGGCGAATCTATATGTGCTAGGCGCGGATATTCTACTGCATTTGGACCCTTTCGTGAAAGGACCAGTACTCACCTCCAGCACGCCCATGTTCCCCTGTTACTTCGGCAAATTAGTCTCCGCAATACTCTGTCCACTTCTCACATTATTTCTCAGTCGCGCTCGTTCCTCTCAACTGCTCGCGTTCTCCAGCAGAAGGCGCCTCCTCATCTCAAATCGAACACCAGCGTTAGGCCGGAGCATGAACATGAAGATGAAGATCAAGGTTTCGAACTTTCGGAGAAGGCTGCCCAAGCTGCCCAGGTAAACCTGAGCGCTAGACTTGCTAAAGACAATACGGCGAATAAAAAGTCTGGATTTGCGGAGGTGTGGCGCCTGTTTGGGATTGCCAGGCCGGAAGCAAAGAAGCTCAGTCTCGCATTCTTTTTCTTGCTGATCTCTTCCGCCATTACCATGTCAATTCCGATGTCTATTGGCAAAATAATGGATACCGCTACGAAAAGCCCCGAAGAAGGCGGTGGTCAGCTGTTCGGATTGTCCCTTCCGGTCTTCTATGCCGCTTTGGCTGGAGTTCTTGTTGTCGGCGCAGCTGCTAACTACGGTCGAATCATGATTCTTCGAATCGTTGGCGAGCGCATCGTGGCGAGGTCGCGTTCCCGTCTTTTCCGTCAAACTTTCATCCAAGACGCCGAGTTCTTCGATGCCAACCGAGTTGGAGACCTAATTTCCCGACTTGGCTCTGATACCATTATTGTGGGCAAGAGTATTACCCAAAACTTGTCGGATGGTTTGCGGGCTGGTGTCAGTGGTGCAGCGGGCTTTACTATGATGGCATACACTAGCTTGAAGCTTTCCAGTATCTTGTGTATCATTCTTCCGCCGATCGGCCTGGTTTCTTTCTTCTACGGACGTGCGATTCGAAACATCAGCCGGCAGATGCAGAAGAATCTGGGTACACTGACCAAGATTGCCGAAGAACGTCTTGGAAATGTGAAGACTAGTCAGTCGTTTGCGGGCGAGATCCTTGAGGTCAACCGCTACAACAAGCAAGTTCGGAAGGTTTTCGACATCGGCAAACGGGAGTCTTTGATGAATGCAGCTTTCTTTAGTTCGGTGAGTGGTACTGGGCTCTTTGTACCCTTTCTGTGTCACTAATATGTAACAGACTGGTTTGATGGGTAACATGACCATCATTTGCCTGCTCTACGTTGGAGGTGGCATGGTCTCGTCTGGGGCTCTCTCTCTGGGCGAGCTAACGTCATTCCTGATGTATACCGTCTACGCTGGGTCAAGCATGTTCGGACTCTCCAGCTTCTATTCCGAACTCATGAAAGGCGTGGGTGCTGCCAGTCGTTTATTCGAACTGCAGGACAGACACCCAACCATTCACCCCACCAAGGGTATGAAGGTCGAGTCTGCCCGTGGCCCTATCCGCTTCGAAAATGTCACTTTCAGCTATCCTACCCGGCCGGCTGTAACTATATTCAAGAATCTGGACTTTGAGATCCCACAAGGGTCCAATGTCGCTATTGTTGGACCTTCTGGTGGAGGGAAGTCTACGATTGCCTCCATCTTGTTCGATTCTACAACCCTTCCGTTGGTCGAGTCCTTATCAACGGAACTGATATCAGCAGTATGAATGCAAAATCACTTCGGAGGAAGATCGGTGTTGTCTCGCAAGAGCCCGTTCTTTTCTCCGGCACCATTGCCGAGAACATCTCCTACGGTCGCCCTAATGCCACGCGAGCAGAAATCATCGCTGCAGCCCGCAAGGCCAACTGCCAATTCATCAGCGACTTCCCGAACGGCCTCGACACACATGTGGGAGCCCGAGGAACCCAGCTTTCGGGTGGACAAAAGCAACGTATTGCGATCGCACGAGCTCTCATCAAGGAACCTGACATCCTAATCCTTGACGAAGCCACTTCAGCTCTTGACGCCGAATCCGAGACTCTCGTGAACAGCGCGTTAGCCGCTTTACTTGAAGGCAACAACACTACAATCAGCATTGCCCACCGTCTCTCAACCATCAAACGTTCTGACACCATCATCGTCCTTGGCACTGATGGTACAGTTGCTGAACAGGGCAGCTATGAGGAGCTTAGTTCCCGTCCTGACGGAGCTTTCACTAAACTCATGGAGTGGCAGATGAGCGGCGGCGAAGCTGATAAGCCTCCTACCAGAGCAGACCAGCTTGACCAGCTCTGGGAGCTTGAAAAAGAAGCCGAGTCTGAGCCAGACGAAGTTGAGGAGGAGGAGCTAGCTGAGCAAGATTCTCCCAAAAAGTAATATATTTGGGGGCCAGCGTCACTTTATTCCTGACGTTGTTTCAAGCTGTCATATACTCCCACACTCACCTTGATGATGGCTTTTCTCTTTGCGCATACTCTCCTCACCTGAACCCCTCTCTTCTCCTTTCTTCATCTTTCCTTTTTGCCTTTCCCGCGATAGAGATTAGTCTCCTCGCCATTGAACTTGTAACTTATGTATAGACCACAATAAGGAGTGAAAACACCGGGACGGTGATCTTTTCGGGTGTGTCGAATTTTGCCTAGTAGTCGTAGACTAAGTTAGAATACTGGCAGAATGTAGAAGGCAGACTGCATAAGGCCTCTGCTATCTTTATTGTCTGTATCGACCTGCCACTGCACTGGTTGTTCCATGACGTAAAAAACATCATAAGCTCGAAAACGAGATTCCAAATGTAAACCTTGTCATGCGTCCACCTGGGCAGTTCGCATTCTCCGCATTTGGGTCTTAGTCAGGTGAACCCTGGACCCGACCCGCGATCAGCGCGGAATTCATCTGAACTGCAACCTCATTCCCTGAGGAACATTTCCTAACACGAGCCCTGAGAACTGGGCTCTGCAATACCGTAATGGAGAGGATACGGAGGCTTGCCGCCGATTCAGTGGCATATGAGCCGCTCGAGGGTTCATCGGAGGGGCCCGCCGACACGGAGCACGCGGAGCAGTCTCGCTACTCCAGATTTGAATATGTCATATTCTTCTTGCTCGGAAATGCTATGCTCTGGGCATGGTAAGTCAACTAAACATCTGACATGCTACATCTGACATACTCTTGCGAGGTTGAAGCTAACCTCAGGGATGATCTCCAGGAACATGTTCCTAGCTGCCGCACCATACTTCCGTAGTCGCTTTGCAACCAGCGAATGGGCCGTGAGGAACTACCAATCCTCAATCATGTCCGTCTCAACTGTTACGAATCTAGCTACTGTATATGTTCTTGCGAAGCTCCAGAAGAATGTCTCCTACCCTCGCCGCATCACGATTTCCCTTCTTGTCAACTGCGTCACCTTCACACTTCTCGCCTTCTCGACATTCGCGCTTAAAAATGTCTCGGTACCTGTGTACTTTGGGTTTCTCATGATAATGGTCCTTGCTGCTAGCTTTGCTACTGGTCTCAACCAGAATGGTGTTTTTGCTTACGGTGCCGGCTTCGGCAGGGAAGAATATACCCAAGCAATTATGGGTGGCCAAGGAGTGGCTGGAGTACTACCTTGTGTGGTCCAGATTGCATCGGTCCTTCTGGTACCAATGGAAACCCATGGCGGACAGGACCGATCAGATGAACCCCCAGCAGCTTCCCCCAAAGCTGCGTTCATCTACTTCCTAACCGCAACAGGCGTCTCAATTTTGACATTGCTGGCTTTCTTGCATCTCCTCCGACGCCGGCCCGGCCCGCGGCCGAAGTCTGTGCTGGAGAACGAAGACGACGAACTCGTCGATCTTCCGCATGACAAGTCAGTCAGCCTATGGACACTGTTCGGGAAGCTTCGTTACTTGGCCATTGCAGTGGCGCTATGTTTCACGTTCACTATGATGTTCTTCCCCGTCTATACCTCTGAAATTGTGTCCGTGAATGATCCGCAGCAATCCCGTATCTATGACCCGCGCGTCTTTACCCCCCTCGCCCTGCTGGTCTGGAATGTGGGGGATCTTGCCGGGCGGACTGCGGTGGCGATACCGGGCCTATCAATCGGACATCGCCCGTTTCTTGCGTTCCTCCTGGCGGTTGCGCGCATTGGGTTCCTCCCACTTTACCTTTTGTGTAATATCAATGGGCATGGAGCTGTGGTGCACAGTGACTTCTTTTATTTGGTCATTGTGCAGTTCCTCTTCGGGGCTACTAATGGGTACCTCGTGTCGAGCTGCATGATGGGCGCCAATTTTTGGGTTGATGTGGACGAGCGAGAGGCTGCTGGGGCTTTCATGAGTATCATGCTTGTGGCCGGCTTAGCAGCTGGCAGTTTGCTCAGCTTCTTTGTCACTAGCTCGTGATGGCCCTGTTACAGCTGTCGGCATTTGGGCCCTGCGCCACTTTCATGATTTACGACCAAACTACAAGTACATCTAGATAAATTTCGGAGTCTTACTCTTCAGAAATAGGATACATCATTTCGGCTCATTCGCTCTCGGGATTTCAAGCTCAACGCTTAACGGTTTATTTAGGTCTCCGGCCGGACTAGCCCACTATACATGGTCGAAATACCCCAGCTTGAGGCATGTAGGAATCCTATATAATGTGCCTCCACAGACACCAGCAGAGATTGCTCTGCATTCCGATCGCTTAAACACGCCTCGAACAGTACTACCTAGACATACTAGTCCAAGGATGATCAACGCACCCTGCACATGTAGCATGTTGGTCACTACATTTGCTTTGGCTGAGAATTTTGGAGTTGAAACTAATCTTTGGTACTAGTATAAGCTACCTAGAGCTTTTGTCTTGAAGAGAATCTATTCTCTGGAAATCAGTTTTATGGATCCTTGGAATCAGCTGTATGAGCTGCCCTGCTCCATTTCGCTTTAATAGTGACAACCAAAACACCGCGCAATGGTATTGGGCCAGAACCAGAACCAGAAACTGGTAATCAAAAACACAATGAAACGCAAACAAGCATGCACTGAGAATATGTTAGACCTGCTGAAACACTCGACGCCTTATATACTATGCATTAAAAAAGTCTTCCTCCGCCAGCCACTGCGAGTCCATTGCGTACGCAACCAAATCTGCTGCACAGCACATATCCTCATGCCCGTGCTCCAAATCTAGCAGTTCAAGCACAGCTTTTAGTCTATCCTCAAGGGTCTGACGAAGTCCAGCAACATGGGCCTGCAGATCTTTTGTTTGTCGCTCTTTCATCAATGTGCCAGCCTCGCCAGAATATTTCGCCTTATTTGATTTTCCTAAGGTGGGCACTCGCTCCATGGACTTGTTTGGTGAGCATGGGGCAAGAGCTTTGCGCGTTGTCTGTGGTGGTGGCTGCGAGGGTTCGGGCTTGCGGTTTTTGAGTAGGTTCTTGAGGATAAAGAGAAGCCATACTAAGTTCGTTCGAGGTGCGTATTCCGCCCAAATCCCACGAACGTCGGGAGTCTTCTCCGTTTGTGTGGGAATGCCAGTGTAGACAGTGGCGCGCATACTATTGAAGTTTGGTTAGTGAGTTCTATATCTTCATGTATCACAAGTGGCTGGAAACTCACTATCTATACGTGTCTCGCAACAGGGCGTCGTCCTCGTCCTGACCAATCGCATCAAAGATCTGCTTCTTGTCCAAGTCGGAAGAAGCAATCTCATAAACCCCTTCAGAATTCTCTGGCAGATCCCCGAGAAGGAGGTTGGCACGGGAGAGAGAATAGTCGATGATTGTAGTCTCAAGAGAACTGAAGCCGAACCCGCTTGACGACGACCGGCGTGCGATTTCAAGATCTGTGGGTGGGTTCATACAGCCGTCTGGCTTAGTAGAGCGAATACAGACATTACCAAGATGGAGATCTCGATGCTGGGAGAAGGGTTAGTAACGAGTCTTGTGACCGATCGGAATATCTTCCTACCTCGAACATGGAATACTCCTCCGCGCGAGCCAAAGACATCGCAACCCCCCAGAAGATATCGTAAATTTGGAAAATAGAGCACCAAGGGAACTTCTCCAGCTCACACCCTGCATCATCCATTTCGATAATTGCCCATAGTTGTGTATCTGGGTATGCCTTCTTGCTGGCCGGATTCGGGTTCAGACAGTCGTCTTTCGTCTCTTTATAATGATCCCATGCATGCTGGAAAGCAGGTGGGAAGCGGCCCTGTACCACATGAATCTCCCTAAAGCGAGCAAACCCAGGAATGGGGTCAAGATACTTGAGCATCTTGACCTCAGCAGCGATTTCGTCGATGGTTGTGAATTTTTTGGATCCAGGTCCACTCTGCGCACGCAGGGGCACCACCTTAAACACCCCATCTCCATAAGCCTTCAGCTTTGCCAGCTTGGATTTTGACACCACGGGCCGATTCTCTGCCTCCCGCAGGTGGAGCTTGTAGACCTCTCCGTAGGATCCTTCTGCCAACTTGGCAACATGGAACATGTTCGCTGATCGCGATGCCCATGTGCCAAACTTCTGGATACCTTGAGATGCGATCGGTGATAATGCTTCGTTGAGGATTGGTCGGACGTAGGCGTTTGCCTTGCTGTCGTGGATTATCCCTGAGGATCTGCGTGCTGCTGGGATCCTCTTTCGAGCCGTTCTTTGAACTGACGGGGCTGGTTCTCCCTTCACGGGGCTTGGGTTTTTGGGCTGCGAGCAGATCCTGACTTCAAGCATCGTCTCGTATTGCTTTGTCGGTTCTGGCTCCATGCTCAACTCGGTTGCTTTGGTCGAGAGATATTCGTGCTGTTGTGAGGTAGAGGCTGACACGGCGCATTTATCCTGTACATCCGGGATTGTCCCCACGGTCCCTCCCCCTTTGTTTGTCTCATTATATACTTTTCCACCGGGGTCTTGTTCGTTCGGTACCGGGTCATTACTGATGGCTATTTCGGCCAGTTTCGTCTGGATAGCCTCGACCGTATCGTTGATAACTGGGGGGCAAATTGAATCCCTCGCGGGGCTTTTGTCCTCGAAAACAGATCTAGGCGCATTGTTCTTTCGCTTCCCGTAAACTCTTCGTTGGGCGACTGTTCGAGTACTGGACTGTCGAGGTTGTGGAGTTGTTACCCCCCCCAGCGGCAGAGAGAGATTGTACCGCCATTGTCAGAGGTATTGTGGCTAGAAAAACTCCGAAGCTTTTTTTTCTAGCAATGGCGAGCGATTATTGATGGGAGACGTAAGCAAAAAGGTGGTAGACCAGCTTGTGCCGAGAAACGGGTATTGACGTTTAGCCGAAAGAGGATTAGCTCGTCCGTTGCTCTGGTGAGGCATTCCTCCCATGTCCACCCAATCAGAATGCCGGACTCTATGAGCTTAGTTTTCACATCGAATGCACCGAAAGGTCCAGATATTTTGGCAGAGAACGTGTTGTGTGTTTATCTGATATCACACAGTAAGCTGACTCCGGTAACGTGAGTACATAGTTTGGGCTGGGTAGAGAGTCTGTTCAGCTCAATTCCTGCTCGAGGGGAAATATCCATCGACAGGGTAATTACCAGCTGACCCTCGTATCTTTCACCATCATACCTATATAGAGTCCATGCTGTTAACAGCCTGCGAGGCTATACTCGAGTGGCCTGGAAGCAGGCACTTGCTCTTCCGAATCCGAATGAAACAAGAGCAGCCCTGGTCTACACAAAGACACAGGCAAGGAAACGGAGTGTAGTTGTCAGCACCACACTACGGTTATTACGCATGATTGTATGGGAGATCGAGCGATGGAAGGCTTCTGTTTTCTCTGCGGCCTGTTAATTGTGATCTTTGAGTATTCCCAATGGCTTGAGACCGGGGCAATATTCCCAGAGAACCTTGGCATATTCGGGGGTTCCCAGGGGGTGGGAACACTAATCGAGAATGGAAATTTCTGTCATGCGTCCCATGAATTTCCATATCTCAAACATCGCGAAATCAGAAGACTAATTAGCCAGCAATTGGCGGGTGTATGACCGGAACCGTGGACCTCGCGGGTGGAGATGAGTAGTGTCTAACTTCATTTAGCTACTTCGGGCCGGGCATCTGGGGCTCTATGACTGCGGGAAATAGTTAACTACCTGACTTCCAAGGTTTTTAGGTACACAGAATGCTTACAATCCGCTACTAGGTCGATATCCTGCCCCATATAGTATGTTAGGCTCCATTAGCCTTGCTTTGCAGCCCGGGCAGACCATTGCTCCGGTCTGCTGCAGCATGCAAGCTAAAAGTTAGATGTTGGTGGCCTCAAACTCTCCGGGATGACGCGGCACTCGATTAATAATTTCGATCCCGATGCAGTATGGGGTTTGAGGAGTTAGGACTCCCCCGCACTAGTGTAAGAAAATGCTATATATTCTGCCAATATCACATCCAACCGACAGTCACTGATAATACAAAATTGAACCGACTGAATCCCTTCTATCTCTTCAGAATGGCTACAATTGAGAACCCAGCAATCCCTAAGGGCTCGACGGTTCTCGTGACAGGGGCGAATGGCTTTCTGGGTTCGCATATAGTCGACCAATTCCTTCGCACCGGGTATAGGGTCCGTGCTGCCGTTCGTGACCCCCGTAAAGAATCTTGGGCAAATGAGCTATTCGGAAAGCTCTATGGGAAAGAAAACTTTGAACTTGTTGCTGTACCTGCGATGGACGTCGAGGGTGCCTTTGATGAAATTGTAAAAGGTGGGGACTATTAACTGCTGATGCGCGTCCTGCTGGAAATGTTTGGTGTTGACACCCAATCTAGGAATTGATATCTTTGTGCACTCGGCTGCCGTCGTCACATTTGAGCCAGAGGCAAGCAAGGTTATACCGGTGACGATTGCCGGTGCTCTGAACGCCCTCAAAGCTGCCTATTCTGAGCCGAGCGTTAAACGATTTGTGCTTACCTCTTCTTCGACAGCTGCCGTGGGGCTCCTTGACGAACCAGGGACCATTGTAACGGAAGACAAATATAATGAAAAGGCTATCAAGAAGGCTTGGGACGGACCGCCATATGAACCCAGTCACTCGATAATTGTCTATGAAGCCAGTAAGGCCCAGTCTGAGCAGGAAGTGTGGAAGTACCATAAGGAACATCAAGCGAAGCGCCCCGATCTTGTGGTCAACACAGGTACGTTAGCTGCCATAGTCCCTTTGGAGATTCTAAGCACTAATAAGCAATATCCAATTTCAGTTCTACCAAATTTTATTATCGGGCGTTCTGTCGACCCTGTAGGCCAGGGATCTCGCAGCACATTCTCCTTGATCCTTGATCTATGGAACGGGAAGAAGAACGAGATGCTTGCTGCACTCCCTAGACGTGAGGAATTTTGGTATACGGAATCATACGATCGATGGCTAATCAGGATTAGAACACTTTGTTGACGTTGAGGACACTGCCCTGCTGCACGTTGCCGCAGCAGTCTTGCCGCATGTTCAAGGCCAGCGTATCTTTGCCTTCGCCGACGAGTTTAGCTGGGACAGAACTCTGAGCGTTATGCGGAAGATCGATCCTACGCGAAATCTTCCCGAGGAATTTTCGGATGGTCAGGGCCAGTGGAATGTGATCGTAGCTAGTTCGAAGGCCGAGAAGCTCTTGCAAGAGCTTGGACGACCGGGTTGGACACGTTTTGAGGATAGTGTGGCTGCCAATGTACGAGATGCTTAGGGTCTTGGGGAATTACACCACAAGCAACTTGAACTCGTCAGACTGGCTCGACCATACCTTTCTGAAAACACATCGAGCTAATTATGCTACTAGAATAGAATAGAATTCACTTTCAATAACATGATCTCTTTTGGTACCTCCAATATCCAACTTCGGGCATATTGTCACATGAGCACGTGTCATACGGTAAATGACACAGATCCGCCGGATTGTTCCATGGGCGCGTTTTCGCCGTGACCTTTCGCTATTCCCCTAATCCCTGAGTAAACAACCCTTTTTGTGCCTGTACATGTTGGAGCGTTTGAGGTTTCCAATAGATCCAAGCACTGATCAAGTACGGGACTTTCGAATATTAAGGGGCGGCAGGATGATCCACGGGATTAAATCCTTCATACTGCACCACGCTAAGCCAAACCCGAATTTCACGATCTGAAAATTTCGTAGCGATTTCGAGCCTACTCTTGCTGCTCACATTGCAGTACAAGGCTTGCACTGCTCCGCAAAGCGATATGCAAAGACCAGGCTGCATCCCTGGAGGCGCCTGGGCATGTCTGCCTCGGGAACGCATGGGCCATCGCGTACGGCTCGTGGGTGCCAGACGTTGTGATTATCGCGTCGCGTCCCCCGTTTTCCGTGACTTGGATCGCTCCAGAGTGGGACCCTCATGCAAGCCCGGCGCAGCTAGCCCGTGAATGGGTCGAGCCTCGCCCCAAGTGGGAATGCCTTCGGGGGTGGTCGGGACATGGTGGACAGCACGGGGTGGAACCGACCTGCAATTGTGACGTACTCTGCATGAGATCAGTAGACGAAGTAAGGGCTCGCTTGAGACAGTCGCAAGAGCCAGCAGTTGGAGCAAATCCAAAGGGTCTCCTGAATTCAGTTCAATCCTACCCCAGAGAAACTCGAGGGAGAAGTTGGAAATTAAAGAGGTACAGTAAAGAAAAGTGGTGTGGTCGGAAGCACGGGTCTGTGTGAGCCTGTGACCTCGGAGGACTCGCTTCCCTTTTTTTTTTCGCCTCTCCTGATTCTACCCGCCTCACTTGGTTCCCCCCATGTCAGCATAACATATTACCTCTCGTCCTTCCCCTCTATAGCCTCTCAATGCGCGGCCATGGCGTTCAACTTCAACTGGTCGCCGTTGATGGCAGACGCGGGTTTCTACACCCGCGCCCAGGAGCTGCTCACTGCAGCCTTGAATAAATCTCCGAAGCCCCCGATCATCGTCGATGATATTATCGTCACTGAGCTGAATCTGGGCTCGATGCCGCCGGATCTGGAAATACTAGAGATCGGCGACCTTGCAGAGGATCGCTTTCGTGGCATTTTCAAGATGTCCTACTCGGGCGATGCCTTTTTGACGCTGAAGACCCGGGTCCAGGCCAATCCACTCAATACCTACTTGATCACGCGACCTTCTTTCGCATCGCCGCAACCGCTCGCTGCTGCGTAAGTCCTTTTGTGGATATGCGCCATGCTTGCGCTTCCCTGGTCCACACTCCCCTCATCATCGCTAACCATAATGACGGTTATCTAGGACCCCGCTTACAATCCCCCTCCAAATCACCTTGTCCGATTTCAAGCTCTCTGGTTTCGTAGTGCTTGTATTCTCCAAGCAAAAGGGAATTACCGTCGTCTTCCGAAATGATCCTCTCGAGTCGCTCAAGGTCTCGTCGACCTTCGATTCCATTCCGTTTGTGCGCGACTTCCTTCAAAAAGCGATCGAAGCGCAACTGCGTATACTGTTCATGGATGAACTGCCGGCTATTATACACCGATTATCACTACGATTATGGGGCCCGGAAGGTCGCACCAGCGACGAAGAACAGACACCAACTGATAATACCGAGCAACACGCGGGCGATGGCCCCGGCCAAGATCCTCTGGCTAGTCCGCCACAGGACCCAGTGGACTCCCTTGGAAACGCGCTAAATGAATCGGAGATCGCTTCCTTGTCACTTGATTCCTCTGTCGAAACCCACTCGCTTTTCTCCCAGAAGAATTTGCTGCGCTTGGCCGCGTTGACCGATTCCCAGCGAACACTGTCGCTGTTCACCCCCGCGATCTCGCAAGTAGTGTATCGCGCCTGGATGTCTCCTTCCGATCTCAACGACTTTTCGGCTAGTGTCGTCTCTCCTCTTAGCCCCGCTTTGTCTCGAACACATTCGCACGTAGGCAGCCTGGCATCCTCCGTCAATGAGGGTGCCAGCACTGTCTCCTTAAGTCGGCATTCCCTCTCTGGTCATTCTTTCAGCAGCTATGGGCTGAACCTCGCCTCTGGGCGGCATTCCAAATCGCATTCCCGCAGACGCAAGAAGCGCGTCGTCGACCTCCGCAAACCTAAGACGACCGATGACGCCATGAGCGTGAGCGACGACGGTTCCCACACTGAGTCGTCTGCGCCGCCTTCGATTTATTCTGCGCCTCTGCCAGTTGTCAACGAGTTGGCCGATGATCCCGTCACTCCTCCGCTCTCCCCAGAGACGGACTCGCACCTGCCAAGCATCCCCGAGCGACACCGTGCAAGCCTCTCCCGCCCGTCCTTGCGCCGTTCCAGCGTGATGCCCAGAGAAGAACAACCTTACGCATTCGAAACCATTCGCGCTTCGAGGCAGCCAGACATAGATGCCACACCACGCCCTGCACGTCACGCTTTCAGCGATGAGAAAGCCGATGCGGGACCCTCTAGAGGGCCCTTGCCCTCCACCGTCCTTCCATTCACCCAGGACGAGTCCAAGGACCATGTTGACCCGGCCCTAGTCGAGCGACTAGCTGGCGAGATCGCCCGTCGTATGCGCGACGAAAAGCTCATGGCCAGCAACCCGTGCAGCAATTTCTGGACTCGTCCCCAAGACGATGCTCCTCCTCCAGCCTATGGCCACTAGTACCCGACTGGCACAACTCTCCTATCTCCTTGTCGAGCACAGCTTGATTGCCATGATATCACGATTTTCCTTTGTCTATTTTCAATTTATTTCTTTTTTCTTGTTGGGTTTACTTGGAAGCGGGCTGTACAAAAATTGGGTCTCCGGAACTTGGCGTGGGTTGGGCTTTTTTTCATTCATTCTTTTTCTTTTGAATGTTTCTTCTGGATACCATATTTGACTTTTTCTTGTGCATTGTTTTGGAGGGGATTGCTTTACAGCTCAACACTGCTGTTACTTTACCAACCCTATTTTAGATCGCGGGGACCTGGACTTAAGGCCGGATTGGATATGGGGGCTTTTGACATCTATACGCATGTACCTGGACAGAGTACCTGGATAGATGATTGAATGCTCGAAAAGACCGCTTCTGATCATTGAAATGCATTTCCACTGCCGGCTATATTGGCCTGCGTAAAGGATCAACCTCCGTAGACCGCGAAATCCGAGTCCTCACAGCGCCATCCGATACTGCACAAAATGCGCCTCCGCCATAGTGTCATAGAGCCGGCGCACTGTCACATTATCATGCTTTGTCAACCACTGCAGCCGGAAACAACCCATTTCCTTCGCCGCGGTGGCAACAGCGTCCATCATCTAGCGGCCCTGACCCTTCCCTCTCAACGCAGGGTCAACAAATAGATCTGTTGATAGAACCCAGCTCACCGTTCAACAGCATGATCTCCTACTCACCCCGCGGCGTTTGCGTCAGGAAGAAATGCGCAATGGTCACCATCTTCTCCTTCTACGGCCCTGGAACCTGCTGGGGCGTGAGACGCTGTGGCCGTGATTGGCCCAACGCACCGAATACGTTAGCGATTGATGTACAATTAACTCTCCGCTACTTTGGGGTTCAGGGATCTACTTTCCGGAGAGCTTGGTGAGTCATTTGGAAGATAGGAAAGTATGTAAATTTGTCGGACAAGAGGGTTTGTCGTGGAATGATATTGAACTAATACTAGTATATTGGAGTAGATAATCCAAATATCAAATAGACTTGAAGATTGAGGTCCGCTATACCCAATAAGAGTTCACGGAATATAGCGACATAGGCCCAGATCACAGGTCCAAGGACCTTGTTCAAACTAAAGCAAAAGAAAAGGCCAATCATATTTACAGCGCATCGATTACTGCTGGCCACTTCAGAGACCATGCTGGCCCAAGAAGTTTGTAATCTGCTTATAGGTAGAAGCAGCAGTGTAATGCCAGTTCAAGCCATGCCCAGTCTTCGGGGGCACAATAGCAGAAAAAGCCTTAGCCGCGGAGAAAGCAATCTTCGAGGCAGCAGGGATCGACGTCGCTGCACCACCGGTAGCAAAACAATCACCTCCGCAGAACGGGATATCATTCTCACCCGTGATAACCAGAACGGGACCGGTAAAGTTGCTCTGCAGTGGCGCAGCGCTGCCAATAGTCAAAAGCTCGCCAATAGTGACAGGCTGGCTAGTCTGGAACGTAAGCGCAAGCAGCTTCGGATCGAATGAGCCTGGGTAGAAGAAGTTGTATTCGACATTCGACGGCGTTGCTGGAGAAAGATACCCAGCGGTGTAGTTCTGGGGGTTCTTGCCCGACCTGGCCTGCTGAAAGCCTGAGCCGATCAAGAACCAAGGTAGGAAGGTGGAGTTCATCGAGAACCCAGTCAGGACGATGCCATCGGAGAGACCGGGGTATTTGGCAGTCACGGCGTAAGTCTGTACGGAGCCGAAAGAGTGGCCGACATGGATGACCTTGTGAGGTTTGTCGTGAATGCCGGGAAGCTCGCCATTGCGGGCTTTCTTGGTGAGCGCTGCGAGAGACTCAATTTCTAGGTTTGCCTGGATTTCGTTCTTAGGGTCACCGTGCGATGAGGCTCCAATGCCGACGCGGTCGTAGGAAAGGGTGTGGTAGCCGTGGGAGAGGGCATAGTCAACATAGGAGTAATTGTAGTTATTGTACGATACATCCCAGTAGCTAGGAACAAAAGCCATTTAGCTCAATTGCAAATTCATGATTTAAGGGGGGAATGCCTTACGTCTTGTCCGCTCCAATTCCATGAGTCAGGATCTGCAAGATATAAGAGTTGTCTGCTGTCTTGTTTGGCGTACAGTACTGGGCAGAAATGTTGTAGGTGCCGGAGACTGCCTTGGTCCCGGTCACAGCCCCTGCTGTGCCACTGCCACCTTGACGAGTTGCAGCGAGAACGAAGGCTGTGGCATCCAAGTTGGTCTGCGGTGTTTGCACACCACCAAAGTCTGCGTTAATTGTGGCGATGGACACCGGCACAGTGAAGTTCTGGCAGAGCTTTGCAGAGCTCACTCCTGCGAGGAGGGCCCAAAGGGCGGTCTTCGTAAACATTATTATTAGTATGGTCAAACAGAAGGGACAGGTGGACGGGTTCAGAAGGAAACGGCTCAGAAGCAGATATGAGCGAGACTGTAGATCTTTAAAGGCTTTAATGAGCCGAGACCCTAACGTCTACTAGAGCCTGTCCTGTAATTGATTATCTATACGGTCGTAAGATCACCAACCGTGAAAGTACTAGCACAGCGCAAGTCTTCATTTTGTTGATGTACTATATGTGAGATCCGCGACCTCCGGGCTCATTCGGAGTTTCGGAGGCGAATAGGGGCCCATCGACTAGTGACGCTAAGCCTAAAATGCCGCGAGCTAAGCCTGTCATTCTGCAGTGCCAGACTAAAGCTGGTGTTGCCGGCCTCAAGTGCGGCGATCTGCAATACGCCAAACCTGGTTTAGGAGTGCGGGTCTGCTTGTGGAGGCGTCTACTCCCGCGAAAAAGTACGTGCTCGTGTCAGGGGTTGAGCCTGCTGAGATTTCGTGGTCTCTGAAGTAGTCCAAGTTTTTCGTGTCTGGCATTCGTAAGATCATTCGAAGCTGAAAGACGAGATGATGATCCCGATCTATAGCTACGGTTTGTAGCAGTAAAAGTTGGACACCTCGGCACTGGGCAGCGTTGGTGCGTATTATTCAGCAGTCTCATGGCCTCCAGGGCTCCAGTAGGCGGTTCCACTGGCCGGGTTCCACGGGTCACCTGTTTATGTTATGATTATCGATGATCTTAGGTGAGAAGCCGTGGGAGGATCCTACATGGCTTTCAGAGTTAATGCTAGTTAATGCTATTGCTAACCCCTGGCGGGTCATGGCTTCTATGCCCTTTTCAAGGCAGAACATGCTGAGCACCCTACTGCCCCATGCTACTTTCATCGTCAAGGTCCGAGATGCGGAGCATTTCTAGGTAGACGCCTGCGAATTGTCAGTCGCGCCGGGCCAATGAAAGAAAATAAGACTGGCGGCTTACCCGCAACTTTCCAGCGAGAGTTCAAAAAGCGAAGCTGATTCTCGCAAACGACTTTCCCAGCAGCCCATTGTGGATCGTTCGTGCCCGCGTACAGCCAGGCGAAAGTAGCGGCACATGTATAGATACAGTGCAAAGTTAGAGGCGAAACTTCTGCCCTGACGGACTCTTGCAGCTGGCCGAAATCGTAGAGCATTTCCACAACACGACCGCAGATCTTCTTGATCATGTCAACGCTATATTGCATGCATTGTCGTATACGCGAGAGTAACTCTGGCTCAATGTCTCGAGCACCTGCAGAGAATGGATCGCAGGAATGATGTTCATAGAGTTTCAGCAATGCACTTCCTCTCGTCAGCATCGTATGGAATAATTTACTAGAGGACCTGGTCTGACCTGAAGCATAAAATGGTCGCAGCACATAAATCTGTCGATATCTCCGAGCCACTGACACTTAGCAATTCTGTGAGGGATAGGGTCGTCTGACTCAGAGCTTCGAAATTGTCGAGTATAAACTGCGAGTCTAGATCCACATCATTGCAGTGTCGTATAATACGTCCAAGGAGGTGGGCTGCTTGTGCTAGGCGAGCAAAAGGGCTGGCGGCACTTTGTTGGGAAGAGACATAAAGACCGTCTGGAGGTAGCATATCCTAGCCATAGCATTGATCAGCTTTTGTGAACATATTCCTGATCGCGTTTCATCTTACCCCGCTATTCCAAGCGCCATCATCAGCTGGAAGAAGCGTAGACTTGTCGGGATCATCAGTACATAATGTCCTATAGTCACTCCCCAGCCCCATATACCTACGTATCCAATAATTATGATCAGTTGGTTCGTGGAGCCATGTCGGCTTAGAAGAGGCTCGGAGGGACCTCACCTGTCCAAAATTATGATCATCCACCACGCACGCTGTCTTTCTTCCAAATCTATCCAACTTCTCATTCTCCCCGCCAATTGAGGTGCTGATTGATTATGTATTCCAAGGGCTACGGCACTTCGTGCACAGTGGCCAACTGTCATGTACGCATTGGGAAATATCCCGTGACCAAGCTCATAGACAGATAACAAGATATTAGCTTGGAGAAGACGAAAAGTGAGAATGCCGCTCATTTCTTGCTCGTTGATAAGCCGCTTGGTTACAAAGTATAGTCCCGGTGGAGCCGACGAATCCGTCGCGGGAACCTCTTGCACCAGCTTCATGCACAACAAGAGAGCAACGATGTCAGACGGTACCGAGTTCACGTTGCGGATGGAGAAGCGATCCAACCGGATTTGGCTGATAATAGGCATCCACGTATGAGCCGATCCTGGGCTAAAGTAACGAGCCTTGATCAACGCGATATCGGACAAATCGCCGAGAAGAGCGATAGCATCTGGTGGTGCCGATTCACAACGGGATTTTTGGAGAGCACAATTTGATTGCCAGAATTCGGCGTCCAGGAAAGCAGCTTGGCTGGTCAACTGCGACCCTGGCCGAGCGTGAGAGACCGAGCTCCATTGACTTGGAGCTTCTGTCGCGGCAGACGCGCGTACTTGGTCTGATAAAAATTGGACGTGCAATTCCAAGGCCTCTATCTTCTCCCGCATGAGGCCGACGTCATTTATAGCAGTTCCTGGAGGGGAATCCGAGTAGTCGCAAAATCTACTGGATCTTATCACAGTCTCGACATCAGTGTTGAGAAATGCCTCGCGCGGAACCGTAGCTCACTTTGAACATAAGCCACAGCTAGGTAAAGTTTTGTCGCATCTTCTTTTGCCCTTTCGGCATGAAATGCAAGCATGTGGAGCAGAGCCATTGGCCATTCGGGATCCATCATTCATTATAAATTGGGGTGGCGTAGGTTCTGGAAAGCTATCGAGCAGATACGTGTGCGGCCGCAAAAACCGTGGGGACTGACGCAGCGGAAAATTGCGGCGCATTGCGGCCGAAGCTAGTCTAACGTGGGAAGGGGCCGATTTCTGCATATTCACTCAAACCGCGCCGGCTTTTTTCTCGGGTTGGGAAATCCGTCAATTTCTAGCTATAAGCAGTCTGAAATGGAAATATCATATCAAAATTCTACCCAATGCCTCTCTAGGCTGAGGAAAGGCTCAAATCTCGCCACTGCCTATCCGACTCGGCCAGAACTTCACCTGCCTTCCCACCATACTCGACTGCATCAGGGCCTACAAGCAAGCGAAGCGGAGGCTCCTTCTCCTCAAGCAGTTTCAGAATAATTTGAGCGACCTTTGACGGCTGAGACCGCCCAGCAGCAGAAAGCTGATCTCTCAAGCCCACAAAGGCACCCACTGTAGCCTTGTAAGGTTCGCTGATCTCAGGGATCTTCATAGACGACCCCGACCAATCCGTAGGCATACCACCGGGTTCCAGAACAGTGAAACGCACGCCGAAATGACCAGCTTCCGAGGCCAAGGCCGTGGTGAACCCGCCAACTGCCCACTTGGCACTCTGGTACGCAGTTAAACCCGGGCTACCGACGCGGCCGCCCACAGAGGAAATCTGGAAGATATGTCCGGACTGCTGCTCGCGGAGGATCGGCAGAGTGGCCTTGGTAACATACACGACGCCAAGGAGATTCGTGTTGATTTGAGCGCGGAAGTCGTCGATATCGATGTCTTCCAGCGATGCGGTATTGGCGTAGCCAGCGTTGTTGACGACCACGTCGATGCGGCCGAATCTCTGGTGGCCGGTCTTGACGGCTTCGATGACTTGGTCATTGTCGGAGACATCCAGGGCAACAGGGAGAACACGTTCAGAGCCCCACGCGATGACAAGCTCGGAGAGTTGTTCTGGCTTGCGGGCTGTTGCAATCACAGAGTCTCCGGCTTGGAGAGCAGCTTTGGTAATGGCATGGCCGAGGCCACGAGAGGAGCCAGTGATGAACCAAATGCGAGGCATTGTAGAGGTGGCTAGATTTGAATAAATGAAGAGAAGTAGGTGTAATAATATAGCATGAAGAACATGAGAACACGAGCTGGGGACCTGCTATTTATGTTGGTTTTCCCTGTCCAAAGCATTGCTAGTCTTTTGGTACTGCGTATAGATGTTCAGGTGGGGCATTGCGGCCGCAAGAAAAATGATCGTCGCTGACATGCGGCCGCAGAGACCGCCACCTGGTCTGTCTAGTACTTCGCCTACCTGGACAGTACGAGAATGCGTGCGTCAGCCAACCCGAGCTGACCTCGGGGGAAAATCATGCATTTAGTGGGTTCCCTTGGTCTGATTCCGCTTAGCTAGTTGTTCATACGAGTATCTCCGACTGAGACTTGAACTCCCGCGAGTCATCTTGTCAACAATAAAAAGGCTCAATTCACCCTCTTCGAGTGTCGTTGCCACACTGTCATCTGGCACCCACTCCAATGCGATAGGGGAGACAAAATGTAATGGTAGATTAATATGATAGTACACCTCCGAGTCAGAAGGGCCTTTCATACTCGTATTGGCAATGTATTAGAGAGCCGTCACTATTGACCACCCTGGCAACATCGAACAAGACCGCACTACCATCATCACTCATGATACACCCTCTAATACTCTTCCATTGGGATGCCCATTAAACCCTCCACTGGAAAGAGCTTTCATCAGCAGCTTTGCTGCGTCAGCGTTCGCCCTTATCCATCATGGTCACGGACAGAAGACCTTTGGTTGCAGCGAAGTAAGTATTCTGTTCACGTGAGTTACCCCGAGATATAAAGCTTTGCTAATAAAGAAAGAGCTTTCAGGTCAACCGAATTGTCTCACAGAGGTCTTCCTGGCCATCATCCTCTTGTCACTGCCAGGGCTTCAATGGGTCGGCCGTCTAGCAGGTCTCAACAAAGATGCAGCAGATATATTGGCAGCTGGTCATATCGTCAAAGGTAAAGAGCCTCTCCCAGGCCCTTCTGAACATCATTAACTGTGCGGGCTCAGTTATCCTGATTGGGACCCGAACAAACCATGACCGTCTATGTGAACCAGACAGTCCACCACTACTGCGACGAAGTGGAACTAGGATATGGGGCTCTTCGATCTCACGTTGCAAATCTCACTGTCAGAGCCGAAGGTAAGTCCTTATGGATATTGTTGACTTCACAGGGATGGGATGCTGATGTCTAGTCAGACATTCTCAACTTCTATCATGAGAATTCCCCTGGTGCACCGATTATGTTCGACCGCTTGTATACTAGTGGTCTCGGAGCTCTCTAGGGTCACTTCCCCTTGGAGAGCATTGCACCAATTCGCTGGGGAAGAATCTCTCGAGACATATCTAGCGAGTCTGGGAATCGGGTGTCAAAAGAGCCGTTTCGTGCTAATACATGACAGTGAATCAACGTCATAGTCAGATCCAGAACGCCTGTAGTCCATGACTTGTCAGGGCGCGAGATGGATTAGAGGTCAAAGATTATTGGCAGGGCAATTTTAAGCGAAGTCAGACGGGTCGGTGCCAGCTACTGCTTCAGCTCCTCCAAACTCCAATCGACCCCGCCTCAAAAATTGCACGTAGCGATACTAGAGTAGAATGCTAGGCATAGTGAGCACCTTTACTGCACCAATGGCTTAAGATATCGAGAGGCGACGATCCCCAGGTTCGCGAGACTGTTCCCCATAACCGCGTGGTCAAAGAAGCCGGATGTGGGGGCGCTAACGCCAGCGCAGCTTAGCTCCGCACTTCATTTCTCTCAACCTCCTTTCTCTTCCACCATCCCCAACCATGGAGGGCCTCATCAAGAACCTTTTTGGCGGCAAGCCATCTACTGGCTCTGATGGTAAGTTTCCTCTGTCAATTGCTTCGCGCGCACTCCTCTGACCCGGCCTGGCAGATTTCGCCGACTTCGTGGAAGCCCCGAGCCCTTCGCCTGCGTCCCTTCTCGCCGACACTACCACCGTCCCGGCTGGCAACACCCAGGCTGCCGGTGTCGCGCCCTACACGAAATGGTACCGGGTGTGGGAGCGCACCTCGCCCAAGGACTTCATGCAGGAGGCGATGATCATGCCCTTCGTGCTGGTCCTGATCCTCTTCCACTTCTGGGGTACGCGGAAGAATCGCCGCAAGGCTCGCGAGTGGGCGCAGGCTCATGTTCCTCTTCTCCAGAAAGAATTTGCGGTGGTTGGTTTCGATGGGGTCCCGCGCCAGCCGTCGGAGGAGGCTGAGCAGATCACCGTTGAGCTGGCCGACCCTGAGAAGAGCCTGAAGGAGAAGGCAAGTGATGAATTCACCACCTACGCTACCGGCCGCCAGAACGTCGCTTTCCTGGATGTTTCGATCAAACTGCCTAAGCGCTACAACCCTGTTACCTACTTTGTGGAGTACGCCTTCAGCTTCTTTTTTGACAGCTGGGAGGCGCCCCAAGAGAAGTACGATGCTCTGATGTACGCTTTCGATGGCAAAGAGAAGGATCTGGTTCCTGTCCCCAACAAGGATCCCAGCAGTCTCAAGGTGAACAACTCTACCTATGATGGCTTCATCTGGGCTGTGGTCCACAAAAGCCACATGCGCAAGTTCCGTACCGACCGCTACGATGCCTCTATTACTTTCTCCAAGGACCACCCCAAACTCCCTTCCTGGGTGACTGTCATGTCCGAGAGCGCTGAAATCACCGAGACTTTGCTTTCCAAAGACCTGATCCAGGCGATTGAGCAGGCGGGCAATGACTTCGAGTTCTTGATCGTTACCGACCAGCCTATTGACAAGCCCACCAAGTAAGAATATCCTGGTCATGATGCGCCTGTGACTTGATATCTAACGCGATACTTTAGAATCGACGAAACGAACCCAAGGAAGCGTATTCAACTTTCATGCAACCTCTCCTCGTCCTCCAGCTACGAGTCTACCCTGCCGCTCTTCCAGCAGTACCTCCGATTCGGTGACAAGCTTGTCGCATCAGCCCACTTCCGTGGTGAGGTTCTGCGTAAGATCCGCAACGTTCGTGACGAGGAGATCAAGAAGCTCCGCCGTGCGGAGGAGGAGGAGAAGGCCGAAGAGCGCAAGCTTGCTGCTGAGAAGATCAAGAAGGAGGAGCGTGAGCGCCAGCTTCGCGGCATGACCGCCGAGGAGCAGCGCAAGTTCTTGGACCGCGAGAGCCAAAAGGAGCAGCGCCGCTCAATGAAGAAGAGCACTCGCAGGGCATAAACAACCAACCGGTTGGAATCTGGGGATAATTCATCTTCTTTCCTCTAGCTCGATATCTACTGCATTTAGTGGGGTATTTTGCGATTGGAAGTGTTTTACTCTGCTTTTTTTATTATAAACGCTCCCCAGGTGTACCCTGCCGTGGTCTAGTTTTGAATTACGAGATGGTGGATGTGTTCAATGAAAATTCTTAATCCTAGCTTTATTAAGGCATAAAAGATGTGCAGGCTCAATTTTCCTTTCCAAATTGGCAGTCGCGACGAAAGCGATGCTTCCTCGAAGCTTCCTGGAATTAATGTGATTAAAGATGCTAGCAAACCCTTTCCCCTCGATATTTCGAGTCCGTCTTTTCCAAATTTCATACCGCAATTGCATTGCCCGTAATGCGTTGCTGCGGCTTCCTGACCATAGTCCTTCTTTTCGCCGCAAACCTATCATCCCTCGCGTCCGCAATACCCATCCTCCACGAAACTCCCTCTCTCGAGCTCAGACGGTCACTAAACATCACCACGCGGTCGACTTCTCCAGTGCCAATCGGCACAGTTCTCACACACTGTGTTGTCCCAGGAGTGGTGGCCCTCACCTTCGATGACGGGCCATACATCTATACGCCTGAAATCCTCGAGTCTCTCTCCCAGCATAGCGCCCGGGCTACCTTTTTCCTCAACGGAGTGAATAAGGGCAGTATTGATGGCTTCCCGGAGATTGTTCGCCGTGCCCATGCGGAAGGGCACCAACTCGGTTCGCATACGTACGTATTCCAGTACTTCTGCATAGCAAATATGTCAAAATAAATGTCTTTCTTGACATCAAAATGATTGGCAAAAAACAAGGCCAGTTAGCCTCTTGAAGCTTGAAGATCCTAACTCTTACCAGATGGAGCCACGACTTCCTCAACGCCCTCGACTACCCATCCATAGTCTCTCAAATGACAACACTGGAAGACGCTTTCCTCCGGATTCTAGGCGTCTACCCGACATACATGCGCATTCCGTACTTCGCATTCAACGGCGTGGTCCTCGCGGCCATGACGGACTTGGGATACCATGTGATTGGCGCCAGCGTTGACACGAAAGACTACGAGAACGACGACCCGGAGCTGAGCTACCGCAGCTTTGAGAAGTTTTGCACCGAGTTAGATGCAGGCGGGAACGTTGTTCTGGCGCATGATACCCATCAGACTACTGCTCGGGTGTTGGTGGATAATATGCTCAATGAGATTGAAGAGGCGGGGTTTACAGAGTATGTTTCTCTGCTTGTTCATTTCGAGGCCGGTTTTGGATGGCTAACGATTATCGTTTGCTTGCAGTGGTGACTATTGGCGAGTGCTTGGGAGATCCCCGCGAATTTTGGTACAGGGATGGCCGTTAGGTCAGCTCCGGATGGATGTGAGGCGTTTCCTAGGGTTATGGCATTGCGGGCTCTGGGAGTATCGTTTGGAAGTAAAGGAACTGATCAATGATTAGCGTTATGGAAGGTCTATCATTATTATTGCGCTCGCGTGAAGTACTTCGCTAAGAACATTAGGCTTGCCGAATATGCTTGTCCGCTCAATTTGCAAGTCTGGTGGCCAGCACCTAAGCGCAGGGCATAAGTTCCGAAGGGCCATGAGCCTTTTGTATTCGCAAAGTATCCGGGCAGGCTCGATATGTAGTGACCTGTTCGCTTCGCTATACCCCCTTCTACCACTGCTAGTAAGATGTTGGGCCATTTCGTATAATCTACTATATACTAAGATTCGACTTTCTTTTGATTTCAGATCCAAGAGGTTTTTGAGAAGCACGCGCAACACTCTATTCCAATTCTAGATCATCTCATATATTAATAAACCCGAATGCTAGATGTTCATATATGCGAACGCGCCGGCCCTAAAGCAGATTTATCCCAACAGGGCTGTCAGAAACAAAAGACAATTGTCCCCGTAAAGGGCGCGGCCTACTGTTTACCGTAGAACTTGACGCGCTCCTCGACGGGCTTCTTAGGCTTCTCTGCACCCTCAGCCTCGGGGCTACCGAAGACCAGCTGCGCAACCAGCCGCCATTCAGTGGGCAGGCTCCATTCTTTGGCCACCGGGGCATCGATAAGAGGATTGTAGTGCTGCAGGTTGGCGCCAAACCCGAGGGTCTCGAGAGCAGTCCAAACTACCAACCCAATGGTCAGTCTCTTCTCTTGCCGGAAAGAATCGTGCATTGGCTGGAGTATTAAGTTGGGAGGGAGGGGAGGGGCCTCGCTTACGGAAGTACTGGTGCATCGCATTGGACTGGACAGCCCAGGGCTCGAAATGGTCCTTGTAGGCCGGGAACTTTTCCTGGAAAGGCTTGATGTGTGCAGGGTCTTCGTAGAAGAGAATAGTGCCATAGGCATTTTTGAACCCCTGCAGCTTGGGCTCGGTCTGGTTCTTCCAAACCTCTTCGGCGAGAGAGCCAGCAGCCACGCGCTCGCGGAAGGCTTCCGCGGCGATATCCCACAGACGGTCGTGCTGGTCGTGCAGAAGGATAACCAGGCGAGTGGACTGGGTGTTAAAAGAGCTGGGGACGTTCAAAATGGCGGCATTGACAAGCTCCTCGATCTTTGCATCGGGGACGGGGCTGTTCTTGCCCAGCTTGTAGATGGAGTGCCTGTTCTGAGCGGCCTGGATGAGGGCGTCGGTGGACATGACGTACTTGGTAGATTGAAAGGGGCGTTGCAAAGAGAATGAGAATGTTCGAGTGGATGAAGGAGGGGTAATTATGCGCGAGATAGGGCTTACTGGCGACCTGGGAGTAGATCCGAGACGGCAGAGGGAATTGAATTTGGCTGAAGGATGAAGGACGCGGGATGCCATGGTTTTAATCTGTTCGGTGAGGGTTCGGGCTTATATGGGAGATATAGGGGATATTAATACTTGTCGCGACAATTCCGCGATGTTGACAAATTGATCAGTCCCTTATAATAAGGTTCAATGGCTGGAGACGAGGTGTTTCGGGGCCATTCCGGGATTATTATGAATGCGCTGTATATCCGAGCGCGAGGACCGAATCACGGAGTTACGGATATATGGCCTATCCCACTAATGTTTACGGATGCTTTGAATTTCTTATGTTACCATTATATGAACTGCAAGATAGATTTGTAATTCATGATATGAGCCTTGGTTAACTTAGTGAACTGCCTAGTCCTTATTTGCCGGAGAGTCCAGGCTTACTCGTAGATGCTGCCCATTGCCTCGTGGCAAGTTCACCAAGAATATCAGTACAGGACGATCCCATGACGGGAGTCAGTTCCTTGTAGCCTCCTGGGCCGTTTGTTCCCCTGCAAATACGACCATGATGCCTGGAAGAGCAATGTTCCCGGAGATACCAGTGCTCGCTGCAGCGCCCGTGCTGGCTAGGGTAGGCGAAGATGAAGTTGCGGATGCCGTATTCTAGTTCCAGGCGAGATATATTGAGCCATATGATACTAATCTAGTTATATTATGGGTGCCTGCCTGGGCCTTCGAAGCAGTGGTGTTAGCACCCACAGTCGAGGACGCTGTCGAGCCGCTTGCTGTGGTAAAGGTAGCCCTACCCCAGATGTTGCATACGACGAGCTTGAGGTTACATCGTCATTGCGTCCTTCGGCAACTTCCCTCACATCGGTGGCATAGTATTGCCAGATTTTATACGTAAGTGAACACTTTAGGCTCAGACTCAAGTCGGAGAGGAATTTCGAGTTGCTGCATAAAATCGGAGCTATTACTCTGAGAGGTACGAATAGAGGTAGCATTCAGAATATCTTGAGTCAGGCGAGCAGGCTTGACACACTCAGCCTTGTCTGGTCCGAATCCTCTCGGCTCCTTCTGTTTGACTGAACAGTCGTTGATCATGAACAGAATTCGCTTGGCCTGGTTGGAAGAACGCTCTATTATTAGAATCCATAAATGCAGATAATTGGCGACCTGGGTTAAGACTATTGAAAGGGGAGGGGGGGGGGGGTTCTTGATGTCCACCTAGGGATTCATTTGACTTTCGAGGGCAAGTCGAGTTCGGAGCAGATGAAAATGACTCTCCAAGGATTAGGGCCAATGCCACGGGGAACATGCCATATCGCTAGGGGCTGCATTGTGATACATCCAAAGTTGAGCCCCAAGTCTAAGATGTCTGCAATGACAAGGATACTTTAATTGAAATGAGAGGAAACTGGATCGCCAGACTTAAACTTTAGACAGCGCTCGTATGTGCGGAATCCTGCTCATAATATATCGGGGATAAGTGAGTTCCATAATTTACTGCCAGGGGTGAGTTGTCAATCCCAACGGTGTTAATCGAGATGGCAAGGCCAAGTCACGAGCCGCAACAAACCACAGCCCCGACCGTGACGCGCCTCTCCATCAGACAAGGTCCTCTGAGTTGGGGCAATCTGTTCGTTCTGTATAGTTCATTGACATAAGACTATGCTCAACGCGGTTAGTACTTCATCCACCGACCAGGAACCGATCACATGATCGTCACCAAAGCGGTTAAGATTTGCAGGCTCCATATCAGATTTTGAAGGTGAGGACTCCATGCTCGGACTGGGCCAACAGCAATTTCAACACATCGCTGGATTTACTTCGACTTGTAATTCTGCGTATTTAACAAGATTTGGAAATAATGCGTAGTATTGGTTTGGAAGACTTATGATTCGTCTCTTGTCCGGAGAATCCACAAGTAGTTTCATAATGTCCAAATACCCCTGAATCTTTATTCAGAGAAGCTGGATTACTGCTGAGTTGAGAGTAATGTTCGTAATTAATGCAGGTCGCCGTAGGCAATTGCGACACCGCTGGTGTCCAGGCCCGAGGAAGGCTGGGATTTTCTTTCTTACTTTTTTTTTTCTCTTTTGATACATAAGTATAAGATCGTCGAGGTTGGTTTTTTTATTTATTAGCCCATCATTCGTCTAGAATAATGGGTCTTTGTACCGGTAAATCTTTTTGGGCCCACTGGTGACGCCATGAAATGTGTGAAAGCGTAATGTTGCGCTAGGGCAGAGACCCTACCTCTTAGCTGGCAGTATTTAAGGAGGCCAGCAAGATCACAACAAGTAAAACTTACCTCAGTCTCTGATTGAGAGCGAACCCGTCTCGCATTCCCCTGGGGCCCATGTCCGACCTCGAGAGATCTCTTTGATGCTCCTCTTGGCCGCGCTCAGCCGCCCGAGAAAGGAAGACGCGCGGACCCAGTTTTGTTGAGTCACTAGCATTCCGCGACCGTCGAGCCAGGGGGAGGAAGCTATTCGAAGCCGATTGACAGGTTTCAAGATCAGTCCTAGTCAGGTTTTCCATCGAGCCAGAGAGATATCAAAGTCCGGAAAAGATATCCGGGTTATACTTCCCGCCGCCACACCCGCTGTCGGCGGGAAGCTTCCGGTCAATTGGTGAGGCCCATACGTATACCCCATCCAAGCCCATTCACCGGTGATGACGACTCTTCTTCCCTTACTGTAAATACTTTGGAGAAATTTTCCCATATCTACATGTTTCAAGACGGGTCTCTGATTGGTTCCACCTTTTGGATTATTTCACACCGATTACTCTCGCAAGCCTTGACTGACCGTCGCGTCCAGAGACTAGTATTCCATTAGCCGAGATATGCGTCCCGATTTCTATAGCGTCTTTCGCACCGCTCACTGCTCTGTGCCACTTTGTATCTCCGAGTGCGTTTCAAAATGACTGAGCGTTCGCAGATCCGCGCAATAGTAGCCTTCCGCCTAACGTCTACATCTACAATTTTTACTCGAATACATTTGAAACAATTTGAAACAAGAGAGAGACCGTGATCCAAAAATTCACTCCAGACACAAGTGGCGTATATGGTTTGGGTGCCCCTCATGAGATACGACTCGTAATCAAAAAGAATGAAGACTTGGCCAACTCGGCAGAATCCGACCGCAAGACCGGGGCTTAATGTTTCATGCATAGTTCGACACCCTAGATTGAATCACCGTTAGCTTCTCTTCACCTTATAATTATGAAGAGGTTCCATACTCGATGAGGTTTCCATCCGGGTCCCTCACATAAACACTCTTGAGGGGCCCTACTGCACCGATCCTGTCCACAATCGTGGCGCCTTCCAGGACCTGGGATCAACCATTAACATTTGCTAGGGAATTCCATGCAGGCCTCCTACCTCAATATTTGCCTCTCTGAATGCCTCCAAGACTTTCTCCACACTTTCGTCCGTTAAGAAGCACAGATCTGCACTACCGGGCTGGACGCTTTGGGCCTTGGGCTCGAACTCATTCCCAGATTGGTGGAGGTTGATCTTCTGGCTTCCAAAAATCAGGGCATGCCTATATGTGTGAGCTGGTGTTCCGCTGCTATGACTCGCCAAGCTATCAATATTACCTTTGTACAGCTCGGTTGGCGGGGGAGACGAAGACCTCGTGTCGCATGCCAAGATGAGTCGTGTAGAAGGCTATAGTGTCCGGGATCGACCGGACTGTAAGGACCAGGTGATCCAAAGATTTGACTGCAAATTTGCTTGCCATTTTGTTTATGTCCTTTTACATGAATCTTGAACTCGACGTTACTGATGTCGCAAGAGGCTGCCCAAGTGAGAAGGTTGCATGACTCATCACCAAATGGCGGGCAGATTGCCGAGGTTAAGCGATGTAGGCTGTATACTTTTAGACCCTTTCGAAGGAAACAGAGATAAGAAAGGATAATGGACACCGTTGAGAAACCTTCTCTATAATGAACCTGAATATGGATCCTCGAGCATAGAATTTTTCTGCTTATCCTGGGCCAGCAAAGCTGCCCAATGCATATATTGCGCATAACCGAATACTTCAATGATCTAACTCGCATCGAAGGATATGGAATGTACTGCCTATTTAGATAGGACGTATACGTATATTATTGCGGTCTATTTTTATGCTGACATCAAGGGAGGTAAATGCGGCTCATTTGCTTTGTCGATGGGCCTGATCCACCGCCGCGATGCCCCGCCCCAACGACACCCCCTTGCAGCCGGAATACAAACATCGGCTAGTGACCCCAGAACAGGCGAAGATCTCAATACCACATACATCACATGCCATGGAGCCCCGAGTCGGCGTTGGAGTGTTTGTTATTAATCCTGAAGGGAAGTTTGTGATAGGTAAAAGGCAAGGCAGCCACGGCGCAGGTTAGTCCAAGCCCCTCTGATTTCCGCATTTCATCTGACAGATTTGCAATGCAGGGACCTGGGCACTCCCAGGTGGTCATCTCGAGTTCAATGAAACCTTTGAAGCATGCGCAGAGCGTGAGCTCTTGGAAGAGACAGGACTTTCCGTCCAGAACCTGGAGTTCTTGACCGCCACCAACAACATCATGCTTCCGGAAAATAAGCACTATGTCACTGTTTTCATGAAAGGTGCGGTCACCGACAGCTCGGCCCAGCCGCAGGTAAGTGCATGATTATTGACTGAAGGATTTGCTGGATCTGTCTGACCTGGACACCAAGCTCTTGGAGCCAGAAAAGTGCACAGAGTGGCAGTGGGTTTCATGGGACGAGCTTCTGGAGGAGGGAAAAGCACAAATCGCAGATGGCCCAGCATACCAAGGACGAAAACTGTTCTCACCGATCGTCGAGTTGTTTAAGCAACGACCCAATGTCCGCATTTGAATATACTTCTAGGCTCGGCTAAGCACTATGGAAGCGTTGGCTTTTTTTTTCCAGGGCCCACCAAGAAGTCCCCAGCCACGCAACCCCCGGAGCTGCAGAACACTGGAAATGGCGGGGACAAGGACTTGACATCTGACTCCTCCAAATAGACTATAGCAACTAGTCGAATCACACAGGAAGACTAGAGCAACTTATCTGATGATCATGGAGTAGATCAATGCTGATTCCCGGCTAGTTGATGCTCGGCGTCGCATGAGATTCAATAAATCCCACGTCTAAGGATATACCCCTGGAAACATGAAGATATGTTCAGTCTGCTTCATGGCTTCGCATCTCACTTTATATTGCGCTTTTCCCTCTCCCCATAACCGACTCTCTTCTGCATTCCTCTAGTCAGCCCTGTGACGACACTCGCTCTTCGCCGACATAATGCAAATCAAGAACCTAGCGATCGCCTGTATCCTCACCCTCGGGTGTGAGTCACTGGCTGCTCCCAACCTCTCGTCTACCCTCAGCACCTCGGCGGGGCCCTCAACTGGGACGCGGGGTATACCATCCTCCTTCGCCACTCTCTCCTCTGCAACAAAGTCTCCTCGCAAACAACTAGTTCATGCGTCCACCACGCCAACCTCGACGTTCACCCCAATCACGTCGAGTACGACTTTGCCCATTGAGACCGATTCGAAGTCTCTTACCTCTGTGGCGCCTACTGCCAACCCCCGGAGGATCAAGATCCGCCGTCGAGTGCAGGCCCCCAGCTCTAGCCACGGGACTGTTCGGCCTTCTGGGTCTTCAGGGCCCAAAACACCCGCCGTACCAAGTGCGACGACTGCTCCAAGTGCGATCTCTGTTTCTCATGCTCCTGCAGCTTCATCTAGCCATCTGGGCAGTCGCGTGAGGACAACCTAGGAAGCCCCGGACAAAGATATGCATTCAACGTGCGCGCAATTATGAGCGTGGGCCTAAAGCTCACTTGTGGCACACAAGGCCCATCATTGGATGTTTGTTGTAATTGTTTTGATCCAACCATCTGTCACTCCTTCGGAGCCAGGGGCTCTTACTATCCGGTGGGCTGGGATCTCCGTGCTATATACTAGTATGCGTGAAGGCCGAGGTGCCAATAATGTCGGTTTTCGGCGAGTATACTAAGCTTTTGTATTTTCGAAAATAATGTTTTCCGGTGCGTATTGCAGTACACCGTATTGCGAGTACATCATATATGGTTCGTCCACGTTGCCCTCCGAATAGTTGTACGCGGTAATGAAGTTGTAAGATACGAAAAGTGACTTGAGTTGGGTGCATGAAACGCGGTGCCGACCGGGGTTGATACGGATCCACAGTCAAGTGCCACACATCAATACAGCGTCTCATTCTCTATTGTTCTCGTCGTGAGACTTATCAATTTCCTCTACGAAAAGCGATCGTGCACTGAGCTCGTACTCGTCTCCAGAGAGGCCCTGGATCACCCGGAGAAAGCTTCACGCTGAAAGGATTTTTTTCCTTCGAGAATTGATCTAGGGGCAACCTGGGGCAGCGCCACTGGTGCTGCAATCAACCCCCCACACAAGCTAAAGGAACTAACCCTGCACGTCATTTGGCTGGACCCTGGTTCGTCTCGACGGTGTCCGATCGATCGAGTCCGTCAGGCGCAACGCCTCATTTTTCACTTTGGACTTGAACCCTTTTTTTTTCTTTGTTCCCCACCGGCCCTGCTCAAGCCGGCGGTCTGACAATCTGCCTCGCCAATCGAGGCGCCCCCCTGGGTCTTCTTTCCATCCCAAGGGGGCCCCCTCCTGGTACGCAGATAACCATGATCCAGGTTCTTTTCGGATGAACCCTTCTCTCCTACGAATGCCCAAGCCTGCCCCCCTGGAGCTCCCAGAGGGAGTCCGCCTCGAATATCTTGCCGAAGGTGGCGCGAACGTGATCTATCGATTTGTCGCGACCCCGGTCAAGGATGCCAAATGGCCTGTGTCTAACGTGACCATCAACAGCATTGAACACTCTTCACTACCCCCGGAATTACGGGGCAAATTACTCCGTCTGAGGAAGGAAACGACGGTGAACACCCCGTACAAGGAAATCGCTCAAAACTTCAATTCCGTCATTCGACCGCTCTTTAGCCAAGAAGAGCTGGTCGACCAGACCCTCATTCGACTGCCCGAGGGTCTGATCCACCGGTACAATGAGCAGCTTCGCCTACTGGAGATCAGCGGTCGGCGGCCGAAGAAGCGACATGGCGGCTATCTTGCCGTTAATGAACCCTTCGGTTTGCTCATCACTGACATGACCGCATTTGACGAGCCAGGAACAATCTTGGCAGAGTTCAAACCCAAATGGCTCACCCAGTCTCCATCAGCGCCTGCGCTGGCGCGCCGCTGCAGGACATGTGCGCTGAGAGAAATGAAGAATCACGAGGCCCGGGAGGTGGCGGCCAAAGAGCAGCGTTCGTTTTGTCCCCTAGACCTTGTATCGGAGCACTACGAGCATGTCTTCCGAGCTACTGCGTTTATTGCAGGCTGCAACGACCGTGCACGGCTGGCTCATATCCTCTACTCCAGTTCAACTCTCCGGAAGCTTCAGTCCCGGCAAAAGGCCTCCGGAAAGGTCGGCTTGTACGGGCCGACGGGGATCTCTCAGACTACATCGCTTGGTATGACCTTACGGGATTGTACCATGTTTGTCAAGGTAAAAGACATCCTCTCAATATTACTGGAAATCCCGCAGAGATAACTCACAGACAATAGATCCCGCGTGATGAGAAATCGCCGGTGGAAATCCGCTTAGGCGACTTAGATCTCAAGTGCAGCACAGGAGGCAAAGCCGAGTATTGGAAGTACATCGAGCTCCAGCTCATTGACGGCGGCTGGTACCACGGATCTCACAGCAGTCAAACGCTGAGCAATTGCTCCCTCCGCAATACGCCAGCTACGAACCGTGCGCCCGTTCAGCCTTGATTGGAGTCTTGAACACACGACAGTGCTTTTGATCCCTGACTGCCTTCCGATCGTGACCTCTAGCAGACGGCCATCAATGTCCTCTCACAATCTGAGGCGGAATTCTCTTATTAGTATAGAAGCAGGCGAGGCTATATTTTCATGCGCTGACTCATAATTAGATGCTATCATGATGACATTTCATGACTTCGTTTCTCATCGGCGGCTTTGTTACTTGATTTTTTAGATCACGGGGTGGTTGTTTACTTAATTCGTTAATTTTGAAATATCTAGTGTGTCCACAAACCATGTCAATAGCACCTTTTGTTTTTTTTCCTTTTCTAGCAAGGGACCTAGTCCAGTATCCAACAAGTCTGATTCCCAATCTATCCCGCCCAGTGGATGCCGCAGTGCACCACTGCTTGCTGCACCACTGCTTGTCCGGTGGCTTCTCAGCCCGCAGCATTAAAAAAGACACCGGTGATATGGGAGATAGCCGGGTATGATAGCAACATGATAGTGGTCTGACGTCAGGCCAATACTTCCCATCGTGACATGTAGTTTCCCGAGGCTTTGTATCTTGACTTTTCAAGCTCGCCCTTATGCTCTCCCGAGTAGATCAGACCCCACTACCGCCACCAAAAAACACCCCACCATTAAACCACCACCATGGCCTTCAATGATCTGCCCACGCCCGCGCACTGCATTGCTGACTTCTGCCTGATCCCGGTTCGTCCATGATCCCCAACGCTTGGACCTCCCGGCCTTTCTCCCACTGACACCCGTCTAGATCGGCACCTCGTCGCCCTCGGTCTCGGCCCAAATCGCCGACGTCCAGCGGTTGATTGAGCAGTCCGGCGTGAAATATGTCATGCACTCTGGCGGCACCACCCTAGGTACGTAACAATTCTCGTGCAGTAAATGTCTTCCTTGTTGCGAGCGGGGTGTGTGTTGTTTTTCAGTTCCCCCGTCACCTATCGCTGCTCCCGGCGAACTCCCTCCGGGTCGCGGGGGGGGGGACTGCGAACTGTGCGCTTATCGTCTAGCGCCTATCATTTGGGGCTGACACGGTTTTACTTGCAGAAGGGTCTTGGGACCGTGTCCACCAAGTCATCGGGCAGGCGCATAACCTGCTGCACCAGAAGGGCATTGTGCGGATTCAGACTGATATTCGGGTGGGAACAAGGTAAGACGCTTTCTAAGTTTGTGCTGCTCTTGTATGATGTGTTGTAATTCAACATCACTGGACATGTCCTTCTGCTCTTCGGTTTCAGCTGCTTTCTGCGTCACTCCGCTGGGTCCTATTTGATAAGGAGGGGTTTTGACTAACGTCTGGGTTTCTAGAACGGACAAGAAGCAGTCTTTTGAAGATAAGGTGAGCAAGGTCCATGAGCTACTGAGCAAGGACTAAGGCTACTTGGATTTCAAAGGTGTACAAGGATGCTTTTCTCTAGAGAAACCTCCGCTATTAGTACGCCAAGCTCACGTGTCCTACGTGATCAACACCGGGCCCTGGCCTGTGACAATCTCCAGTTTGTGTTTATCCAAGAAAATATATCTCAGTTAGAAATCCTTAAACATGCTTAAGATATTAAAAGGCCTATAGAAGAGACAGAGAGGTTGTCAGGTATATAGTCCTTAAATCATCGTCAAGAGAGAAAAGGAAAAACAGATTATCTAAATATCTTGTATGTGATGCAGACTCATTTTGTTTGCTATCTTCTATCATGACTTTATAACTCTCTTATCTCTTCTCAATATTTTACCCTCCGCCTCCTATCTTCACTTCTCTTCACTTCTCCTCTATTCTTTCTTTCACCTTCTCTACACTTACCCATCCTTTACACATTATCAGCTACCATCTATCCACTATAGAGCCACGAACCCTATCCCCGACATAAGAAGAAGATGATAAGCGTGCCCTTGTGCAGATCCCAGGATACTAGTAAGTTCTTTTCATACGTCGAAGAAAGAAGATATAGAAACTAACATGATAAGCCGATCTTTGCCCGCCTTCAGCGAGATCGGCGATATTACCACTATCCTACAGGAGGCCGTGGACATCGAGGATCAATCTCCGGATAAATAGGCTGAATTATTATGGACCATGTCCTAGAAAACTGCATCGACGGATCAGGTCCTCAAGAGAAAACTCCTCCTAAAGCTGTTAAAGAAGCAGCTAGTAAAAGAGCTGATATCCCCCCCCTGGCTCTTCTTCTCTGGAAAGCGGAAGGAGGAACGCATTCCTGACCGAATCGCGAATATCGAGCCGGTAGTCGTTCAATACATGGGAGTGGTCCAGGACTCCCTATGCACAAACTGCATAAAGTTCCAGGGCCCCGAGGTATGGTAGCCTTTAATTCTTCCTGTTATCCTTCCAGCGTCCTTTTCATCAAGATATGCTGACTTTCTCAATTGTGAATAGTCAAAATGCGTCGCCTTGGTGGACAGCACCGAAGACGCCAGGGCCTGTGCAGGCGGCCGGTGGAACGGCCAATATAAGCGCTGCAGTATCTGGAAGGCTGCGCAAGAGCAGCCGTTTTCAGGTCTCGTGAAAGCGCGTGGGGAGGAACTCTGCTTTAATAAGAAGGACCAGAATCACTGGTCTGTGATTCTCGATAGCCTGGGTGATTCGGCAGAGCTTGTTCAGAAGCTTGAGTCAGTCGCCCCTATTCTTCAGGCTTATAACGACGACGACACCGTGGTAGCGCAAGGGAATACTATTGAATTGCTCACCAGGAGCCTTGAATTTATTGCGAAGTTTATACAGCCCTCATATGAACACATATCCGACTTAGGGCTCCGCGCGTCTCCTTCAGAACCTGGCTCTAGATAGGACGGGATTAATAGTCCGGTGTTTCTCGCTTTGCTTTCGTGTCCCTTTTTTGGCGCGCCGACCTTTAGGCCTGGCCATTAGGATCTTCTATACCAAAATTTCAACCCCTAGGATAGTCTCCAGGGCTCAAAGTTCTCTTCTCACGTAATATAAACCAAAGCCTATTAGAGGTCATTTCGCGGCTTTCCTTTACTGCCATAAGCGGTTATGCTGGTAATTTCATAAGTAATTACGAGCGACCCTATAGCATAGCCTACTTTTTTCTCACCGATCAGGTTGTGAACCTGGCGCTTTGGACTATCGTATCGTCATAGTATTCCTAAATTGCTGCTTTGATACCAAACAGCTCATTCATCTTGCCCCTATCATATGTAGCCCAAAAACCAGTTGCTGTATGGAGCAGCCAAGCTGGTAGAAACCCATTCCAGCTTCCAAAAACGCCGATTCCCTTTGGGAGCAAGGACACCATCCCAGCTCCGGAAGGAATGAATCCATGAATCCACCCATGCTTTTTTTGTAGCAGAATAAGATGGATACGAGGTGCGCACGTAGACCTCGTCTCCTTCATAAGTCGACAACAGAACGCTGCAGGTAGACATAGCAGATGACTTATATAGCACCAGCAAGAAGCAAAAAGGAAAAAGGGAGAAAAATGGGAATGAAAAGACACGGGGTTCACTTAAAGCGAAATACCGCCACCTAGCATCCCCAATTACCACCGACCCAGACCCAGTTACCAAATGAAGGCTTGGACCCCGACTTGGCCGACTCGGCCAACGAAACCAACTGCGAGAAAACGCCGTTGATCGTCGACCCGTCACTGCTCGACGGAACAGCCGACGTGGAGAGAGACGTCCGGCCAACGGCATTGGTGACATTGTTCAGATTGTCGACGGTTTCGATCGCGGGGCCGCGGTTGAAGAAGTCCACTAGGATGAAGGTTGGCTGGCGCCCGTTATACGCTTTCTTGCACTTTGTCGCCGTGCTGCCCAGGTTTCCGACCCCGCCGGAGGGCGCGTTTGTGGTGTCGGCGTAGCTGGAGTTGGGGTACGAGATGTCCAGAAGAGCAAGGTCGTCGGAGTACAGAAAGTGGTTCATAAATGGCAACTTGGTGGAGGAGAGTGCAGTGGAGAGGGAGCCCGCTAGGTCGGAGGGCCGCGAAGGTTCGCAAGTGAAGTTCGAGGGCGAGCTCACGTCGTAGTTGTTCTCCCAGATGTAGTCCCATTCGCTCAGGAGGTAGGGGTATTCGGTGCTTGGGGTGATGTCTGCGACGAAAACGACCAGACGGGTGCCGTCGTCGATCATCGTTTGGAGGGTGGGCCAGGAACTGCTTGTGGACTTGGGCTTGTAGGCATATGAGGTGAGGTTTGCCGTTTCGAACTGGGCGTTTAGATCGGATGCGGAAGCACCGTCTGAGTTCACGAGGAGCGTGGTGACCACTGTGTTTTAGAGAATCGCGTTAGCCTGTTGTTTGTTGATCGTGTCTGGGGCGGGCGGGCTACCTTCGTTAGGGTTTTTGTCGAGCCATGTTTTGATATCTGCCAACCAGTCACTGAGTAGTCCTGCATCGAGGAGAGAGCATTCAGAATGGCAAAGGCGCCAGTCAGAGCCGCTCTTGTGTACTTGTGCGGTGACCAGGCGGACACCGGCATCGAGCTGGGTGGGTGTGTCGTAATACCTACAGGCCGATGCGTCAGTCAAGTCTAGCAACAAAGTGGCCGGAGAACATACTGGTCACCTGCCAGACTGTTGTCGGTACTGCTGTCTCTCACAAAGGGACTGTCGTGGGCACCGAGATGTGTGATTTCGCCGTAGGACTTGTTGCACAGATCGGGCGAATTGTTGCAAGCTGTGCTGCGGACATTAAGAGGGTTTGCAAGCGCCAAAGGCAACAGCGCTAGAAGGGCAAAGGCCTGCATCTTGAATGATATGTGACGGCGTCCACAAGGGAGAAGAAACGGGTTATAAAGCATCGAGGGTTCTCTGGTCGTTGCTGTCATGGAATGTTTTCGATGTCGATCCATACTAAGTGGGTCTAGGCCGCGTTGCCGTCTCAACTATTCTTAGATGGTGGACGGGGACTTCCCCGCCACAATGGAGCCGCCAGGTGATTGGGCCACAATGGGTCCCAGAAGGCGCAGTTCTTCGTGGAACGACTCTGGGTTCTTGGCTAGTGTAGTTTTCTTTACTTCGTCCGCGTCATCTGCTAGGCATCGAGATAAAATGCAAGGGGTGAGGCCTCTATCTCAGGACTGACGTGTTACTCTGCTTCTACAACCTACAATGGGAGATGCGTTCCGCAACGTAATACCGATGATCATGTTGCAATATATTTGGTTGTTTGATTGATCACCTAGCAGCTCGTTTGTAAGAGAGGCAGCCGAAGCGCATGGAGCGTGGAACACGACGGTGGATTCGAGGTGAGTCCTCCAGAAGGAGTTGACGCTTCGGATTCACCAGTGCCTCTAAATCCTGAGAACCTAACGATTCTTCAGACCAGAATGGACCGCCCCAGGCACGATCAATATCAGCCAGAACGTGCTGAAGAGAAAAAGGATTCGTTCTTCGCGCAGTCCTGTTCGCACGCTTCTTCGATGGTCGGTAATAACCGTACAGCTGCTGCAATCGTAGTCGAGTAGCATATCGCACCTTTTCGAGATTGATAGGCAGGCCAGCCTGCTCTAGTTCACGAAGAAGAAGAATGCCTCGTACAAAGGGTATCAGACGTTCTCGGGATTGTGGGTGCTCGTAATATTGTTTTTCAAGAGACCTGCTGGGCTGGTAGTGCCATTGAAAGCCCCAACTGACGAGGGCCGCTTGCATGTGGTGGTGAAAAATGCGGCCAAGGGCTTGTTTGGACATCAAGAGAGATCTATAAGACTGCCTGGTCTGGTTATTGCCATCGTAGTAGCGGACAAGCCAAAGGCAACACTCTCGCAAATCGGTCCAGCTCCTCGTCATCCCTAGGCGCCGCAGCAACTCCACCCACAATTTTTCAGGGACATGACATCCATTGGGAGCCATACGCTTGAGGATTTTCACAACAAACCGCACTTGGGTGGGCGTGGATATGCCCGAGTCTTCTCTGGGTCTTTTCTGCATTCTGCGAGAGCTCAGAACCTTTTCCGTCATGAGTTCAAGACTGTACGGAGTAAGAGTTTTAGAGCGCATTGCCATTTCATCCACGATTCTAAAAGCCCCCGTCAGGTCTCCAGCACAGAGAAATTTTCGAAAATGTATATTCCACAGATCCGGTTCGCTAGGATGATGTTCTTCCAAGATTGCCTGGGAGAGATTGTATAGATCCCAATCGGGGGCCATGTAATAAGAGATCAGCAGATCTTCTTGCAATGCTTCGTCTTCCAATGCGTCAAAATGTTGATCGGTTTCCAGCAATTTTGAAAGAAGAATGCCGCGGTTTTCGGCAACAAATCTTTGGATCAGACGAGAAAAGATACAGTCGCCAATCGATATCCCAACTTGGTCAATTGCCTTGAGCTTCTCTCGGAGGTCATGAGGATCACAATGCCTGAGCGCCAGTTCTCGTAGTGCGCGGGGGCCAAGGACCGAAACGCCCATAAGACGACAAGTGCCAAGCGCCATCTCAAAAGGAAGAGTTCGAGTCGCAAACAGCCGAGCCCCCAAGTCGTCTTTGGGAAATGTCGTCTTTGACGAATCTTTGGAACTCCCAGTCGCCAATTCATTTGTTGAATCAACAGGGTCAAATAGCTGTTGGTAATAGGCTCGAAGAGAACTATAATCCGGTTGCAGAAATTCAAAATCCATGGATACTCCAAACTTTTCCAAATGGTCCATCAATGGCTGGATCTCTTGGATGGTCATTGGATGGTCGTCTCGTTGGACAAGAAAGCTATGCATAGCCAAAGCGTCCATCCCGTGGCCATGTTCCAGTAGTTTTGAGATTACCGCACCATAGATGCCATTGGGCTTTTCGCAAAGCGCTTTCAATAAATTTCGCCGCTTCCGAGAATCACGGAGCCGTGAGTCTTGACCAGGCAGAACCTGATACATAGACAGGCACTCGGGTGAAATGGCTTGGTCAAGAATTTTGACGACGTCTCCGGGGACTGCTATTCCAGACAGATGAAGCTCCTTATGCCAGTATATAGCTTTTCTCGTAGATCCTCTATTCAGAAGACCGCCAACAACAGTCTCATATAGCTTAGGCCAACATCTGCCCTCGTCTTTCCACAGGTCAAACGCATGGCGCATGATTTCATCGAGAAAAACGATCCGCTTCAAACCTAGGTCCACAAATGACTGCCACAGAAAATCTGCATGATCTCTGGCGATGGGCAAGCGAAGATCACTCAGGCGCACCGTCATTCCCTCCCATATTGTCTGTGAGCCTATATCCCCATAGCATCGCTGGCGATAACGAAGAAGCTCTTCCCAGAGCCCAAAATTATTCCTATGTTCCGGATTGTCCACTAATCGCGTCCCAAATTCATCGCTGTGCCCAATATCTGATTCAAATTCAAGTCGTTCAGGATGTGCTCGCAGGAATTGGACGGGATCGTCTATTTGGAGCTGCTGAGAAGCGTCCAGGTCGACTTCGAATGTTTTTTGGACGGGAGATGAACTGGGGAGTCTCGTGTTTTTTCCACCGGAGAACTTTCGTGATCTCGTCCCTCGGGAGGCGTCTTGCCGGGCATCGTCATTGAAACCCTGTTTTGGAAGTTGCGAATGGCATCGAACCGACGTGTATCGAGGGCTGAGTTGATCGAGGCTGATCGGGTTGGTGACGAGGGTCTCGATGATCGAGAGGGTGGACGGCCTCTTCAGGAGTCGGACAAGAGCCGGGCGCATGGATGCAGGGGTACAATGACACCACGATGCGCGTCAACCATGTCTTTCCTAAACTTCGTTCACCAAGCAGCGTTTGGTTCCTCCGACTCTCGCGAACCAATGACACTTTCCCCTTTTCGAGTGACGTCTTAGTCATCGACGGAAGAAAGAGGGAAGTCACCTGACCAGAAGCTCGAACCAGAACATCGTGCCATCACCGTCTCTCTGTTTCTCACCCCTCAATCCCACTCCTTTCTTCGCAAATCGCCAAGATGTTCCGCACCACTGTGCCTCGTATGGCTGGGTATGTTGCCGTTGATTCCATCTCCATCCCGCTTGTCTGCCCTGGAGGTCTTCCCCGAGTGCGAACGTGTGACGCCGACCGAATTTCGCTATTCCGCTCCGCGGGATCAAGATGGGCCAATTGCAATTGAGATTGCCTGAAAATAGAACATGAGCAGTCACTTGCAGTTTACTAACCTGCACTTTTACTGTAGGTTCGTGTTCCGTGAGAACCGTGTCCCCTACTACCAGCGCCTCTTTCAGAAGCACGACGGCAAGCGTCAATGGTGGAAGGTTAGTCGAGCCCTGCGACTACATCCCCGATACCGACCTGAATCATGACTGACGGATTGCGTTCCCCGACAGACCGAGCGTAGCGGCTACGTCATGTACCCCTACCTGATCTCCGTCTACGGCCTTGGTGCTGGTGAGTGTGATCCGACACGCCTACAGTCGGTATGGGTCCGTGGCTGACTGATTTCCTCTAGCTTCCATGTACGCCATGATCCGTGTGGTTCTTGTAAGTACATATCGAATTGGCTTGTCGCATTTGACAGGGCTCTTGGGTGTCAGGTCAGCAGCTAATTGAATCCAACAGGGCCACAAGACTTGGATCTAAACTTCCCGCGGCCTTTAGCTAGTGCTATCTTTCGTGAGGCGGTTAGAGACAGTTCTGAATTGACTCTTTTGTTGTATTTCTATTCCGGTGGTGGATTAGATCGTTTCACGGGCACACTGATTTGGGCTGTATATACCGCCTGTTCCAGCACCAGTCAATCAAATCATTCCTGTGCTACCATCAACATTGCAAGAAGTCCCTTCTCTGACTTTACATGTAGAAGCATCCCCTTGGCTAAACCTTCATAGTCTCCCAAAAGAGAAACATGGGTTGAAAAGCTTCAACCCGCTTGAGGCGAGCCGGGGATGTTATTTGCCCCTCAGACTGATGCCTTGCCTGTATAGAAAGAAGCTTCCGGCATACACCCCGCTAGTAGATAAAGGGTCCATCTGAGTACTTCCTTTCGACCACTCAACCCGTAACGTACCAGCTTGAACTCGGTGAGTAGGATAGAATCAGTTAATCTATAAATATATGAGGATTTACTACTCTCCAATGAGCTGGCCGAAAGGCCTCATATGCTTCAGTCTACTATCGAGTATTTCGTTGACAGGCGCCGGCATTGACGCCGTGCGCCGTGTTCCGCCCCTTCTCCGCCGGGGATTTAGATACACCGCTTAGTCATATCTAAAGGCTTCATCTGAACATTTAGGCGGTCCTCGTCTTTTCGAGCAAGGGAGCCACTCTGATCGCAAAAAGAAAGGCACGCTGTCACTTGGAAAAGGGATAAGTCTTCGAGCTGACATGCGATGAGAAGGAGCTTGGGGATAATCCATCCCCGCCCTATACATCGAGAGCAGCCTCGACATAGATGACACAACCTCACAATTTGCCATAACTGTACGGGGCCCCTCTGGTGCTGGTGGAAATGGAATCTGCAGATTCGGACCGTCCTGTCAAAAGGGTTCGACAGGCTTGCGAACCATGCAGGTGAGTATGTGAAGTTGCCGGTATAATACAGAAGCTTATCAAGCCAGGCGCAAAAAAGCGAAGTGTCCTGGCGAACAGCCGATATGCTCCCTGTGCGCACGATTGCACCAAAACTGCTATTACTCAGAAGAGAGGCGGCGGCGCCTTGCCTCCGACGATGACAATCGATCTCCATTGCCAACTCTGCCAACTCTACCCGATGCCCTGGTAATGCCTCCTATTCCCGGAAACCGACGCACACACTGACATTTCACAGGATAGCAGGCTCCAAAGTCTTGAGGGGAAGATAGAAACAGTTCTCGACCGCCTAGGGTACTGTTGAGTGTACACGTGCGTGTCTTGCAGTCAGCTGATGTTCTCATCTATCAGATCCAGATATGAACGTCCGCCTTCGAGCGGGGCATCGCGAATGCCTCCATGGGGTCCTCAGCCTTCCTTGCCTCCCTGGAAGCAAATAGGTCCCATAGCAGAGCTGTATTTGTTGTACTGTGACTCGCAGCCGTTGCCACTGTTTTGTCGAAACAGGTTTCTGGCCAGCCTCCACGATCGCGATGTGGAAGTCACCTTGGCCATTATAGCCCTTGGAATTCGCTTCACGAACTCATATAGCAATACTGAGAACGATATAAGTGTGGTCAATGGCTACGCCGAAGCTGCGCGGGGCCTCGTAATGAAGCGAGTCTCGGAAGGGCCTGTCGAGATCTCAACGCTCCAGTGTCTATGCCTTTTGAGCTTGGTTGATTTTACAAGTGAGTGCGACACGACTAGGCGAGGGCTCACACTAATGTCGGCCAGATGGAAACACGCATAGGTCAAGTATCCATAGCAGTCTTGCTATGAATCTTGCACAATGCGCAAATCTAGGTCTGAAGCCTCGCACAGCAACCAGCCCCACGACCTTAGAAGAACGCCGGCGGTGCTTTTGGAGCATATGTCTTCTGAAAAGGCTTCATGGGGCCGACTTTTCTATTCTGGATCTTCCAGACGTGGGCAGGCCCCCTTTTCCGGATAGTCCACCTCGGCCACCCCGAGCTATGTCACCAGGCCCCTCGAGTCTTGAGGCACGAAGAAGCGAGATGCAGGATCAAGGCATCATTGCGTATGTGATCATGCTGAGCGAGACATTTGGCCGTATCGCAAGGTACGTCCGCCTCCGTGGACGACCTGGGAAAGTTCCCCCTTGGTCGCCTGAATCGGAATACTCCAAGATTCTTGCACTACAGATGGATCTGGAGACCCGCATGCCCCTGACACATCGCTTTAAACCTGCAAACCTCAGTGACAGGTCCCCCGAGGAGCTGCAAGCAAACAGAGAATACTGGGGCCCATGGTTCCTCAATCAATTCATGTATCACACTATTCTCTGCCTCCTGAACCATCCTCTCCTCTTGTCTCTGAGTCTTCGAACATTTCGAAATACAATCCCCGAGATATTCCTCCAGCACACCTCTGATCTCATTTCGTCGCACACAACGTGGATCATCCATTTCATCAACTACTTCGAAGAAAAATCATTTCTGGTTTCAGATCCCCTTTTGGGATACAGCGCCGCAGTAGTTGCTACCATCGAGCTTCAACTGAGCTTCACCGACGACGCTGCAATTCGTGAAGAGAAAAGGACCCGATTCAGCAAGTGTGTCAAGTTTGTCCAGCAGATCGGTGAGAAATGGCCGCACATGGCTCGGATGGTAAGATATTTAGATCCAACCTTCTCCTCCCAGCGCTCGGCTAATAGCCCAGTTAGGCACAAAGACTACTGCATCTCGAAGATGCCGTGTCGGCTACATATCAATCAGACCCAGGTGCCCAGAACCAGAGTCTCATAATCGATTTGTCCCGATTCTGGGATATCCTCGAATACTCCTCCAATAGTGATAGTGACTCTGCTCGCCGGCTTTTTGGCGACTCGTTGTTCGCCGGTCCTCCCCTAGCGATGGCGGAGGTATCGCAGACCTCGCCGTTGCCCGCCCCCACTCGCTTGATTACGCCGGTCTCAGGGCCCTCGAACCTCCCGTCGCAGAGTCTCCATTCTGACGTCGGGTTTGCAGGCGCTCAAGATTACCCAGATGATTCTCTGGTCGTGCCGCAGCAGCTGGCCTTGCCAACGGATGATGATATTTCGATCTTAGCGACTAACTTTTTCTCGCAAGGGCAAGAGTTTCTACGCGGCGGCGATTCCTGGGAAAATATTGGGAACTTCTGAGATAACTAGCCGTTCAGTGATAATCATTAGGTATTCATGTACTAATCCATCTAATTTGTAAGTCCGAAGTTCATCTTACTGAACCAAAGCACTTTTGAACACTTCCACAAATGTGAAAACCTCGGAAAAGGTGTTGTACAGGGGGACAGGGGCCACACGGACGACGTCTGGCTCGCGCTTGTCGCAAATGATACCAGCGTCTTGCAGCTTCTGCGCCACGTTGTGAAGGAGGCCCGGTTTGAGCAAGAGACTCAACTGGGCCCCGCGCGCGTGAGGATCTGAGGGAGTAATAATAGTGAACTGGCGATCTTCATCTGTAGTGTCCTTCAGTAGCAAGAACTCCAGGTACGCGGTTAACGTGATAGACTTCTGGCGCAGGGCCGCCATGGAGGTCCGGTCAAATACAGAAAGCGAGGCGCAGAGGGTGGTCAGGTCAATCACCGAGGGATTTGACACGACAAAGCCGCCAGCTCCGGGGATGGGCTTGAACTCTGTTGTCCAAGGTCAGCTGTCATAGTCACCACATATAATCTGGGACCAGGAAACCCACTATTGTCCATTTTGAATCGCACCGAGCGGTCTCCGCCATACCATCCTGTCAGTCGGTGACGGAATTTCGGAGAATCTTCGCCCTCGCTGTAGTCTACTTTGCCATGCTTCTCATGAACGAAGATGCCTCCCATCGCGCCGGGGCCGGCATTTCCGTATTTGTATGTGCACCAGGCGGCGAAGTCGACTTCCCAGTCATGTAATTTGAGATAAACATTGCCGTAGGCGTGTGCTAAATCCCAGCCTACAACGAGACCGCGGGACTTGGCGTGTTCTGTGATCTGAGGAATGTCGAATAGCTGGCCGGTGTAGTATTGGATACCGGGCAAAAGAAGAAGTGCAGCATCTTCCGCATGCTGATCGATGTACTTGAGAATCTTCTCTGTCGAAATCTCGTATTGCCCCTCATCTGGGCCAATAAGCACCATGTTCTCTTTGGAATCAAGGCCGTGCCAAGCGATGTGCGATTCGATTGCGTACTGGGAATTGTGAGATTTTGTTTCCATGCGATGGTCGGTGGATACTCACGTGGTCACTGGGGAAAGCCTTCCAATCCATCAGGATCTTGCGTCGGGTTTCCGTGGGCTTGTAGAAGCTGGCCATGAGGAAGTGCAAGTTCGCTGTCAAAGTCCCCATTGCAGCAACCTCCTCGGGTGTCGCACCCACAATCTTGCTCATAGACTCGGCGGCCTGTTCGGATAAAACCTGCCATTCCCTCAGAGGTGAGTCCTCCAGGGCAGTAAAGTGGCCGCAGACCCCGATGGATGACCAGGTGTCCAGCTGTGCTTCCATGTACTTGGCGACTGCCTTGGGCTGGATTCCCAGTGAATTTCCACAGAAATAGATGCTATCCTCCTTAGATAACCCTAAGCGCCACGTCAGGAATAAAATTCATTGCCCGTCACAGGTACCACATGTATCATGTACTCACCTGGCTTGGCTAGTTTCTTGCTAGCAAGGTTCGCCTTGGAAGGAATGATGAACTGATCACGAAGGTCCTTGAGGAGATCTGCTTCATCAAGGGAGGCTGCATATTCCTTGGTTGCGGCCTCGGCAGTGAAGACTGGCTTTGTTGCCTTTACGCCGTTCATGATGGAGATGGAGATGGCTGTGGTCCGAGCGAATGCAATCTGGCCTAGGTGATGCGGGGAAGAGACAGGAGATTAACAGGGGGGAAGATGCAGGCGTGGTGGAGATGGATAAGTTCAGTTGCGAACCGCAGATACGACAGTGTTTCTGCTACACACTTTATAGCTTTGGCCTCCCATATCTACCACAGAATGTACAGCCGGATGTGTCATCCGCTTCCGCTCCAGCTTCCGGCTCTAGCCTTGAGAGCATACACTACCAGGTGGGTCTGATGATTGGAACCAGATCTTCCTGTAGAGTTTACATTATTTTCCAATAGTCTGTTGCTGACACTGAGAGGGTCTTGATAAGTAGGTGGGGTTCAAGCCACGACGCTCGCAGTGATAGGCTGTTGTGCTGCATGAGGTACATGTAGTAGCACGTTGCTTTTTCCTTGCCTGGGAAAGGGCAGTTCAGAATTGGATTGTCCTAGCGGGTTATCCTTCTAGGCACTCTAGTCTCTTTATCGTGCATAGTTCATTGAAGCTAATCGTTGGTGGAGAGAATCGAATCCTTCGGGGTTGATCAGCTGTTTCAGCGCCATCCACGAGCCCCGGAGCACGGAGAGGATTCCGGGTGAACATCCGGTTTTATAGATAGAGAAGCCCGATGCGAGCCGTCATCGTGTTTATTAATATTTCACTTTAATATTGCGCATCCGACCAGTGTTTTTCTATTTCAGAACTTTCCGAGTAACTTCAGTTTCTTATTCGTCCACTTCTAGAAGACAATCATCCAACTGGACCGCCTCTCCATCCATAATCTCCTTTATCATTGTTGAACAAGCCCACTCAGTTGACATCTTTGCATTCGACACATTTCTACACGTTGCGATTCTCGTCCTAATCAATTTTTTTCAACATGCTTCAGTCCTCAAGTATTGTCTTGGACGAATATCGCGTCTCTTCATCCCACGGCTTCCTTCCGACGGAACTCCCACTCCGGCGGCTGCCGCATGTCTACTACGAGCAGTGGGAGAACCTTGCAGGTCAATTATCCACTTTGATCCAACAAGACAAGATCCGGGATCTCATAGATGCTCTTCCCGTCCTTACTACAACCTGGCTGCAGACAGAGCCTGAATGGCGACGTGCATATTCCATCCTAGGATTCCTCACACATGCGTACATCTGGGGAGGCCAGAAGCCACGAGACGTAAGTCCATTTCTCTTCGAGGCCTTTCGTCTGCGACACGCCCGACTTATCCGAGCCATCCCGAGACATGTATGTTTTTCCCATACTAATGTGTTCATCCGATCAGGTTCTGCCTCCAAGTATTTCGAAGCCCTTTCTTGAGATCTCCGCACACCTTGGTCTGCCGCCTTGTGCTACATATGCAGGCCTTACCCTATGGAACTTCGATGCGGCTCCAGGGGCCGACATCACCGACCCAGATAGCCTCTCTACAATCACATCATTTACCGGCACTCAGGATGAAGCGTGGTTTATGCTAATCTCTGTGGCAATCGAGGCCAAGGGCGGCAAATTGATAACGCTAATGCTCGATGCAATCGAAGCAGCCACCCAGCATAATATCTCACAGCTCACGGCTCTGCTTTGCCGCTTCACAGATGTCCTCCAGGATGTCACCGCTACCCTGAAACGCATGTACGAAAAGAACGCTCCGCAGGTGTTCTTCCACCAACTCCGTCCATTCCTTGCAGGGAGCAAGAACATGGCGGTTGCTGGCCTGCCTAACGGCGTGTTTTACGATATCGGAAATGGGAACGGTGAATGGCGCCAGTACAGCGGGGGGAGCAATGCTCAAAGCTCCCTGATCCAGACCTTCGACATCTTTCTCGGTGTCACCCACCCCGCCACCGGTGACAAGGAGAAGGAGACGGATCAGAAGGCACTTAAGTCCAAGGGGCCCGGATACATCGAGGTAAGTCCCTTGACACAGAACCGCTGGGGATTTCCATTGCACGCCAGGCTAACGATCTTGGTATAGCAAATGCGGGACTACATGCCTGCCCCTCACAAGCGGTTCCTCGAGGTGTTGACGGACATCTCCAACATCCGGGACTATGTGGTCTCCTTGGGGTCGGACTCTCCAGCCAAGGAAGCGTTCAATGCTGCGGTCCAATCTCTGACCAAGTTCAGAGAAGCCCACATTCAGATCGTCACGCGCTACGTCATCACTCAGTCGAGGATCTCTGCTGCCTCGCAGCCTGCGGAGAGACTCAATCTTGCTACGGCAAGTGTCAAGTCGACCGAGAATAGTGATGGCAGCAGCGGCTCGGATGAGGACGACTCCGGGGTACTGCATGGGACTGGTGGCACGAGTCTTGCTTCTTTCTTGAAGCAGACAAGGGATTCCACCAAGAGCGCGGCGTGCTAGGCGGGAGTGCAAGTGTTCTTTCATTCTTTTCGTTTTGGCTTCCAGGACCCATTGGTATTTGTAGCGCATGGAGCACTCGGGCCGTTTCAATTCTTTTTTTGTTTTATTTATGTAGAGATACCTCGTCATAGTTCACAATCCTATGGCTTACGACTTACGTTAGTAGGGATCATTCAGGAATTATATTTCAAGGCTAATTGGATATCTCCTAATGATTCAGATCTTGGATGAATCAAAGTACTCTGATGCATCGTCATTTGGGTCGATATGACTATTGATAGCTGCCAGCCCTTAGGCAGGATGTCGAACAATTCCGGGATTGGGCTCATCACTCAAAGCTAGCAACAGCAAGCATAATCCCTGGAAGGTCGCATGTTGTCTCGATTGAATCATTCAATGGCGTTTCCTGGCTTCATTTATTTGCTGGCCATACCACAGGCCCCGCATGATGAATGTCGTAGCATCAATGGGCCCTTGGTATCATGTCTTGGCCCGTGTGTACTTCAGCCCCCTTTAGAGCCATAAGGAATTAATTACCCCTTCAGCCGCAGTACCGGACGCGACCCAATTCCAGGGCTGGGCATCTCGATCAACTAAGCGGACAGGAGCATCGGCAATGAGAGATTGAGCGCATCCCACAGCCCATACACTTGGTGTGAGGAAGAAGATCATCGCTTCTTGGTAGTAGCAGGAACACCCTCCGTCTCCCGTAACTCAGCCAGCCTCTTCTCTCGCTCCACTAACCTCTCCTTCTCTTCCTTGAGCATCTGCTCAACAGTCTTCATAGCTTCAGCCATCCGATCCAACTCCTTACCCTCAGTCGCACGACTGTAGGGATTCTTAGCCGAATCATTAAGAGGAATCTCGGCCGTCCGGCCCGCAATCTGTTTCTGAATTTTCCCCTTCCCCTTCGAACCCCCAGCCGGAAGGCCACCGCCCGTAAGAATCTCGTAGAACGGCTCAACGGGCTCGTTAAAGATCACCTCCTCATAATTCTGGCTAACAACGACCTCGCGGCGCTCCTTCATGCCCTCTGCATCAGGCCCGTACGGGTGGAGTTTCAGGCTGTGCCATAGCGTCTGCGGCTTCTCGTTCGACTCCGGGACAAAGTACAGCTTGATTTGGATTTCGAATTCTCCCCAGCCGGTCTCCTGGACTTCAAAGGGCGGCTGCTCGATTGTGCGCACGCTCTGCGCGTATGTCTCGTGGAGCTTGAATTGCACTTTCTTCAGCCAGTAGGAGATGTCTTCGCCGTTGATGCCTTTGACGAATACCCGCCAAGAATGGGTGTGGTCGGTGGGCGCGTCAGCGGGGCGCTTCTCGGGGTCAAAGGGCTGGGCTTCACTGCCGAAAACTGTGGTGGCCGTATGTTAGTGACTAGCGAGCTGTGTTATTGCGATCGGGACATACTGAATGGTCGGAATACGGAGACGCCCTGCGGTAATGAGATTCATCAGTTTGGGCTCATAGCCAGTGAGGGGACGGTATCTACTCACTCGGACACGCTTGTTTCCGGTGGCAGACGGCATGTTGCAAGTTTTGGTGAAACGTTATTTAATAGAGCAGCGTGGAATGAGAGTCGCGAGGGCATCGATTAGTCGCGACCTGAAAAGATAACTGAGTCATGTGACCCGGTGACGGCATGCGGGAGCAGCTCGGAGCTTGATTTCTTTGGAAGCTCCAACTCTGTCTGCTCGAGGAATTATTGCTATCGATTCGGGTGGTGTTGCAAAGAATCATCCCGGAGATATCACCCAGAGTACCATAATGTCTGCTAAGAGGCTTGTTGTTGCCGGAGGGAGCGGCTTTTTGGGTTCGCCGAGCCCTAGTGTGTATGGGCCGATCTACGATGCTAACGTGCCGCTATAGGATCAAGAATCTGTAAATCAGCAGCAGCGAGGGGATGGTCGGTCGTATCCTTAAGGTATCCAAATGTCTTCATGAGTTGTCTTCTTCAACTTTCCGACACTAACGTCTTCCAGTCGATCAGGCGAGCCCAAATGGAAAGCAGTCACGGAATCCCCGGAGCGCCCCGGTTGGGCAAGCTCTGTGGAATGGGCCAAGGCAGACATGCTGAAGCCAGAGAGCTATAAGCCATTTCTCGGTGGGGCGAGTGCTGTGGTTCACTCCATGGGGATTCTTCTAGAGGCAGATTACAAGGGTGTGGTCCAAGGAAGAGAACCGATCATTGGAGGTCTACAACGGGCATTTACCTCGTCGAAGATGGGAAGTCAGAATCCACTTTCCCGACGGGAGGGCGAGCCTCTCAGGCCACAAGAGAAAGATGGTCAATTAACTTATGAATTGATGAACCGTGATTCAGGTACTACATGATTCAGCAATGTGGAAGGTCTGGGACGACGCTAATGCATTTCTCTCATACAGCTATTGCGCTAGCTCAAGAAGCTTCGAACGAGAAGGTTCCCGCTTTCGTTTTCATCTCTGCTGCAGCGGGTGCACCAATCCTCCCTGCTCGATACATCACCACCAAGAGAGAAGCTGAAGAGGCCATCGCGGCTAATTTACCAGAGCTGCGCAGTATCTTTATGCGCCCCGGGTTCATGTTCGACAGCAGTCGAAAATTCACTCTGCCAATAGCCCTAGGTGGCTTTGTCGCTTCGGAAGTCAACAACTTTCTGGGTAAAAGACTTAGTTTCCTGGGCTCTATGGCTGAGAAGCCATTGAAAGCTGATACCGTTGCAGAGGCGGTGGTCGAGGCATTGGAAGATGAATCAACGAGGGGTGCTGTGGGGACGAAGCAGATTGAAGCATTGGCAACAAAGGCTTGGAGAAAGAGCATGCTTTGAGGGACTATCTCCCTGGGGTCTGCATCTCCAGCACCTTGACCCGGGGTTTGCAAGCCCTATTCTTGTTTCATGGTTAAGTCCAAAAAGGTGACCCGCACATGTAGATTATCTCTATTTCATGTCTCATTAGATCATAGTTCCGCGCTCGAAGCTGTCCCGAATCTCGGTAGTGTACTATAAAGGTATTAGCATATGTAGACAAACGCAAAGCAAGATGTTCGACATACCTTGTTGTAGAAACGGGCCAGCTTTTGGTTAAACTGCTTGTTCTTATCATTGATGTACGTCACATCCGACTCTTCGTCGCCACGACGTTCCTTGCGCTTCTTCAATCGTACTTCCTCGGCCTTCTTGAGGTCACCCACAAGTCGATCCACCGCCGCACGGTCCGGCTTGTTATCGGTGAAGCCAATGCTGTCAGCTGTAGAGTAGAAGCTGCCGTTCTTGTCCACGGCAATCATCTCTCCATCGGCCGTTTCCACAATCTCCAGGTCACCGTTGGCCGCAGCTTTCTCGATCGCGGCCATCTTGTCCCTTTCGTAGGCTTCCAGGTTTGGTTGCAGCTCGCGCATCTGTCGCGTGTACACCTTCCGAGCATCCTGGGTATAGTCTTGGAAAGCAACGTCATCCCGGTGGCGCTGCTTCTTTTCCATACGTCGGTCCCATTTTTCAGATTCATCAATCGTCCAGTCCCAAGCGCGCTTGCGCTCGAAGTCCTCTCCAGCGGCTTCAGTATCGGCTTTGAGAAGGTTGTGGGAGGCGAAAGCATGTTTCCTGGCGAGTGAGTTCGCGAGATTTGGGTCTGTCGATAGACGTTGGGTTTCAGCTGCGGTTTCTTTCAAGTTGCGCTCATTGCCAGATTTCTGAATAAGAAGTCAATTATGTGTTATTCAAAAATACCCGCTTGAGTGGATACCACATACAGCTCGAGCCTGAAGGGCCTTGAATCTAGCCTGCCTTTCCTTCGCCTTTGCCATTGCATCGTTTTGCGGGGGCTCAGGCTTAGTCTCTGACGAGTTCGAGTTTTTCGGCGGTCTCGGTGGAGGGGGCATCCGACTCAACGGGCGGCTCCGCGTCCTTGCCCAAGTCATCTGACTTTCGCGTCTTTGGCATGTTCAACAAGGAGCTTGCTATTCCTGACTTGAAGGTTCTCGGGTGCTAGCGTGGTTGGATAAGGTTGGACTGGTGGTTGCGCAAGAAATCGGGTCAGCCTTTTGGCAAGAGGTGACATTGGCTCACCGCCTTTTAATACCGCCTTCATTTGGGCCAAATTGCCACCCCAGACTTTCCAGCCCCTTATCGACGTTTATCTCCATCTCCACTCGTGGGTCACCCGCCATTGACCATCGAGTGGGACAGGCTTAATATGGCCAGCACGAGAGGACTACTCACTTCTTGCCCCAGGCAAAGGTGTTTCACCAAGGCTCACGCGGGGTCACCATGGATACTCGTCCATAGCTTCGCTCGCCGCAGCTCTTCGATGGGGGCAAGAGAGTGGTCCGCCGATCCTTCGCCGATAGAACTTCTTCGCGCCGCTGTAACTACCTGCACGCCGTCGAACCCCTCAATTGACCAAGCGTTACTAGACAGGAGAGCCGAAACTCTGAACCTCTTTAATCAGGAGTGGAAATATGGTAGTCCTCCTATGAGCTTATGGCCAGCCCTAAAGGGTATTCGGCCACCTGCATCAGAACATCCTTTGGGGCGTCTACGCTTGGTAGATGATATTGGCGCCTTGAAGTCTTTCGTTGAGAAGATAGTAGTTGATCCAGAAGGGGCGCAGGAGCTACAAGTTGAGAACTGTGACCAGCTATGGCTGGTCCTACGTCGCTTACCACCGAGTACAACCAATGATGAGATAGCGGCGCTCGTGATGGACATGATTAGCAGACTCAGAAGGCTGGGCTTGAAAGTTCGCTCGAGTATGTTCGAGCTCGGAATGTACTATGCCGCACTCAGCCTGTCAATTCCGACTTTCAAACACTTCTTCACGCAATGGAAATACTCGGGAAATCCAACAATGCACTTCGGGGCACAGATCATCGAAGGTCTGTATCATGCGGTTGATACAAAGCTTTTCATAAACCCCAGTTACGATACAAGGCCACTTCTCAAAATGGTCACTGGCGAAGGGATTCCTGGTCGCAGTTTGAAGGACGCAACTATAGTATATGACAAATTGCTTGCCACGATCCGCCAAGAGCCCCGACTTGTGCTGCATCTTCTTTGCCTCCTGACTGCGTTACAAAGTGACGTATTTCTCTATCGACTTTGGGATAAATTTCTGAGAAGGGCCTCAAGCTGGAACGAAGAGATCTTCTATGGCGCATACCACGTTGTTCAAGCTTTGATTAAATTCCAAAGATCAGAAACAGCCCTCGATTTTTTGGAAAGCTTGGCGAAGCAGTGTAATGGCACCTTGCCACACCTCACCACGGCACCAAACCTTCATGTTCTCACAGACGATCGTATAGTTGGGAAAGGTCTGCCAGATCTGCTCAATGATACCGACTACCAGAGTCTGATCGATACGCGGTTCCAAGATATGGAACAAAGACTGGGCATCAGATGGGAAGGAGAGCACCAGGTGCATCAAAATATTGCGCTCAATACCGCGACTGGGTCATGGTCAGAGTTCACAGACCACCCGCTGATCACCATTGACGGAGACTGCAGTGGCTATGACGACATGTCACGTCTTTGCCCTGAAATCGCCACCCACGGCTGCTCTAAATCTCCAGAGGAACTGGGGCAGATCGCAGAGCTGCTTCAGGAATTGGAAGGCAATGTCCAGCCCGTACAAGTGGAGCTTCCTACAAATCCGGCTACGCAATTGAACTACACACAGTCTTTACCACAGTTCCGGTGGTGTCCCCAGCACCTGCCGATCCAATTCTCCGACTGCTTGATTCCGACCTCGACCAACCAACCCCAGAGGTGGACACCGACTTCTCTAGGTTTGATACGTGCCCGGCTTCTTGTAAAAGGGGCCCCTTCAGATGGCCTGGGTTGCTTGCACTTAATGCAAGTAGGGTATCTAGAAATGCAGGGTAGCGGCGGATCCTGGCAAGATTCCGGGTACGTGGTGGCGTGGGATCGTCGGCTTGGCCATCTTATAGGTCTCTTCGTCGGTGCTGGAGTAGGGATCGTCAATCCTGGCCGGCCCCCGGGAGAAGCACCGTTTGGCCCTATGTTGTACATTTGCCCGGACGAGATGCGTCGGTCTGTACGTCGTCTTCCGTCCCATTCACGGACTGATGGGGGCTCGTATTATATTGATGTTGACCCGGCTCAAGACTTGGAATCTCTGTGATAGGTACGTGTTATCTAGAATCGATCACAGATTGGCATCGCTGGAGAAGCGACGCAATAAGAAGCATTCTCAGCAGCGGTCACCAACTTGCATATGAAGACGAGTAGGCTCCCGATCAAAGCTCGGCGCGGTTCAATCGTAAAAGAGACGAAATATATTTTGTCGTTCGAGCGTCTCATCTTCCGGTCGCCTCAAACCGGCTAAGTATACCGGGCAGCTAAGCCCAGGCCCCTTTAGGTCACAGTCGCGCATATACTAGTAAAGTCAGCACAAGAGTGGGTCGTTATCTCTACTAGATCGACTCAACTACCCTATCGCACGTTCGACTCCGTGGCACACGCCTAGCAGTTGCCACAATGACAGTGGAGGCAAGATTGCGGATTCGAAGATCGACAGTTGAAGTAAGACCTACTAACTACGCTAGTCCCCAAGCTCGTAACCGAAGAAGCTCTGGGTGGGTTGGGCAATACGTGCCACACTGAAGGCGCAGGCATGTCTGTATATACTAGAATGTGTCTCATCTACGAGTCCTGCGGAAGATGATTGCCTGGAACAGTCGCCTCGAGGACGAAAGAAGGATGCATTTTCATGGAGAACCGTCACACGGCTCGCTGCCGGGGCCTGCAGTGGAGGTCAATACAAAGCTCTGGAGCAATAGCAATTGCACATATTACCATTGTGATGTGATTCAAAAGGTTGATTTCCCAGTTTTTCTTTCGGGGTCAAAGGCCCAAGTGCCCCGCTTTCCATACTAGGAAAGACCTCTTAAACAGGCTCGCTACACGGTTAAACCGCGGCGCCATTGCCGCTAATACGCGACGCCCTTGGAGGGTCTGCTGGGGCTTCAGCTGATTCCAATTTGCCAAGCCAGAGCCCCTGTGCTTGTAGCTTAAGCAACCCAGTCAGCCCCACCGGGTGGCTGATCAATATCGGCTCGGCCCAAGAAATACTGAGGCGCGTGAACTATCTGATGGTCGACATGATCTCCGAACTCGTGGGCTTGTCGATCATGCCCACAAGCTACATCTCCACGGTTGTGGTCAGAACCGGCTGAAACTTAGCCAAACGGTAAACGCTTGGACCCACGGGCCCCATCTAATTAACGCTCGAAGGCACCAAAACGACCCGGCCCACCGTCACTGCAGAGTAGCCTGCCTCCTCCCAGGACAGGTACCGCGGCAAAGAGAACCTTGACGAGAGCCCTGCGCCATTGCCGCAGTGCGAGATGCGAGGGGGAGTCCGGGGGTTTGGCTGCCTCGGAGCCCTAGGCCATCCAGGTTCCGGTGCGCATGGCATTCGCTTCCCGCACAGAGCCAGCCGGTCTGGCCCAGCTCCACTATTACGGCAGCCACGAGTGCCACTGACGCCACAGAACAGAACCTCTTTTGTGGGGTCCACGGAGATCTCTCTTAGTCAGTTTTGCGAGGTTCTTTCGCGGCTCGTGTTAATTCCGTACGTGGCTCCCAATCACAGGATCTGGAGCTATCGATCGACCCTCGAATGATTTGGAATTCGAGTCTCCGACCTGGCCGGAGCCCACAAACTAGACGGTCCACATCTGATCGGATGACGATCCCGTCAGCGAGGGCACGCTTTCTCGTATTTGGGGATCCAGTTTGATCCGTCCAACGTTCTCCGACGTTTTAAAGTATGCGCTTGAGCTATAGAAGCCGTGGAGCCGGTGGTGCCCCCGCCATCCCATGGAACGCACCCAGCGGTGACCGGACAGTGACGTCCGTGGGGTTGCCTTCGAAGAAGGGCATTGTACTCTGTATAATGCCTTGTTTTCCTTTTTTTTTTTCTCCCATTGCCCTATGCCAATTCTCCACCGGCGGGGACCTGATGAGCCAAAGAGTTGGCAGATGCTTAGCCTCTTCACAAAGGTTCCCACTTGGGACGATCGACATACTCGTACGCCACGAAAAACAAAACACCAGCCTCGGATGCACATCGTACTAGTGCCGGAGCCCTCAGGCGCCAATTTCTATAAAACAAGAAAACAAGAAAAAGAAAGAACAGAACGGAAAAGAAATATGATTAGAGGAAAGGAGAGAAAGAAAGAGAAGAGAAGGGAGACTCTTTGATACCGCACAGAAGCGATGCGGCCACACACCTTCATGGTATTCCCACAGCCATTCACATAGGCTCAGGCCTCTAACCGACCCCCCAAAAAATCCCCCCCCCCAAAAATCCCCAACCCCTTGGGTCAACTCAATGCCTGGACGGCCCGTTCCCCCGCTCTTCCCTTTCAGTGGTCGTCAGTGGAGCATCGCTGCTAGTGGGCCCGCTTGAACGAGGGGATGCTCCCAGGAAAAAAAAAAATTAAAGCATTTCCATAGTCTGCACCAATGTCCCTCTTCCCCGTTTTCCTGTCATCTTGGCTACCCAAGCTGATTGGCCGGATCGAAAACTCCGCCCTCGTCGGAGCTGATTCAGACAAGCACGAAAAACAAAAACAAAAAAAAAACCACACAAAAACAAAGAAGATTTTCTTCGCCAAAGGAAAGCTACTTATCCCTCTTTCCGTAGTTTTGGATGCTTGACAAGCTGCACAACCCATGCGCCTTCTCAGATGCCTTCTTCCACCCGCAGGCAATTTCAGGATATGCATTCGGGGGGTTAAAGACGTGGTTGTGCTGCGACAGGGTTGACATATAAAAGATCCCTGACACCTGTTTTCTGTGGCTATAATTTCCTCCACGGAGCATCTCATGGCAGGGGTTCGAAGCTAAGATAGACTTTACCCAGTTTCGAGGACATCCGCCCGTGCAATTTATCTGATGTCGAGTACTCCATCCCAGCAGCATCAAGGGTACCCTCGCCCTGACCGGGGTCGAGCCGGCCCTCGCGCGCACCAAACCCAATCTCAGCAGCTGCCCATGACATATCATCAGTCGTATTCTCACGAACCTCGCCATCCATTTCCAACTCAAAGAGATGGACCCTCTGCCTCGTTTGGAGCTGCACCCCCGCCGTCCGGGTTCGCTGGACCTGCAGATCCAAGATATAACCTTTCGTCTGACATGAACAATCTGAATTACGGTGCAACGCCACATCCAGTACCCCTGCCGATGCATAGTCGTGGCCTAGATCCTCAAAGCTTTTCCATTCGCCAAGAAGAACGATCAAGTCCTCTATCAAATTATGGCCCGGAATTTGTCACGCACCGAATGCAGACATTCGAATTGGATTCCCAGTAAAGTTCCTTCCTTTTTTTGCCCCCTTACTTTCTTCTTCTTCTTTTTTTCTTTCCTCTTTTCTATTATTCTTATCCCCGTCAACCAAAGTCCACATCTTCGCCGGCAGTGATCAAGCGATGTCCGAATTCTCTATAAAATTCCGGCCGATTTCTCGCAGAAGAATGCCTTTCCCCGCTAGAGAAGCGTTCCCTTGGAGTGTGAAGTATGGGCTCTGACTCCATCCATGCTCCAGATACAGCAGCATCAGTCCTACCGTTACCAGCAACACGGCACACCTCGAGAGAAGCCCTGGTTCCATTGCGAGCGCTCAAAACACGGTCACCACGCCTCAGACACCGCAAAAGCCGCAGTCTCGAAACCCGAGCTACAGCATCCCTCATGGTTTTGACAACCTCTTGCACCATGAACCAGAATCCTTCCCCTCCCCCGAGCCTAAATCACCATCTACCTCATCAACAACATCACCACCCCCACCGCCAATCCCCAGCAAAGAGCGATTCTACCTCCACGTTCGTCAACAGCGGACAGGTGCACGAGCCTGTGGTGCAGGAGACCGAGACCGCCGCCCTGTCGACCCCCCTCCTATAGTGCAGATCCTTCTCAGAGACTTTGACCCCCGCTCCAAAGCCGACGTGGAGATCCTTCGCGATCCACGCTTCACCGTGGGCTGCCTCTTATTCCCGGTTCCCGATACGCCAGACACCTGGAATCTGCCGCCAAACCCAGAGCAGATCGAGCGCGAAGAACGAGAACGCAGAGAACGTCAAGACGCTAAGGACAAAGATGACCCCTCTTTCGTGCCCCTCCTCTCCGGGAAAGCCTTCATGTCCCCCTTCTATGTCGATGCAGACCCCGACCCCAACTCGGCCCCTACCCATCCCTCTTTCTCTCCGGCGGCGCCTGCACTCCCCGCCCCCCGCCCACCTGCGCAGTGCGTCCAAGGTGAATCAGCCGGCGACCTTTTTTATATTCGCCGATCTTTCCATCCGATCTGCAGGGGTCTATCGGCTCCAGTTCCGGCTGATGAATTGGGGCGCGGTCGAGGATACCGGCATGGCGATGCCTATTCTTGCAGAGGCGTGGTCGGATCCATTTCGGGTCTATCCGGCGAAGGATTTTCCCGGGATGCGGGACTCTTCGATCTTGGCTGAAGGCCTGAAGGAGCTGGGGTTCGTGGAGTTGAAAACGAGAGGCAAGCACAAGGGTAAGGGACGCAAGAAGTCATGACCGTGGGCGTGGTCCACTACGCTTCTTTTACTACTACCGTACTATGGAAGGACGGTCGAGCATTACCCTGCTATCTATTCGCAAACCTGCGCTGTTATGTGATTCAAGCGGGTGCTAGGATAGGGAACGTCTGGGCGGGGCTGAAGCGGAGTATAAGCCCTTTGGGACCTGGAGCATGGAGGCGTGCCTTGAACTCTTTCGCGGCATATACTAATTTTTTTTTTTTCAATCCTCTTGGTGGGGTCTGTTTCTCCATGTCCCCCGTTCATCACATCACAATCAGATGATCCATGCATGAAGTGAAGGGTTTCTTTAGATTTTCTAGCGTTGTCGCAACCACCTTAAGCAACCAGTGGGCGTTTTTCGGAAGAAACAGACTGAGAAGAAATCAAGTCGAGCCAGGTATAGAACATGATAATGAAGGCTTTCGCAGACAGAGGTGCAAGTAGAATTTAAACCCTTTTTTTGTAAGGTAGCAGGTACTATCCAATGGCCAGAGGCCTACTTTCAAGCGTCCAATAGTATACCTATAACTCTACATTTCCAAGGTCAGACCCATGTACATATCCCACTAGTATTGACATACAAATCTGGTTCCATCTGGCAAATCAGACTGTGCTGCACTAAACCACCCAGGTCTCGAAGTATATACGCACCGATCCCAGTCACGGCACCGTCAAAACAAATTCGCCCAAAGGTCTTGGCAAAGGGCGGATCCGGGGTCATCCGGCGCGGGAGACCAGAAAGCGTGAAATGGGAGATCCAATCCGTAGCCACTCCACGGCCTCCGAGCATGTCGCCAATCCAGAAAGCTGTGACGTTATTGGGTGCGGGAACGCAGGGCACGCGCTTGGCGTACATGGTAAGGTTCCTCCCGTTGCACATCCGCCAAAGCAGAACGGCGCCTAAGCTTGTGAAACATCAGTGGTCCCGCTGCGGCCAACCTGTCTATCTGATCGATAAGAACAAGAGCCAGCTGGATCGCGCGTGGAAGCAGATCCAGTCGCTTCGGGATCAGGGGAGTTACCTGGGCTCGGATGGCTCTGGAAAATGGGGCGATGTTATTCGTGCTTCTAGTGACGAGCTGAAACCGGCTCTCGCGGAGTCCTGGCTGACAGTCGAGGTAAGGAAGGGGGGAGGGGGAAGAGGGGGGGGGTTTTTTTCAAGCATTCTGGGCTACAAGTGTTAATAGTGTGTCTAGTGTGTGCCGGAGTCTCTTGCGCTGAAAAAAACTGTTGTGCAGGAGCTGGATAGCTTGGCCGGGCAGCAGACCATTGTCGCTTCAAACTCGAGCAGCTACACGATTACAGAGATTCTGGATTCCTTGAAGCTGAAGTTCCCCGATCGCTTTGCAAGTTTGCATTCGTGTAGGTTGTCCCTCAAACGATATCTAGTCTAAGGGAAAGCGATCACTAATACCCTCGGGCCGTTCTAGACTGGCCGCCTGAAACCCCTGGTAAGTGAAAGGGAGGGTGGCGAATCCCAACTTGTAGCATATATGACTGACTGGTTCTTTCCAGCAATTGAGATTATGGGAGACCAACATACGCGACCTGACATCATCTCCCTGCTGAAAGAGCAAACCCGACAACATGGGTTTGAGCCGTTCCACGTGCGGAAGTCATCGACTGGGTATATTTACAACAGGTAAGGGATATCATCCAGCGAACGCCCTCCGGCTGGGAAATAAGTGGGGCACAAGCTAATTCGATCAGAATCTGGGCTGCTATCAAACGCGAAGCCCTATTCACTATTCAAGAGGGGGTTGCCACTCCAGAGGAAGTGGATGGGATCTTCAAAGCGGTTCTCAAGACTCCGAAAGGGCCGTGTGAACAGATGGATGTGGTTGGACTGGATGTCGTGCTGGACATCGAGAACCACTATGCGGAGGTCCGCCCGGGACTTCCTGACGAGCCGCGGAAGCTCTTGAAAGAGATGCTCGCTCAGGGGAAATTGGGCGTGAAGTCAGGAAGCGGCTTCTTTGAATATAAGGGGAAAGAACATTGATAGCAAAGCCCTTGCTGCCAGGATGCTACATCTTCCAGGCCCAGTCCAAACTAAACGAGAGACGGAATCTGGAGAATGTGAGCCTTTGAGGGATCTACTTCGCCGCTACGACTTAGTAAATAGTCTGGTAGAAGCGGACTATCCCTCCAACTAGACGTACCCTACTCCCATAGATAGATGCAAGATAATTTATAAAGCCTCTTATCAATACTTGGTATATAAAGCAAATGGCGTCCCGTAATATATTAGCCCGATGTGCCATCTCGAATCCCCAGGGAAGTGCTTCTCCGGATCCATCCATGACACAATGAATTACCATCACAGCACTATATTTGAAGACGAAATCCTTTTGGTTTAGTGTGGCACGACAATGCGTCGGGGAAAGGGTAGCTGGTTTGAGTGGCTGATCGTTCTTGGTTCCTTTTGGCAAGGGATTTTCGAAGGAGTCGCCTGTGTATAGTAAAGAGACAGACTGCTCGACGGTGGGAAGCTCCTCTTCATGAAGCTCAACAGCGGCGGAGTGGAAGTGGAGATGTCCATGGGGTTGATTGGAGCTGGGGCGCTTCTAGCGGCCCCGCATCAAGCATACTCAACGTCGGAAAAGTTTCTACAGATTCGAGGCCTATTCGGAAGCTGGACCTCGTATGGGCATATTCATAAATCAGGACTCACACTTTTTGCTGCAGCAGGAGGCGGGGGACTACCCCTAAATCATCTGCAAGAGAACTATAGTTATGCCGAAGGCAGAATAGATTCAAAGGTATAAGATTTGATGAATATTTACAAGTAGTGTTGTACAGAGAGTCCGGGAACTGCCCTCTAGCGCACCGGCAACATCTTCTTCGGAATGGCAATTTCATAATTGATGTCATTCCAATGCTTCACCATCTCCAGGGCCTTGGGCCCGTAGAGCGGATCAGCATCCAATCCACCTTTCAGCACGTTATCCATCCAAGCCAAGCCGGCTTGATACTGCTTGTCGTCGCGGTATAGCAGGCCAGCCATCATACCGGCCCTAATATCACCGTGATCAACACTGGTTAAGTACCACTCAAAGGCGAGATTCTTGTACTCGAAGATCGAACTTTCGATCGGCGCAGCCCACCACTTCCAGAAACGGCTGAGAATAGTCGACCCTGGCTCCAAATCCCACGTAGACCGATCGTCGGGGTCATACGCAGGCAGAGCCCTTTGGTCCCGGGTGGGGAATTCACCCAGACTCGTGCGGAAGTAAAAGTTGGCTAAGAAGAAACACGCCTTTGCAGAACCGCCCGTAGCAGCCTTCGCCATGGCCTCTTCGTACGCATCGTAATCCTTGTTGTTCATCATCAACGACGCATAATCGACCAGCGCATCGATATCGTTAAACTCCAGCGCCGCCTTGAGGGTCCAATCGTCCGATTTCTCATAGTAATCCTTCGCCTCCTTCCTCCCCTGGCCTTCCAGCCGCGCTGCAACGGAAGCAAAGATCACCGCGCCCAGCCGAAGAGGCGACTCGATCTGGCCGCCCAACGTAATGTCTTCCACCGGACCTGGCCGATCCCGGGTCGCGACCAGGCAAGGCATGATCTTGTCCTCCAATAATTCCAAAGCTTGGGTGTATTTGCCCCGCAGACTCAGAATCTTCGCGTGGAGCAGCATGGCAGGCGGAAATCCCTGGTTCGAGAGCTTTGCAACTTCTTTGTTCCAAATCGTATCCCCCGGGACACCATCATCTCGCAGCTGCTGCCGTGCGACAAGCACGACCGGAATCCGGGCTTTGGCCCTGGCGCACGAGTGCAGAATCCATATCTTCAGCCCTGAATCCCTATGTGTGGTCATGAATCCGATTCGCCAAATTGCGTCGACATCTTTGTGGGGTGGAAATTAGCTCTATGCTTGTTGTGCGGACCGGCCATATGAAGACTGGACAATTGCCTCCAATCCTCGCATAATGGAAACCAGCAGCGACGTACCTGATGAAATAGCCTTGATCGCATTCGCGTTAGGCCTCCCCTCGAAAGAGGCGCGAACCAAACGCCGCCCGATCTCTTGGAACTTGCCATAGCTTATACTGCGCGGAATCACGCCATCCCGAATTCCAGCCTCGTACAATGCCGGCGCTTCGAGCTGCACATCCCGGAGCACTGATTCGTATTGCCCTTCCTTGCCCACGTAAAGGGAGAGACCATCTGAGTCGACCGAGTACGACGGCCGCCCGGCGTTGACCCACGACTGGGCGTGAGCACTGCGCACTTCCCGATCTAATTTCCTTCGCCGAGTTGCAGGAGCCGGCGCTGCTTGTCTTTCTTGGGTGCTGTGAAATGACCGGGTCGTAGCGTGCGAGGGTTGGACATCGGGGGTCAGGAATGGTGCGGGTAAAGCGAGATGTGAGATGCGCAGGAGCGCTGAGGAGGTCGTGGGAAACGCTTTTGGGAGGTGATGCACCTTCCGGAGCGCCATTGCTGGCCTCGCCATGTTAGGCGTCTGTGAATGGTGGCGAGGGGCGCAATGAAACGGGGAGATATTGACGACCAGTGGAGAGGGTTGAGATTCGAAGCTATTTTCGCGCGGAAACTTGGGTAGGTTACATGATCAACTTCCAAAACGCTCGACACCACTCTACTCTAGCTAACTGCTTCACACAAAACTCGTACGCTCAGAACGACGATATTTACCATATTCTGTTTTCTTTTTTTATACGGATTGAACATGCCCAAATGCATCAATTAAACAAAACGAACCCTCCGTGGGCTCGAAACAGTATGCGTATAATGTACATTGCCCTCCACCACTAGGGCCAATCAAACGCTCTAAGATATTGGTCAAGTCGTACAGAAAAGAAGTCAGAGGAGAGAGCCTGGATCCACCTCCATCCACTCCCCGTCTCGCCAGATACAAATCAAAACAATCGCCGTCTTATTCCAACGTTTCCCCTTCTACTCCATGACAGCCTTGGCACCCAGACCCTTGAGGGTCTCGAGGATCTTCTCTGCCTCCTCCTTTGGCACGGACTCCTTCATGACCTTCGGCACGGACTCAACGAACTTCTTGCTGTCCACCAGTGACAGGCCGAGCATGTTCTTAATCTCCTTGATGACCTTGGGCTTGGCGGCGGCATCGAACGACTCCAGCTTGAGGTTGAACAGGGTCTTCTCGGCGGCGGCGGGCGCGGCTTCCTCCTCCTCGGCAGCGGGAGCAGCAGCGGCGGCTCCAGGGCTACCACCGGCAGCCATGGCGAAACCGCCGACGGGGAGGTCGGGGATGTTCAGACGGGTCTGGATACGGACGTGTTAGGCCCACGTTTGCATTTCCGAGAATCGGAGCGTGATTGAGTTTCAATTCACGAGATTCCAGATGAGAGAATGAATTGGAAAGCGAGTTGACTGCTCGTTCAATCACGTAGAATTTTTTTTTAGTAGCAACGCACCTTCAAGCTGGACACCAAGTCCGCAGTCTCCAACAGGGTCAATTGGCTGATCTGATCGACAATCTGTGCGATTTTGGGGTTGGCAGGGGCAGCGGCCGCAGCCTCGGTCGACTCCCATCGTCGACTGCTGGGTGTGCGCGTCGTGGGCAGATATGTGGATGCGATGCGCAGGGAGGATGGACGGACGGAGCCGGAGAGCTGTCGGCAGCAGCGTGCTGCGGCTTGGGTGGAGAAGGACATGGCGGCTGGCGTATTAAATCTCCGGGGAGAATGAGAAGAATAGGGTTGAAGAAAGAAAAGCCGCGTGGGAGAAACACAAGGGGATAGCTTCGCCGCGATGCGTGCAAAAAGACAAGCGTGAGTGTCGGGGAAAATCTCAATGTCACGTGGTCTGATCAGTCAGCAGATTATGGTTTGCCCCGGCGGCAGAGTATGGGAGCACGCGAGTATCGGTCCTGATAATGCTTGTTAATGATGAAGAAGGGACATTAGGGGTATGAATTTCGGCATGATCGGTTGAGCATGATTCATGAGAAAACACCACTTCGTAGTGAGAGCCTAGCTGATCGCGGATGGCTCCGTTATACTAGGAGATATCCACGAAATCAACAGACACATGCCACCTTGACCTGTAAATTCAGCCTCAGCGTGGGTTCTCTCATTTAAACGCATGACTACTCTCCAAATATACATATACACATGTGAAGCAATACTGTACGGATGTATTATAATTCAGCTATACACCAAACGAACTTTTTTTTTTTCGTGATATCGTACGCAAATCTATACCCTCGGGTCTGAAAGTCCGAAGCCAGCCTTAGAGAGAAACAACGTTCATCACATTCCTAAACAGTCATTTAATCCTCGTCCCAGTTGGGGTTCGGACCAGGTGGCTTAGGTCCACCCGCCTGTCGCGCGACGATGATCTGATCAACGCCCAGCACGGTGCGGGCAGACTCACTAGCCAGACGGATAGCCCAGCTCTTAGAGGCCATCAGATCAAGGATGCCCTCATCGACGGCATCAAGCGTTCCGTCTGATGAGCCAACCTCCAGGTCGACGCCAGTAGTCCAGTAGGGCTCTTCGTCGGACTCCTCGTCCTCCTCTTCGGTAGAGTTGCGGTGGTGTGCGGTGTAAAGGCGGGAGAGAACCTCGGTGGCATCGAGACCGGCTGACTCGGCCAGTGTGCGGGGGATGACCTCAAAGGCTTCGGCATATTTGCGGATGGCATACTGGGGTAGGCCGGGAGTCTTGTCAGCGAAGTTGGAAATGCGTTCCACAAGCTGGATCTCGGTGGCGCCCGCTCCGGGGACAAGCCGAGGGTCCTTAGTGATGGCCTTGACGGCGTTCACGCCGTCATCGATGGCGCGCTCAACGTCATCCAGGTGGTTCTGGGTCGCACCGCGAAGGACAATGGTGGCAGTTCGGGTGACGGCAGAGCCGTCCTCTTGTCGGAAGACGGTCACGCGGTCTCCGCCAATCTCAGTGGTCTCGACTACATCCACGCTGCCCATCTCGTCGGGCATGGGGGCACCCAGACGAGCTAGTGGGCTGGCTCCCACGACGCGGCACAGGCGGCGCAACTCGAACTTGGAGAGGATCTTGACGACGAGAATGTTGAAACGGTTGAGGTAGTGCAGGGCAAGGTCGCCAACGGTAGAACCAGCAACAAGAACACGGACACCGGAGTCGTAGATCTCCTTGATGGCGGTCTCCAGACGCTCTTCCTCGCCCTTGGTGAAGTCCATCATTTCTTGGGCATTCTTCAACAGCACAGTGCCCTTGGTCTCGGTCTGCTGGATATCGATAGGGCAGTTGAACACACCGACCTTGGCCTTGCTAGCCTTCTTCACAATTCCATCGGGCTCACGTCCGAAAACCATGCCCTTCACAACCTTAGATTGTTCCAAGCTACCACCCATGATCTTAACAACACGCACGTTATCGACGTTGAAGTTGACGGGGTTCTTGGGAAGCACAGCTAGGACAGCCTCGGCCACCAAACCAGCCAGGATATCCTCTGCGCCAGACTGCTTGCTTGCGATCACCGTTCGGAGGGCCTTGCTGAGTTCTGCAGTCGAACGCATCTCCTTCAGTCGGTCCACCTCGAGATCTAAACGGGGAGATGGCCCATGTTAGCCCACATTTATAATCCATGGCAGGTAAACCCCAATTACTCCTCGCAACAACATACCCTCTAAGGTCTTCAAGGCAAAATTCTGTGCCTTCTCGTAACCCTGCACAATATCACTGGTCTTCAATCCCATGCGAATGAGCTCCTCGGCCTTCTTCAATAGCTCGCCAGCCAGAACGATAACCAAGTTCGTGCCATCACCCATCTCGGAGTCCTGCTGCTGACTGGCCATAACCAGTAGCTTAGCAGCAGGGTGGACGACATCCAATTCACGCAGGATAGTAGCGGCATCGGAGGTCAAGATCATCTTCTGCAGGTGGTTGATGACGATCTTGTTGCGGCCGTAGGGACCGAGGGAGGTCTGTACAGTGCCGGAGATAGCCTGGCAGGCTTCGATGTTGCGGATAACGGCTCCATCCTCGGCGTCGTGGCTGCATTGGCGTGGTTAGTTCTGTTTCTCTGGTGGCTGCTGCGGGACAGATAAGGAGGTGTGGGCTGGCTCCGGTGAGAGCAGGCCCTGCTGCATACCTCTGATACCCAGGCTTGAAGAGCCCAGCCTGGGAGGGCCCGGGAATGGATAACGACATTTCCTGAGGTCGCTTCCGGGAAAGATGCGACTGGTTCTAGGGGTGGAGGGAGAGTGTTTGATGAACTCGAGTGTGCCGGGGGTTTTTTTGGGAAGCTTAACGGGGGGACGGTGGGTTTGCTCCGTTTGCACGAGGGGAACTACTCGCCAGTTATGGACCGATATGGAACTCCCAGTACTGCCTTTTTCTCATAACGAGTATGTAATTTTGCTTTGGATATTGGTTAACTAGGAGATATTCCAGGATTATTGACAGACATCTAATTTACATTATTAAACCCCAACCCCAGTCTTCCAGATCACTTCGCATGATCTAATTCATATGGCCAAATGCACTATAGAATCCAGGCACATGTCTCCCGATGGAGCTACACCCATTCTCCACATAGAGATTATTCGCCTTATCCAATAACTTACGGATAGCCTCCTCCCGATTATAACTCGAAGGATGAGTCGACATGAACTGAGGTGGAGCTCCCTTCTCCTGCTTTTGCATGGACGCCCAAAGCGTCGCCGCAGCTTCGGGGTTGTAGCAGGCCTTGGCCATCATCATGAGACCGATATGATCCGCCTCTGACTCCTGCGTCCGCGAATTTGGCAAACCCCACATAAAATTCATCACCAAAGATGATAGTTGACCCGACACATCGAATAAAAGAGCTGTGAGAAATGCCGCTCCCATCGTCAGGAAGTGGTTACTCATCCGCTCTGCAGGGTGATGCGCGACCGTGTGTGCGATTTCGTGGCCCAGGACTGCTGCTATGCCATCCTCCGTCTTGCATATTGGAAGTATGCCGGTATACACGAAGACCTTACCGCCCGGGATCACAAAGGCGTTCGCAACGCGGTCATCTTTGATGACGTGGACTTTCCAGTCGACGTTTTCGAGACCCGAGAATGGAATAAGCCGTTGCAATACTCGGTCTACTGTTCTTGTGAGCGGGTGCGAGTCGGGCAGCACTTTCCCGCGCTCTGCTTGGAGCGTTTCGCGGTAGGTCTGCTCGCCCATGCGCAATTCCTGCTCGTAGGAAACGATGTTAAAGCGCCGTCGGCCGGTCACCTACAAACGAGAAGCTTGTCAGGAAACTTCACAGGAGATCGAAATTATATCAGAGGGCCAATTTAGGGCTCTAGGTAGTGTCTTGCGCTTACCTCTACTATATCAGTGTTAAGCAAGTAGATGCCCGATATACCGAGACCGATACCGACGAAGTGGATTGGCCTTGCTCGTGAAATTATCGAAAAAAAGAACGACCGAGGACCTCCTCCTCCTCCGCCACCGAAGCGATTATATTGGTATTGCTGATAATTAAACCTGGGGCTGGATGAATATGGCCTTCGGCCGATGGACATTATTGAAGAGGGTGCGATTCGGGATGAGGTACTGCGACACGAATTTAATCCCAAGGGAAGTCGCTGGGAACATGCGTCAGAGTTCCATCTGGACGGTATTCGAGGAGCAGCTGTTGGTGTCTGCCATGGCTGTGCGCGAGTCTGAAGGTTGGGTTGCGCGGATGGAATTTGCGCGCGCGCCGCCCGTAGGAGACGGGCGCCGCTGAGAGGCCGTGAAAAGGGGGCGCTTAGCATAGCCTTGCAGGAAGTTGGAGGTAATAGCGTAGACTCTGAGCAGGATAGTCAAGAGAGTCGAAAGGAACTGAAGCGGACTCGGAGCGCAGGCGGAGTACGAATACAGCTCGGCGATAAGCGCATGGCGATAAGAACTTTAGAAGGATCCAGAGTCTAGTGGGCGCATCCACTATAAGTTGTAACCAGTACATCTATCTTCACGATATACTCGATATCCAAGTATCTAATCACAGACTTGGGGAAAAATATAGAGCAAAGAAAATAAAAAAAGAAAAACGAGAAGAAAAAAAAAATTCCATGCAATATATAGTCATTATTCAGGGCAGATAAATTATGCAAAAAATAGGTAAGTCAGGTAGATCATCATCACTTCAAAAAAAAGCCCACCCCATCCTCACACCAAACCAAAGACCATCAGAGTTATTGCAGAGTAACAAATATGTCCAATATAATACCAGTCCAAACAGGAAAGTATAAAGACATCAAAAAGATAGCTCCAAGCATCATGCTGCAGTCATTCGGGGAACACAAGTGGTATCATAGGGAAAATTGGAAATCGAAAAATCAGGAATAAAGAGGAAACGAGATGTCCAAGTCATGAGCCGACTCCATGGTACAAGGGCTAAAAAAAAATCCGGAGTATGGGGAAATGAAAAGACGAGCGAAAGAAAAACCAGGTATAGAAGCAGTAGATAGAAGAGAGAGGAGAACGAATGAGGCATTCTACTCTTCGGTTAAAGCGTCATCACCCATCTCACGCCAGTCCTTTGATCGGTCAGTCAGACGGCGAACACCGGCAATCCGTTGAGCCCAATGGGCCTCAGATGGAGTGCGGTAAGTGTAGGCACGTTGTGACGAGATAACTCCGATACTTTGCAGGACAGCCTTGCGAGAGTCGCGGCCAAAGACGGCCGGGTGGTTGATCCATTCCAGCGCAGAGTCTAGATCAGCATTCAGGGCTTTCATAGTCTCGGTGTCAATGGACGAGGCTGGGGTGATGGTAGCTGTGTCAGATGCTGACGAAGAATTCTCAGCGAACGACGAGGTATTTGTGTCCGAGTTGGGAGTATCAACTCGGCTGCCCGGTTCGCTGTTGCCAGTTGGCCGGCCAGGCGGCACAGGCGGCAAGCCACCCTTACCGAGGCCTTTGAGGATACTGCGGGTCTCATTCAGCAGATGCTGGGCTCGATCGTGTTGACCGCGAGACACGAGAGTCAGGGCTCGGGTCAACATGTCGGAGGTAAGTAGCTCCATACGACGCTGGACAATAGATGGGTGAGGAGGGATGGGAGGAGAGGATGGGCGCTGCGACTTGGCTCTAGGGTTTGGCGGAAGCATGGTGATGGCAAGGAGTGAAGGGCGTGGGGAGTGTGTGAGGTGACCATCGCGGAGAAGGTCACCATAAGTCAGATCAGCTTGAATCAACGGGACTTCCTCCACGCTAAGCACTCGCTCCCCGTCGCCATCCGAACCGCCAAGTGCCTCCAGTCCAGAAACGAGACTCTCCCAGGCATCCTGCGGTGCATTCTCTTGGGCAGCACTGTCGGGTGTGATGGCCAGTTGCACCAAGACATCGCGCTTATCGCCAAAACGAAGATCGCCCAGGGCTGCTTCAGCATCTCGGCCAGTAGCACGTTTAGTAGTGTGCAGAGCACCGCTGATCTTGACGAATTTGGCCGGTGACCCCTCTGGCAGATGAAGCTTCAACTTCACATTCTGGTGGGAAGTGGTCTGGATAGCACCCAAGCAACCGGCGACACATTCCCGCAGCATCATCCAATCCTTTACATACAAATAGGAACCCTTGGTCCGAGTGGACAGCTCGATCATAGTGTCAGGCTTGTGTGTGAGGCCGAGACCGAACGAATGAATGCTGACTTTAGCAGCCTCGGCGCGAGAGACGACAAAATCGACACTTTCAGGGTCTGAGGTGGAAGAGTCGCTGATAAGTAGAATCGTTGAGACGGGATTGCTGAGCTTGCGCTGCATTAAGAGATCCATAGCCACATTGGCGCCTTCCACAACATCTGCACGAAGACTCTTCTGGCCAACGGGACGGATTGAATCCAGGACCTTGTTCCATCCGTTCCAGCTTTTCGTGGTCATACCGACCACGGGGACTCCGCCGCCGCTAGAGCCAAATGTAACGAGTCCCATGCGGTCTCGGGGACCAAGGTTCTGAACAAGGAACTTGAGAGCATCACGCAGAAGTGTGATCTTCAGGCCTTGCATAGATGAAGAAACAGGGATGACGACGACGAGGTCAAGAGGGACATGGAAAGTATCGATCGTAGGAGCTTCAATGTCTGGGTTGGTGTATTCTGTAATGGCAGTGTTGTTGGATTTGCTAGCACCGTGGGATGAATTGAGCGACGCTTGACGTTGGATCCGGCCGTTACGGAAGTCTTCCTCCTCAGTTCCCGACTCGAGTTCGTATTCATTTGGACGCAGCAAATGGTCCGCTAGGTGAAGGTCTTGCAAGGCCCGTCGCCAGGTCTCGAGTTGTTCGCGGCTGTTGAATTGCAGATAGAAGTAAGGAAGCTCGCTAACGGAAAGGTTGAGAGAGAGGACATTCTCATCGCCTGAGGACTCGATGGACTTCAAGTGCTTCTTGATCAAGATGGAACCCTTCAAAGTACAGCGAGTTGGCTTGCGCTTTCCTGACTCGTCCACCTGATGCTGGGTATTGCCATTGCTCTTCTTTTCCTTGACACAAATGAGCATTTCAGCAAACAAGAAGCATTCCAACTCTTGCCATGATTCCCGATCCTTGCCTACGCGCATGTGACCGTACATTCGTAACTTGCCAAAGCGCTGGAACTCGAGGCCGTGCCAGTTGTCCACTCGGGTTCTCAATTCTTCTGCAATATCATCGAAGTTTTCTGTCGGCTCAATCTGAAGAGACCGGGCCTCTTGTGAGCCACCAAAGCGAGCAGACAAAGGTTCGTCGAGATTGTGCTGGCCGGATGGCGCACCTCGCAAGTCTTCCGAGTTGGGATGCCAACTACCCTCGGGGACTTCGACGGTGATCAGACAAGTAAGAGATTGCTGCTGACGGGATCGAGTCATGGTAGGGAATTCGCTGCGCACAGTCACAATGGGAGCGGGAATGGGGTTTTTGATAGTCGCGGCACGGGGAGCCACTTCCGACTCCATAGCTTGCACGTCGTAGTCATGGCGGCGGCCGCTGCCGGTTTGTTGGGCCTCGTAGTCGCCGGAAGAACCAGTTGCACTGCCATTGCGAGAGTGTGGCGCCCGAGTGGCTGCGGCGGTTAACCGTTCCACGCGTTCCCGCTGACTCGAGGTATCGTGACTACCACGTCGAGACGAATAATTTACAGAGAAGTTTCCGGTTTGGGGAGTAAAAGCAGCACTCTGGGGGGAGAATACTCCTGTTTGAGGGGTGAAGGGAGCTGTCTGGGGAGTTTGCGGGTAGCGATGCCCCATTTCACTAGGGGGTCGGTGGGAGGATGGCGTCTCCCATGGAGTAGGAGTCTGAACGCCACTCCTTAACGTTGCATTGTCATTGTTCATCGTCACCGAGCGCACGATGTTACTAATTTTTTCTATAGTTCCCTCGTTAGAGCGGGTCTTTCACATGTCAAAAGGCCAAATTTTGTTTCTTGGGCCTCGAAGGGTCAAAACCAACCGATATCCAATACATTGCCACCGCGGCTCGTGTCCAGTCCTAACGGCGCATTGCATGTGGGACAATATTGGGACTCGGATTCCCGAATATATTCGTAGAAGCAGGCTTCGTGGGACACGTGGCTGCAGGAAAACTGGAGCACCCGCTCACCCCGCAAGGTATGCTCAAGGGGCTCCTCGCAGACAGCGCATTCGCTGCCGATGAAGGTCCTTTCCCTGCGGGTTCTTGTACGATCTATCTCCATGGGGCCGGTTGGGAGCCTGCCCGATCTCGAATTAAACGACACGCGGGAGCGGTTGGAATGCTCCGGTAAGATACCCGACTCGGGATAGTTTGAGCGAACGGAGCCAGCAACAGTCGAGGGGGGCACGAGGCCGAGTAGGAGTGTCTGTATAGTTGGAGAGGGCACTTTCGGCACGATCAGACTTGCGAGCAAAAGAACGTATGGAACGAAAGGTTGAGCGGGACGGCGAGTCCAGGTGCGATGGAAACTCTGTACGTCACCGATGCAGGTTAGCCATGCGGGGGCCAAATCACAGATTACCTAGGCTGAGTTGCAGGGAAGTATGGAATGGGTCGAAAATGTGGCAGAGAATGTTTGGGCTATCAGGGGAGGAAGGATGGTTTTAGAGCGGACATCCATCTAGAACTCGCACGCGAAGATGGTCTCGGGTCAAGAATGGAGCCTGGGGGGGGGGTGTACCTAGACTTCAGACGAATAACGTACCAGGAACTTGGGACTTGCGTTTAGATCTGCCTAGAAAACCAATTTCAGGTAGAAAGGTGCTTGAATCGCTCCCAGACTTGGAATCCGACCTGGGTGAAGAGCGAGGTTTCCACATGGGGAGTCTAGCAGCCAACGCAGGTGGGGGAAGTCAAGGATAAAAGAGGAAGGAAAAGAAGACGCCCCCGAAACCTAAAAGGAGCATCCAAAATTGAAAATTAGAAATTCAAAAAATATAAATTCCCAAAGGGGCGGATGCCGTTTGGCTTTGGAGGGAGCGAAGAAGATCGCGCTATCACCAAGCGGATCTAGTGGAATACAAAGTACAATTGCAGTGTATTCCGCCCGCTGTACGGAGTACCCGACGTACTGCATGTACTGCATGTACGGAACGTATCACCTGTAAATTCTCCGGCCTTTCGGATTGGCCCAGCTGCAAGTAAATTACAGCTTCGAGATGTGCAATGAGAGGGGGGGTTGCTGAGCAAAGGTACGTAATAAGTAATGAAAAAGACCTAAAGGAAGAAAAAGAAAAAAGGAAAAAGAAAAAAGGGAAAAGAAAAAAAAGGAGAGACTGTAGACGATCAATGGGACCAGGCACAATCTGGAGAATGCGATCGGATCCACATAAAGGTACCTGGTCAGACTAACGAATGGTGACCCATGGGTGTCACCATGAGGCATGCGTGGGTCGGGGGAGGATTTAGAATTTTCTCCCCTGAGTTTGGAGGAAGGCATGGCAAAAAACGTGGTACGACCACAGGGTTTACAAAGTACCATCCACCCTGGAGAACTTGGAACATTGGAACCATCTCACCTAATCACTGCATGACACCTAGGAGATAGCTACATAATCCGAGGCGTTTATGTACCTGGGTGGGAACCCAGGGCTGGAGCGGGTGCTGGTCTCAAAATACGGAACACGACTCAACTTGAAATTAATGAATCCCACCTGCCTTATTCGCGCGCGAAACGCAACCAATCGCCCGTCAGAGGTTCTATGATGTCGACATTAGAAACGCCTACATGAGGTAATCCGTACTATATACTTTTTTCCCGCCCTGGAAGTTGGTTGAGGAAATCGGCCCCTTTAGCCCCATTTACCATTCTGGCTTTGGCTGGAGGAGAACGCTCCATCGTGCGGTGTCCGTGGCTCAAGGCACCATCAGGATCCCTAATCAGTCTTCCGCCGCGCCCAAGAATGCAACCCTCACGCTGATCACCACGAGTCATTGGCCTGATGCGGAGACTATTGTCTTCCGGGATTCCTGGATTTCTGGATTTTGTTTTCTGACGTGCAGAAGTGGGAAGGAAGTGGGTATAGGAATATAAGTGAGGAGTTCTAGCACATGGTCTTCTTGTATGGACGCCCGGCTCATCCAACGGCCCCGGGCAAATGTTTTTCTCTCTCCCCTACCGGAAACCCCATGGTTCTTCGGCTTCTTGGAATGATCTTCACGAGCAACCCATCTAGATCGTCGTTGGTCCGGGTTTAATCGCCCCGCGAGTCCCCCATAAGGTTCACTAGATTTCACTATTGGGATGATCTGGCGGTCGATCGACCTCAAGGTCCCGTTTCTCTGCCAAGTCCAATGCCTTTCGAGGCTTCGTGACTGTCTGACTTCGTGATCCAGTGGGCAGAACACATAGATTTTGCAGGTTCTGCAGAAACACCCCGCCAGCTTCTGCCGGGGTTTACCCGGGAACCCAAATGTGGCCAACTCCAACTCGGAGAACATTCCATGAACTCTAATCCAAGAGTAACAAGACTCTGAAACGCAGCAATTGCAGGGAAATGACATAGCTCGGCGCAATTCCCTTTTGTGAAAAGCAACTCGAGCTGTCTCTGCAGATTCTCATTGGCTCTCGGTAACTGATTTGTCGATCCAAACGTTTCCTGTCACTGCGAACCACAAACTGCTTCGATTGATTTTCTGGTCACGAGGAATAAACTTTAACCTCAATTTTGGGTACTCTGGGTCCCAGGACATCACTGGTTGGTTCTGCGTTTTCTCGAAAGACCCCATTTCCCAGCCTTTCCATAGTCGGCTCATACCGAGGGGTTCGGTCGGGCACTTGGTTGCGATACTGTCATCGTTGGAGTACATGAATCTGGTTCCAGGGTTTTTGGATCAGGGATCTACGAGCCGTTCCCCCAGAGCCCGGGAATCCGACTCGTGCGAGAGGTCATCTGGTCCACTAAAAACCCCCCTTTTATCCGAACTCAGATCATCGCGGGTGGCGCTTAACGGGCTCGCGTTTGCACTTCATCCCCCGCGACCCTGGACTTGGCTTGAATGAGCCGAGAAATGGTGGAAAACCTGCCAAGCACCATTTTACGTGGGTTCAGCTGCAAGTAAAATAATGGTTTACTTGCCGAGCCTAGTTTGAGAGAACTCCCCTTAGTCTGGTGGGTTCGGTAAATGTTAGTTCTGTGATCGGCCTCAAACTACGCTTTTTTGAGACCACCAGCGCATCTCGAATCCACCCAACTGTGGCGATCTGTGCTTGTTGGTGAGCTGAGTAGCTACAAGGGATATACAGATCGACAGTGGCCTGGACAATGGTCACCCCTGTCATATCCAGACCTCCACGGGGTTCGATGGATTCCAAATCGAGGGGCGCTGAAAAGGTCCCGAGTGTACTCTGTAGTCGACAGGTCGAATCAAGGCCACATGCGACCGCTGATTCTGCCTCACGGAGGATTTCTGCACGTGAAGACTAGCCACCTGCAGTCGTATTGGTTGTCGCTCGGCACTTGTGTGGGCTCAGGTGAGACACGCGAGAGCTGTCATATAGGTAGCCCTATGAGGATGAAAGCTTCCCATCCAATCACGCCCGCCACCACGCTCGCGACCCAGGACGGCTCGTAACCACCCAATGTAGATCGATTTTTTTTTTTCTCGTGTTCTTTCCCGCAAGACAAAGGTAAACAGAATATTTTGACCTGCATTTTGATTTCCCCTACCACTCCGTAACGTTTCTTACCCTTCTCTTAGGTAAAACGATTGTAACAAACCCCCCTTAACTCCATAACGGAAGCTAACCTCCCCATATTTCCCTGGTATGCTGTAATACACTTAGCGGCACAGTGGAGATCCTGCAGCATGAAGGCCAGAAGCACCAAGTCTAGTAAGGAAAAGGCCGTACTCCGTACATCGCAATTACATGAATAGGCATTGTTTAGCGGGACTTCAAATAAACCTAGAGGGATCGTCCTTCGACTAAATCTTAAAGACGGGGCATTTAGCTTGCGTGCCCAGTTTTTCATGATGATCATCACCGTTGAAAGCTCGAGAGCGGGGAAATCCCTTCCTGCTACTCCGTACACTCCACCCAGTTCCCCATTCGCCAATTCACGGGAGGATTTTTCTCGTTTGACTGGGCCTGGGCCTGGTCCTGGCCCATAGCTATTTCCTTCGTCTGTGCGGGGGCGTGTTTCAACTCACGAACGACAGCGGGTTGGGCTTGCCGAGATTGACAGCGCGTCCTCGAGGCGGTTCTCCCCCATGCAGGGATGCAAGGGAAACAATCGTTAAGGTTTGGGACAACCGCCTATGAGTGGCCGGACGCAAAAAGACGGCAACACGGCTTCCTGACAGGTAATTATCCCAGCTCTCAGTGGAGCTAAATGCATTGCGCCCTTCAAATTCGTATATTGCTCCGAATCTTAATCCCCAGCTTTTGGAACGTTCGTATTCCGTACAGGATTCCCTATTCTTAGGCCCGCAGGGAATTGGAATAAACTCGAGGCACAGCAAAATCACCGTGGGTCCCATGTCTTCGGGTGGACCTGCCACGCGACCACGGCCTTTTATCTCTACTACATAAAATTCTTCGGGAAGTGATTTAAGTCAAGCGTGCCAGATCGGCTGCAGAGCGACAAAGGAACACTACGAGTCATGATCAAGCCAAGCAACATGGCACGTCAAAACAGCCAATGATCCTTTACATTTGTGAAACCAACAGAAAATCATCTTGAATTCAGCATCCTTTGTGGAGTCCTCCACAAACCAGTTCTCACCCAGTAGCTGACGGTCTCAATCCCTTAGGATGGGTTGATCCGAAACTGCTAGGGCAAATTTGAAACGCGTTGCCAGGGTGAACCCCTGGGCCGGGGAAAGGAAAGCGATCATCTTTTCAAATTACGCACCTCGCCTTCTTTCTCCTACAATAACTGGTGGCGGGGGCGCGAAGATGGCAAACGCAAAGAAGTCAGGAGTCTAGACTAACCAGGCTGATTGGTTCCTTTGGCCATTGGACAGTCGGAACTCCTCCGACCTTGTCTGTGCTTCACCCTTTTTGCCTTTGGCTTAGCCCGCACTGGTGGTATCTTTGCGGCTCTAGCTCGGAAACTCGTTCTCGTATGTTTGATGTTGTATGTATGGCGAGTACGTCCTACGGTATACACTTGTAATGCTCCACGAGTCAATGCGCGAACTGCATGACTCAAAAATCGATCTACGCACTCCGTAGCCCGGCTGTATATAGCTCGAGCCCTTTGGTCCCCAAGGCTATGACTCCGGGCAGCTGGTGTCTACCAGGCGGCGGTGGGCCTGAGTTTATCTGACAATCTCCCCGGGCACCGCGAGTTATGACATTATTGGAGCGCCGGCTGAGCGGCTTCCGGGGGGAAGGGGGAGAGTATGCCCGTTCAAGTTACATCCGAAAGTATAATTGGTGGCACGGCGTGCGTGATGCGTTGGCGGGACGCCACGAACGTCGGTCTGAAAATTGGATATTTCGCGAGCAACGCCATTCAATAGCTTATATTTAGGTGCCCTCGTGGATTATTCGTAAATATTCTCCACGCTCGTGCGCTGCGGACAAAATGGGTGTTCAGCTCGTGGCGAGGAACTCTTGGCTTTTGACATCCCTGCCAGCAAGCGCCGGGCCTCTCCTGCAAGTTCTGACTTTGCTAATATTACGCTAGGCAGGACGCGGATACTGCCTTCTCGGTAGGGCATGCATCAGAACTTCCCGCAGCCTACCCTTCTTTTTTGGATTCCTTCAGAACATTCTCCATGCATTGCTATAGTATTTCAACAATGAAGAATGAGATCGCGGATGATCTGCTATCTGAACTCATGGCTTGCTCTTGGACTTCGTGCTTGAAGGATCAATGACATTCCAAGCGTCTGACTGATTCCGGGTGTCTTTCCCACACTCCACCTTATATCCCTAGGACCGCATTGAGTGTCACTGAGACTATTCACCATTATAATCTCTCGACACTCTTGAAGAAAAATAAACTTTCTTGCTACTCATGATCATATTGACAAGACCCTGTAGGCTCATTAGGTAACAACACTGCTAGTAACTACTGGTAACTAGCACCGGTATCTATCCGTATTCGATGTGGACTGTCACGCATGGGGCAGTCGAGTCAGTTTGGTAGTACCAGCATACTATATTAGTGGTTCACAAATCCAGGAAGCATGCTAGCGTAGTACTGCGAGTACTAGTACGTGAGATGTTGTTGCTACTAGACCTAGACATATGCTTCCCCTTCCGAGTGAATTCCTATATCCGTAATATCTATATTGTTCTCTACGCCAGGATCTTGAATAATCTTGAAAATCGACATGGAACTTGGGATTCTTCTCGCTCCATCCACCACGGCACAATCGGCTCACAGAGCCCATCTTCAGCAGGCGAGACATGTTTCCAGGTCCAAGTTTGATCGATTTTTCAACAGTCACACATCTCTCAAGCTCGTATTTCCGTTCCGCGCGACAAACTATATATCAATTAGACCCTTTATAAATTGCAATACTGTTCATAATAGGAACCACTCGAAGAGAATTTTGGAAAGAACTCCGATGCGCCATAGTAGCATGCTATTGAAAGGGGTAACGTTGCGGTAGCTCGGAATTTAGCCCGATTGTTTCCTGGAATGAGACTTCACGCCTTACCTATTCGATCCGCTGCCGTATAGTGTTGAATTCAGCGCGGCCAGAAGCTCGAGTGACCACGATCTCAACCAACGCTCGTACCCACAATTCTGGACCAAGCTATATGACTTATCGTATGTCGTATCACCTTTGCTTCAAATTTTTTGTCCCCTCAGTAGTCGAGGTATTCGTGAAAATGTAGGCCAGCTCCTGGGTTTGGCCTGTTTGCAGCGAGCACACCGGCCCCCGAAGGGGAAGCCATTAAGTAAGCAGGGAAAGTTTGTTCCCAACATCTTTGGCCCGGAAAAGTATCGTTATCTCTCACCTCATTTCTCCCCCATCTTTCAATTGGGCCCTCTTGCTGCATCATGCTCTACCGTATTGCGGCCCGCCAGGCTGCGCCTCTGCGCCGCCAGGCTTTTGCTCCTGTCGTCCGTCGCTCTGTGACCACCGACGCCGCTACCGCGCACGCGGAGAACGTCCCGCAGGTTTGTTGAGTCCCCTATCGGAAAGCTTGGAAAACTGCTCCGAGCCCTTCAAAGACCCCAATGCTGATTGTAGCGACCTTTTACTCTCTAGGAGGATGACAAGCCCTTCACCGTTCGCCTCTCCGATGAGAGCTTCGAGACCTACGAGCTCGACCCTCCTCCGTACACCTTGGAGACTACCAAGAAGGAGCTGAAGCAGATGTACTACGACATGGTCTCAGTTCGGTATGCGTCTGCTCTGGGATGGATCACACGTGAATCGTTCTAATTGCTTTCATACATATAGTCGCATGGAAATGGCCGCCGACCGTCTGTACAAGGAGAAGAAGATCCGCGGTTTCTGCCACCTGTCAACCGGTCAGGAAGCTGTCGCTGTTGGTATTGAGCACGCTATCACCCGCCAGGACAAGGTTATCACCGCCTACCGTTGCCACGGTTTCGCTTTGATGCGTGGTGGTACTGTCAAGTCCATCATTGGTGAGCTGCTTGGTCGTCGCGAGGGTATCGCGTACGGCAAGGGTGGCTCCATGCACATGTTCGCTGAGAACTTCTACGGTGGAAACGGTATTGTTGGTGCGCAAGTCCCCGTCGGTGCCGGCCTTGCTTTCGCCCAGCAATACAACGAGCAGCCCAACACCTCCATCATCCTGTACGGAGATGGTGCCTCCAACCAGGGTCAAGTCTTCGAGGCTTTCAACATGGCTAAGCTGTGGAACCTTCCCGCCCTCTTCGGCTGTGAGAGTATGTGGACCCAGGGGATTAAACTTTTCTTTTGGAAGGACGAGTTTCAACTAACATGATGATTTCCTTAGACAACAAGTACGGCATGGGTACCTCCGCCGCCCGCTCCTCCGCCCTGACCGAGTACTACAAGCGTGGTCAGTACATTCCCGGTCTCAAGGTTAACGGCATGGACGTCCTGGCCACTAAGGCCGCCGTCCAGTACGGTAAAGACTATGCTGTGTCCGGCAAGGGTCCCCTTGTTTTCGAGTACGTCACCTACCGTTACGGTGGCCACTCGATGTCCGACCCCGGTACCACCTACCGTAGCCGTGAGGAGATCCAGCGCATGCGCAGCACCAACGACCCCATCGCCGGTCTTAAGCAGAAGATGCTCGAGTGGGGTGTCACCTCCGAGGAGGAGCTCAAGGCCATCGATAAGTCCGCCCGTAACCACGTCGACGAGGAGGTGGCCATCGCCGAGAAGATGGCCGTCCCCGACAACACCAGCCGTATTCTCTTCGAGGACATCTATGTCCGTGGCTCCGAGCCCCGCTGGATGCGTGGCCGTACCGTCGATGAGACCTTCTACTACTAGATGTGTTAAGAGAGCTTTTGCATGGCGGTGCTTTAGGCCCCAGAATGTCTATGGCCTAAAAAGAGGATGATTTAAAACGCTTCTCGATTTGGATTTCCCGGTAGGAGATTGGCGCAGCGCATCCTTGTTTCTATCAATCCCTATTCTGTAATTTAGCCGATGACTACTTTTTCTTATGTTCAGACCTGGCACTTTCTGTTTTTTTTTTTCAAAATTTTTTTTTATTCTCTAGAGTAGAGCCATTGTCATCATCTTCTCAGCTTCTGGTGTTTTGTAACTGCTCTCCGTAGGTCGCATATTTGGGGTAAGCGCGTATATCCCATAGTCATTGTAGCACGCCTTAGATTACGTGGAACTTGGGAAGGCCGATGAACGATGAACGTCTTAGGGGACAGCTCGCGAGGTGATTTGGATTGGGACGCTTCGAAAGACAGTCAAAGAATGACTTCAGATGTTTTGATCCGCCATCTTTCCCCAAGACTTGATTGCTGCAGTCATTAGAGGCTGATGTCTGCTGTTAACAACAAGCCCGACCCTCTTCTCAGCCCTATCAGGCTGCTGGGTGCATCTGGAGAAGATTGAATGCCACAAAGAACATGGCCCTTGTTGGTGGCAGGAGGTTCCCACGGGATTACCTATCCGTGTTCCTATTCTTAGGATCCAATTTTTTAACTTCTATTGGTCAAGTCGACGATCCAAAGCCCATGCCCGGCAGAGTCGGTTCAAGTCAAAGAGGTCCCGAATAGCAGGTAAAAAGCAAGAAACCTAAGGATGGAGAAGCAAAGCACAGATCGGGCAGCTATTCTTAGCATCTCCGACCATGACGATGGTGAGATCACCCCAGGCTGTGCAAAGGCTTGGGACTCTGGGCGCCTGATCCTGTGAGACGACCCCAATCAGTGTCCGCCGTGGCTGGCTCTAGTCGATGCTTATAGGCGAAACAGCCAATTACCAGCCCCTTTCCCTCCCCACGCTGGATGTGTATAGTGGCCAACGCAGACCGCCTCAAGTCTTCCGAGGCCGGCCAAGGCGTCCAATCTTGATACCCATTTGGCTTCAAGTTGATGGCATAGGGTGGAGTATTAACTTCCTATTTGTCTTGGAGTCGTCGACAGGTCTCAGCTATTTCGAGTCACATATCATACGGGCTACAGCTGGAGGCCACAACTATAAAGGGACTCCTCCCTTCACGGTGTTATCATCAACAGCCTCTCTATCAATACCAAAAGTTACAAGCAGCATCTTGCTCATTTTCGAATCAACTCGCATCAATCCTTGAATTATTACCTTCTACATCAAAAATGAAGACCGCCGTTCTCGCCACTTCTATCCTGGCTGCTGCCGCCACTGCCTTGGCCGTCCCCAGCAACTACAACTCCAAGCGTACCGACCTCCGACCCCTGGCAATCCTCGACTTGGCGGGAAGCACCTACTCGCAGACTCCTCCCACCAGTCAAGTTATTTCCTTGACCATCAATGACCCCAACACCGGTCTACCAAGCACCACCAACGCTACTGACTGCAATGCCGCATGGTAAGCGTGCCTCCAGTACCTGGATCATTGGGTGCGTTTCGATACCAGGATGGCATTTGCTGACACAACTCTTAGGTCCTTTGGCGAACCTGGATCTGAGAAGTTCCCTTGCGACGATCCTTCGTACACCATCAGTTTCCCTGATGGACTGTTCAACCTTGAGAACTTCACTCTTGAGGTGACCCGTGCCGACGGAGCCCAGTCTGGCACTGCCCAGGTTTCTGGCGTCGACTGGGGCTGCGCAAAGCACGATGGTTACCCGGAGGAGACCTGTGGCTGGGTCGGTGTTCTCCAGGTCCCTCTTCATTAAACTCCAACTCGGAGCTTTGAGTACTTCAAGAGACTGGAGTTCAGGGTATTTGACATGGTTTGAAAGCGCATTGGGATATGCATTGCGAATTTTATATATATTTGACTGCGTTCTTTTTTCGTCCGTTGATAGAGTTGAGATCATTATTTGCTCGAGCTGCCTGGCTTGTCATATGTGTTTAATACGTGGGATCTAGTCCGACGCGTCCTTTCCCACACTAGACCTAGAATTTCTCATGTATCCGACTCGTGCCGTCTGTGTGTGATCTTCTGGAATGAAATTTCTTTCCCTTATAGTATATTACCGATGTAGACATACTGCTGCGAATATTTGAAATTTGGAAGCAGTAACATATTGACTTGTATTGGGTATCATATGAATGCACAAGGTTAATAGAGGAAACAGGATGGCTAGAGCGACTCGAAGACAAAAAAGAAAGAAGAAAGAAAGTAAGAAACTGCGGCTGCATCGAATGCACAATCAGGACGAATTGTGCCGGAGCATCTCCAGAATCAACTGCTGTGTTTCCTGGACCGAGTCAATTCTCTCCCTAACAGCAGCCCAGCTCTGGTCCATTTCTCGGCGCATTTCGGTCTTGATCTCGCGACGCAGCTCTTCCTTAATGAACTCGATATCCATGGACAAAGAATCGTGTGAGCGTTCTCTTTGCAAGATAATGTCTGGCTCTGAACGGCTCTGAGCGCTAGCGTCGGCGGCTGCTTGAACTAAGGCGTCAATCTCAGGCTCGGACCGTGGCCCTGCGCTTTCGTTTTCTAGTAGAGTATCGAACCCCCTCTTTGGCGTGCTACTGATTCGGTTGAAGGTATCCAAGAGACCAAAGCCCGAATGCTGACCTGAACGTGGCGGCATAAGCGGCCCTGGCGGTGAAACTCGTGGTGGTGCTTGTGGTGCTGGTTGGTACTTGGTGGTTGCGGGATGTGGATTAGAGAACATAGTCTCGTATCCAGGAGGCAGTTTCACGGTAGCCGATAGATTTGACGGGGCCAGCAGCGGTGGAGATTTAGACTGACGAACAGCTGCCATAGGGGAAGGACCATGCACTGCGTCCGGTACTGCGGAGTGCATAGGATCATCTCCATGTCCAGGACTCGCGGACGCAGGCCCTCCAACCTGCGACTCCATAGCCCTCTGCCTGTCCACGTTCAACGCCAAGGGATTGGCAGACCCATGAACTTGAGGCTGAGCTTGAGACTGGTGATGAGCCGACGTACGCCGCATGAGCATCTCATCCCGCTTCGCAATGCGCTTCGCCTCAGCCTCCTCCCAGCGCCGCCAGGTCGGAAGCCATTCATCTAGCACTTCACGCCATCGCGGATTCATCTGCTCCTGGCTATGGCTCGCGCTGGACTTGGTGTCTCGGAGGAATTGATCGCGCCGCTTCGTGACATTCTCGACTTTCCGCCGCACGGAATGCCACGAGTACTCTCGGCCAGTAGTGAGCGTAAACTCTGCCCACCCACCCGCCACCAGTCGCAAATCTCACTGCGCTTCCCAAAGGTATCAGCGTGTCGGATGCAGATTTCGAAAAGCAGGATCTCTTCCTTCGTAGTCAGCCGTTTGCCGCTCCGTCGGGGCTCTTTGTCGCTGCCGGGCTCGGTCTCTCGCGTCTCGTGTCCGCGTTTCGTGCCTCGACTGTCGCCTGGTTTGTCGCCGATCAGGGTGTTGTGTCCGTTGTAATCGCCTCGCGTCCTGCCGGTGTAAAAGAGGTCTGGGCTTCCGTCGCCTGCATTTTGTGCTTGGGTGTTGCTGTCTTGGTCTGCTGGTGCCGCGGCTCGCCCTGAGGTGAGGCTCCGAATTGTTGCGGGCGAGTTCTGGATGACGACTGCTATCGGAGACGAGGATGGGCTGGTGCCTTGGTGCCAGACTGATCCAAGTGGCCTGATCCCGGGTGACCTGACCGGACCCAGCGGTGGTGGCATCGGCGCCAATATCGTTTTCTGACAAGAGTAGGAAACGTCTCAAGAAATAAAGTTGAAGATATATGCTCGCCAATATTTGGCGTGGGCCCCTGTTGCTCGAACAGGCAGAGCTGGAAGCTGGAGAACGTTGGGAAGCTCTCGACTGGAACTTTGATGCTGTGCGGAGCGGGTCGTGTCGATCGCGGGGAACTGCCAATCTTTCCGCGTGTACTAACCTTATGGGCGATACTTTTCGAACCGCGTTTACATTTCTGCCGCTACAGCTGATAGCACCCAAGAAGTATTGTAAGGAGGACGTGCCTCTATTTGGTAATTTCATTTACAATCGATCATAGCTATGGTGATACAATACAATGAGCTCGATGCTCTATTGAAAACAGACAAAAACAAGGCACCAACACCATGATAGATATGATCCAAAGTGGGAAAGGCGCTTTTCCTCGCCAATAACAAGGGAAAGGAGATTCTATGAGCACCGGACATATGCAGCTCGAGAAAAATCCGACAGATCCAATGATACAACCCGCGAAGGGGGGGGGGAAAGGGTAATGAAGGTAGGATTAGGGAGAAGGTGAAGGGGTGAAAAGCAAGATGCGGCTACTTGAAGGCCACTCTACCACCGTCTCTTCAGATACCAGCCGTAAGCTGGGGTACTGACAGTCTCGCCGAACGGAGAGGGCACCTCAGCAAGACCAGGACGAGCCACGGGGTGACGCAAGTACACGGCGGCACAGATGTTCTGGTTCACTTCGAGGTAGCGCGGGATAAAAGCAAAGGCAGACATGTAGTCCCGGGGGCACCAAGGAGTAGAATAGGGCTTGGAGTGATCGATGGGGTTGTCGCGCATTTGCGTAAGAGCACGACGCAGGACGTCGAACTCCTCGTCCGACAACTCGCTGGTGTCGACTTCCTCGCCCTCGACCGCTTTCTGGAAAGCTTCTGAGAGCTTGTCTCCGGTATTTTCGGTTTGTGATGCCGCGGCAGCTTCTTGCTCAGAAGGTTGCTCCTTGGTGGACTTCTTTCCTTCCTTTGGAGCTGGCTCAGCGCGCTTGGCCTTCAGAGCCAAAGTCAACTCTGAGAATTGAGCCTCGAGGCTGTCCGTCAAGACCGTACTGGTCGCAGAGCGAGACAGCACCGCGCGTACACGCTTCTGGAACCCACGCAGCTCTTGCTTCCGTTTGGCTGGGAGCACCGACTTGTCTTTTGACATAATAGTCTTGGCTTGACTGATCAAAGCCTTCAGGGTGTCCTTCACATTCTCGTCTTTCTTCTCGATGGACTCCTCTTTAGCCTCTTTAGCCTCCTGCTCCGGCTCGGCCTCGGCCTCGTCGTTATCCTCCTTCTGATCCTTTTGTTTCAATTGACGGGTCTCGCGACGCTCGAACCTGGTCTTCGGGGCCCCTGTCGCAAACATGACACGTTCGGGGTCAACTTGGAAAAGATCGCCAGGGTTGAGAAGGTAGCTGGGGTGTCGCATCTAGTTGTAGAGTAGGTCAGCACCAGGGGCATCGATCATATCACGGGATCAAGAACATACCTTCTGGCCGTTAACTGTAACCGCCCCGTGAATAACGAATTGTCGGGCCTGGCGAGCACTACTGGCAAATAATGCCCGGAAGATAGCAACGTCCAGGCGACGCTCCAGGGGAGCGAATGCCATGTTTGTGTAGGGGACTCGGCGAGACGGGGATGGGTCCTCTGCAGTTTTCAAACCAGATCCCCGGCCAGCAGAGGTTTCAGATCCATCGTCTTTTGCCAGGTCGAGGGTATTCATAGGGACGACACTGCGGATGCGGCGGGAAAACATACGTTTCCACTGGCCCTCCCGGACCTGTTCACCATGATAGGCGCGGGCAAGGGCCTTCGCGGTCCATTTCTGCTGGAAAAAAGTGCGAGAGGCAGTAGGAGGGCTGCGGAATCGCTGCAAGTTATACAGATTGTACTTGCTCCATGATTGACGGATTTTCTAAGGATAGACCGTGTTAGTGTTCCGCAGCGGTGGGTATGGCTAGAGGGCCAATGGCACTTACACCCTTGGACAAGGTGTTGCTTGCCCTGTTCCTCATTTTGACGACTCTAAAGAACTCGACGGTTGGGGGAAAGCTCGGGTTGAATCGCTGCTCGGTCCATCAACGGTATCGCGACAGCCAAAACTTCCGCACCACGTGACAAGGTCTCAGTGCCTCGTTGATGAGGTGTCAGAATTGATGCCTTCTTTACCAGGCCGAAATTAGCCGGTCGCTCATTGGTCAAGGGTGGCGGACTCAAACATGCAACAGTCCATCCCGTTTGGCTAGCGGCTTTCGTAACAGCCCATCCTAAGATAGACTAGCGTCAATAATAGCCGAACCGTCTAGACCTAATTCGGATTAGCGTACTACTTTTACGCTAGTGTCGCTAGCGTGACCCAATTAGGACTAGCGCAGAAGGGGTGCCGGTTCCAGGCATAAATATCTTCGCTTCCCCCCCTCTTGGACCTCTTTTTTTCTTCTTCATACTTACCTTGTTTGGGTGGCCGCGATCATGAAGGCGGTTCACCACAGACTGGGCCCTGCATTGCACTTCGCGGCGGAACAGTCTGTTCAGCGGCCTTCGGGTCTCTGACAGGCGTATTCTTTGGCACCCTCCACGCTGTGGACCTTTCTTTTTCATCATGCCTTGGGTCAGTGACTCGAGTATGGAGAAGAGGATTGCTATCAATGTAGTAGGCGCTACAGTCGGTGTGGGTCAGCTTTGAAGCGCGTCGCACCCGTACTCATTACTGTTCTTGATGCGTAAGAGGGGATCCCTAGTAGTCGTGTAATGTTTACTGTCATGTCTGTTCTGTTCCTCACTGTGCATGACGCGTTTCCTTTCCCTCACGATGCCCACCTTCCTGCTCTAGAGTTCGTTCCAGGATTTCCAGGCCTCAGCCACAAGTTTGGAAAGCCTTCCCTTGCCAATACAGTGTCACATGATGCGTTCGAAAAGAATGTCAACTGTTGGTGTGTCTGGCATCTTGGTTAAAGTGAAAATGCACCTTACATCCGTGACGATCTTCACACCCCTTGCTTGGTCTACGGTGAATTCTGAGTCCGACGTACGGAATATATTACTTCTTGCCCATAGTATCAATGATTCTACACTTGGTTGCTCATCATGAAGCTGTAGTGCGGAGATATTTGTTGTTTCACCTTGAATCAAATGCATACTGCGCTTATCTGGCCCAACACTGACTGGTCTGCTCGCCTAGCCTCACAGCTTCACCTTTCGCAACCTTGTAGTATCTCTATGACCTTCATAACTACATTTTGAAGTGCCAAGCACTTCAGAATCGTGGATCAACATATTTTCACCACTTGCTAGCTCCGTCTCAGAGTCTACCTCCCATACCTTAGCGTTGTCCACGTCAGCAGAGTTTGTGGAGGACGCCTGTATATTATTCATGGGTCAGTACTTCTCTCTGCGCGTCTCCGTACTGATCGGGAGTTCCCTCGGTCCAGGTATCACTCATGGGCTACCTAGGTTACCTTATTCTCAACTGCGTCTTTGATTTTCCAGTTTTAGGCCAACCCTCCCTATGTCCGGTGCGTGGCGTAGTCATTCGTTGATCATTGTCCACTTCCTCAGGGAAAAGTGGTCGTCGAAATTTAAGAGTAGTTCGATATTGCGGATCCATCCTACAGTATGAGCGTCAATGTTAGCGCACCTTCGACAGCCATGTCGGCCACCAGTTGGGTAGCTCCAATATGATTCCACTAAAATCCAGCCGAACAAGGTTACCCTGTTCTCGGAGCCACTTGCTACACAGATTGTTTCGTGTTCGGAAGTGGGACCCGGCTTCCAAGCTGTTCACTAGGTATTTTGGACCACATGTCCACTAAGGCCATGTTGAGTGTTGCCCACAGATCTGCTTATCGCTAGACATCGCTTGGACTTTTACCTGGGCAGAGAATAGGAGAACTGAAGCCTGATACTCAGGCTAGAATGTGTCAGTCCTTTGAAGTCTATAAGTCTAGAGAACTGAATAGGAAATAAACATGAAAGCAGCCTTTGTACCCGGGTCAAAATGGCTATTCAGCCACCTTGAGCAAAAGACCACGCATGCTCTCCTCCGAGTCATAACATGATAACCTTGGAATACTATGCCACGTTGTCAACATTGACAGTGCAAGTTTTCTGAGAGACCATCTTGTCGCCAAACGCTCCACACCCGCTTAATGTGTCGTACTGTTAGCAGCCCCACTCCGCGGTGTCGACTATGCCTGCCTAATGTTGACTGGCGAATTTGCCTTGCCCGTCGTGAAAAAAGCACGAATATTTTCGAAGCATTCGCGCTCGGCCTTTTGATAGGCAATATCCGTCAAGTCACCCATATGAGGCTGTAGAATGACTTGATCACTTTGGAAAAACCACGGATTCGGCGACGGCTCATTCGCAAAGACGTCCAGTCCAGCTCGAGTCACCTTACCGCTCTCCAGTGCAGAGATCAGGGCTTTCTCATCAACAATAGCACCCCGGGCGGTATTGACCAAGAAAACGCCATCTTTCATGACGGCAAACTCGGCTTCTCCGATAAGGCCCGTGGTTTGAGCGTTGAGTGGACAGCTGATTGAGACAACATCACTCTGTGCTAGCAGGCCATGTAGAGACTTGTAGTATGTGGCGTTATATTTCGTTTCTTCGCCCTCGGGGAGCTGGTTCCGGTTGTGATAAATGATTCTCATGTTGAAGCTTGCGGCCTTCTTTGCAATATACTAGGAGCTGGTCAACAAGGAACATGGTAGTGAGGAGCCCGGTTGCGTATATTTGAGACATACCTTTCCAATAGCTCCCATTCCAACTATGCCCAGCGTGAGCCCAGAAGGATCACGAGTGGGAACGAGGTTATCGCACCCGGAGAGCCTCCATATCCCATTCCGGAGACTCTTCTCTGCATTCCAGGTATTGCGCAGCACGGCGAGTATCAAAAAGAGAGCCATGTCAGCTGTCGCCTCAGCAACAGCATCGAGCGTGTTGCAGAACAGAATGCCCTCCTTGTTCATCCATTGCAGGTCAAACTCATTGTATCCCGCGCTTGCGGAGACGATGATCTTGCAGTTGGGGACAAGAGCGCCGAGGAGCCCCTCATCGAAAGGCTCGAAGGGTGGGGTCCCCATGCGAATGATGAAGGCATCGATCGGCCCGTTGGCGGCGATATCTGTTGGTAACAGCTGCTGTGTCTCTGCTCGGTTGCTCACCGGCAGGAACGAATAATCGAAGGTCTTTCGAAACTCTGCAAGATAGTCTGCACCCACGAACTTGGGCTCGCCCAATGCGACTACTCGGGGTTTAACTGGTAGTGTCATGTTGTATGATGTGTGGAAGCGAAGAACGTTCCTCTGTACAGGTCTAAGGAGTGGAACAGGAGGTAAAGCTAAGCGATATCAATAACCCTGTTTGATTCTGGGTCTGGGTTGGAACTACCTCCTCGTCTCACGGAGCTCAAAGATCCGACAAGCCGTGCGGAGTAAAAGTGCCCTACTACTGATATGGAACTTAGATCTAGAAAGCGGCCTACGGGCCTAGATCGATAATAAGATAAGTACCAAAATTCAAATCCTAGGTGAATCAAAATAAGAGGCTAGATAAAGGAAGGATAATGCTCAGAAGGTCAAAGATATTTTCATTTTGGTGGAATGCAGTACATGTATGGTATCTCAAACTCATCAACTTCATAACACATATCCAATAAAGACTCCAGTTCCATGTAGCGCCAATTTAGACATGCAATATTCGATCGTACGGACTACGCAGATTTAGTCACGTCGAGAGCTAGGGAAAGCTTCCGCCAATGACTCTGCCTCCTGCGGGTTGGTCCATTCCTCCAGTAACTCGTGCGCCATGTCCACCGTATCGTCGTCAATCCCAGCTTCTAATACGCATCCGTCGCAAAAGGCTAGCCGCGTGAGCACGACTAGATGTTTCTGTTTACTGCCCGGCACACAAGCAAGCTTCTCCTGCATGTTGATCGAAGCTCCATGTCGGCGCATCACCCCGAAGATGAGTCGCATTAAACCATTTACTAAAACGACCCGCAAATCTTGCTCGGGAGGCGAAGTATATAATGCATCAAGCTCGTCGTGCATGGACCGGAATAGACGAGCCAATGCATTTGGATGTGCCGCGATAATAGCGCTGCCGTGTTCTCGAGTGGGCGCGGCGGGATTAAACGCCAAGGACTCCAACAGAAGCAGAACTTCGAGGCGCATAGCACAGATATCATCTGGAGTGTACGGGTCAAGGCCCTCGTCGGGCTGCGCGGACTCACTGAGCATGTGCGTCAGACGGTCGATAATCCATCTCTGCACGTCTGCCTGCTCTGACTCGGAAGCCATAATGGGGCCAAACGACTCGGGTCGGATGCTGGTCGAAAGCAAGTGAAGAATGAGGATAATATCATGGAGCGACTGTGATCCATGCACCATGACCAGAATGAAGGTATGCCGGATATGCAGCCAGAAGCTTTCGAGGGCGCGCTTGACATGTAAGATCTTGCATGCCACCTGATAGAGTAGACGCAAAGCTTCAGTCGAGTCGACTTTGGGCTGTAAGTCAGCCTGCGGTGTCTGTCGAATGACCCGCGCCTTCTCTCGAGCGGCAGGGGAGTATCGGAATCGAGGGACCGCATTAACCTCCACAGAATCCTGAAGTACACCAAGCAAGGGCCCAATAAGTTCGGGGATAGGAGCATCATCTAGTAAAAGGATATCGCGCACTACGGCCATAAACAGGGGCACCGGCTCGTAATAACGCTCAGTCAACGCCCGTTGCCAGAGTGGCCCAATAGTATGGATGTACTCTACCAGGTAGCTGCCCATGTTGAGGTTGGCCAGTTCATCCAGTACTATGTTAGATAATGGCCGCGCTGGATCCGAAGGGAAAGACATCCGAGAAAGAGCCTCGATATCTGTTTCTTGGCCAGGAATCCGTCGATGATTCAAGAGCCGCTTGATAAGCCGCTTCTCATGCTCACCACTCTCTGGCTGGGGCTTCCCTACTTCTTCCAAAGTAGACGCAGAAGCATCAACTGGGGAATCTATCATCATCGCATCGGCAGCAGAATTCAGCTGCAAAGGTGCTGGGCTGTCTTGACTGGCTTGCCGTTTCCTTTTCCCTGGGACGGTCGGCGTAGCTCGTTTGGATCGGACGGCCGATTTACTGGGCGATACCACGGCAATCTCATCGTCGTCAAACCCATCACGAAACGGAAGTGCTTTATTCTTTTTAGGCGTAACCGGTGGTTGCTTCTCGTCGTTCCGGTGCCTCGTCTTGAACTTGCGAAGCTGATGAGACTCCTCTGCAAGGTCATGCTGGAGGAACACATTCTCTGTTGCTAACATCTTGCCTTCGGACATGGCAGCTTCCACTTCTTCTTTATGCTTTGCCGCCTCGTCGGCCAAGGCCTGGCGCAAATCTGACAGCTGCCTATCATGCTCCGCTATCATTCTCAGTTGTTTTGATCGGATGATGGAGATCTCCCCAGCTTTTGTTTCCAACTGTAGTTTGGCCTCATCCAACTCTTGCCTCAATCGCTCTCTTTCTTGTTCCAGCTTGAAGCGCGTTAGCGAGCTACCTCTGAAAACCTGGCATAGTCCAAGCTCACCTGCTTGAGATGTGCGTCCCATTCGTGATTGTGTTCCTGTGCATATTGGGGTCGATCGACCTCCATTTCCACAGCCATCCGATCCTCAACAGGCCACCCGTTCTCAGCTATCAAGATCGGCTGGTCTTCCGAAAGCCCCATAGGTGCGTGCGCCATGTTCCCATCGACATTCTCATGCACTTCTGCTTCCAGTTCACCGACTTCGAGGGTATCATAGTCGTTTGTCAATCCTGTGTGAAGGCGTGGTGGAGGTTGTAAGGTCGTCGAGCGAGGGTTTGGTTTCACCTGTGCCTGGGGCGTGTAGCCCGCATTTGGAGGAGGAAGCTGTGTCGCCGGGGCTTGAGTAGCCTGGAAAGCATTTTGCTCCAGCTCATACAATGTACCGGGAGGTAACGAATCGAACTCGTCGGAGAAGTAGTCATCGTCGTTATCCATGCCCCCGCCATGAATGGGGGATAAATTATAGAGGCAGAAAGAGGATTGAACAAGAAGGAGGAAGAAAAGGGTTTGATTGTCTAAGGCAAGCACATTCAATTCGCGAAGGTTCTTAAAGTTCCATGCTGTTTGGAGGCGCGAAATGCGAATTGCCGACACGGACGCGGACTGCATGTGTTGTTTGCCTCGAAATCCATCGCAGCCCGAGCTGACCGCTTTCACCCTCAACTGACTTCATGAACCCTCAACCTTTCAAACTGGCTCTTCCCCCTCACTGCACCTGTCCCCTCTTTTTCCCCTCTTCATCCCCCACCTCCCTTTATTTTGGCCTACGATGTCTAAATCGCGCCGTAATGTCAGGTTCCCGCACCGAAATAACGGAGAGCGGCGGCTGAGCGTGTCCTCCGACGTTAGTGATGCGACTTCCGAGCCAACCAGCCTCGGCAAAAATGGCAACATTTCCAAGCAGAGCACCATTCAAGAAGAGGTATCCTCTGTCGCATTACCAGGCAAAGCTGAGAAGAGCGCTAACATCTTCCCTCGGACTACTTTTTAGAAACCTCCGCAATCCGAATATGAGAAGAAGAAGCAGACCTTCATCACACGGACGATATGGACCTTTGTTATGATTGCGGGCTTCTTCGTTTGCATGTTTTCGGGTCACATTTACATTATTGGGCTGGTCACTGCTATTCAGATCATCTCGTTCAAGGAGGTTATCGCCATCGCGAATGTCCCCAGTCGAGAGAAGAACCTCCGATTCACCAAGTCCCTGAACTGGTATTTCCTCGCATCGACGATGTACTTCCTCTATGGAGAGAGTGTGATTTATTACTTCAAGCACGTCTTGCTGGTAGACAAAGTTCTGTTGCCTTTGGCTACTCATCACAGATTCATCAGTTTCACTCTTTACGTCATGGGTATGTGTTGTACTTTATCATGTGCCTGGACCCGAAGTATCAGCGATACTGATTATATTAGGATTTGTGTTCTTCGTTGGCTCGCTACAGAAGGGTCATTACAGATTCCAGTTTACCCAATTTGCCTGGACTCACATGGCGCTGTACTTGATTGTGGTTCAAGCTCATTTTGTCATGAACAACGTCTTCGAGGGCATGATCTGGTTTTTCCTCCCTGCTTCGCTAGTGATCACCAACGACATCTTTGCCTATGTTTGCGGTATTACCTTCGGTCGCACCCAACTTATTCAGTTGTCGCCGAAGAAGACCGTCGAGGGCTTCGTCGGTGCCTGGATTTGCACCATCATCTTCGGTTTCTTCATGACTAACCTGCTGATGCGCTCCAAGTACTTCATATGCCCAGTGAATGACCTTGGTTCTAATATATTGACTGGTCTGGAGTGCGTCCCGAACCCCGTTTTCGTCCCGCAACCATACTCTCTCGAATTTCTCGGCTTTGATAAGACTTTCTTTGTCGAACCTATGCAATTCCACATTCTGGCCTTTGCCACTTTCGCATCCCTCATTGCGCCCTTCGGCGGCTTCTTTGCATCTGGCTTGAAGCGTACTTTCAACGTCAAGGACTTCGGCGAGTCGATTCCCGGCCATGGTGGTATTACCGACCGCATGGACTGCCAATTCATCATGGGCTTCTTCTCTTTCATGTACTACCACAGCTTCATTGCTGTCTACCGCGCAAACGTCGGCGAAATCATTGAGACGGCCATCAACGGCCTGACAGTAGATGAGCAACTCGAAGTTGTCCGCGGCCTGGGCAAATATCTGTACAACCAGGGTGCAGTCCCAGAAACGGTATGTGATTCTCTATGTTAGTGTTTTCTTCTTTGTCTAACTTTGCTAGATTCTGGACTGCCTTTCCAATGAACTCAAGCGTCGATGAGCGCCAATCGCCACCCCTCCCCGTCCTAAAAGCCCTCACGACTGCCTATCTACACGTTTTTCGCCCTTGTAATTCATTCTGAGGACCATATACACCTCCCTTCAATACCTATCACCTTCTCCGATAAACACAGATTGCCGATCTTCTCTCGTCTTCTAGGATCGCCGAGCTCTTGTTCATTGAATTCATACATACCGTTGCCTGCACGGGCCTGGTATGATCATTATCCTTCAATCCTCTGCCTTACAGCCTTGCCTTGACCGTGTCATAAAAACGAAATGAATGATTTGGTGCTTGACCAAAAGGGAGCCATGAAACACGCTCCGTCCGAGGCATGGCAATGACCATTTTCTTCGATTGATGGCTGTCTTCTATTTTTGTCCCGCATGTGGGCCTATTTGTTTTCTTTCAACGTTCTGCTTAGTGACCAAGGGCAACGCATGGCCCGGGTCCTTTTGATGAATTTTCGCTCCAACCGCTTGCTGGCTGATGATGGCCGTGCGATTTTGGTTCCAGGAAGAACTGATTCAGTTTCGAACTGGGATCGTGCGGATTTGCGCTTGGAATGATGCCCTAGCTCGTAATTTGTACATAGATTGCAAAGGGACTGACTGTTGAAGCTGACTTCCTTTTTTTCCCCCCTTCGTAGTATGTAGATTATTGTACTACAGATCGGACTGGCCATTTGCCTTGCGGTTTCGTTCTAGACATGCTCTCGCCTGTCTATCTTAGGGCAGCTAATCTCAAAACAATGACGGCCATTTCCCGAGTATTGGGCCGGTACGATCCTTTACTAGATTGGCCGCGCATGGACGAGAGCTACTAGTAGAGGCTACTGGCTAGCTCGCTTCCTGAAAGTATTTTATATAACTACGACTTTCAATATCCTCGGTTTCTTGAAATTCATGAGTGTTCATTAGATCTCAGGATCCTCGTAAGAGTGATCAAAATGTCCTCGTTAAAAGTTGGGTATCATAAAAAAAAAACTTTCGAGCGCATGGCAGGACCTTCCATAAATCCAGAGCTCATTTTGAAACGCGAATTGCAGATGGCCAAAGCCCGAAAATCAAGATGAACCATCCAATGCATGAAACACCTTCAGGATGAGAGCTTGCCTTCCAAGCCCCAGATCAAAACGCAAAGAATACACGAGAGATGTGATAAGTTCCCGATTTACTCCTCAGCCTCATACTGCTCCTCCTCCAGCTCGAAGAATTTCGAGACCTGCAAGCCTTCTGCTTCGGCGATGGCGGGGTCAAAGATGTAGCGCACGGGGTAATTCTTGGCCGTCTCGGCCTGGTAAGGCTCGCGATTGGCAGCAACAGGCAATAGAGGGTGAGCAGGAGTCTGGGGCTTAGATGCGGCCTCATCTACCCAGCCAGTGTACCGGGGGTAATTCTTCTCCTTGGCTTCCTGATTGAGAGGGATACGGACAGTGAGGAACCGATCTGCGGGGTAGTTGTCGCCGATGTGGGTTGCCACACGCGAGTGAGTGTACATCTCTAGAAGATCAAAGAGGGTTTCTGCTCTCTGTTAGCATTAACCAAGAAGCGGCACGGACGACGGCATGACTTGCCCATGATTTCTTCACGAGAGGTGTGCCAGAGAGCATAGTTCTCTGGCTTCTCTAGCTGCTCGCTCCGCTGATTCTCGAGACGTCCCGCAAGCTCAAGAGAGGCGAAGGCCATGGTGACGGGGACCATTTTGAGTGGAACGTAGGTGCGGTATGTGTCCAGTAGAATCAGGGACGCAGTAATGCCGTGCGCCTTCGGAACATTGAAGTGCTTGGTCAACTTGTGCATCAGCTTTTGCGGGTGGCGAGTGCGGAAATCAAACCCGGCAGCCTCAAGCATGAGTCTCTCGAGCGAAATGATGACACGGGAGCCATTATCGAAGTACTATTAGACATGGCTTAGCCAACATTACTTAAATTTTTTCGGCGCATAACAACATACCTGGTGATCGGAGGTCATATGTTCATGTGGAGGGGCATTGACGTTGAATATTGCGCAAACAATCTCACGAGACTTCTTGAGAGTGTCTTCGGTTTTGCAGGCAACAAACAGGGCAGCTGCGGCGACATCCTATATCGAGTCAGAAAAGCCACAAACAAAACGGTGGGGATAGTACCTTCAGAAAGTAAGTGTCGTCTCGGTGAACCAACCGGAAACGATGAAAGTAGGTGGCTGCCGTTTCAAACGTGGCAATGGGCCTGAATTAGGATCAGTATATGCCACTGTATTCAGACTTCCCTTGGTCAATCAAACCATGGATTATCAGAACATACAACTTGAGTAGCTTGCGGGTCCGGTCGATCAAGCCAACTCCGTGAAGGCGAGCATTTTCCTCACGAGTTGGATCAATTTCCAGAGCTCGAAGGCTGTTCTGAATATCCTGTTCAGTCAGGTAGGCCTTGGTCGCCAGAACAAACGACGGATGCACCGCTGGAGGCGGAGGTGCAGCCAGAGGCTGCTCCTCCGAGGGAGCAGGGCGGTTGCGACCTTCCGGCAGCATCTCCTAGCCTGTCAGGAGCTTGCTTGGGCTCCCGCTAATAAATTGGCGAGCGGTATATATTTGTTTTCTCGTCCTTTTGATCCTTGAAAGTAGAGGACGCAAGCCCGGGGAGGATCTCTCGAAGAATATCCATCTTGTACGCCTCCAAACGAGGGCGGTGCCGGAGAACATTTTTCCGAGGTGTGCTAGGTGCGTCGCAATATGAGGTTGAAGAGCATGAGTGACGGAAATATTAGGTTAGGTGCGTGGAAACTCTGCCGTGATATGCGTGGAATTAGAGTCACCGTTTTGATACATCAGAAATCTTAATTTCGGGAAAATACATGGGAAAAAAAGAGTGTAAGAACTCCTTAAATACTTCGGCAAGCCCTTCAGAAATCAGCGCAATTGTATGCGCAGCGTAGCTATGAGCCGCGGCACAATTCATGGGACGCCCCGCCCAGCACGAGTGGCCTTTGCCAACTCACTCTGAGCTACATTGTCCGCATATCGTTTGTAGATCGGTAAATAATGCTCCCGCTCACTCGAAGTGTTCTTCACCGAGGCTCTGGACTCTACTGCATCTAACCATTTTCGCCATCGAGCCCAGGCCGATCCATCCTCTCCTGCACCCTCGTCAGGAATTCCCAGACCTCCCTTGTAATAGTCAAAAATCCATAGCCGGGTTGCCCACGGGGCTAACACAAGATCAGGAAGAGAGATCTGTGATCCCAAGAAGAACGGTCCCTCTGGATGAGCTTCCTTTATCCATGCCTTTAAGTGACCGAGAAACTCCTGCCTAGCTTGATCCAACCCTGGGTCCTTTGCAGCTCCTTTTTCGCTCGGCTGGAACTGCAGGAAGCGATGGAAGGAGGGGACTATTCGAGATGTCACATAGTCTATCCAGATCCGGGCTCGGGCCCGCTCATATGGGTCCTTTGGGAGAAACGCTGGACCACGGTCTGGGTAGGCCTCCTCGAGGTACTCCAAGATCACAGTGGATTCATAAAGGGGCTTTGGTGGCTCAGTTGGACAAGCCAAGGTCGGCACTAGCCCTCGAGGGTTAAGGGAGATTAGCGATTCCGGTTTGTTGTATGGGTTGACTTCGATATACTGGTATGGGATCTGCTTCTCTTCCAGTGCAAGCCACACGCGCTGAACTGCAAGCTGTCAGTCGATTGTACAAGTAGAGCATGGCAGTGCCGTACCGAATCTAGACATGGTCAGCGTCAATCTATCTTGAGGGTTCTGGAACACGAACGGACAAAACCACCCTGCATATAGCTTGAGTGGCTGCTCCGCCTGGTGTTGATCAACCAGGGATTTAGCAGCCCCAGTGGCTTCGGGATGGAGATCAGCATCGGGATGCGCAGGCATATTTGGACGGTATGCTAGGACTCGTATTTGAAGAGGTAGTAAGAGCGGGGTCGACAAGGAGTAACATATCCACCTGGGCACGTCAGAACTGGATGACATCATCTGCGTCACAACCTCGCCCTGTGAAGTTCAGGCTATATAGAAGCTATCTTAGCCACAGCCAATGTGAATCCCAATACTATGTTCAGCTTGAAGTTACAAGCTGCAGATATCCCTTGCTGAAGTTGTTCGCATTTGGGCGCGTTCTACCTATACTAGTCATAGTAGATTGGCAATCCTTCAGTAGAAAACGAAGAGAAAGAAAACAGAAATAAAAATAAAAATAACTGAACATGCAATGGTATCGCCATGAATTGAACCGGAGCCCTGCAGAAAACAGCCCTGGAGAGTCGTTTCGAAATGGCCCTCTCGAAGTGAGGCGAGAAGCCTCATCTCTATTTTTGATATTCGCCCATTTCTCGACAACAAAGTAAGATACAGAGCTGTGGATAGGGTCAAATGAAAGAGACAGACCACTAGAAGATCCAAAATAAAAAAGAATCACCCCCCATACGCCAGATGTCTCCTTTGTATGGGGATCCCGCCCACCCCCCATTTCCTCTCCGACATCACTTCAGGCTGGGTGCACCAAAAGTGACGGGACTGTACGGCCGGTTGCCAAGAGTGGCTAATGGGAGCATCCTCCCACTAGACCACCCCGGAGAGTTATTGCAAATGAGACTCGTTAATTGTCTTATAGCCCTGTCCGCCAGTCTTTCAATACCGGCATGGGGAAGTTTCCAGTCTGTAAATGCACGGTATACTTGTCGGGCTTGAGGCCATCTAGCATCAAGTCTATATATCTATGGCTCTTTCTATCATACCCCCAGCAGTCTGAATCATCGGAAGGTTTGTGGTCTGTGAGCGTGACCGCCAGGCTGAGACAAGCGACGTTTGTTGTGTTGTTTCGAAGAAGCAGGATATTTCCATCCAGCACTGTCTTGTTCAAGGCTGTCCAATCAAAGCCTCGTGCAATCGAGGGAAAACTTTGCCGCCAAAGAACAGCTCGTTCGGTTAGTTGTAGGACTGACACGAAGAAGACGCCCTCACGCTGCCGGTTCCGTTGGATTAAACTTGTGCCCCAGTTATGCCACCAGCAACCCCTGGTGAGGATTGCGAGAACCGATTGCGAATGACGCATTCATAACATTCAAGTTTACAAAAAGAGAACCTGAATTGAAAAACTCTGAAGGCCACAAGATGCCACATACGTTAACCATATCCTATGCTCCAAGGCAGCTGGATTTCCCACTCTCGGGTTCATTACGATATTCATATCTACATATCGTCTTCTAACGATAGTTGACCATCTGGCAAGATCTGAAGTAGTTCTTATCATATGACTTTTATGTGAAGCTGGAGCTGTTTCCTAATGTGGGAAATCAGAATGCTCGTCTAGGGCTCTGATGTCCAATGAGTCCAGCCATATCGCCAACGTCTATCTACTCGTCTTTGCCATATTTCCGGATCAGTTTCTGCATGATCGAAACCGCACCAGAGCGATAGCCCCCTCCAAAAATAGCATGATGGTTCAGATGGTGATACCTAGACAAAAGTCAGCCTCGAACATCAAATCCTCCCCCCCCCTCTATAAAGAGCAATACTCACAGCTCATAAAGTCGAATCCGATCCTCATACTCCTCCACCGGCTCCGTCTTGGGCACGATGCGATGGTACTGCTCGAAGAACTTGCTTCCAAAGCCCCCAAACATATGCATGATCCCCAACTCATACTCACTATGCCCATACACAGCGGACGGATCATACACCACATCTCCAACTGTCTCCTCGCGCCCCGTCCCGACAATCTTCCCCCGATCCGCATTCCCACTCCACAGATCCCCATGCACAACCACAGGCACAATGCCCTCCCCTTCCCATCTCGAAACCCCAAATGTCCATCCCCCAGTAACCGCGGCACAACCTTCTGCGCCGTCGCCTCCACCAGCTCCCTCAATCCCGCATCTCGCCCATTTCGCGTCTCCGACGTCCGCAGAATAGTCATCAGCCGCTCCTCCGCATAGAACTCCGCCCAACTGTCCCGGAACCGATTCTCCTGCTTCGTATCCCCGCAGAACGTCGGCACCGGGAATCCAAAGCGTCTCCGCCCACTCTCATCCGCAGGCGCCGGCGTGCTATGTAATTTCCCCAGCCGAGCCGCCAACGTCGTCGCGCTCGTCTCGTTGCCGGTACTCCGTCCCATTGCCCCGCTCAGATCGAGGAACTCGGTCGCTAGGAAGAAGGTGCGCGGGGAGGCCGCGTCTTCGTCGACAGCGCCCCAGGCCAGTGCGCGAGGGCAGAATCCGGGCACTGCGTCGGCAATCGCGTTGAGAGAGGCGTATTCGCCTTCGAACATTTCTTTGGCGGCGGTGCCATCCGCAGAGGTTTTTACAAAGTAGCGGCGCTCGGAAGGGCCTGCTTCAGTGGGTATTTGGGCGCGGATTGAGCCTGTGCTTGTGAAGCCTGAGCCTAGGCCGGAGGTTGAGAGGGTTACTTTAGAGGGATCGGATGGGAGGGAGAGCGCGCGGAGGATGGGCTCGGGGACTGGGGGCATGATGGGTGGTTTTTGTGTGGAATGATGATTGTTTCTTGATATAGTTTTTAGATTTGTACGCAGTAATTACTAGGAGTGCTGGAGAGGGTATAGAGGGGATATGAGCTTGACAGGTTCTGGAGAAGTATGACGTTTGATTTCTCCACTGTGATAAGGCGATAAGAACCGATCACTAGATGTTCCCCCAATAGATGGTTCGATTTTCCGTACACACTGGCCATCTAGAGGTAATCATTGAAATACTCTCGTTAAAAAAAAGGGAGAGGGAAAACAAAATCAGAATTCTAATCTCATCGCAAGTTTTACCTAGAAGGCTTATTGCACAGTTAACAACTAAACGCCGCGAAGTCTTGATCTGCATTACATCGAAGTCCCATATTTCCGCTCTTGTTCAGCCGAATTTGTTCAGAAGATGCACAGCCGTCTTGGTGCGCTCTTTGATATCCAGATCCGGGTCCTCTGCTAAGCTAGACAACCGCTCTCCGATTCCCAGGGACTTGAGCTTGATTGCCCGCTCGCGACAGCCTTCAAAATCCGTGGTATCTTCCTCGTAAATAAGGTTGATCACAAGCCACACACAGCTCACCCGTACGTCACGCGAGGGGTGATCAAAGTAGCTCTTCAGCGACCAGAGGAGATCCCCGTGGGACATCAGGACTTGGCGATGGCGCGGGGTGCCGGCAGCAATGTGAACCAGGACGGCAGTCACAGCGACGAGGATCTCGCGCGGGACCTGTATAGCCCGGCTTGACGGGTCACGGTGGGGTGGAAGCGGGATCGAACGAGGACGCAGGTTATCCGCCAGCGCGTCGAGCATGGCGTCCTGTCCGATCTTGTCGAACAGGTAGTCGATCATTTCGGCGGCTCCCGTTCCACAAATGATGTTTCGGATGAGGTCGAATGTCTGCTCTTGCACAGCAATATCATCTTGCCGGGATTGGGTACTCTGCTCAAGATTACCATGAAGAACGAGTTTGCGTTGCCGCCGAGCATCGGGGAAGAACTTGTCAAGTGTTACCTTCGAAGACGGCGTGCCGTCATCCATCTTGGTATCTCCGGCGGAATCGTTCGTGTCCTCAACCGGATTGAGGATATCGACTTGTTCGCCGGCCGAGTTGGCGCGGCCCATCGCAATCTCGGTACTCTGGTCCATTTCGTCGTCCTGACCACGGCGGGCGAGGGCGTTCACGGGATCTTGGGTCATCACCTGGTGGAGCCAGGTTGGACTCAGAGCATCAACTACCCTCATTTTGATGTCGTTTCCACTATTGTACACAACATGCTTTAAAGCCCATAATGACTCGATCCGCAGCTTGATGTTAGGCGAGTGTGCATTTTCACACAGAATTGGGATAATGTTGCTAGTAATGATTGCCTATAAAAGTGGTAAGTAAGTTAGATCATGCCATCAGATAAAAACAGAAAAAAGAAAAGAAAAGGAAGCATTTACCTCCTTCATTGGGCTGAAGTCCAGGGCTAAGTTACAAATTGCTGCAGTGGCTGCAATTTGGACATCCAGATCTGGATGCTTCAAGAGGGTAAATAGCGGTTGAGCTACTCCCCCATCAATGAGACTTGTTCGAAGCACGCTGACTGACCTAGTGAGCATACGGGCTGCCCCACATGCAGCCAAAAGAGTCGGGGTTGGGTTCCCATCCGCGGCGGAGTTCTTTGGCATAGACGTAGGATCAATGGGTGCGTCTCTGGGCCGCGGCTTGAGAGAATCAATGATGTAGGGTACCACGCCATATTCGCAGAGCGATTTCCGATATTCATCTTTGAATGGCACTAATGCGGCCAGCGCCTTAAGAATATTTTCCCGGTACCGCATCACATGGCATAGTGAAGGTGAGTATCCGGGTGGCCCGATTCGACACTCTGGGGACGTGGATTCATTAATCTGGGGGGTACTATCCCCTTCCGAGAACCACATTGGGCGCTGGCACTCGGGAACTGGGTTATAGGTTTCTTTCAGAAGCTGTGACAATCTCTTCAAGGCGTTACCCTCCACCGCGTGCCTTTGTAGCTCCTGGTCGTCCATGACTAGATTGGCTAAGACAGCGGGCGCCTCTTCCTTCAAGCGCTGCGTTGGTGTAATAAGCCCATCGCCAAAGGAGACAGGTTCATCCATTAGCTCAAAGTCCTTGTCGAGCATACGGAGGAGGATTGGAACCAGCAAGTAACTGAACATAGGGACTCGGTGCTTTTTCGCAAGACCCAGCCGGAACAATGCCGTCACAAGCCGAGCAGCCATCAAGCGGAGCATACCACTCTCTGAGCGGACCAGACATAAAAGCCAAGGAATGACCGAGTTTTCATCGTCTTCTGCGGCCGGCTGAATTGGAAACGAAGGGCTGGTGCGAGACTGGCTATGGCGTCCATGCTGGGGTGAGATGCTTCCGATCAAGGGCGGGAAGTCCGATGAGCCCGGCGACCTCGTGTTCGCAAGCGGGACAGAAGGCAAAAGCATATCCACTGGATTTGTCCCAGAGTTGCGCGGTACAGCAGACCCTGACAGATACGTTCCACCCCAAGGGCCCCTCTTTATGTCTGATGCCGCAAATCCAGGGTCTTGTTTGGGGAATACTGTCACTAAGCCCGGCGAAGAAAGGAAGTGCCCTGCCCGCCACTTTGACTGCTCGATGATTACGGTGACTGCACGGAGAATTGGCGCCAACCGCGCTGATTCCGGGGCCGGGGGAGGCATCTGACCCAAGGCACCGGGCTCCTGGACATAGTTTTCGGCACCAGGCAAAACATATCCTTGAGCAACCACGAAAGAAGCAACCTTGATAGAAAGGGCATCCAGCACCCCATTTTCCGCAAGTGTAGTTTTATGTGCTTCTTCGGTGCATAACTTACCGATCAATGCCGCAGCTAGCTCAATACAGGCCTGACTGCCATGGTTGGCGTAATCTTGCGCGATTATTCTTCTAATTGCGCCGATTGGCTCCGAGGCAAACACAAGATCGGCCAGACGTGTGTCTTGCGGGCCCTGATCTTGGCTCAGCAGCGGAATCCTGTCTGCAATTGTGTTGAGGAGTCGAAGGATAGGAAGGCGGAAAGATGGCGGGCAGTCTGGCGAAGAGAGCGTCGCAAGAAGATTTGGAAGGATATCGCTAGCGAAAATCGGGGCAAGAAAAGTTGGACCACCTGCTCGATACCATTAGCTCAAGGCTGTACGACATAGCTATTATGGTTTGCTTCGCGTGTTGCCCATGCGTAGACATACCTTGCGCTAGGCTCCCCACCACATAAATGGTTTGCAGGTAGACCTCAAGCTCATCCGAGTTCTGGTCCGTCCTCGCCGGAGCCAGGCCATCGCTGGATTCCCCCGTTGGCCCAGGCCATTGCGATGCAAGCTGTTGGGCCAGCAAAGGGACAATACCGGCCACTATATAGTGTTCTTTTCTCTGATCGTGGCCTATCAATTCGTTCTTCAGTGTTCGCAAGGCCGCAACGCGGGCGGAGGCTGTGTCCGCCTTTTGCAGTTGCAGCAGGTTTGGCGGTGCGGATGCTCGCGTCATCGTCCTCGACGACCACCTCCCGATCAAGGGAATGGCCTCGAACTGAAACTTGCTTCTGCGGAGGTGGAGTCCAGCTTGCGCAGGTAGGATGGGCACGGAATTCCAGTGGGAAGGGCCTTGGCACAGCTCGATGTCGAGATAAGGAACGATGGGTTGGAGCTGGCCGAATTCGGCCGGTTTTGAGATGGACGCGGGGAAACAAGTCGCGTGGTGCGAGTCGCCAGTGGAACCAAAAACTGTGAGCGCTCCACTCCGGATGGCGAGGGGAAATGGAGGTAAGTTTCGATTTTCTTCAGGATCTCCAACGCCCTGTACGTCCGTAACGCTTTGGATAGCTCTCTTCGATGTCTCTACTCCACTCCGCACCTGCGGGCCTCATGACCAGATTACATAACCTATTCAAGGCCTGGACCTGATGCCTTGGTGCCTTGATGTCTTCATGTAAGACTTTCAAGCTGGGCTGCAGTCTTCCACAGAAACCACCAACTGGAGGAATACCTCCCAAAATGAAATGTGTCGTTTAATCCACCGGGCCAGTCGGCCGTTTCCGAAGTAATTTGACTCGACAGTTGCCTCAATGTTTAAAAGTAATTCGCCAGAGTTGAAACGACCAATCCCTCCATAGAGACGTAGTTAGCATTGGCTCACTGCTGGCATCGCAATTTAATGGGGTTCTCCCTCATGTAAAGCCTCGGAATTCAAATGAGTCCAAGTCTAGCCCTAAGCGATCGAGGTATGTTCGCAGTAATAGTGTCAGATGTGGCCATAGCTAAGGCATAGACTGCTAGTTCGATGGGAGCAAACAGTCTTGCTGATATGGTAAGTATGTCTGGTCTAACTAGTGAGTACTATTTCCGCCTATACACCGCATTTTCAGTTTCAAGTTACAAGCCTACGATACTAGTATCTGGAGCCAGCGCTTGAATATGTCAAGTTCTAGTCCTATGACGATCTGGTCTCCAAGTACGGAGTAGTACCTGCGTAAGAGGACTACAGTACATGGCTCTTATCTAGACCGCGTTTGGTAGATAAATTCCACCTATGTGCAGTACGCAGTACGGTGCGTCAGAACTTTAAAGCATCTGGATCCAGTTCCGAAGGACTAACTCTCCCTTCAAGTTCAAGAGCCACTCGGGATATGCCCCTGGTAGATCATGGTCAAGGCTTTCGATGCCCTCGCCAAGCTTGAATCAAATGCTACATTGGGGGAAGGGATTCGAAAGCCTCCGGGGCTGAACTGTGAAATTACTGTGTACGGAATTGATACACACATACGCAGTCCCAAAGTCTGTGCATAGGTGGAGGCTCCCGGGTCATTTACCATCCAGTCATTTTGGTTGGATTGAGGGTCATGGCGCGATGCGGCATTATTCGAAGTCACAGCGGGTTCTACCGACGCATTCAACAATTGCGGGGGAAGGGGAAAGTGAAGAACGTACATGCAGTCAATAGAACCGGAAGAGCATGGGCTTTGGGCCTCACCGGTGAGGCCGAGTGCGTGGACAGATATGCTCCAGTCGACCTGTCAAATAGTAAGGGTGGGGGGTCTCGGGGCCCCTGCACGTAGTTATTGTGCATTTAAAAGGATTTCGATTTGTCTTGGCTTGTGATCACCTGCCGATTTCGAATTTCATGCATGGAGGCAGCAGCGGAAAATCGAGGGTGCAGAACCTTGCCGTTTGAGACGCCCTCTGCAACGTGTTTCACAACAATACTAGATCGGCCATTGTGAATAACATTTGGGGTCTCAATGGCGATCAAATACCAGATCTTGTTTGTACTTCCAAGAACAAGCCCCATATCCTCCTAGGGCTGGTCACGGGAGTCAGGCTCAAGATGGAATAGCGAAGATCAGTTCCACTTGATATTGATATATAGTTCTACATCTGAGATCGAGGCCAGAGGATCGAATCATCACCAGAAATATGCTCGAATCCAGTCAGAGGTCATTTGTGGGAGAAAACCCTTGTGCATAGTAGGGGCCACGGAAACTTGGGATAAAAGCCTTGCGAGGAAAACACAGCCAGTCTTCCGTGTTGCCTGCTGAAAGGATGGTGAATTCCCACACGGATAGAACGGTAGTGAACCAAGAAAAGAGCAACAGCAAGGACCCGGGGAGAAAACCTTTTAGGAAAAGATTCGACGTCTGAGCTCCACTATTGGCTACATTGGGGAGTTCGGCTGTAAATTTTTGAGTTCCCGTTCTGCGGTCGGAGACAGCGCCAAACACAGCCCTATGCGGAGTATGTAACCCCCAGTCGTACATGCATACATCCGTGTTGAGGTTAGGAGGGTTGGGAAGGACCCTACAGTAGACCAATTCGTGCCGTGTTATCCATTCTTGATTATAAGGTCATTAACAGTCAATATAACCTTGGGAGGAGGTCAAATTCGGTCCTATCCACCAAATACTGTAATGTCACGTATGGTTTTAATGAGTCATCAGATGACCCCCACCCAGCTCCGGTCCATCCTAGAACGCCACAAAACTAGGCAAACCTGCTCTGCCCAGCCCAGAAATTGGCAACGAACTTGGTATAGTGATCGCTGTGGGTCATCGTGCAAAGTGGAGGGCGGCATCCTCTTCGAGTTCCTCCATGCCCACATTGAGATACAACGCGTATCCGTATTCGCGGTAATAAATTACCTCATAGCAGAGTTTGTGCTTTTTCGGGGGTGATCTGACGATTTGGGGTCTTATTTAATATTGATCCCCCCCGTGGAGACAGGAGACACGTTGGTTTTTTGCCTGGGTTCCTTTTAGAACTTTCTGATTTTCCCAATTAGTTCCTCCCCCCCCCCAAGTATAGAAACTGCGTATACCACAAATCTACTCTCTCCTCCTTTCACAACCCACAAAACAGAACTCGGCGCCAGCACTAAAGCAGCTTAGAGAAAGCAGCTAAGAGCTATCAGCCCCGCTCTCTTCACTTTTACCCCGGGCTTTTGATCCTTACGATATTCGTGAGGATGAGGCCGTGCTTTGGCGCCTTTCTTCTCCCGGCGACACGTTGACTTGTACGCGCCCACGTGGTGCCGACTCGCGCTCTGACCGGTCCACTGCCTGCGGATTGCAGCATTCTTCCGACGACCATATTCCCCCCCTAACGTCATGTTAGCTTCGTCTCCGTCTCCTTCCTCCACAGCACTGCGCTCAGGAGCCGTGCCTCACCGTTATGAGCACTCCACTCCACAATTCAATAGTCCCAGATCCTCTCGTCTGGCCATTGAGGAGCTTCGGTCAGCCTTGAATCGACACACTGTCGATCCTGCCTCCCCTGCCTCTCCAAACCTCCGGAGGCGCGCTTCTGCGTCTACGTCTGCAACCGCAGCCGCCAGCTACAATCCGGCCCCCAGTACTCACCCGGTATCCTCGCAACACCCATCCGTCACCCCCTCCGCTATTTCCACCGCCACTCCTTTAGGCTCAATCCCCACTCCCACCACGGCCTCCGCCGCAAACCCTGCCGATCCACCATCCGCCGCTTCACCTTCCTCAATGCCCGCCCCGGACGCCTCGGGGTCCAACAAGCGCAACAGCCGGAGCGACGACCATCCTGCAGAGGCCAATTCCGCCGATCAAGGCGAGAAGGATGTTGAGACGTCGCAAACCAAGCGCCTGCGCCCCGCTCAACCGGAAGTCAAGGTTCTGCCCGAACAATACGAATTGGCCGATACGCGAGACCTGGTGCTCCTGATCTCCAGCATGCTTATGGAGCTGATCCGTTTCAACGACAAAATCCCTCTGAATCAGAGTCGGCTAACCCGCTTCCATTCCCGATCACCACCTCGGATCTCCGTGCAGGATTACCTGCAGCGCTTAACCACCCACGCCACCCTCTCGCCCCCAATCCTCCTGAGCATGGTTTTCTACATCGATCGCCTCTGCGCCCTGTACCCTGCATTTACGGTCTCGAGCTTGACGATCCACCGTTTCCTCATTGTGAGTGCGACTGTAGCCAGCAAAGGATTAAGCGACAGCTTCTGGACGAACAAGACATATGCTCGCGTTGGGGGTATCAGCATGGCGGAGTTGGCCATGCTAGAGATGGAGTTTCTATTCCGCGTTCAGTGGCGGATTGTACCTGAACCGGAGGTGTTAGTCGATTACTATCGGAGCCTTGTTGAACGATGCGACAACTTTGAAATTGCGCGCTCGTCAAGTGTTCCTACGACGAACCCTACGCCAGCCGCAACAACACCGGCGGCATAAATAGTTCCCCCGAGAACTTGTGTATCTGGGTGCGGTGCTGGCTAATTCTTTATCTCGGGCTGGCCTCGAGTGTTCGGGCTTTCTTTCTTTTTTTTTCCTTCTGGCCCTTCGTTGATTTCCACGGCTCTTCCGCTTGGGCTTCAAGCGGAGAGCTCCTAATGAACGATTATAAATGCATCTGCAAGGGCGTTATCCGGGCCCGTATCCGAGCTCGTGCCTGTGCGCAGAGCAACGAGGCGATGGCGTGGTTGTTTTTATAGCATATCGGCGGCCGGCGATTTGTTGCATGTTTCAAGCGGTTTAGAGCGGAATGGCGTTTTTGATGTCTAATGGACGAAGTACACTTTACATTTCTGACCCGTGTTCGACTAGAACCTATTGACAAAAAAAAAGACATGTCAAAATGAAAAAGCTCCCATTACAGAGTATTGAGAAGACGCACGTAGAAGTCAAGCAGATCCCGGATGACCCATGCATGAATCTAAGTTCTTCTATGGGGGGTTCCATAATATTGCCGTTTCTGGCTCTAGGGCTTAGGGTGGATAAGAGCAGCCGATCATCAAATCTTCAATCCGAAGTCCTCGTGGCCTTGCGTTTACTTTCTCTCTGCGCGTCTGTTTGACAACCCGGAACTTGGTCGCACTCATGATGCGCTTTTCTACGCGCCCCCAATCTTATCTTCATTAACCCCACCACCAGCCGCGCGGGGCAGTTTCCCCTCACGCCATCACGATGGGTGTGCAGGAAATTGTGAACGCGATTGAGCCTCTCCAAGGCGATGTTATCCCGATCAAGACGATTCAGGAAGTGGTCCCTATCGAAGAATTTGGTCAGACCTGTCTCAATTGCTCCAGCCTAGGCCGAGGCGCGCGCGCACGTCGCGGACGCTAACAACGCTGTAGGCGACGCATATATCGCAGAGGTCAATGTCAAAGCCGCTTCCAAAGTCATCAAGTAAAATGACCTGCACCAAAGGCCTCTTGAGTCACTGATGTAATGCTAACGTTTTGCAAGAGCCCTTGATGCTGCTTTCAAAACCGATCCTCCATCGCCCTCGCTACCTCACTTGCGCCGCTTTGCCAAACGTGACGCCCTCCCCGGATCGGTACGAGCAGCCATTGAAGCTGTCAAAACGGATGCAGGACACCATATCCCCACAATTTACGTTGTCATTCCACCTCCCCTTCCTAGTCTCGACGAACTTTTGGAAGTACTCGCCCCGTATGCGCCAGAAACCTACAAGCCCCGTTCTTCGCCTGCGTCAGACCAGTCTTCCCCAGAACCTGCACCATCGAAGATAACCATTGTCAAGTCCAAGATCCCTCTTTCGCCTCCATTCAGTATTGCACAAGCAAATAAATGGACCAAAAACCTTTGGCCTGTCACCTTCAACCCCGCTGCGCCCCGCTCAACTGTTGCACCTCCTCCACAGGTCCTCGCTCGCGCCCAAGATTCTATCCGTCCTCGCGCAGGCTATTATCTCTCTCTCGCACGCGAAGTCGCTAAGGAAGCTCTCGAGTCCGGCCGTGGGCGTGGTGTTGGTGCAGTCATCGTTGACCCTAGCCTTGAAGAGAAGCTCGAGGCCGCAGCTGCGGAAACTGGCTCTTCTAGCATCGATCGCTGGTCGGAGGCAGTTGTTGCTGTTAGCGGTGATGCTCGCTACAACCGCTCAGAAGGCGGCGCGCTCTCGCAAGCAGCCTTGCACCATGGTATGGGCCCAAACCCAGCTACTGAGACATACAACTCGGATCTTGAGGGCGGTCCGGATCTTCACGCTTTGATGCGCGCCATTGACCTCGTTGCTCGCGGACGCAGAGAAAACAACGAAGGCGCCGCCGACGCGACCTCTCCTCCTGTTCTAGTTGCTAGTACTCTAGACCTTCAGTTATCAAGCGACCTTACTCCGCTGGAATCGTATTTCTTCTCAGACGTCAACGGCATGCATCATCCTTCTACCGCATCGTCCCCTGTGGCTTCTGCGGACTCGCCTTGCTCTCCTAAGAAAAGGAAGCTCGAAGAACCAAACCCCGAGTCCGGCTCTGCTTCCCTGGGTGTCTTGCCCACTAACTCCCTTTCGCCTTCTCCCCTCGATCCTGCGAAGCAATTGGTTGATCCTCCCCTCCCTGCGCCCCCGCCATCAACCATGGCTGCGTCTGCGAGTTCTGGGCTTACAACCCCGCCGCCCACTTCAGCTCCTACTATAGAGGGCATCCACGTCGATCATCCCACTGCAACGACTAAAGCATCCCGCATCCGTTCCCGCTCTGAGGGCGGCTACCTCTGCACAGACCTGGACGTCTACGTTTCTCATGAGCCATGTGTGTGCTGCTCGATGGGCATGCTCCTCTCACGCTTCCGAGCCGTCGTCTTCCCTCGTTCGGGTCGCATGGAGACTGGCGGCATTACCTCCGAGCCCGCCATTGCCCCTATGCGTGTTGAGGACGAGAGCGACTGGGGTGGTTCTTTTAGTGGTGAGCCTTGGGGCGATTCTGCAGATGAAGATGTGGACAAAGCCCCTGAGCGTGTGTATTACGGACTACACTGGCGCAAGGAATTGAACTGGCGTGCTTTGGGATTTGAGTTTGTTGAAGATGACGTTTCTGAGGAATCCTCGACTGGAGTTAATGTGGCTTTCCATGCTTGAGCGCCTTTTTTTTTGTTCCCATCGAGACAAGCTCTTTGTTACACTACGGAATAGTCTTTAAGATCTAAAAGTCAGACCTGAGAGAGAATACTTGCCTTGTTAGAGGCCAAAATTCCATTTTCATGCTACTATCTCAAGTCACGTATATGGAGTACATCCAGTTAACCCTCTGTAAATTGCGGGTTCTGTTCTCACTGAGAGCGATAATCTACTAGTAAATATGCTTAGTTAGATTCGGATTGGAGGGTGTTGTGTAAGGTGTGTATTGGACGAGGGGGACACCTCCACGATCACATACTACTATCTGTGAGCGTAGCAAATCCAGGGACTCATTAATGATACTGGTAATAGTCAAGGCACAGAACTATCATTCGGCGGTTGACTCGTGTTTCCCCCTACTACTGCTAAAACTGAACCTGCCACTGCCCACTTGTAGTGCCATGCGAATAACCATCCAGAGTCTTGTTGACCGCATCCACATCCAGGCCATTGATGACCTGGAAGGGAGTGGGCTTGATTTTCCCATCTTCAGCCCAACCAGTGACATATTCCCACAGTGGCACAGTTGTACCAAGTCTAAGCGGAGACACGCCTGGTACATTCAAGACCTCATACCCTGCATGTTTCTTCGCGGATAGCTTCGACTCGTCAATCCCCCCCCACAGGTATCAAACGGGCCAGCTTTCCAGGTCTTGTATTGGATAAAGCTTCCACGCCAATATGTTGGCTGTCAGCCGGGTTGATCATATCAAAAGCGTAAATAAGATCTTCCCCCACGACCTCGCGGACTTCAGCAGCGATCTCCGTGGACGACTTCATACGGTCGATTACATGTGTAGCGCCCAGTGCTTTGGCCTCTTCTGCGCTCCGCCGACCAGCCACAACGATGATATTCCCCACGCCCACCGCAGCGGCAGCCTGGATAGCAAATTTCCCAGTATTCGCACCGCCTCCAATGATCAGAAGCGATGTCCCTTTATAGTCAAAGTCAGATACCCTCGCATCCCAAGGTGCCGGGAGACCAAGGCAAGAAGGGTCAAACAGACCGACGACAGCAGCCACAAGATTACAGGGCAACGTCGCCGCTTCAGCATCGGTAAACCCAGCCGGCACCTTCGCTGAGAATCGCGTTTCCAGGATCGCGTATTCCTGCAGACCGGCCGTGTCCCAATTCGGAGGGCCAAAGTTGAAATGCCCCCCCAAGTCCTCCCCTAACAATGTAGTCTGCCCGAAGACACGATCGCCTGGCTTGAATCGAGTGACGTGGGGGCCCACGCTGGTCACAACGCCTACCACATCTGCGGCTAGTATTGCGGGGAGATGGCCCTTCGTAAAAAGGCCCTCCCGGGCCTTCGCATCATGGGGGTTCAGGCCTGCCACGGTGACCCTAATGAGGACTTCGCCTTTCCTGGGCTCCGGGATAGGCCGAGATATCTTACTCACGGGCTTACCGATTTCCGTAACGGCTAGGGCAGTCTGTTGCTGTGGCATCTTGCAGATAGTCGCAGTACGAGCGAGGAGATGAAGTGTTGAAGGGTGTGGAGTTCCAGATGTGGTTCTGGTATCAAGTATAGCCTCTGCTATTTATGCGCGCGAGGGGAGCGACCCTAGTAGCTGTCCTAGGTGGTAGGAATGTCTTATAAATCGTTACAAAGCCTCGTCGCTAAGCAAGAGTCTCGGCATTATATTGGAAGTACCGAATCCTTGCGCCATTGGTGCACATTGGGGCATTGAATGCACCCGGAAAGCTGGATAAAGGCGGGCTTGGTGGCTCGGTGCCTCAGTGGTTCCCGCCAGGCGGGCCGCCAAAGTATGTAATAGTTAGTAAACAGTAGGGCCTCTTGTAACTTGGACGTGACAAGATTTCAGATTCCACACATCTGGGAGTCTAGAGCGATTGGATACTCAATTCGAATGAAGATCAGGTGAATGTTTCGTTCTGAGTTGTAAAAGCGAGATTTTCTAGATACATGGCCTCCTCTAGCCTCTTATCTTCCTCCCCCCAACTCCTCGTCCACGTGCATCCTCGGATTGATACGAAAGAACAGAGAGAAATTCATAGCGTCGTCACGTATGCCCATTCACGCCACGCATCGACCAAACGACAAGATTATGAGAGAGAAAAAGGTGAAAGTAAAAGTGAGACCCTCAGTTGTCCGGGCCTCCTTTTGTTGCATTCATTGTAGTACACTGAATATGAGAATCGTTGCGAATTTATTCGTTACGGAAATTGGGAAACAGGGTATTGACCGGGGATTGTCCCAGTGAAAAACATCACCAAGGGACATGAGAGTGGGAAAACCAAAAGCAAGTCGGGTGCGCTGGTGAGGGGGTTGAGGACTTGGGAATTGTGCTGTTGGGATTTGCTTTTTTCCAGATACGCACCGAAAAGTAGACTTGCTCGACCACCCTTCCATACGTATGGTGTTCTTTCAGGGTGAAAAAAAATGCCCTGTGGTCAAGATCAAAGGATACTCGACGCTGTTGGTGCTTTGACGAGGTACATGACATCATGAGAATGATCGTCCTCGGCGAGATTGAAGAAAGGATGGGGGGAAATCGCGGGTATGATGATGAAAGGTAACATAGAAATATCGGCGAGCATGATTTAATATCCTACCCATTCCAATGATGTAAATGCACCGGGCAAATGATCTCTCCGATAAACAGATGACGGAGATCATGCCATGCGCTGGTAGAACAGCAGGTAGGCAACACGATTATCGCGAGACCCATATCTGCCAAGTGGTGTACGCACCCCAGAGGAGTTGCTAGGGGATGAAATCCCATTCACGGATTTCTTGGTGCCGTGGCCGGTCGAGCCGTTTCCGTTCACCTGGCTCCAGCCCTTATCATTGTCGAACGAGTCCATATCGTCCTGGTCAAAGTGGCTGAAGATGTTGGAACGAGAATTCTTGTCTTGTTTGTGATGCTCGAGAGCCGCGGCGAGAACCTTCGGATCCTCTTCGCCGCCTGCTTCGGCCACATCTTCACTGCGAACACGACGGAGAACCGTGTCATCCATGCGAATCCACTCACGGCCATCTTGGCGTCTAACATCAACGGTGTAGTGCCCGACGCTGGCATTCTTTCCATGATGATAAATGACACCCATAAGGCGATACTTGGGCAGACCGCCCGACGCCATGAAAGCGTTGCGACGGTGTGCAGGGAACACTTCTCGGGGAATCTCCAAGTCGAGTGGGTAGCCAACCTTCTTCCAGATCTTTTGAGTAGCGCCAGTCGAGCTATCGTACTGGAATCGTTTGAGGTGGAGAATGAGAATAGGGGGGCAGAGTCTCAATGAACATCTGCTTCGTGGCGGTCACGTTCGGCCCCCGGGATGAATTGAAATCGCCCTGAATATTCTCGGGCTTGGTCAGTCCCTTCAGCGCGTCGATGATGTTGTGAACCTCGGGAGAACCAATATCAAGTTGCAACGGCTGATAAGGTTCCATAGTGACCGAGGTCTTGTTACCGGGTACTTTGAACTCAGATCGGAGCTTGCCTCCGAAGATACGGGTGACGGGTGACTCTGATGAGATAGCACCAGAAGATTGAGTGACGGCGGACTTCTGCTTGTGGCCAACTTCCAACCACCCATCAACAGATCCATCAAAGGCCGCCTGATCGTCATCATCATGAGGGTCCTTAGACTTAGAGGCATGCTGCGCGGCTCGGTCGCATTCCTCATGCAGCTCTTCGAGAAGGAAGCCAAGGAACTCTTGGGCGTCTTGCTGGTGGCCGCGACGCATATCTTTGAAACGAGGCAGCTGCCTGATCATATCATAGACGAACTCGGGAACGAAGGCATCACCGTACTGCTCAAGTTCACTTGGCTTGAGTCTCATACGTAACTGGTCCTCCGACGTGGCGGCGTCAATGACACGGAACTCTCGCATGAACATAATCAGAGCGTCAATCAGAGGCACATCACTTTTGAAGCTGTGTACAGCGCGGCGACCAACGTGATCCAGGAATTGATGGAATGGGACACAAGAAACCAGAATCTGCAAAACCGAGTTCATGTAGCACATGTTCCCGGTGTTAACCAGGCCACGAGGCTCAAGGAAAGCCACTTTATCGCTGTACTGGGCGACATCATCTCCTAGGTTGCTCAGAACGTCCGCAAGGGTTTGGTTTTGTTGGACTGGCATAGTCGTCGACTCTGCAACCACAGGAGCACTGGCTTCCTTAGCAGCGGCCTTGGAACGGAGAAGCTCTGCCCATGATTTCGGAGCAGCGCGAACAGGCGAGGTCGATTTCTCCTCTTCAGTGCCGGGAGTCTCTGATCTATTGTCTGTCTCGCTGTCGGCAACCACGGTTGACTTTGGTGTATCGGAGGTGACACTAGCGCTGTCCTTTGTTTGACGGCGAGGGGTGCCATGAGCACTAGGGACAACAGGAATAACGGGCTTAGTATGCTGAACATGAGATTTAGCAGTCGAAGAGGGCGTGGTAGGCTGGGTGGAGTTTGCATCAGATCGAGGGACGGAAGTGGTCGGAGTTTGAGGCTCCGAGGGCGGCCGAGGGATGGCAGTGACCGGTTTATATCCATCACCAATGACATATTCGCCTTTGCGTGGCCCAATAATCCAGCGTCCACCCTTTGCTGGAAATTCAAGAACGGTTGTCAAAGTGCGTCGTCGGGGTTTGCGGGGTACTGGAGCAGGGAAAGGTTGTCCAGGAACAGAAAGCCAGGGAACCTATCTCAATTGTGAGGATTTTTGGCAAAACAGAGAGCGAGATCTAGCCAGATACTTACAGGTGCGAAGAATGCAGGTTTCTCTGTTGTAACAGCTTTGGGCTCCCCCCAAGGCGAAGGCGAGGGCATGGGATATTGTTGAGCTTGCTGCTGAGGAGGCAGCACAGGGTGTTCATGCAATGCAGGTGGAAGAGGAGCTTGGATTTGTGGAGACATGGCCTGCTGCAGCGGGGTCGAGGATCGAGGCTGCATAGGCAAGGTATGAGGCGGAAGATGAGCTGGCGCCATGATGGGTTGCGCATGGGGGGTAGGAAGATACGATCATTGGCCCATAGGGAGGATGGAACGAACGAGGAGGCATCTGCTGCATATGTCCGTACGGAGGATACCATTGGAACTGCTGCGGCGCATATGCTGGAGCCATATGGCCGTTCATACCGTTCATACCGCTCATGTGTGGCGGATAGCCCATGTATGGTGGGGAGCGCATGTTGGGCACGCTGGGGTTGTAAGAAAAATCCTGCTGTCTCCGAGACGGAGGCATCGGGGTTTGCCCGTGGGGCATGGTGGGCAGGTGGTGGTTCATCTTGATCAGGTCGCGAGGGGAAAAGATTGCCTTCACAGGATTATCACACGCGTAGCCGCGATTCGGGGCCATGCGCAGTGAAAATCAAGATGAGCCAATACCAGAGGCCTCGAGAGCGATCATGCAGCCATTTTGACCTCTTCCCAGAGGCCAGAGATAGGTTGCAAGGGGAAAAAGAAACAGCTGTCGGGAAAGAGGGAGGATTGGTTGGGGAGGTCGGATAGGGTCCAAAGAGCTAAATCGCAGGAGTTGATATGAGCACAATGCGATCTAGAATAGAAACAGGGGAAGCCCCACGTTTGAAAGCAGGCTTTTTGAAGAAGACGCAGAAGGGAAATCGCCGTACCGAGATTCGCGAGAGGCTGTCGTGAATGAAGGGGAAAGCGACAAAGATGAAGGGCCTCGTGCACCCTCTCTTTTTCCGAAGCGAAAGCAGAAGTGTCGGAGTGAATGTCGCTGAATAATCTCGCGGCTGAGTCACCGTGCACGTGCCACCCATGACATGCCCCTCCCCGATTCTCGCGACCTCGATCTCCTAGTCGCTCTTTTCTATCTTTAGATGGCCTCTCGGGGCTCATTCTATTCTTACGCATCGGTTTCAAGGTGTGGATTGGGTTGTTTATGCATTTCCGATTTCAATATTGTTGACTGCCAACCTTATCAGCTCCCTGAGTTGAAAGACGCCCCTCGTTCTCCAACACTGAACTCGGTACCTGATATTGAATGTGATACTCCTTCTTCGGAATAGCTGTGTTCCCTACCTTGATCGCGACGCCCTTGAGTTTACTGTCGTTGGAAATGTCTTCGAATGCGGGACAGAACTCGCCGTCCACCAAAGCAATCAGTATACCGAATACCGCGTCAACTTCCGCAGCCTTCCACTCTGCAGCTGCAGCCGAGACAAACTCTCAACGACGTGCAGGTGGCTCTGGAAGCTTTGGGGCTGGGTATTCCACAAGAAACTCACCCACGGCAAGGAATACCCCAAGCCGTAAGAATCAGCCAAAACGACAAAAAAAAGCACGTCTAGTGGACGATGAGGAGTATAACGAATCGGTCGGTTTCCTCAAGCCTGCTTGTAAAGCTTAGAGCTATTTACTCACCTCAGCTGTTCAGGTCATTATGAGATCAGCCAACAGCCGCAAAGGACAGACGTCCATAACTCACTTGATGAACTTTTCCCTACCACCTCGTCCTCAATATCAACCTCCGCCTCGTCATACCCGGCGCTACAACACTTCCGGATATCATGCCGTGGACAAAGCTCGATATGTCCATGCTAACTATCGGTTCATTGTATCTCCGGATCGTAGTTATCACGCGCAGGCAGCCAATGCCGATGTTCACCTCGACTGGGACTCGGTCCTACAGGTCCTTGTGTCCGCGCAAACTCAAGCAGCTAGCTGTCCTATCTGCTTATCCATGCCAGTAGCACCCCGAATGGCTCGCTGTGGTCATATATTTTGTTTGCCATGTCTGATTCGATACATGCATTCTTCCGATGAGGAGGCTCCGCTGCCAGACAAGAAGCCTCGATGGAAGAAATGCCCTATCTGCTGGGATTCCATCTATAGCTCTGAAACACGTCCAGTGCGGTGGTTCCGTGGCCAAGAGGGTGATTTGCCCTATGAGGGGGGTGATGTGGTCTTACGACTTGTCAGGCGAGAGCCTGGAAGCACTCTAGCTCTCCCACGTGATGGCGCCGAGACGCTCAACGCAGGCGACGATATCCCGTGGTATCATGTAGCGGAAGTTGCAGATTACGCCAGAATCATGAAAGGGGGTGAAGACTACATGTCATCCCAATATGACATAGAGATCGAAGATCTTCGTCGGCAGGAGGTCGAAGATGAGCTCTTATTTGGCGATGAAAATACTTGGAGCCGAAAGGCCATTGCTGCCATCAAGGAGGCAAAGCAGAAAATACAGGGGATTGGAAATCCACCAGATGTCCCACGTCAGCAAATATCTAAAGAGCGGGCCGGCGGGTCCAAAGCCATCGGTCCTGAAACGACTGAGGAGGGCAGTGTCCCGGACTCGAATCCAGCCGCCTCGGATGAGGCTGAGGAGATCTCGGAAGCTATGAATGCCCTGCAAGTGGAAGCAGAATCTGACACTAAACCCCAAAAGGCCAGGGGTAAGGGAGCACAAAATTTCAAACCATCATCCGATCAGCCATATTACTTCTACCAAGCGCTGCCCCACTTCTATCTATCTCCTCTTGACATCCGGATCCTGAAGGCCTCTTTCAATGATTATGCATCCTTCCCTGCTACCATTCTTCCACGGGTCGAGCACATTTCAACAGGTCACATCGTTGATGACGAACTCCGCAAGCGAGTTAAATACTTAGGGCATCTTCCATATGGCTGTGAAGTCAGCTTCCTTGAATGCGATTGGAGAGATGTCGTCGTACCCGAGGTTTTGAAGCAATTCCGCGCCGAGACCGACAGGAGGAGAAAACGAAATCGAGATAAAGAGGCTCGGGAGGAGAAGGACCGCATCCGTGCTGAGAAAGAGGAAGACGAGAAGAGATGGGAATCTGCCCGGCGAAAACGGCCCAGCTTTGGTAGTGCCGAAAATGCCCCATTTTCTGCCCAGGACTTCCAGCCACTCGTTAGCGGTGCCGAGCCCACAGCATTCGACACCGGCATCTCATCTGCGTCACCGCCTCGTTCCTCTTCTCGGTTTGGGGCTCTGGCATCTCCCTCGACGAGCCCGCCAAGCGGCGCTCGCACTGTGTGGGGAACAACAGCAATACCCTCTAGCTCTTCAACTTTGGAGGCTGAGTTTGGGTTGCCCAATGACGGTTGGAAGCAAGGCTGGGAGGAAGAACTGCTGGCTCACCAGGAATCTGAGATAATCGCGCAGACAGTTCCAGGCCCTTCACCAGGACCATCTGCCGGGGTAAGAAGAAAAAGAAAGGCAAGATCACATTGATGTCAACGAATATCCAGAGGGGGGCCTAACAAGACCCGTGAGCCTTCGAGGCAGGAGTCTCTCAAGGAACTTCGCCTCTACTTGAATCGCCCATGTATTAAAACACCGAATATAGAGCCATATACTACTAGGCAGTAGCAGAAAGCATTTCGCATATATTTATGCATCCACAAGATTCATAATATCAAGACTTGAACAGATCAATCGGATTAAATATACTTATACCGTGCCCTATCCCCAGGTGATTCATTCTTGCCTCTTCTTCCACTACAACTCAAAGGACGGGTAAGGCGATGGCAGGTACCAATCAGACGCCACTATCTACGTGTTCTTTCGTTAAACTGTTGGAAAAGGTATCGCTTCATCCACGACAGCCTTTCCAAGGTCTGAGTTGTGGTATATGAAGTGCTTCGCGTCTTTGTATGCCACCTTGTAATTTCGAATGGGCCCACATTCCGGTCCCAACAATCCGATGACCAACAGAATACGGTAAACAGAAAGATGGAAATAATATGTTTGATCAATGCAGACTACTTGGTCTTTGCCAAGCTATCCATCAATGGCATTATGTGTTACCAGTATGCAAAGCCATAGGCTGATATACTAGCGCCTTCGAGCCGATTTAGGTATAGGCATCAGCCACCCCCGGGGCCGTGAAGGGTTTAGCTGACAAGCTTGGCCCAAATGATCGCCTCAGAAAAAAAAAGTTCCTCTGGCCACGGAGCGGGTCCGTATATAGAAGTTTGCATATACGAACTTTTCAGAAGCGAGCGGAACAAGGGACCTGTGGGACTCTGTTTTATTGTATCGAGTAATGAGAGGCGCAGAGCGGAAGGGACGCGAGTCGGGCGTATTCTCCGGTACATTTTCCGGTATGAGAATGTATTACTGGCGTATCGACGCCTACTGTGAAGGGCGGAAAGGTACCCGCTCGATACTTCCCAGTTAGTCCGTCAAGTTGTACACCTGTAAACAATTCTCTCCTTTTTCTTCACCCTCGTTCAGTCCAACTTGTATACGTTCTTTACCCGCTTTTTACTCGGATCTTACCAATTCCGGGTTGGGAATCATGCCTTCCACCCGGTCTCAAACGGGGAAGACCCCCAAGTGAGTATTGGCCCTCGGACCCGGCTTGCGATTAGCCCCCCCGTTCTGCGAGCGCACTATACGGAGTCCCTCAATTTCCACTTGCTCCCCCTATCCTATTGCTTCGCTCAATTGAAATCTGTTGATCAGCTAACCAAGCAACCGTGCCTAGGAAAATGGATCGTCCAGGTTTTGTCGAGACACCTGGCCGTCGCGTCTCTCGCAAGAGCTCTGCCTTTGAGGGTAGCGAAAACGAGACCGAGACTTCTGATTCACCTGTCGCCACACGATCGAAGTCCACCACCCGTCGTCGCGCATCGGAGAAGGTCAAAACCGAAGAGGAAGAGACACCAGCGAAGCCCGCAACCAATGGCAAAGCAACCTCCGGGAAAGCGACGAATGGCAAAGCGGCTACCCCTAAGTCGAAGTCTAAGGCTGGGCAAAAGTCCGCGTCTCGTGTTGTGGATGGCTGGGAGGAGGGCCTTGATCCTAGGATCGACTACAGTGGTCATTATGAATTTGGTGGCTCCGCCGGAGTCACAGCCATGATGATCGGTTTCCCACTCCTCATGTACTACATGTGGATCGGCGCGACTTACTACAATGGCAAATTCCCGACGCGCGCTGAGGGACAAAGCTTCGCGGACTTCTTTAGCCACTTGGCTAATCTGGTCTACACTGGCGCTTACCCCTCGTTAAAGGCGTGGACCATCTACTGGGTTTTTTTCATTTTCGAGGGCGCCTGCTACGTCCTTCTGCCCGGCGTATCTGTGACTGGTCGTCGTCTGCCGCATATGGGTGGCAAGCAATTGTCTTACCACTGCTCGGGCGTATCTTCCTTCTATACGAGCATCGTTTTGGCATTGGGTCTGCACTTCTCTGGTCTATTCAAGCTCTACACCATTATTGACGAGTTCGGCCCGCTTTTGAGCGTTGCTATCTTGTCTGGTTTCCTGGTTTCCTTCGTGGCGTACTTTTCTGCCCTGGCTCGTGGTGCGCAGCACCGTATGACTGGATCTCCGATCTACGACTTCTTCATGGGCGCCGAGCTGAATCCGCGCATGTTCGGCATCCTGGACTTCAAAATGTTCTTCGAGGTCCGTCTTCCTTGGTTTATCTTGCTTTTCCTGTCTATGGGCGCAGCCGCGCGTCAATGGGAAGTCTACGGTTACGTTTCTGGGGAGGTCATGTTCCTCCTCATGGCGCACTTCCTATATGCCAATGCGTGCGCCAAGGGTGAGGAGTGTATTGTGTCGACTTGGTAAGTTCTCATTGGTACTTAGTTCACCTGGAGACTGAACTAATGCCCAATAGGGATATGTACTATGAGAAATGGGGCTTCATGCTTATCTTCTGGAACTTGGCCGGTGTCCCTCTGAGCTACTGCCATTGCACCATATACTTGGCTAACCACGACCCGGCTGAGTATCACTGGAACCGTTTCTTCCTTGCGTTCCTGTACATTGGGTACCTCTTTGTCTACTGGGTTTGGGACACCACCAACAGCCAAAAGAACCGCTTCCGTCAGCAAGAGCGCGGCACTTTGGTGACCCGTAAGACTTTCCCTCAGCTGCCATGGCAGACTTTGGAAAACCCCAAGACTTTGACCTCTGAAGACGGTTCTAAGATCCTAGTGGATGGTTGGTGTAAGTGGAGCCCTAGAATTCCCTATGGAAGTTTCGAGGACAACGTTAACATTCTTTTCTAGACGGCAAGGCCCGCAAGATTCACTACACTTGCGATCTTTACTTTGCTCTCAATTGGGGTCTCATCACTGGCTTCTCTAGCCCCTTCCCCTGGTTTTACCCTGTGTTCTTTGCCGCCATGATTTCACACCGTGCTCTGCGTGACATCCAGCGGTGCCGTACCAAGTACGGCGAGACCTGGCTTGAGTATGAACGGCAGGTTCCTTACCTCTTCATCCCTGTGAGTATTTAATTCTTCCATGTCTCCTCACTGGCACTTTGACTAACAACGCCACGATCCAGTACGTTTTTTAAAAATGCCCGGAGACGAGGGCATCTTTACAGCAACAATGCTTGTCTTTTGACCTCTGTACAGATATTCCATGGGTCCTTCGCTCCTATCTACGAGCACGAAAAAGAAAACTTTGGCCACAGGCAATCTTTAGCATTTATTTGAGCACCACTCGAGTTACCTCCTTATAATAACTGTCAGACAGCCTACTTGGAGCTTTCTCTAAAGACTGCGCCTTGGCAGAGACTGCACCTTTCTGTTTCATGTACATTATTGAATGAATTCATCGAGTTTTCTTTTTCTTTTTCTTTTCCTTTTTCCTTTTTTCTTTTTTTTTTTAATGCGTTTGTTGGTTAGAAGTAAATTGAAATCTGGTCAAGCATAGGTTATAATCCAACCAAGTCACGAGATAGAGTAGGAAGATGTCTGACCGAGGATGGCGTGAAAGGGCCAAATGTCTGCATGTCTGTATAGAGCCCTCCATGGAGCCCTGGAGGCGCCCACGTCACTTTGTCAGCGAACACATGACTGGGGGCCCCGCGTCTTATCGATAAAGCAATTTCTCGCGTTCACAGCTCCAATTGACCTGCAACAGCTATATAATTTCTTAGGATCGTCCAATAACCCTAGGGTATCTTGAAGTATTCGTCATGCTTATTCGAGAAACTATTCACGATGTCCCAACCAAGGCCGATGGCCTGGGAATTATGCGTAAATACATCATGTCCCTACAGCGCGATTGATCTAGCGGAGCATCGCATCTCAGAGAGTGCCAGGTTAACACGTTTTCAGGGATCTATGTCTTTCATCCTACGATCCCAGGATATCCCAAAGCTCGATTCCCCGGCGTGGTTGTCTTCAGCGAGATCTATCAAGGTACCAAAAAACCCTACAAACCCTACGTCATGCACAAAAACTTGCTCTAAAGCCGATATTCTGAACATGGTAAAATAACAATTGGAATTAGTAACGGGGCCAGTTGCTCGATTTGCTCGCCAGATCGCTGGTCAGGGCTATATCTGTGCCGCCCCCTCCAGCTACCATGAATTCACGGGTCCTGAGCCCTTGCAGTACAACGCCGAGGACACAGACAAGGGCAATGAGTGGAAGATCAGCAAGGTAAGCACACCTTGCGAAGGTAGATCATGGCCATGGAGAATATGCTTCTACCGCATGGGCCTGGATCTCGCATAAGAGCTATCATTCCCATCTTTCCATTCTGGCACACCGCTGACCCGACTCCGATCGATTCTATGCATTTAGAAACTGGAAGCTTATGACGAAGATGCCAGCTTGACGGTCAACTACCTTCTCTCGCTGCCGACGTGCAATGGTCGCGTCGGCGCAACGGGCATGTGCCTTGGGGGTCACCTTGCTTACCGCTGTGCGCTGGACAGCCGGATCAAGGCTGCTGTGTGCTACTTCGCTACGGATATCCATAGCCAAACCCTGGGGAAGGGGAAGAACGACGACAGCCTTGCTCGGGCAGGCGATATCAAGGGCGAGCTGCTGATGGTGGGTCTATCCCTTTCCCCGCCTCCTCTCCAGTATTCCACGCCCTCGGGTTGTCATGGTTCCTTGTCTGTGCATGGCTTCTAGACTCCATGGAATACTAGTACCCGAATTGAGCACCTGCATCCTGGCTATGTGCCCTGTGCAGCTTTAGTGATATCTAACCGTGCGAAATCTAGATCTTCGGCAAGAGCGATACGCACGTTCCCCCTGAGGGCCGCGATTTGATTCGCAAGACTCTTCATGAGAAGGGGGTCTTGTTCAGCTTTTACGAGGTTGCCTGGGCCCAGCGTAAGTGGTCCCTGGTCATCTGACTTGACACCCGGGGAGTGTGGCGCAGCTGGCTGATCCATGACAGATGCTTTCATTCGCGATGAACTTAGTAAGGGCCGCTATGATCCAGCCATCAGCAAAATATGCTTTGATATGCTACTGGAATTGTTTGGGCGCACATTGAAACTCGATCTGGGCGAGCATGATGGAAAGGAGCTTGTGGTGGAGGACGTCTGTTAAGCTTAGACCGTGTTGATCTCCCGAGGGGAGAAAAAAGGGGCGAGGGGATCGGAGCCAATCGATGATCGGTTGGAAAGGCGACGGTAATGCAAGGGACATATAGAGGGGTATCTCCGAAGCCATGAGGCTGGAGCCCCCTTCGAAGTTCCATTGGGGAATTATTCTATTTTATCTAAGTGGATTACGTTTTTTTCCGACCAATCCCAAGTAAGGGTGAATTGATTGGACGGCGAGATCCCGGGGGAAAGCGTACCTGAATATTAAACGCGGAACTCTGAGGGGGGAAAACCAAGGAACCCTGGAAAAGGGATGAGCACGAAGTATATCTGCAGATGGTGGTACCATGGACCTCATGTTGTACTCAAGACTTTGGTAGCTGGCCTGTGCCTCGTAGGGAGTTGATGTCCTGCTAAGAATAGCCCCCACACCCACACATTTTCCATGAGCGGCCCATCGCACCCGCGTTTCTATGTTTTCCTGACATCTGCAGGGTCGACTAGTCTACAGGCGGGAAGAAGGGAAGATTTCCAGCCAGAGCTGAGCTTAGCCAAGTTGAGAATTGCTCTCTCGCCTTTCTTCCCCTTCGCGCAAATTTCAGCCGACGCCTAGTCTCATCTCGGTCTGGCCCACTCACTAGCGGCTTTTCGCTGGAGTCCGCGACCTGACTTCGTGTCCAGCCTCTCTGATCCTCTCCTCTTTGTATCCTCATCATCCTCGTACAGGCCTTTCGCCAACCACCACCGTTCGCTTTCTTCTCGCGTGGGTCAGGGGACACGCCGGTTCCCCTGTCCCCTCTCAGCGCACCCCCCCGATCGCGCTTTAGCCCCCGTCAGGCTTCCGTGAAGCCTTCGCAACCCCATCATGGGCTCGACTCAATTCGGCAACTTCCACGTGAGATCTTTCCGTGAATTCTTGATCTTGCTCAGTAGGTGGTCACTAACTTCAAAGCCCTTGGGTGTCACAGGATTTTTGTCGCGATTCGACATTACCCGTCTGCAATGTACGTAAGACCCTTTGCCTGCAGTATCCTAAAAAGCCGTGAATATTCGATTAACGGCCCCTCTCATCTTGTAGCTCTTCGCCGTGAACCAACCGCCAAATAGCCCGTGGCACAGATGTGCTCTGGACGGAATTTCATTGAGCGGGCATCGTCACCTCGCCAATCTCGGTATGGGCTCAATCTTTCCGCGAAAGAACTTCGTCATTCCACGTGGAAGCAAGCGATTAACGTGTCTGATAGGATCGATCATCCTCGCATTCATTTCGATTCTGGTATCATTGGCCCTATTATGGAGGACGGACAAGAAGCAAGCCGCAGTCGGGCGCCGGTACGCGAATCAAGGACCCTGTCGGTCGAATTCTAGAACGCCGAACTAAGATTTCTTTAGCGAAATACAACTTTTTCTGGTCGGATACATCATAATTGAAATCTGTGAGATCTTCACAGTTGGTGGCATTCCCCTCGAGGACTCAGTGCGAAAGGTATGCGAATCGAAACTTAGTGATCTAGCGAGGCATGCTAACATACCTGAAGGGATTCTCGGCCGTGCACATCGCTGCGATAACTGCGACTTGCTGGATTCTGCTATTGAATGCCTTGGTCGGATACCAATTGCTTGACGACGGCACTGCCGCGTCAATCGGTCTCATTGGCGGTTCAGCTGTGGTTTTGTTTATCGGTACCGGCTACATCTCGCTCGACACTGCTTTCGACTGGACCGGTCACTTCGAAAGCAGCCACTTCGGCAATAACCGAAATATCGCTCTATACGTGCTTTATCAACTCTTCCCGCTTGTCTGCCTATTTCTGTTCTACGTTCTCGAAGCAATTCTAGTGTTGCGAGTGCTGGGAGAGATCCGGCCTATGAGTAAGATCAACCCCCTGCCAGTTTACATATACCGTGAATATCGAGGAAACGGATGAAGGCGCCTACCAAAACATGATACTGACATTCATCTAACAGTCTACCTCAGTGGAGCGGGCCTGCTGTTCGCAATTGGTCAGATTTTCCAATACGTGATTAGCGTCCACATTTGCGAAGGCACCAACGGCAAAATCAATGGCGCCTTATTCGAGACTTTTTTCACGCTCCTTTCCGTTATTGGAGTATGGGCTTTCTGGAGCAGCATCACAGAGGATGACTGGCCACTTCCTCCTTCCGGAAACTACAACTAATTGTAATTCTCACTCTCATCCTATGTTGGATACCCGCCGATTCTTTTTCTTCAATGTGGATGCTTCATACATACTTACTGTTCAGACGCTGGGCTTCTTGAGGCATTGATTTGGCCTCGTGACCGGTTCATCTGTGCCGAACAGAGCTTTTGACGTTGTGATACCACATTCCTCCACTTCATGTTTCACGATTGATTGTCTCTTCATCCCCGACCCGTCTTCGGTGGATCGCGAGATCTTTGCACGACTTAGCCTGTGCCATCTTCCTCCAAATACCGGCGGGATGTTGGCTTGTACCCCGTTTTATCAATGCCGAAGTATCTTCTTGTCTTTCTTGCTCTATTGTCAGATACCTCTATCACGTTATGTACTTAGGCTATAATTGTGTTCCATATTCTATCTCAGGTCACTATACACCACGAATTCTAATTCCGAGAAAATGAGAAGCTGCCTTGTGCCCGGCGAAAATGGATTTCTTCAGGAACTCGCCAAGTCCGCTGTACACTTCTTGACTGCACACAAACCTCGGCGTTTTATTGTCGAAAGTACAGTCCGGCCATTATGCATGGCGAGAAGTACGGATAGAGCCCCGATGTGACCTGGTGTGACTGTAAACAGGTTATACGCTTCTACTCCTTCGTCAAGGATATGTATGGCTTTGCGATCTGAAGTTACCCCTCACAAATGTAGATCTGATTTAGAAAAACTATATCTAACTAATTCGAGTTGATGCGAAGACGGATTTTCCATTCAGGTTGGACTTGTGAGTATAAAACATGGTCAACCCCACGAGTTCTTGCGATTTTAAACTTGAGCCACTCATAGTAATACTCAAGATGCGGATCGGCTTTGCCTTCCTTGCACTATTTTCCTACATGACCGCTTCTTCAGCTTCTCCAGAGGTGCAAGAAACTCAGCAGAATAGCACATCTAGTGAGTCTCATGAGCTTCCTACCCTTATAGCTTGGTCTTGTATCAGCCTATATAAGCGTTATCCTTCGGCACAGCGTATCGACAGAGGGGTTATGGCTCAAACTAACCACTATTCTGGTTCGCTTAGCCTTGGAGCAGAAGGGTCATACAGCGGAGCAAACGCCATCAACCTGCAACCCTGTTGCCTGCATCGGACTTACAGGTACCTTCTCATGCGTACTCTCCGCAGTCGTCGCTGGGGACAATTCTGCATTACAACGATGCCTCTCAGGCAGTATTAACCAGGTGAGCATTGACTCGGACATGACATATGACAGATTCACTGGATCTGCATCTTGCATATCCGGGAAGTAGGCGGATCTGATCGGCCGAACTGATGCTGTGTTTAGATCTGCTCGTGTGCATCATGTATTCCTCGAGTGTCCAACTTCCTACAGTCTCTTGGTGTATGCGCCCCTAGTGACGTAGTGGACACGAGTGCTGCGGCTTCTGCAATCATTCGTGCTTATAGCGCTGCGCTCTCTGGATCTATTGTTGCGGGGATGGCATCGCAGACTCCCGCTCCATCTCCAGCCTCGGCCTCTACTTTCAAGGTGGTACCTTCGCCCATCTCTAACACAGATTCAGCTTTACAAAGACCCTCTGCATCTTGAATGGTCTATGCTTCTAGGGGCTGCCAAGACGGTAGTAGCTCTGGGTCTCAACGATTGCTGAGCTGGCGCCCTAGAACGCTTCATCCTGGTGCCAATCTATTTTCGTACGCTCTCGTTTATTTACTCCAAGCTGGACCATTTGACATGTTGAAACATGTGAGTATGTCTGGGGCCTCGGCCAACCACTTGCCGACATACATACATATTCTTAGAATTTAGGAAAGGATATTCAGAGGATGGGATCGTTTTAAGAAGGCTATTACCAGAATAACGTCGCTTCTTCAAATCGAATAAGAAAGCCGTCATAATAGCAGTTTGCTTTGCCAGATTATGGTCTAGAGTCGAATCTTAACCTCAACACAAGGGAGGGTCCATTCCCGGCGTCCCAGTAGACTACGTAGCCATTCTAGACCCACCCCAGTCCACTCCTCGGGCTTGGCCTCGAGTCCTAGCTGCTCTTGGATATTGTTGAATGCCGCGCCCGCAAGAGTCTGGGCGGTTGAGTTGAACGTATCAAAGGCAAACCCCGTCAAACTGTCCCCGGGTATCGGCGCGGGCGTGGTGGCGTTCCCGGCCATGTAGCTGAGCTCAGTCGAGTTGGCGTTGTAGCGCGGGGCAAACCAGTTGCTTTTTAAGTCGAAAATACACCGGTCGGACCACTGACATGATGAGGCGAATAGGACCAGGAGTAGCGCAGAACAGTAGATACAAGGTCGATGGATGATGTATGTCAATGCCACGAAGGAGATGATAAAAAGAGGCGAGGCATTTGTCGGGATGAAGAGAATGGGTAACCAGCTATTATTTGGTTTTCTGGTCAGCTTTGTATGGTTTTTGTTGTCCGGAGTCCTGTAGAACCCTCCGGATGCGAGACCGAGTCGGGGCGAAACATTACCTTCGGAGGCAAAACATGGCGGAAGCACACTGCCTCGAAATAATGAAGCTATGATCTTATGCCGTCGATATTTATCACCGGCTCAATATTGTGTAGAGAGTATTCAAGTATTCAAAGGTGATGTGAATGAGTGGTGAGGGGTGGAGTGGCGTCGGAGGTGTGGTGGATTGAGGTGATCGTCCAAGGTTGGGGCGGGCTTTTTTGTGCAAGTCTCGGCGCGGCCAGCCACACTACCTGGTTTTCATTTTCCGCTGATCTCCAACTTTCTCTCGTCCCATTCACACGTTCCTTAACGCCTCACGATCCATTATCTCCTTCATCGTCATTTGTCTTTCATCAAAATCCGCTTCACATTTTGCGATTGTCCTTTCTGTTTTTCACCTCTCCCTTCCTCTCTTTCTAGAGAGCTCCAGGTAGCTTCCCTAGAGCTAAAGACTATTTGGAGGTCGTCGATTTCGGCGCTTGACAGAAATGTCTACCCCCAATGATCTCCAAGCCCTATTGGCCAGCATACGCCCACGTCCCTCGCAGACTGGAGCATCTGGCCAGGAGCCACCTGTACAGCATCGCCTGGCGCAATCGTACCCTACTGGCATGTTTCCTCCACATCCTCAACATCCTCCGCCTCCATACGACGGCCAGGTTTTGCCTCACCCTAGTGTTCATGGATACCGTAATCCCTCTGTCCACTCGCTCCAATCTCCTTCTCCCAACCCGACTCCCCCACGTAACCCGTCAGATATCATCAGTCCTGCCATCGGTACGCCTCAGAATGGGTGGGATTCTCCACAGCAACCAGCCAACGTGAACCTCCTCAATCTTTTGCGCTTCAGTCAGGGTGAACATCCGAATCAGCTAAAGCCCGCTAGAGCACCCGAACAGCACACTCGGACTCAGCAGATACAGGAGGACGCGTCTCATGGAAGGAACATCTCTGCCACTGACTTGGTTGCATCGCTCTTCGGTGGTACAATTCCCACACCTCGTGCTCCAGCAGTTGTGCCGGCGGAATCGCCTCCAATTTCGCAGGAAGGGCCAAATGATAATACCCAAGACATGCTCCTTCGGCTTCTGAATCGCCCTCAATCTGGAGCAGGTACCCCACAAGCACTACATCAAGCTCCCGCAAGCCGCTCTGTTTCCTCGGCTGCTTCTGCCGAACCAAAGATTCAGGGCCACATGCACGCTGAAAGCCCGGAGGCTCCTGGCATCGAATCCGAGGGCCCTGCGAAGCCGGAAACGGTCGCAGGTCAGCTTTCTAAGGATTCGATGTTCACATATGTCAATCCCTTCGACCAGCTTGCGGCCATGCAACCCAACACATCGTTGCAGCCCCAGTCGAGCTCTGCCTCGGCATCTCAGGCTCCAGATGTTTCTTTCAAACAGCATATCGACGTTGAGGCCGACAAGCCTACATCGACTTCGGGAGTTCGTGCTCCTGGAAAACGAAGCAAATCCCCGGTTCTTGACAGTGAACAGCGAGCGGCTGTCAATGATGTCGTGAGCCGCTTCGTTAGCGAGATTGGACGCTCTCTGAGCGAAGAATCTAAGCCCGTGCAGGAGGAGGCGCCTAAGGCGGCACTTCCTACTCAAGACTCAACCGACCTTTTCATTGAGGCCCTCGATGAGGCTCTTGACGTACTTGAAGGGCGTGCCAAGGATGAGAGCGAGACTAAGAGCCCTAGCCAGGAGACTGGAAAGGCGCCCGTCGCCGCTGTTACTCAGATCAAGAACGAAAATGCCGAGGCTCTTGCCGATAGCTGGGAGAGCGCCGAAGACAGTGCTGAAAAGGAGGAGGAGCGCATCGTCACTGTGCAGAATTTCCCACTACGTCCGTTCATCTCGATCGCTGTGAAATTGCGACCTGGAAAGCTCGCTACCTTCAATGACGATCGAATCATGGACATCGCTCGTCTCAAGAAAGACTTTGACCAGCTTGATCGGTCCCTGACTGCCGCTACTTCTGAATATATCGTCTATGCTCTTGCCAAGTCTGGCGGCATCCGTATCATTCGCCAGGAGGATGGAAGTGACCGACAGGTCTTCCGCTCCACGCGTGATCGTGTGTTCAATGTGGCATTGAGCCCCTCGTCGGCCGAAACAGGCCTGCCTGGTATGCAAGCACTCCTCGGAATAGGTGTTAGCGGGACTGTGTACTGGACTCTGATCAGCCGCGAGGGCAAGGACCTATTCGAGTTGGATGCTCTGGAAAGCGAGAGCTTGGTCTTCCCTCCATTCCCTGCCTCGGACGAGAATACTTCTGGTGGCCAGCTGAAAACGCGGGCTAAACGAAGCTCTCGCCGCGCTGATCTGTTTGCTATTGGGCGTGGAAAGAACATTTATGTTGTTTCTCCACTCGCAGCAATGAACGCTCAGTTTGGGGTTTCGGGTCCCCAGCGAACCGTGAACACTGAAAAGTTCTTCAAGGAGCGTGCTTTGAAGATTTCCACGGGTAAAGCTGGCAAGGATTTTACTTTCAGTGACGACGACACCGTTATTGCTTCGTTAGACAAGACGGGTCGTCTGCGTTTCTGGGATATTCGCGATGTTTTGGATCGGGATCAGCCAAGCCTTGTCGAAGGACCGGCCCCGAATGAAATCAAGGTACCATTGAGTACATATGTGACTGGATCTCCGACAGAGAAGTCGTGGCCGACATCGGTATTGTTCCTCGATAAGCTTCGTCCCTACTCGCGCGCGAATGCACTGCGGTACGTTCTCGTTGGATTGAAACAAAATCATACCTTGCAGCTCTGGGATATTGGGCTCGGCAAGGCCGTGGAGGAGGTGAAGTTCCCCCACGAGAACGAGTCGGATGCGATCTGTAGTGTCGCGTACCACCCTGCCTCTGGAATCATCGTTGTCGGGCATCCCACTCGTAATTCGATCTACTTCGTTCATCTGTCAGCGCCTCGGTACAATCTGCCTAGTATGTCTCAAGCTGCATTCATCAAGGCTTCCAGCGACAAGGAGAGCGCGCTTCCAAAGCCAGAGTCTACCGCTTGTCTGAGTGGCATTCGGGAAATCTCATTCGGCTCGAAGGGCCAGCTGAGAAGTCTAGAGATTCTACCCCTAGCTAAATCGGCACTTGAGCAACCGGGATCGGATGACAATGCGCTTTTCGAGCTCTATGTTATGCACTCACGCGGGGTAACTTGTCTTAACATCAAAAAGGAGGACATGGGATGGTCCACTGATAACAAAGTCATTTCCCCGGTTGATGCCTCGGTTGCAATCAAAGAGGGCTGGATTGAAGTTGCTGAATTGCAATCGCATCCTACTTACGTTGCTGACGACCCGTCTGTGAATGGGGACACCACAAATTCGACACCTTCACGCACTAATAAGGAAATCCCCAAACGCCATGATCTTCCTGACCCTTCTACCATTGTCCCCTCTCGCAATCCTTCCCCCACTAAAGCTCCTGCCAAGAAGAAGCTTGACGCACAAGTCGAGATTTCTTCTACTCCTAGTGGCGCGGAGAAGTCTGACAAGAAGAAGAAGAAGAAAGCTGTTTCTGATGCTACCTCCAAATCCAAAGAGCCCACTGCTGTCGTTGGCGTCGAGCCTTTACCTTCCTACACCCAAAGCATCGACAATATGACTGGTCTCTCTCCTCGTATCCCCTCCATCCCTGCCCATGCTCCTGCTCCCGCTATGAGCAACGCATCGTCCGGAATCCGTCCACCTGGCGCTAATGAACCGCTGGATCGGGCGCTTCACTCCTTTGCCCGAGAACTCCACCGCGAAATGGCCTCTCAGTTCGCGAGCCTGCACCAGCAAGTCGACAACGAGCGTCGCAGCTTTGAGGCAGCTGCTTCTGCTCGCCAGGACCAGGTCCTTCGGGTGGTTTCTGAAACCCTTTCGAACAACGTGGAGCTGAATCTCAGTCTCATCATCCAGCGCTCGATGGAGCAGCATGTTATTCCCTCTCTCATCGAGACTACAAAGAAGGAGCTGCGTGGTATTGTCGCGCAGCAGATCCAGCAGACAGTCTGCGAGCAGCTGCAGAAGCAGCTTCCCAAGTCTATCCCTCGTGCATTTGAAGAGCCGGACGTTATGCAGCCTCTTGGAGATGGAATCGTGCGGGCCATCCTCCCTCGCATCGACAAACACACGAACAAAGCCGCCCAGTCCATCGTCCAGCCGCTCCTTGAGAACATGGAGAAGTCGACTCGCAAGCTGGAATCGCTCATCACAGACTCGAACGCCAGTCTCATGGCTGCTTACGACGCCAAGTTTGAACAACAAGGAGCCCAGCTTGAGCGCATTGAGAACAGACTGCATGCTCTCACCAACGCCCTGGCTCTGGGTCATCCTGAGCAGCCAGCTCAGCAGCACCCAGCGCCAGCTGTGACTGTGGGCCGCCCTGCTCCTGAGGATGTCGAACTCCAGGAGATCATGCGCCTCTATGAGGCAGGTCGAGTCGAAGACGCGGCTGTCAAGGTACGTCTCGTGTCCATATTATCTGACAAAGAGGTCTGCATGCTAACCTATTCAATAGTGGGTCCAGTCGACCCAGCAAGCCGATCTGTTCGACAAGTTCTTCGTGCATGTGAACCCAGCTCATATGCGCGACTTGTCGGCGATCGTGCTTCTTTCGGTGGGAGCAGCCGTCACTGCTACCCTGGCCACGAACACCAGCCAACGACTGGCCTGGCTGGAGCTGATCCTCCATACGGTCAACCCTCAGGTATGTCTCACTCCTCTAGTCCTTCTTTCCCCGGCTCCACGGTGCTTAAACTGTGTTTTGCTTTCAAATCCCCTTACTAATTACTCGGTAGGATCCTGAGGTGCGAACCGTGTGCCCGCAGATCATGGAGGTCCTGGGTGGACGCCTCCACAACCTGTACCTAGCGGTTGTGCAAGAGAACCCCCCAGGACCCCATCCTGCGAGCAGCTGGCTCCGATCTCCCGTCGCGTCCGTGCGCTGGCGCAGTAGGACGGTGTCCCTGAACCCCTTGGTCGATCTCATTATGGGTGGACGGGGTTATTTTGCGTTTTGCTTTTGTTTTTACTCAATTTTTCCCTGCGTTTTTGTGCCTTCCCCTGGTTGGCCCACCTCGGCCTTGACCCGGGGGTTAGGGCTTTTGTTCCCTGTTTCTAGCTCCTAATGGAGGTTTTCGAATTCGAAAACTCTGACCCCAACAAGAGGCCCCATTGTAGCATTGACTGTATTCCTGATCATCTAGTCTTCGAATTTACTTCAACTTGATTTCACCGTGTCTTGACTCGCGGAGGTAAAGTCAACCTGATGTTGCAACCCACGTTGAGGCTTGATGAATGGCCATTGGCATTTCGAATGCATCAATCGCAACAGAAGAGTATTGACAAGTACTAGTATATCCACATTAGATCATGTAAATTCCTACGAATACCTAGTATCTATAGTAGCACAAGCACTCAATAGCGAATATCGATGTGAAGGAGCCCAGAACTGTCACAGTTTGTTGGCTACCACTAGTACTAGTATTGACCGAAGAGCTGCAATTGCCGTGCCCAATCTGGAGATATATTTCCTGATGTGGCGAGACATATCTGCTCTTCAAGTCTAATAATGTACTACTTTTCTAACGCTATGTCTCATGGGAAGTCTCGCAGGCCTTCAAGTTGTTCCTATTGACGAGAAGCTACTCCCAGTATACAATTCGGCAATTTTCAATTGAATTGTCGCTGTCACAAAACGACTACACCAAAGCCAATGGAGTATTCCAATTGGTGTCTAGGCTCATTCAAAAACGCTGGGGGAATCGGCGGGTTTAGTGGTGGAAATAACGCGCCGGTTTTTCCATGTCTGCTGTCCAAGTCGACCCAAACTTCGTTTTTCGAAGATTCCGTGCTTTTCATTCCCGTTTCTTGCTGCAACGTATGATCGAGTGATGAAAGCGTCCATGTGTACATGTGTTCTGAACAGCTTCAGACATCTGCGAACCATGAGTGCTCCAATACTTCTCGGGCAGTCAGTCGTTTCGCCGGATCCAAGTTCATGAGTCTTTCTATAAGCTCCCTGAAAGCCGCATCGCTGACGTCTGGCCACTCCACAAAAGGCTTGTAGGGTATTTGTTCGTCTGTTCTCCCATCCCATAGCATTTCCAAGACGTGGCAGCTGACTTCATCGTCACTGATATGCCTTGATAGACCATTAATCCCTTGCTGGTCACCAAAGTATGAAACCTGGCGCTGTAGGCGTATGAAAGCGGGCAATACACCCTGCGCTTGATGTATCCGGAAATCTTCGTCGGGGCCAAAGATAACACGCCCCAGGAACGCATATATGCACTGGCATAGTTAGAATTGGATTGAAGAAGGACCGGCATACTTACAAGCGTTCCAAAGGCGAACATGTCTGTTGGCTTGTTGAGTTCACCCTTAAAGTGCGCTTCTGGACTGCGCCAGTTGTCGTTACCAGCAAGCATGCCCTTGATGCACCTACCTACAGGGAGATATGCGGCGTTTTCAAGATCAGCAAGCTGTGCACATATGATGATCGTCTCTTCGTTCCCATATTGACAGTCAACCATGATGTTATCCGGCTTGATATCTATGTCACGTTAGTATCAGCAGCTCAAATCGACCAGATTAGAAGTCGCCGAGATAATACCGAGATGGACGATTTGCTGTTCATGCAGTTCAGCGATGCCCAGCATGGTTGATTTGAGAATCTGTTTCCGGGCTCGCATTGAGATGCCTCGCCTTACAAGGCCTAAAAATCCATCCGTCGTGTATTTATACACGAAGATCCGCTGGCCAGGAATGGTGTCACATGGCAGTCGTATGTGCGGACTTTGGCGCAATCGTGGCCTGATATTTTCGTTGAAATTGTCGAAGATATCCCGGGGGATGTCTTTTAAGACAAATGTGTCTTCTCCGGACCTTGGAACTATAAGCGACAATTCGCAACAAGAAGGATATGTAGTGAGTCAGACGTTGCCAACCATACGCGGCCCATATATGGTCTTTCCTGGATAATGCTTTTGAATCGGTAAAGGGATCCAGTGGCGCCAATATATTCATTCGACGTGTTCGCCATTCTCGTCAGCGTTCTTCGAAACATGAGGGTTGGGGCGCTCGAAAGACAGCCAGAGTCCCTGCTGTGTACCAAAGAAGGCCTATATATGTCACACAGCTGATGTATACGGAGGATAGATATGCGACTGAGGAAGGAAATGAAGGGGCTTGGCTTTGTGATAATTAGTTAGTTCCAAGGTTAGTTAACTAGTTAGTTAGTTAACTATGATATGATGACTAGCACCCCCCTAACCTCTGAAGCCCCAAACCTCGACAACTGATCTCAAAAACGTAGAGGGAGGGTCCCGATGAGGGTAGCTGAGTTGACGCTATCTACGCTTCTTATTGCATTTAATTATATTATGCTGTGGCTAATCGCATCTTGGAGAGTGCTGACAGCATTTCAGACCCTGCTAAGGGGTACTTTTGCTTATCCGAATCCGATGGACGAACCAGATGGACGTGAAATTATCCTTTACGAGTCTAGAATAGGGTACCTAGGATGTAATTAGTAATATAGGTAGGGTAAATTGTGTTGGAGTAGTAAGTTTGTGCAATGTGGTGTAGAGAAGTGTAATGTAGTGTATGTAGAGAAATATAGTGTATTGTAATGTAGTGTAGTGCAGGCCATAACAGCAGCGAACCCAAACAGATGTAACCCCTGCCATTTTTCAACCTAAGCGTTTTGTTTGAAGTACATATCCATGGCCTTACTTTGTATATCAAGCATAAATATTGCCATCGATCGTGGTCATCTCCAAATTACTTCGTCGAAGCCTAATCTGTGTGTCAAGTACGCATCAAGATTGTCACTTTCTGAAGTCAAACACAAGCTACAGCCAAGATGTACCGTACAAGCAAGTCCATTAAGAATATGACAACCTCAAATGGAAAGCAGGTAGCTCTCGGCTATGTCAAAAAAACCAACGCATGGGAGAGGCCCTTCCTACCGAAGATCACTCAGGACATGTTCGTCGACGTGGCTGAAAAGTACAAGGATACTTTGAAACCCGAAACAGTCGAGGTCGCCATGAAGTGAGTGCTGAACCTCCAGGCTATGAGATACCTGCTTGTCTAACACCTTGAAGGGAGTCCGATAGCCCAAATGATGCAGCCCAGCACTGGTCAACACTGGAAATCGACAAAGACGAAAATGTGATCGCTGTAAAGCACTATTACAAGTGACGTTGTAATATCACAATGAGCCTCATATAAACGAATTCTGGGGTTGGAAACTATAGGGGAGAGCGAGGGACGGGTTACTGAACAGGAAGTGTTGGTGTGCCTATATGAAATACCAATTTGTGAAGGATCATCCCTGGGCTAATATTCCAACAGCTGAGCCAAAAGACCACCATATCCGCACCTCATGTGCAGATATGCCCAGGCACGCCTTATGTAGTACACCCTCTAGCTGGAATCCGTGACATATATGTATATAGCACACAGACCCCGTTTGGCCAAGCAGCAGGTCTGTTCAATGGATTTAGATGCAACCTTCACTCAAAAGTAATATGAGCAAGAAATCAAGATATTTGCATAAAAAATTGAGTTAGAAAAAGAAAGAGGAAATTGGAGTAGAGAGAATGGAAGGCCGAGTTTCCAAGGTTCTGGAACGAGTGCTGACGAACACCCCACTCGAAACCGAGCGATGGTGAAGAAAACCCATCTAGAATAGTAGCAGACGAAGGCGCTCCACTTAACGATCAAGAACTTTCATCAGTCACAGGTGCAGACACTTGGTCATGGGTTATCACGTTGACGGGCCTTGCAGGTTCGTCATGCATGCCTGTACCGGGCTGCGCCTGACTGGAGGGAGAGCCGGTACGAATCACTGAGCCCCCAAGACGGAACACCGTCGAGTTCGGTGTATTCTCTCGCTGCTGTGCGCGTCGGCGGGTGTTCTGCCTCCACTGAGTATTTTCAGTAAGAGGAGTGGCAGTACTGTGAGTCCCCGCCGAGTTAGAGACATTGACCGAGTCGTCTTTACTTTGCGTACTAATAGCCTGAGACAGAGTGCGTGGAAGGTGATAGCCAGCTTTCCCGATAGGGATCGACAGTCCATGTACAACCTAGCTTGACGATCAGCTTTGGACGGGTAATAAAGGACAAATTTCATAACATGAGATACTCACAATACTACAGACCACAAGGAACCAGACGACGATCTTGGCGGCATCTGCAACCCTCTGCGCATCTTCCCGTACCTCACCATCCACGACAATCTCGAGCAGATTCTCTCGGCAGATAGACAGGTAAAAGATTGCGCCGACTCCAATGGGGCCAAAGAACCCTACGAAGCCCGCATGCGTAAGATGCTCAATCTGGTGGATGTATTTGTGCATCGCCAAGATGATTGGGAGGCGACGAACCAACAGGATAAGAATTCCCAGAAAGACCAGTCGGTAAAGCGGAATAATATCATTCCTGAGAAACTCCGACCATGGACAAACTGCACCAAACCACATGAACATGGACAAGTTGAGGAGCATATCGATCGTCGGCTGGAGTGAGTCGTCCATCGTCTCAACGCGAAACCAGTCACTAGGCCTGTCAGTGCGTGCCCGTCATCGGTCAGGTTCGAGGGGCTAACAAGCTTACTCTTGCGTAAAAACATTTCCAGCAATGAAGCAGGCAAGTAAATCGTCGGTTCCGATGAGTCCGCAAGTTCCAAGGATAAAGAGCTATCGGTCTCCATGAGTACAATGGCTCGATCGACATCGGTTGACATCCGCCAAAAAGCAAAGTGGCAAAGGTTATAGAGGTACTTACCGCAAGGGCAATGGCGAATACCAGGAAACTTTCACGATCTACATATCGTCTTTCTTCAGCCCAGTGAAGCAGCTTCCTCGAAAGCCATCCACACGCAGTGCCATACGCCACACTCAGAAGGATGGTATACGCCCATGTTTCATAGAACCACAGTCCCATGGCTTTTCCTGCGCCACCACCGTATCCCTCTCCGCCCATACCCACATATTTCAGCAGGTAGATACCGAAGAAGAGGAAAGGATAGCCCAGTCCATCATTCGCCCCAGACTCGGCTATGATGATGCGTTGCAGTGGACGCGGGACATTCTTATCTGCAAATTTGCCTTTGACAATCGAATTAGACAAGACGGGGTCCGTAGGAGTCACGCATGCCGCGATAATGAGGGCATGAAGGAATTCAAAATGAGGAACCATAGCCCAGACAATTAGGCTACTGCAGATCCACATGGCCGCCATGCCAGGTCCGAGGAGCAATGAAAGACTCCGCCATTCGATCTGCAGATAGCGCTTGGGAAGCTGCACACCTGCTAGAACCAGCTGCACGCCCAGAACTAGTCTGGTGAAGTTCTGGGTGATCGCTTCAAGATTACCTGCCGAGTGCAAGGCATAGTCCTCAGGGCGAATAAAGTTAGCTGCGTGAGGTGAAAACGCAACCCCCGCTAGCATTGAGATCACTGCTGGCATGTTAAGATTAGGTCCATAAGATTAGGGAAGTGTCGCTTACATGCTTCAGAGAGGTAGAACCGCTCTTTACAAAGATAAGATACCAGTCCGAAAAGCGAGATGAAACCGCCTAGGGTCGCACAGACGATATTGAAATTAATCAATGAGAGGGTCGGCATGTTCAAGTCGATGACACCGGGAGGGTGTGACTGTACACAAGATACGAAATGCGAGATGCAAATGCCCGATTCAGAAATAAGATAAGATAGGGAATGAGGATGGGAAAAATTTGGAGATGATCTTTGGTAAATTCTTTGCCGAAAAGCAGGCAATGGATAACAGCACGTGTTATCGGATCATTGTACGAATGAGAGGGTAATGCAAGGGAATTTCTATCATATGGAAAGGCTTGTAGGCTTCCTTGACAGACGAAACCATAGAAAGGCGCTCTGTGTTATTGTTCCTGAGACCAGAGGGGTAAATACGAGGGTAAAGTCCGTAAGGTGGGCAAAACCCACAAAAACCAACGGTGCCGCCAAGCCAAAAACCACCGCCTGCCTCACCGCACACAATTGCGGGGACTCACGGCAGAATAAAAGTGACAAAGTACGAACAATCCAGCAGACGGAGTTTACAGAAGTACCTTCGTGATAACGGTCAATTGGTCAAACCCCCCCGTAATTAGCCAGGAGCATTGCTTCGTGGTTGTCATTAGGAATGAGACGATGTATGTATCCCATATGTATCGAGAGTATGCAGAACAGAGCTTCAAAAGTCTTCTTCAAGCATTTCATCTGGTAAATCTCGGCCGACCCGCTGCGCCTCTGCTTTTTCCCTTACACCGCGCTGTGCCCCATTGACAGCCAGGTTATCGGCAGCTTCGTTTCCGGGGTCCTTACTATGCCCCTTGATCCACTCGAGCAGGGTTCTGACCTTGAGTTCATTGCGTTCTTCGATTTTGACCAGAATGGACTCGATCAGGTCCCTATTTTCTACTGGCTTGTGGTCCTTCGTCATCCATTCATTCCGTCGCCAGTTGATGTACCATTTTGTCACACAGTCGATAGCATATCGACTATCAGTGAAGATAGTCACGTCTCGGTGGCGAGGCGCGATGTCGATAGCTCGAAGAATTGCTGTTAGTTCTGCTCGCTGGTTTGTCTGGCGGTTTCCTTTAAGTGGTTCTGAAACATTTCTGCTGGGAGGACGGATATTTTAGTTAGAAACGAATACTTCATGTATACATAAAAGAAGAAGAATGACAAAAGAAAAAAAAATAGCGCTTATGCATACCTGCTGTCTCCTGGTCCAAAGTAAACGCCGACACCCGCTGAGGCTAGTGGCGTACCATTTCGTAACGAGCTTCCATCGGTGTAAATGCGCAACATTCCCGCCGTTGCTGTCGCCTGTGTCTTGGTCGCTACCTTTTGCGCCGGGGTCTTGTAGACGACTTTGCCCGTAGCCGGATCGAGGAGCACATTCGGGTCGAACCCATCCTCTGCACCGCGAGGAAGGGGACCGTCTCCAGCCGGGTATTCAATACCATCCGCATCTTTCGGGGGTTCGCGTTCAATCCCACGTGTTGCGTTGTCAGGTTCACTCTGTCCAAATCCGACGGGTGGCTCTCGTCGGCCAGCCTTGACAAAGTCCTCCGCCTCCTCCCGCGTCGCGAATTTGCGATATCGGGGCCTCGGGAACCCAGATATTTGCTCCTGCGCCTTTGTCCATTCGGTGTACACGCCAGGGACACGACCGCGCTGTATCCCGTAGTACCGTGGCTCTTCTGTCCTGGTGCTACCGGGCGGGGGCTTGGCGCCGGTGATAAACGCGTTTGCTTCTTCGCGGCTCGGGAATTTTTGAACTGCGGCGCATTAACGGGTTAGTATCTTGCTGGTACGCAAGGCCCGTGAAGAAGAAGCAGGCGTCCTGTCGCACCAACTTACATATGGCTTTCTTGAATCCCGTTATCTGAGCTAAACAGTCGGGCCAGTTGTTGTAAATGCCGGGTTTGTGTCCAACCTTCACCGCGTAAAATTTGTCGCCATCTTCTCTTTTCCGTTTGGTACCTGCACTGGGGGATGCGCTTGGTTTTGATCTACTGGAAGTTTTGGAGACGGGACTTGAAGATGGAGTGGTGCCTTTCATTTCGTCGAAATCGGGGCAAATGGCCGGAGGATATGGGTGTGGTAGATTGATGATAGGCGCGGTCAAATTGAAGCGGTTAGGTGATGTGGAAGAAACGCGACGTATGAGACAGAGGCTAGAATTCACGGAACAACTGGTTGAGCAAGTTTGGAGATGGTAGTTCGAGGACGAACTCCAAGACCCCAGCTTCAAGGGCGAGAAGAGATAACTTTGGAGATTGCAGATCTTTTGCGCCACAGGGTAAGGGATACGGAACGAATATGAGGCGAGCCCGAGGCCGTTAAGCATATGAGAAATGGATTGAGTGAAGAGAAGGATTTGTAGGGGAATAGTAGGAGGTAGAGAGAACATCGGGAAAGAGGGGGGGGGGTCTGATTCTGGGCAAAGGGAGGGGGGCCCTTGCCTGATTGGGGCTTCCGCAGTGGTCGATCCCCCAATTTGTGACACTCTAGCTATTGCCTCAAATGGATCGTCTTTGTATAATTCATGGAAGGTTTTTTCTTTCCTCTCTTTTCCTTTGGATTGTCTGCAGCAAAAATAAACTGATACCACTTAGGCTTTGACAGCCCCCTTTGCATTACGTCTCGATGTAGATTGATCCGGATACCATCAAATTTGCAAGGAAGGATTGCCAGGGGTTTGCCTATGTAATGGATTTCCTATGCGATGGCTTGGCTTCCTCTTTCCGCTTTCGGGCGCACTGAGCGCCGCTTTATGCTCTCTGAGTAGATCTGAGCACGCCCCTGAGCGCCCTGATCGGCTCAGTGAGTATTATGTAAGCCCACTGATCCACTCACTGAGCGCTCGGACTAGCTCACTGAGCACAACCTGAGCACAAGGCACCTCAATAAACCGCACCTACGCTAGCCCCCTCGTGAAACTCTCTTCCTAAGATTGGCCCCACTATCCCATCCAAAAAGCAGTGGCATCAATAACCTGATGTTTCATTTTGGTAGTCAATACGCCTCGGCAAAGCCTGATAGTTAATCAACCTATCAATTAAATTGTATGCTCCTAGGAGCCCTTGATTTCTGGTTTCTACATTTTCCTAGACAGGCTTGGAGCGAGCCTTAGAGAAATCACATGACCATTCTGGAGGACCGCAAGTTTTACTCTGGGCAACTTCTTTCTACACTGAGCACGTGCACCGGAGTACATGCTTGATCAAGCCCCATCTCTGCGGGTTTGCCTAATTCCCCGAAATAGATTGCTCCTAGGAACTTGCCGGATGACTGATTGGTTGATCCATAGAAGTTCTCAGCCGAGGGAGCCGCTAGATGCTCCTGGGAACTATCAAACTCCACGCCATTTTTGTGTTTGTAGCTAAGTTCACTAACCCGCTCATAATCTATGATTATCTAGGTTCCTAGGAGCTTAAAGATAGGTCGTAACTCTGGAGACGTCCTATGATATCAATTTACTGAGGGTATATATTTGAGCCTATGCTCAAGAAATAATCGTCCTCATCCTAATCATTTCACCATATCTTACCTGGAAGGGAAAAAGCTTCTTTGTACTGTTCAGTCCCGACTTGGTGGCGTGAATGGCATGAATTGGCCTTGTGTTACTCTATGGTTGCCCATGAGTCAGGCATGTTCAATAATTCCATATCAGTCACAAATAACCACTCCATGTCGGATTCAGCTTCCGAGGGCTGGCATCCCAATGAGCCAGACCATCTTGGGTCCGACGCCGGCACTGAGGAAATGACTACACCGGAATTTTGGGGGGCATTGCATGGTGAAGACCTTGCCTTTCCGGGGAAGCATGAAGCAGCTATTGCTTCGTCCTCTATCCCTGTACCCACCAAACCGCTAGAAAGGATTCAGTCAGATAACCAGCTTCAGTCGGACCACAGAAAATTGAAAGTCACCGAGGATTCATTCGACGACCACTTTGGGGCTGCAGGGATGGAGAGCGAGGCGAATGATCACAAGTGTTTGGGCAAAGCAGCATCGACCTGGGATCCTTCCGTGTCTACTGCCATCGACTATGAAATAGCCAAGATATACAATCACGCGGATCACTGTCGAAATGCCTATTGTTCACAAGCTAAAGCTTTCTTTGATGAAATACAGTCTCGTGAGTGATTCCGTGTTGTACACGTTCAATACGTTCGCTGACATGTTAATTATGCAGGAAACACACTATCAAGCAACTTGAATAAATCCAAACAGACACAAGGAGGAAGCGGACAAGGTCGTGTGACCATGCGATTCTACGCCCCGGATGGGAAGGGGGCTACATGGTCAAAGAATTTTCTTGTCAACCGAGTGATTTTTCGAACTACCTTCTCGTCAGGTATACCTTGCAGCCTGGAGAATCTCCCCCAAGACGATACTTTCTTCGGGCAAGGTGCTGTGGCCGTCCGTCTGGAAGGAGAAAACCCAAGTTTGTTTCTCACATTCACTCCTAGAGACGAGGGGGGACGATCGTGGTACTGGTGTTTGTGTATCTCACAAACGGCCTAATGGAATTGTGATAATTGAATCGGCCGGGACACAACGACTAGAGGGGGCCAATTGGGAGCACAACTTCACAGGGAGGATTCATATTGAACTTTATAAGATATGGCCCCCTTTAGGCTCATGTTATGAGAAACGAGAAGATTTCTTCGGGAGTGCTATGCTGAACTATCATACGGTAGACAGGAAATTCTTCCTCTGCTTCTCTTCCGTACTGTCTTCAGCTGATTACTATCCTCACTTGCCCGCGTCTGGCAACAGTGTGGGTGCACTTTCTATGGCTAGCGACGGTGTTACTAAGGAACTAATAGAGCAAGCTGGTACCTCTAGGGGTAATTTACCACTCAGATCCTATGCGGGACGACCGAAACGAAGGCTTTCATCCGAGAGTTATCAATTTGAACCCCGGCGATCAAACAGGCTGGCTATAAAAGCTAGAATTCTGAAATGACAGTTGCCCTCCCTTACACGATTCTATAGATTCTACGGATAGCGGAATACAAAAACTAGAAGCATTCTGTGACACCATCTGACCAACAAGCGACAAGGCTCTTAAAATTCATTTCTAGGCATAGTTGAATAACGAGATGTGGGAAAATATTAGACAAAGTGTAAGGTGCGGCTTACGGGGATTGGATGCGATACGGGCAATAGAACAAGGGGTAGGCAGTTGTATTGAACTGTTCGCTAGCCTGCTTATATTGTGCAGGAGACATATTATATATAGCTTATGTGGGCTCGTTTACCCCATCATTACCCTTCGAGAGGGCGCGTTGCTTCATCATTATCCTTCGACGGGCATTACAGTACTTATCCTTCGATGTCATGCAGCGGGGCCTGAGGTGTCCAGCGGTGGATCGGAGGACTTCGGTCCTGACACAAAGCATGCGACAGGCTGAAGTCGCATAATAGGGAATATTAGCTATGAGGCAGAGCCCATATATTATGTAGGAACTAAAACTTGTCTATATGTATTGATTGTATCAATGCGTGTGTTAATTTCAAATTCCTGGCTCATAACACCCGTATCAGACACCCAGAGTTTAACGGAAGCGTCATCTCAACATCTTGGATTTTAGTGCAATATAGGGGAATTATATTAGATCTTCCTCATGGTCCCCAGCGAGTGCTCTACTTTGTTCAATCTGGTTGACTGAAGCTAGGGGGGATAGGTGGTTCGATTCGAGTACTAGACATACACCAGAGTTCGAAAACAATTTAGGGGTACAATTAAGTCTGTAGTCGCCTTCCATGTTGGAATAACCATAATGATAAAGAATATAAATACGCAAACACAAATGCGTAATGGTGATTTACTGTAGGCACAGCTGTTGAAATCTGAAGCTCTAATTTAATTAATTACATTACTAGCGTGTGTTACACGGTTCGCCCCTATTGATAGCTCCCCCTGGATTACAAGAGTTCTGTAAGGTAAATTGGGTTTCTATACACAGCCACATTAAAACTTTGTACAGCCACACCCTGGGGGTAATTTACTAGATCAGGTATGTCGGAAACAAATAGATTCTAGTCACGAACCATTAATACTGTAACTATCCGTCAGCTCAACCCAGCCCCGCTTTATCAACAGCTTGTCAATGATAGTCTAAATCTATTGGTCGTTGAGGTTTAGCTGACTGGTCAAGCTTATTCTGTTCGCTCGTTTGTTCGATTTATAGAGGGTGGAGGATTCTTTCCCTTCTTATTCCGTCTTCTCCTTAGTTTTAGTAGTCCAAATTTCAGGTGCCTTCTCCTCATTTTCTGAGGAGCAGCCTTGGCACTACTCAAAATAAACACTGACATCAAGTAGAAAGTGCAAGTGTAGCCTACACTGATGTCCGTGCAACGCATTGTAATTATATACGATCTACAGATAGTAGTTGCTACTATAATACTTTAGTAGATCTTGAAGTCCATAAGACATAAATTACCATTTATGACTGGCAGATTGGTAAGAGTATGGATACAAATATTATTACTTAAGGGGATCTAACTAGCCGCTCTCCGGATCTAGGAGTTTCGTATTGATCTTTGGCCCCCGCCGCCCTGCATCAACACCGCAAATCTTGTCGATTTATCAGATGGTCTCGCTTAAACCCCCAAATAGTGAGGCCAGCGGAAGAGACGGACATAGCTGTTGTGCTTGAGCTAGATCGAGGTGGGAGTTATTTTTGAGTTGGCAGGAAAGCAGGCACTCCGTTGGATTTACTTTGCGTGTCATCCGCTCTGTCCGGAATTTCTGTAAGCCTGATCCTGCCTTTCGTCTTAGATACCAAACTTAGGCTTTTATTCAATCTATGTATGTCAATACTGAGTGAGAGATCTGGCTGATGTTGCAATATGTGCACAGTCTCCTTGCTTCTCCGTTTCGTTTACATACAACATCATCTCTGCTTGTGAGTTCCACCAGAGCTCAAACCGATCTTCATCGGGTGTAATACGAATTTCCGATTCTATGCGTAGCACAGACATCACTGTTATCCGAAGTTCAACTGCGATCGGCATTCTCAGAATAATAGATCTCAAACAATCAGATGGACGCTCTTAACTGTAAATCTAATTCTGGATAATACATCGATAGATCAATCAAGCTAACAATTGAGAGAACAAATTTTGGGGACATCATGATACGATGTGCCGTATAGGATGTGTTCAGGAGAGGGTGCTCAAAAGAGGGTGCTCAAAAGAGGGTGCTCAAAAGAGGGTGCTCAAAAGAGGGTGCTCAAAAGAGGGTGCTCAAAAGAGGGTGCTCAAAAGAGGGTGCTCAAAAGAGGGTGCTCAAAAGAAGGGTTTCTCTATAGTATGTGAAATTCTTCGTTCATATATTGTGTCCTATTTATCTATACATATCTTACAGTACACGACTTGCCTGCGTACCTCTCGATATGTAGGTCAAGAAACAACAGTTGGAAACTAAGCATATCAACGCTCTAACTATGGCATCTTTCACGTCTTACGGTGACTGGGCGCCAGAACACGCATTGGATTGCCCATTTAAGGCACTGACAGAGCATATTTAAAGCAAACCCCACGAGGCTGGGCCGGAATTGATTGGGAGCAACGGAGAGCGAATCAACCTCCAAGTAAAGCCGCAAGTTGTATTAGCGCAGTCATGTTTGATCCATTTGTGAAGTATGGCAACGTTCAGTAAGCAGGCTAAAGGTGCCTGATACTAACCGTCGCATCAAATAGTCCATTGTATGCTCAAACAGATAGTGCAACGCAGCGAACAGCTGCCAGTTCACTAACATGAATATTATATGCTGAATTACCGTTTCGCCTAAGTTTTGCACGTACTTTGTCCTTCCTGCCTTGATGAATCTGTTATATCTACATCTTTTATCGTCCCTCCAATTACTCCCGCTCACTAATACAGCAAAATGATCGTCCTAAGGCGTGCTGTGCGTATTTGCACATTTCAAATTGTACACCCGTGGCAATCGACTTAATTAAGAAAGGACCCAGAGTCTCGGAATCACCAAAGTCAATCTTTACCGAATTGCGTACTTTCCTGCATGTACAGTATGTTGCACTCCATTTTGAACACTCCATTTTACCACTCTAGTCAATTTGAATCTATGATCCCTGCACTGGCCACTTGGAAAATCCGAGCTTGCTACATAATTACCCTTTTTTCCTTGCTCATTAAGAAGGCTAGATCTGTCATTGCTTACCAGATTATGCCGCCTGATAGTTACCGCCTTGAGACAGGAGGAAGCCGTCCGGACTATGAGGCTGTCGAGAGATGGGATAGAGGTTCGCGAGGGAATAGATAGGTTGTCGTCGCAGTTCCTCCTCCTCTCCTTCTTCCTTTCCTCTATTTCTAGTACCTTGCATGCAAGTGCCGCTGCCAGTTTCTCCGCTTTCAACATAGGCTATCAGTGACAAAATCCATGGGAACTAAAATTTCCGTCGAGGGGGGGGTTCCTACGGAACACCATAGCCTTCGGAAGCTGTCCACCTATCAACGTCAACTTCATGAAAGCACAGCCATACCTTGCGTACCAAAGAAAAGAGTGGAGCATCCAACATGTTCGCGTATATTTATGGGGCTTCACTTTATGGTGCTGTCGGACGTGTTACATATAGTATGCTGGTCATGAAAAGCAAAGATAAATAGCCGACAGGGTCATTAACATAGACTTTCTATAGCCGGCATAGACGCCATTCATCATACGTGTAGTTCTCAGGAAACACCGTTTTGCCACTTGAGTGGACCTGTTGCTCTGATGGAAGGAGGAAAGGGGTTTTGAATAAACAACATATGACCCTTACCGTCAAGGTTCCGGAAAAGATTGAAAAGTTACTTTGATCCGGTATGAGTGATATCAACTACCGTATCTGCTAATAGTGGAAAGTACTTTCTAGCAGACACTGTGGTGATCTAATTATAATTTTTGGATCTTCAAGGCGAGGCAGCTGTATTGGGATTATCGTGTCGCCTGGTCCAGTAAAGACCCAAATCCGATTTCCTCTGTGCCTATACTCCTCCCTTGTGGCCCTACCAGATAGGCAAGCATTAGCAAAGCAAACAAGGCTTTGGCTGGATGTGTCACCGCTTGCTTGTTTTTGACTACGCTATCCGGGTCATAAAGATTTGGAACCCTGATGCTTTGAACTAGAACTTCTCCAATTTCATTATCACGTTCGGACGGCGCATATGTCAAGCTGCTTGATCGATTTCGGCTCATCAATGGAGAAATTACTGATTCAGGCGAGGTAAGTGGAAACTGGTACGTTGAAGACGAACTTTGCTCAGGAGGATGTCGACTTGGGCTCGGCACAAGCTTTGAAGCCGCGTCAACCACCTGCTCTCTTGTCATTTGGGAAGATGCAGGGGGGGCTTGATGGAAATTCATATATCTGAGAACAGGTAGATAGAGACGAAGCCAACTCAAAGCCCTCGTCCCCAGCCCAATTACCTGACACCGCAGGCGATTGGCGAGAGGGGGTTTCACCACTCATATTTCTTCTTTTTGGTCTAGAATGAGGAGTATGTAGAGGCTTGCCACCACTTGTAGGCTCTTGGAATTTTCCGGTAGGCTCAGATGTCCTAAAGTCTGATGACAAGCCATGCTCTAACGTCTGGAATCCTGTTCCGGATCGTAGCCCACGTTCGCGATCGAGACGCGGTGTTGCTTCTCTTTCTTGCAGAAATTGTGCAAGCAAAAGTTCTTTATTTGTGAGAACAAATGCGAAACGTGTATAGAGCATGCAAGCGTAGTGCTGCACCTGGGCGAGGTAACTACGGCGGCACGAATGTGTTCCGTCAACAAGCCCTGCATACCGGGTCCTCTCGCTCTGTGAGCTGAAATTCGACGGCAGGCGGACCAGTTTCGTATCTCCGACGGCAATGATCTTGCGCTGGCGTGCCAGGGTCTCTAATGGCGGAAAAGCGCCATCGTGTGGCGAATAGTCGCCTTCTATAGCGATCCAATCTGGTAAGATAACTGTCTCCTTCCCGTCAATGCTGTGAGGATCATAGCTATCGAATGAGCCAGGGCACACTACCACAGTAACGCAGTTACCCGGTGAAAGTGCCCTTTGGAGAGCTATGTTCACACGTGTGATGAGCGTGATGTGATAGAGGTGTTCCAATTGCCTTTCGTTATGTATAACGCGGGCAAGGTCGGGAAGCCAAGGCTTCCACTTGGGGGTGAAGTGAAGGTCCAAAATGCTACGGATCTGGGAGTTCGAGGCAAGGTTGGATGAGTCAAATTCACCCCACTGTCTGATTTGCCCTAGCACCGAATACCGGCTATCGTCACTGGAGCCATGCGCGGAAAAGGCAAGCGTATGTAGAAACTCGGTAGCCTCTGGCCCTTCCTGTGGGTCCAAAAATGCATCGATAGTTAACGACATGATGATAAGTTTCTTTAGAGTCTAAGCGAAGAATGATCCCTTATCGGAAGCGTGCCAAAGTAAGGTATAATAATATGCATACAGCGATTCACCTCTGGCGCCAAGACCTTTGACCCCGTTTGCCCCGCAGAATCCCAGGCAACCGTTCGGTGAATATTTTGGGTCTGTGCGTAATGCCACGTAAACAACCAAAAAATTCAACATCGTCACTACGTGGTCTTTCTCTATTCCCCGTACCTCTATCACGATGGGATACTTGCCATCAAGAACAGCGCAGCGCCCAAAGTTATCCGAGCAAACCTTACCAGAGCCGAATCGGTCATCAATGTACCTTAGTATGGCACCCCCGAAAGAGCATCGCAACCACACATCCAAAATCGAGAGCTGTCAACGCATACAAACATCTGACGCTATCAACAAGACATACTCCAGCGTGCAGAAAACAGCAAAGCCAAGAAAAGGAAAGAGATGGAAAATTTGCAAGGTCTGTCCTGCTGACCCTACAAAATCTATGAGGCTAGTAAACATCCTGACCATCATCCTTGGTTTAGTTTGATCCAAATGACGACTTCTCCTTTAACCGCGAATTGTCCGTACTTCGTCAAGTCTCGCAGCTCCGCTCCCTCACTATACATACGCCCAGGATCGTTAAAGCAGATCCTCGGTCTCGTGTTCTTGTGCTAAGCTACCCTCGTCTTCACTGGGTCACTCTGCAGCAGCGCGTTGAAGATTTAGAACTCGACCTCGATACATTGCTTAAATTGAAGCAAGAGCTTCGGTCAAATATCGAGTTGCTGTATAAGCATAAAATTGCATACCGCTTCAAGAAAGATTGTGTGTTTCCCGTCAAAAAAGCATCAGGTGGCTGGGCTCTTTATTTAGGTGGCTGGAGGGATGTCAGCTGCTTTGCCTCCCCGGAGACAGCCGACTTGCAGAGGAAATTGACAGAGCAATTGGTGGAGATGGAGGATCATTTTCAGCTGTTGTGTTCTTCTGTATCCGTGTCAAGAAATGTTACTATGACCACTGATGGCTGAGCATCGAGAATAACACAAAGACCGTTCTTATTCTGGCTGCATCGACCATGCAGCGATATGCGAAGAGTGCGAGGGAATGCATCGTGTGATTGGAATTGAGCAAAGCTCTGACGGAAGGAAGTGGGGTCACACTGCTGACTATCACCATTTTATCACAAGTCAGATGTATCCGGACCGGCAAGCCTCGGCACCGCCTCACTAACCCCAGCATCATAACTAACCATCTATGTTGCGGATGTACATTATCGATACATAGATGTCTCCATACTGAGGATCAATCCTGGGCTGTTTTCCGCACCCCAAAACATGAAGAAATGGAGAGAAGAAAACCCAAAGGAAAGAAAGCGTTTTTGATGGATGATGAGGAAAAATCTCAGTCAAATGGATTTCAAAGACGAATTCGCCCGTCCAAGATATATCCAAGGACCTAGCTTCAACACTTACCGACAAAGAACGGGGCCAAAGTATGGATTTTGTACGAAACTGTACTACGTCCAAGCCTTCATCCATCAAGTTGTAAATAATGGAAGACCATACAGTACCAATTGGTTACATTACCTTAGGAAAGCATCGGAGTCCTTTCAAGGGGCTTTCCCCAGTTTTTGAGCGCCTGTCTCTTGCGCATGCAACGTGGCAGGACTTTGAATGCTGAGAAAGATCAGCCTGCAAGTTTAATCCACTCAAATTCCCGTAACGTCCAGGGCAACGGAAAAGAAGAACAAAAAGGGTAATTGAAGTAGTCTTGGTGCCATTTTAGAGGAAATAAAATGTGAAAAAATCATGAGAAATACTATGAGCAGCTTCTTGGAATTTCTCTTATTATTTGAATTCTATACTCTCTACACAAAATCTCGCAGTTGCCAACTATCTCGCGGCCTTGCCCCCGTGGAATGTGCGTTGAGCAGCCTATTGGACAGGTGCGGTTGGTGTGTCACTCGGCAAGCCAAGAGGGATTGAGGACGGGGTGGCAGTTGGGGACCGTGGCCTTGATGGCACTGTGTGAGAAGGGATTGTGCTGTTTATGTAGTCGCAGAAGGAGTCTCGTTCAGAACGGTAATGGTGGCATGACTGAAGCGCTACTTCTCGGACCTGCACAAGGGTCGTGAGGCGCTCTATCTTATGTGCCAACGGGGTTCACCCATCCACGTCATTAAAAACAAGAGATTGATTAACAAGGTACAGTACAGAATTCCTGGGTTACTATACCTCTGCAATTAGATATTTCATTGATAAACTCTCGGCTAGTTATGTCCCACTGCCTGGCCGAGCTCAGTACCGACTAACTTAGATTATCTTACCAATAATGCCCACCAAAGTAGGGTTCCGTCAAAAGTCGTCCAAGTCATGACGTCAACAACATATCAGACTCATAATAATAAGCTCATCCGCCTCACTTATTAAATTTAGATCTCCAAGCAGTACAAACGATTTCCCCTATCATAAAACTTCCCCTATCATAAAACTCATTCAATCACGATGTCAGTACACCCAGAAGCCTACTTTGGAAGCCAAGCACAATTGACAACCTGGACCGACGAAATTGAGTTCCTGGGCTACATTTTGTGCGAGCTTATTGATGCAGATGGGATGAGTATGAGAGGGTACAGATGCCATCAGGCAGTTGATTTACCAGCTATAGTCGAGATCATTCGACTGCATTTGAAGGAGCCCGATGGAAGCCTCGCTAAAGTTATGAGAGACGATGAAGTAAAGGCCCTCCGTCGGCTAATAACAAAGTCGAAGCAAATTCGAAACAATATGGCTCACCATACAACTCAAAATGAGCAAAAGCTAAGAGGCCTTGAAAGCACAAAGCAGAACTTGTGTGATTTTCTTGAGTACGCTATCAAATTAGCTGCATCGGAGCGTGGAATAACCCAGGTTTGTTTTACTATTAAATGGATTCCGAGGCCGTACTAATGGCATGCTTGAAAAAGATCACTTGGTCTCCGTGTCATCATATTTGCAAAACATATACGGAAGAAAAGGGGGCCTCCAATAGTCAAGGTTCCGCTGAATCAAGAATCTTTGCTATTTTTTCGTCAAGAAGTTCTTCGAGATCGTGAAATCGCCCAGAAAATGTTACTTTATCGTCGTCCAAACTATATGGTAACTGAAGAAAGCCGACAGAAGCAGAAAGATGACCATGGGATTGCCATTACCCGAAGAAGGCAAAAGCAAGAGCAAGGTATGATCAGGCGGTCCAATCAACTTCTTGGAAAGCTCCAAAAACTGGAAGAAAATTTCCATAGGTCTCGAGAGCTGCGTTTTGCACAAATATACGTGATAAAACAGCGGATGAGAATGGAACAAGAAATTTTCCATCGACAGAGAACAGAGATCTTCAATAATGGGATTTTACAACCAGTCAGTGATAAGCAGGTATTGCTAATACATAATAATTCTTCTTGCAATCAGCTCTCCGTTCTGGATACCTGGAGTGCTTATCTGCCACCTGTGTCGCATATACCATGTCTAGCCATACATATCAACTTCATCTTCAGCCGTGGCCTCAATCCCTAGAGACACCTTAGTATAGATGCTTCGATGTTACTGTAGTCTAATTGGCAATATAGGGCATGCTTCTACCCTAACCATATCAAGAATGCTGCAGTTCCAATCGATTTCGAGAAAATAGTCCAACTGTGTAAAACAAAGAAGCCAATTTAGAAAGTGAGTCTGCTGCAATTCCTTCTCGAGTGAGATACATAAATATTGATACAGTAGCACCCAACTTCGGCTTCCATATTGCAAGACAGAGACTCTCTTTCAAACCCTAATCACATGTTACTAAAAATAACATAAGGTGTATCTTCTTGTAAAAATACGAATATCTTTTTTTAGATCGTCAGGTAATTATACGCATCTAGAATCTGAAGTTGGAGACACTAGAAGATTCCAGACAAACACAACAAACACCGCAGTCGTAGCCTCCCTCGAAATGCCTATTCGGGAGTTCTGTATAACGCAGTCGCTCGATTTCTCTGCGCTTGGTTCTTCCTTTTGGGGTCCATCTGCGGTCAAGGTGATAGACAAGACGCAGGACTTAGCAGTAACGGTTTGTATCGGCATCCCCACTATCGTAATCCATCATCCTATGGTCCCGGACCTTATTGGATACAGAGGTACAGGCTAACGCGTTATGGCACATCTCAGGCCACACGTACCCAGAAGATCTTCATGACGACCAATAGCGTATACGATGACGATGACTATCATTCTCCGTTAATCGATCCTTGGGATGCCCCCACCCCGGTAACTCCGGCCGCACGCCAGCCAGCTTATACTCTGCCAGCCCTGCCCCAGACTGTGCCACGGACCAGCAACGGGCTGGTCACCTGAACTTTCTTCCATTGTCCGATTGGGTAGAAGGTGGCGAGTATGATGTGCTGCCGCCGAGATATGTCTGCTATACCCTCGCATGGAAGTTGATACTCAACCGTAGAACGGTAGGGAAAGTGACCGAGGAAGACTTAATGATAGCTCCAAGTGAATACTGGGAGAGCGTTTGCAAGCAGATGTTGAGAACATGCTGCAAACAAAGAAGAAGCGTCACCAACGAGTACGGTCCGAAGGCACGGCCGTTACCGTCAAAGTGGACGAACGTTCTCAGAGAAATCTGGAAAAATTCTATAATTCCACTAACATTAATTGGATACCCGTGGAAACGCAGCTGCGTAAATGGACCAATCTGCTACGTATAGGGAAAAAGCTCACAGTGGAAGTTGCCTTCACCTATAGGGAGGATGATGACGGACCCTCCTCGGGCCCTTTAAGAAGTGCTGGCAAGAGGGGACGTGTGTCCGCGACCAGCAGAATGTTGGATGAGCGTAGGCAGTACATTTTAGAGGAAGAGGAAACTACCGGACAGGCTGCGACCTGGGAGTCGGTCTATGCCCTAATGCGATGCGCCGTCCGATCCTGTCCGCATAGATCTGACTGGTGCTGGGAGGACCCAAAGGACAAGAGACATTACAAGCTCAGGACTCCGCATCTAGAAAGATTAATCGACTTTGTCGATGAGGGCGGCATTCTTGAAAGCCATGACGACGTTCCTGGCGATATTCGTCGTGATCTTATCCTGGAGAGTCAGGCAGGAAGAAAAGCAAAAAAGGTGGACACCTCAACAGCAGAACTTCCGCATTCTTCAACAGTGATCAACGTTTTACCAGCACAGAATAGCAGTGCACCTGTTATCGCTCCTTTCTTACCCGAGCAATCATCTAGAAAGCCGCTTACAATTGCGGGGCCTCGTGAAACGGCTGTGAGAGAGTATTGCAAATGGCTGGAGTCACGCGCTACGGAGGAGGCGTACAAAGCTGATTTCCGTAAAATTTGTCAAGTGATTCTAGAGAATCATCTCGATCTTGAACTGATTCTTGAAGATCCAGATTCTGGATTTTTCGTTCAGCGAGGCATTCGAATCGGGACTGCCCGCCGTTTCCTGCGTGACATCAATGAATGGGCAAATGTGTTGCAACCAAACGCACTTCTTGACCTGACCAATGAATGAATTTGAGATTGCCGCAGTGGACTGAGCATCTATTGTTTTTGACTACTGTAACCTACGTGTGGCTGGCTCCATCGGTGGTTCACAGAAATTAGTGTATCTTTGTGGATTGAGGTATTCTGCATGTGGCTTTCACGCGTATTATATATTTGATTTCAGATATTTGGCAAATAAGGATGTTGAATGCGTTATCAAGAAAGGAAGGAAAAAGAAAAAAGAAACCAAAAAAAGCTTTCCAGCTCCCACTGCCTCGGCGCTGATATATTATTATGCAACTAGGATATCATTTGCTACGGTTAACACACGTAGGGCCATCATCCGGAATGTGTGGAAGCTAGTTGTATAGCTCATAGATACACTTATGTGCACAACACACAAAACAGTATTCTAGCATGAGAGTGGGCGCCGAATGATGAATCCAGAGTAGGGAAGATGATCTTTCTCTTTCAGATTTTCTTTCGACTCTCGCTGTAGGGCAAGTTAAACCGCCGCAAATAAATTGATGGACAATTTCAAGAACCTGTTGACTTTTTCCTTGAACGCGATGCAGTCTGAACAAGGAGATGAGCTTATTAATATAACAGCCTCAGTCAATGATACCGGCGGTGGCGCATGAGCCATGTGAGTTAGGTCGGTGTGTCTGCGAAGTCGCTGATTGAGAACCTCAAGTTGAGCTTCTAGCTTCAGAATTGGTCGTGCCTGATGGCTAGCAAGTAATTGGGCGAGCCTTTTCTCTGTGGACCTGAGCTTCGACTTGAGAGTTTTGATTTCCTCATATCTCCCGACGAGCTTTTCGTCCCCATCAAATAACTCATCTTCGAGGTCTTTCTTCTCCTGTCGAAGGGCTACCACCCGACGTCCAATTTCAGTGCTTGAAAGAACTTCCTCAATTTCATTCTCTTGGGAATCAACCTGAGCTTCCAGACTTGCGTCTGAGAGGCCATCTCGCGGAAGGAAAACATGGCGATCAATGAAGTAGGCTATCAACTGCTTTTCTGCATGACATGCATTGTATTGGCCATCTTTACCCTGATCTTTACTAAGAGGAAGTAAATTATGACCCACTACTTCCGAGATATAGAAGACATTTTCTGTCCATTGCTTGCCATCAACTCTGAGAGACTGAATTGGACAATGTCCCCATCCGCTCATAGCGCCAACAGATGGGAATTTCCCGCCCCGTTCCAGTCGCGCTACAGTCTTATTAGCACGCGTGATCGGATATTCTTCGACTGGGCCGCGCAGTACAAGAGAGCCCTGGGAGGCTGAGGCCTCAAAGGAATAGGAGCGCAAGGTTGACAGTGTAGGTGGCCCCCCAAAGACAATTTTTGATTTCCGATCTTCTCCACCGAGAAGACGTAAAATCTCCTCTCGGTCAATATCCCTTGAAAATGTGTCCTCGATGTAGCCCAATCGTCGGCGAGAAGTGGACGTGACTGCGGTACGATCGTATACCTCTCGCCGGTTTTTAGGAAGATCCCGAGCAAACTCAATAGCACGTCGACTTTCGCCATCCCGGATATTCTTATCTGCACCGTGTTCTAGGAGAACCTTGACATTGTCGATCCAACCAAATAGCGCTGCCTCCATCAAGGCAGTCCTTCCATTATTCCCAGTAGCATCGATATCAGCCCCGCGCTTGATGAGAAGGGTAATCATCGCGGAACTCTGCTCAGTTGCTGCTGCGATAAGTGGTGTTTGACCATCAGGAAATCGCCCTCGAAGAAACAGTTGAGCTTCGCTAGAGGTCTCCAAATATTGCTGCACCGATTCAACATTACCATTGACACAATCGCTGATTGCCCCACGAATCCGTTTTTGTTCAAATGGCTGGATTCCATGTCCTGGGCGATTGATGATGACCTCCCTCGACTCCTCGTGAATACTTGAAAACCCTGCCTCTCTCTGTGCAGCGAGAGAGGCCTTTTCAGCTAGCTCAAGAGCCAAAAGATCAACATCGTCTTGCTTCGCGCCATAATTTTCCTGCGACACACAGATATTCGTATAACGTCCTCGCTTCTTGTCGATTTCATACGCAACCTCGCCACGATCGCTCAAGGGGAAACAGCAGCGATAATGTCCCCCATTCCCACAATGAGAAGCTCGTAAAGTATTGGCCGCCTCCCAGTTCACACTATGGCGATGAACTTTATTGCAGAATGGACACTGAATGTGATAATCGGTCGCATTCCACCAGATGACGTCAGCGTCAGGAAAAGCTTGCATCGCGGAATTATCACAGACCGGGGCGGCTGGGCATTGATGAACGGGATACAGATGCAGGCGATTATTACGCCGACTTACTAACACTTAAGGGGTTTCAAAGGGTCCCTGTGATGTTCTAGTGGAGATAAGTTGTCGTATGGCGTCAGCTCAATTGGCGGCACTCATGAGTAATACTTGGGTTGGCAAATCATGTGACTGAGATTTGAGAGAGTGTCCACTGTGACTCAGCAAAAGTTTCATCATCCTGGTAAATAACTACCTCGTTGAACGTTGGCGGTGACACAGAAAAGGCAAAAGGTTTTACAACATTCTTGCGTTTTGGAATACGTCGCAAATGCAAGGCAATGGCGATCGCCACAGTAATCACTGTACATATGTCTTTGCAACTGAGGCCAACTACCATTTCTCTATCGTTATACCTGCATGGCGAAAATGACCTTCGGCGCTCTGCTGTTTTGCACCGACATCTTGGACGCACCGTCGAAGGAAGGCTTGAAACCCTTTGTCAGGATCCTGTTCAAAGATCGGCCAAGCTTTTCTTATATAAGCCTTCAGCTCGGCAAAGAACTCCTCTATGGGGTTAAAGTCCGGAGAATACGGGGGAGATACAGCAACCTGACTCCTGCATCAGAGCATAGTTGCTTGATCCGATTCGAGTGATGGAAAGATGCGTTATCCATGATGAGCACTGACTTCGGCTCGGGCCACCTCCCACAGTGCTGGAGGAGCTGCCTAACAAAGGACTCAAAGAGCACCGCATCCGTTGAACCTTTGAATATACGAGACAGCAAGATTCCGTCCTGAGTATATGCGGGCAATATCTGGAAGCGCTGCCCCCTATGAAATTTGGCCACCTGCACAGGTGCCACTCCTAGTGGTGACCAACCAGTCCGCCTATGTCCTACCCGTTTATCACATCCAGATTCATCGACGAAAACAAGTTGATACGAACGAAACTCGGATAGTTTATGCTGATAGAAATCTCGCAGTTGAGGATTTTGTTCTTTGGCTTTTTGTCGAGTTGTCTTCTTGGTCCAGCCGACCCGTGAAAGAGCACGTTGGATGCTAGATGACGACGGTGCTATATTGAACTCGTCCCAAAGGAATTTAGTCATTTCTTCGATATACAGACTAGGACTTTCTGCAAGTTGGTCACAAAGAGCGTCCTGCATCATAGGAGTGATGCTCGGTGGTGGGCCGGGAACGATCGTGGGAGGGTTTGAACTGCCAAATAACCGCATCTTCTTGCGTATGTTAGTGATAGAGCGTTCGCTACATTTGGCAAGCTTGGCCATTTGTGATGTCGTGAGTCGGCTTTTGCTGTTTATCATGTGAACAATCATATTACGCTGCCAGGTGTCCAGATTGCGCGCCATCTTGCACTGATATAGAGATCATCTGTCGTCTACTGTCAGTTGGGAAGGCCATGAGAGTTGGGGCCACGTAGCAGGTATCTTTAAGACTAGTAACAATACAAAGCTTTACAGACACTGTCTGTTTAAAATTTACGACGGAGAACTAGTGCCTGGTTTCAAAACAAGGCTAAACTGTATTAGGATTTTTGGATTATGTAATTAGGGTTCAAAAGAGAGTATCTCTGTCTATAATAAAGAAGGCGAAGTTGGGTGCTACTGTACCTGACAATATCGTACAAATGAAATATTTTCTAAATATATCGAGCCATAGGATTTTCTCAATCAACCTTCTTGAAGCTATGTACAGTGAAACACGCTTGATGTCACTGCTTACTCCGTTATGCCACCGGTTACCGCCTTAGGGTTACGAGCAGTCATCTGAACCATGAGACGGGCGAAGTTGGGTTGGAGATTCGCGTGGGAGGTTGTCATCGTGGTTGTCAGCCGCTGGCCGATTCTGCCACCGCTCACCGCCCATGGAGCCGACGAGGTCCGTCTGAACTACGAGACTGGCGAAGATGAGACGGAGGTTCGCGAAGGGAGTAGATAGATCGTCGCCGTAGCTCCTCCTCTTCTTCTTTTCCCCTCCCTAGCCCTAGTATTCCAAATTGAAACGCCGTTGTTGCTGTGTCCCAACTCCGATTAGGTTTCCCCTTGACAGTGGTTCTCCTTTTCTCCTTCTTTCTTTTCCCCTCTAGTTCTAGCATTTCGAATACCAGCGCTATTGCCACTTTCTCCACTCCAACATAAGCTACTATACCATTAACATATATACCAAATCTTCTTGCTCCATCATCTCTTTGAGAATTAAAACATTCTTCTTCACTCAAAATCATCCTAAGGGATGTTTTCGTTAGGATTTCTGTTTTCGTTTAGCTCACAATGAGCGCAACTCTTCTAATGGTCGTATGTACCATTTAGTGCCTGCTGTACATGCAGCCTAAGCACGAACGTTGTCCAGAATACAACTGAAAATGGGATAAAATAAATTGGAAGGCCTTGAATAATTTCCTGATATTGATTATTAACTGCGGGTATAATTTTCGGTGATAATTCATGAAGAAAAGGGGCCTCTGTCACCGCCTTAGGCAACAAGGGGACCGTCTGAACTACGAGACTGGCAAAGATGGGACGGAGGTCTGCGGAGTAGATAGGTTGTCGCTGTAGTTTCTCCTCCTCTCCCTCTTCTTTCCCCTCTCTAGTTCTAGTATCTCGAATACGAGCGCCGTTGCTGGTTCTTTTCTGTTCCCAACGTAGGCCACCATTGACAGCCTCCACTTTTATTAGCTAAATATATGGGTATACCAATCAATCCTAAAATTTGGCGACATCATGATACGATGGTTGTAGATAAGGATATGCTGATAAAACAAAATTATCAAAAGAGGGTGTTAAAAGGTGAGGTTCCCTGCTGTATAAAACTGTCACCAGTTGTATTCCCTTTTGCTCTGGATGCCCGATCTAGCTGCTCGATGCTTATTATGAATTGTACTGTACTTGAGATAGAGAGTTACTTTAGCATTTCTCCGTAGACCTAGCACTCACATTAGAATATCAAATATACATGTCCGCCCTCAATAAAAGCTTCCTATACTGCCCCAAAATAGCCGAAAAAGAGGTTTAGAGTTGATCATTAAGATCCATAGTTCTTATAATATCTATAAGGTCTCCCGAGGATTATCAAGTACCGCATGCATGCTTTCCGGTAGACTCAAACCAGATCATAAGATGCGTCTTAGAGCATGGTTTTCAGTGATAGCAGTTATTTCTTGCCTCTTCATGATCGAGGCTACAAGCATTCCGGTCTCTGAAAGAAATACAATAAAGAGAACTCAAATCTACTCCAAGCATGGCTTTGGTCAGGCTACAAAATCAGAAGGTTCCGGAGTAGCCTATAAGGGCAATGTTGGTAATCCATACGGGAGCAACATCATCAGAGTCTCTGCAGAGAGTTCTAAGGCTTATAAGTATGTTGCGGAATTTAAGACAGCAGGCTCTGATATATGGAAAGTCGCCATTTGGAACAAGTTTGGGCCTAATGGACGCCTCGATGGCTGGTTCGATCACGCCTGCACAATTTTCAATTTGAGCAGCGGTCAGACGCAATATGTCGCTTTTGACGATGATTCTCAAGGAGGCTGGGCAGCTGCGCCTGGGGAGAGTATTTCTGTCGACGATGCCGGGGGCTACGCTTCCACTTGGGGTGAATTCGACTTTGGATCATTCATTAACCATGGGTGGTCTGGTTTTGACGTTTCAGCGATAGCTGCACAAGCAGGAAACCTTGAAGTCTTCGGGATGAAAATCTGTGATAATATCACCCAGATTTGCTCCTCCATTACTCCAAACGCTGCTGAGGTGGATAATGCATATATCTTCCAAAACAGATTTGAGGACGGTATAGGCGGTAACCTTCCGCCAGGCCCTGTGGAACTTTCAGTCACTTTAGGTTACACTGGGGTTGAGTCTACGACATGAACAAAGGCTGAGAGAAAAGGTCTTACCAAGGGAACAAAGTACTGTACCAAAGTATATATTTTGCAACTGATTGAGTCGGAAATTTCTTAGGTATCTTATATTGAACTAAACTATTCAGCTTTATTATCGTTGATTGTAGTGTCAGTCTTCTGAATACAGCCCCAAGTGAGGCTGCGAATGCTTTTCCTTATTGAGTGTTACGGACCCACTTCAGATGAGGAAGATAAGTCAACTACGACCAACCGATCTGTCAAGGTTGACACATACATGATACGGGGGCCAGGCGCGGCAACCGAGGACAACGGACTAGTAAACCACGGAATTGATGCCTCAGGCAACAAGGCAACCAAAGTATCAGCGATACGCCAAGCAGAGCAGCGATACTTTCGGATCATAGCAGTGATACGATCCGAGCGGATCAGCGATACGGAGGACTAGGTATATAAGGACACTCATTTGGCAACATGTATTTAGTTCTTCGTGATCAATCTTCTGGATTATACAATCCGTTACTTAGGAACCACCCAGATTGGAATACGACAACGGTTCAACGTTTACTTGCCTCGCATATCAAACCTAACGACTAGACCTCGCCATGGAACTTCCACGGGTAGGGATTTTGGTTCCAGTTCCGTGGGACGGGTAGGCAAGTCCTACCCATTACCCATCCCCGTCTACCCAGTGCAGACCATGGGGTACCCGCGGGTTACCCACGAATTACCCAAAAATGCATAATTACCCCTTTTTGGACATGCCAAGCTGTATAAAATCGCTTACTCACCCAAGTAAATTACAGTTTTTAACAGCTGTTCTGGTTAGCCTCTAGTTTATGAAGCGATACAACCACATTGACTACGTAAATTAAGTATTGAAGTTGAAAAGCGTTATTAGTAGCTCTGGTAATAGTGGTTTGTATCTATATTTAATAGATTAAACCTTATGGTAGATGGTTGTAGGTAGTATTGTGGATTATATATTGTCAACTGTTGAAAATATATATTTACACTACAAGGGAGTAAGTGTATCTTCCTGACAACACAATCATACCCCTTTTATATACTCTTATATCAGTGAAACTGATTAGCTGTTCGACAAATCGAATTATATACGTTATTTCCATTTAAATATGAGCTTTGCTTTAACAAAATTGTATATATTAAGTGTACAACAGCCTTGAACAGTGGTATCTATCTTGAAAACAATGGCACTTGAATATGAAAAAAGGGGTTAAAGTGAGATGGGTAGCCCGTGGGTAACCCGTGGGTTACCCGCGGGTTACCTACGGGCTACCCATCTACCCACGAATAACCCATGAGTTCAACCAATTAGAATATATATCATAGATATAGTGGGTCATTTATTCGCAAGTTATCAAAAAAAGGGGGCTAAAGTCTCTAAGTCTATCAGTCGCAAAATTTACTATAGTAAGTACTTACTTCGTTATGTGATTAGGGGTAACTAGCCTGGTCTTGTTTCCCTTGCCATAATGTCTCAATTCTCCCAGTTCTCTGATGTGTATGCATCATCTTTATATAATACTGACAATCCAGATAACCTTCAGGTTATTCAACCCGACGACCTTACCTCTAACCCTTCGTTTAACCAACAAACATCACAATCAATCGCCAATTCGGATTTCATTTATCCATCCCGTGTGGCCCCTATACCTCCCTCCCTTGAACGTATCTGTCCTGACCGAACTTCGGCATACCTTGTTTATTCCAACATGACAAAAGACGATTTTGTGAATTGGTGGCTTCAGACAGACTTTGGACAAAAAAAGCCGATACGGTGGGATGCTCGACAGCAATCTGATGTGTGGAAGCACTTTGACCAGGTAGCAAAAGCGAGCGACGGAATGCCCAAGGTTATGTGTAAACGATGCAAGAAGGTGCTCGATCATCCACAACAACATGGGAATGGGACCACAGCGATGATCAAGCATTTGAAAGGGATTGGGTGTCGTGGCACAAATGGGCATAATATCAAACAATTTTTCCACGAGGTAATTTTATCTTATATTATGATATCTTTTTACTAATATCTTTCTAATATAGGCTACACCAGCTTCAGATAGTCTCAGTTTTACTCAAGAGGCTTGGGAAGCAAGTTTACTTCGTTTCATTACTGATTCCCGGCTACCATTCCAAATCCTCGAACACCCCGACTTTCATCAGTTGATTTACATGGCCTCCCGTGCCCCAATGCGTCCACAAATCCCATCTGCGAAAACAGTTCGACGTCGACTTCAAGGCACGATCACTGAGTACCAGAATACTATCCTCCAAAAGCTACCTAAAGATGGTAAGCTATCAATTGCCCTTGATTGCTGGACATCTCCATTCCAGCAAGCATTTATGGCAGTAACTGGTTATTTTCTTGATGAAGATTGGAACTATCGGGAGATACTGCTTGGCTTTGAACCACTTCATGGAACACACTCGGGTGTCAATCTAAGTGCTGTCCTTCTTGAACTTCTTCAAAAACACCAGATCACAGACAGAGTGCTTGCAATTACTACTGATAATGCATCAAATAATAGCACTATGATGTCGAGTATCCAGGATTCTATCCAGTCTCTTGAGATTAGCGATCATACTACGATCATCAAGGTTCCCTGTCTAGCCCACGTCATTCAACTTAGTCTGAAGCAGCTTCTTGGGCAAATGAAGGCAAATCCAAAGAACGATATAGCTGAAATGCAGTGGTCTGAAACCCAAGATCAATTGATCCGCTCAAGGCAACAAAAACGAGAGATTGTTGACACACTGAATAAGGTAAGTTTATCTCTTCAGATATAAAAACTATCAACTTATTTAATTATATATAGATACGAGGCTTAGCTGTTTTTATCAATGCTAGCCCTCAACGTCTCGAGCTGTTTTCTAAGCTTCAAACAACCTCAATACCTCTTGTGCCAATTCAAGATGTTCGAACACGCTGGAACTCGACCTTTCTTATGCTCCGACGTGCCAAGCGATTACAGTCTGTCTTTGACGAGTTCTGTACTAAATATGGACATTCGCATTTGAAGCTTGATCAAGAGCAATGGCGTCAGATCGACTACCTCCTTTATATCACTCAACCTTTCTTCCAATTCACGAATGCGCTTTCGAAAACAAAGGATGTTACCATACATCTGATCTTTGGTATCTATAATAAGCTTTTTGATCATCTTGAGAAGTCGATCAACCAGCTTAGATACAAAAAGGTACCTTGGAAGAAGATGATGCTAAATGCGCTTTATGTGGCGAAGACAAAGCTTTCCCAATATTATAGCAAGACAGATGGCGTTCCTGGAGACCTCTTTGCTATTGGAACAATGCTTGCACCGCAGAATAAGCTCCAGTTTTTTCTAGGAAAAGATTGGGGCGATGAGTGGCGTGATCGATATCGCCAAAGCTTTGTGGATTACTTTGAGTCTTATAAGCAACGTCTGTTACAGAACCAGACATTACTAGAGTCTCATATATCCACAACACAGACCTCGGAGTTTGATCTTGAACGGATGCTTAGAGAGTCTGAATCTCAGCAAACAAGCTTAACTGAGCGGGATGAGCTTTCAAGATATCTTGAATCTGGTCAGTATTATCTTGGTTTATTGTGTGTTTTATTAATAAATATTAGGTACTATCACTGGAGTAACCATTCGAGCGTTCTGGAAAGACCATCAACATGAATTTCCTGCTCTCGCAAGCCTTGCACGGGATATTCTTACAATTCCTGCTACAGGTGCAGGGGTTGAGCGTCTCTTTAACTCTGCTCGGGACATCTGTCATTACCGTCGAGGCTCTCTAAGATCTGAAACTATCCAGGAGCTCATGATGTATAGGTTCGCAACAAAATTTGAGCTTGAAGATGACAACCTTACTCTTAAGAAGGAGTATCTTACAAGTGGGGAGATTGAGACAGAGAGAGAAGAGAAAAGTCCTCAGTCACTACAGGATATTGATCCTATCAGTGATAATGAAGAGGAGGATATAGAGGTCATACAAGAGCCAGATACTACCCAGGGCCCTTCTCATGAAGCTTTATCTGACGATGAAGCTACAAATCCTCTCCCAGAGACTCAACAACGGATTTCAGGTAGAAGTCGGAAGCGGAGACGGGATGATGATCAGTTTATTGAGTATTAGCTATAGAATCAAATTGACCTTGTTTTAACCTCTTTAATACTGAGAAATCTCTTGAATCTTGACTGGTAGTTGTATATGAAATACTCAAAATTACAGCTCGAATATGCATAAAATATACAAGTCACGGGGTCCCACCTGTTTGTATTGTTTGACTACCCGCGGGTACCCAGAAAATACCCATGGGTATTAACCAGCTTCCCACTACCCGCACGCGGGTAGGCAAACCCTACCCATTACCCGCCAAGAAATGGGTAATGGGTACCCCGTTTGGGTAGACCCGCGGGTCGTGGCGAGGTCTACTAACGACGAAGGGGAGATCCATAAGAACCTGACCTCGTCGGCGCCCTCAACTAGCCTCACGTTTACTAAGCAAGACCTCTACGGACTTGAGCATCTAAGGCCTGTTGCCGTGTTAGATCGGTAGGCATTGCAAGAAAGTGACGAGACACCCCTTGGCGTGCGGAGTATACAAGGTAACGGGCCACCTTCGCGAACTACTCATAGGGTCTAGTTAGGAGTGCGTAACATTGAGCTTCTTCGTAACCATAGCTTATAAATCAAGACTAACTTTAGAAGTATCCGCTACGGTGTCAGTAACTGCACTCTAAGCATTATATCATTCGGAACTTCCATAGAATTAATAAGATTTATTGTCAACTGGGAACCTAATCACTGGTGAGGACGGCGCAACAATGGCGTTTCAATTTAAAATACTAGAGCTAGGGATAGAAGGAGACAAGTGTCAGCCGTTGGCCGATTTTGCCGCTCCCCACCGCCCTTGATAGCAGCACCGTCTGAACTGATGTCGTCCGAACACATACGAAAGTGGACGGGAGGATGGTGGAAGTTGGGTATTAGATCGGTCGTGGTAGCTCCTCCTTCCTTATTCCCTCCTTAGCTTTAGTATTCCAAATTGAAACGCCGTTGTTTCCGTGTCCCAACTCCGATTAGGTTTCCCGTTGACGACAAGACAGAGAAGTAGAAGCTACGGCGGTAGTTCTAATACCCAACTCCAGCCATCCCTCCACCCCTTCTCATCCAAATTCAGACAGTGGTAGTTCGGACGACGCTAATTACCCAGGGCGGTGACAAGCGGCATAATCGACTAAAATTGACACCCATGGGCAAATTTGGGCTCAGCAAATTTCTCCAATTGATGTAATACGGCCATTCCTATCCTGGGACACTTTAGGCAAGGATGCAGGTGCAGAGTAGGGAATTCTTTCCCCAATTTACAAGCCAGAAGAAGAGAGTTATCAAATGAGGACTTGCGTCTCTAGGCATACTAAGATGAAGTCTTGGCTCTTGACTTTTGGCTTTTGGCTTTTCTTCGACTATTAGGTTCATAAGTGAAGCCAAAAATGAAACATTATTTTGACCAAAAGAAATAGGTTCCACAAAAGAAGCTTTGATTAAAGCACCAATTATTAATTGAGTGAAAAACAGCCCTACATCAGAATTAGTTACAATTAAAAAGGGGTGAAAAGCCCAGCGTTCAGTATAGATGGAACAACACCCTCTAATATGAATCATATCGATTTGCTTTTGCCAGGCTTCCAGGGGCATGAGCTCCAAGCTAGTATTTTGACACACGTAAGTGACATTCTAGTCGGGTATATCATCTTAACATCATGGCAGAAACCGGATTTCAACCTCTTGGAGGTAACATGCCCGACTTCAGTTCCGGCGGCAAAATGTGGCATCCAGGGAGCGGGCTTGACTGTGGAAGAATCACCTAGCTCAATACAGATCATCAACGTTGATCAAGACGACCGGTATGTTGATCCTGCGTTTGTGGTTTCCTCCTAATGCTTTATAGCACAGCATCCATTTCTTGTGCTATCAAAGGGACAACATACGCATCTTGTCACGCCATAGCAACTATTACCGTTCAGGGAACGCTTGAATCACCAGACTTGAATTGGATGCGGATCCCTCTCACTCAAACACTTCCTCTACCGACCGAGTCACCCGCATCAGCCCCTGGGCAGAATTATCCGCATCTCAATCTGCAGCCTGCCAACGACAATTATCAATTGATCGTGTAAAGCTCCTTCATTGGTTTCTAAATCAATATCGGTCACTTGTTAGGATTTTAGCTGGGAAAACTAGACCGGATTTAGTCTGAGGTTAAGAAAGCTGCATGAATTATCTCAGCGGCATTCCTGGTAGTTTTAAATACTTCACAAGAGGGGTGTCAACTATTGTTTACTGTGGGAAATTAACAGCTAGATGTGGAATTTTGATTTTAATGCGATTCATTCAAATCCCTCCGTGATGGTCACCTTTAGTCTGCTTATGCGTACACACTATTGCTTTTTCGTGACGATTTATAATATTGAGTGGATATATTGTCATATCCTAAGACCGACTATCTGGTAAAACTAGCGGCTGCAGGGCCGGTCCGAGTTGTTATCATTGAATGGATAATAGTAGATCTCGGGGCGAGCCCTATCACATCACTAGTCAATAGAGGGCGAGCTTCTTTGGTCGATTCCCCATGTCACCGTTCACTCGATTCTATCACCGGTTACCGCCTATGCTCCACGAGCAGCCATCTGAACTGCGAGCTGGGCGAAGATGGAATGGGGGATCCCCCGGAGGGGGGGGGGGGTTAGTTAGGTTGTTGCAGTAGTTCTCCTTTCTCCTCCCCTTCCTTTCTCTCTCCAGTTCTAGTATCTCGAATACGAACTCCATAGCCAGTCTCCCCCCCGCTCCAACGTAGGCCACCATTGACACCCTATAGCATATGGTAGTATGGTAGATCTTTTCGTAGGTCACCACTTGTCCTGCTTGGTCGTCTCTACTTGAGCCAAGCGGACAGTGAGAAACAAGGGGCAATTATTAGTGTTGGCTGGTGCGCAAACATAACGGATTCAACTTTCCTCTTGGGTCATGCATTTCTCTGAGTTTTAATCACAGATGACGTTGATAGACTCCACGATAGCTTTCGGTTGCAGATCTTCTTGATCAAATATTAAAGCAGTCTAGCGATTGCAATAAAGCACGTCACTAGCAATGTACCACAAGCTCTGTTCTTTTCTAGTAGATAATTTAAGCCCTGTAGCCTACATACAGACAGGACACGCGATGGGAATATGTAAACGGCCGAAGGTGCAGGCGTCAGGGGTCCTGGTTATGGATATGACGTTTTCTATTGGCGTTTGCTACCTCGTGTATCTCTCTGATCTGTCCATCACGTACGCCAATTCACTGAAAAGACATCCCACGCGTACTCCAGACGTCATCTTTCCATTGCGTCCTGAACTCGCTATCCACGCACTAAACGTGTCCATCGCTCCCTGCGGCTCTGTTATCCACGCCCACGAGTACCCCAACCCTCCTGCAGGATGCCGTTACGATCAAAGGCCGACTGTTGGAACGCCCTCGGCGCGGGTGAGAACCGCGCGGTACAAGACGGCATCACCGCACAGCTGAGACACATCCTGGAGCAGACCCACCTATCTGGGAGTGAGCTGAGAACCCCAGCGGCACAGGCGCAGCTGCAGGTAGCGGTCGAGGCTCAGATACCTCTGATGCCCGCGACTGTCCAGGCAGCATACTCCGCGGACCGGCGGGCCAGCATTGAAAACTTAGTTCACTTGGCATATCATGAGAAGCATCCCCATGGCCGACAGCACCGTCCTCGCTCAACGGAATCACCCTCACTCTCGATCCGCAGCCCCCCAGCGACCGTTTCTCCGGGACCGGTGGTCTTACTGTACGACAGCGTGATCCGAGTCTTTCGCACCAGGGCGAGCCAACGGTGTCGGTTCCAGATCAGCCTGTACCTTGAGCCCCCCAGGAAGGTCTCGGCCAGCGCGGCGATCGACGTTAACCAGCTCGTGTTCAGCAAATTCACCGAGGACCTGAAGCAAGAGTTCGGGTACGACGATCTGCAGGATGAAATCCTGTGGAGAGATCCTGCTGAGGCTGCCGAAGCCTCCCCACCGGTAAACACCGTCCGAGGCCAAAGTACGTGGGTGACGGCGATGATTGAGATGCAGCAAGCTGGCACGGCTATCCCCCGCCGAGCTGGGCCCGATTCATTTCGAGATTGGTCCCCAACTGTCGACAGGTTCGTGAACCCCCACCCCCCTCCCGTACCTTCCTATAACCAAGATGATCTCAGGATCCAAGCGAGGTCGGGCCGGAGACCCTGCCAGCGAGCACGAGCACCACCCAAAGCGGCTGTCTGTTTGTCATCACGGGAGCGCCAACAGGAGCCCAACAGGAGACCCAACCACCGGTTCAGAATCAGAGCGCACAGACTGGGGTGGAAGACGCCAGGGAGGTGCGGATGAACAGAGGGGTGCGGATGAACAGAGGGGTGCGGATGAAGCCCGATGGAACGATCTTGGTTGGATGCAGCCGGGGCCACCCTGCAACGAAGGCAGGGAAGAGAATGCAGGTCCCAGCGTCGGGGCGTGCGCGACTGGCCCTCCCGATGACCTCGGCGGTTGGGATGTCGGGCATGACCCTCGCCGTGCCAGTGATGCTAGTGACGTTGATGACGCTAAAGATACAGGCGGCGATATAGCCGGAGATGCGAACAGCAGTCGTGGCCACGAGAGCCCATCTCCTCGGCCAGCCACGCCTGACCCGCCTGAGGTGATCGAGATCGGTTCGGACACTGACCACGACGCGTCAGAGCTCTTCGAGGAGGCGGACCTGGTCAACCAGGAAGAACGGTACGCCGGCCCAACACTCCCTGACTGAGTGACTGACTAACCTCCTGATCCACGCAGACTTCGCCAGTTCCAAGAGGCACTCAAGATCGACCAGTACACCGCGGAGCGATGGGCTGAATGCCGCCGGTTTTACCAGATTGCCGAAGACTCCAATCTGGGAGACCGTCCGTCCGACTTGATCCCGCTCCGCGGTCTGAAACGGCCGTTGCTACCGCACCAGGCCTTTGCGGTGTGGTGGATCCTGCACAGCGAAACCACGACCGGCACGGGCGGGTTCGAGGCGGACGACATGGGCATCGGGAAGACCTTTATTGCGCAAGCCACGGTCGTGGTCGCGCGGTGGGTGATGCGGGCCACCGAGGCTGTGCAGCAGGCGCGAGAGACCAGCGGCGCCACGCACCTGCCAGCCACCAACGTAGACCCTCGCCGGCGATGCCCCAGTTCGGGTCGCAACCCGTATCCCATCTGCTGTCCCTGCGAATTCGGAAGCCCGACCAGCCGTCTGCAGCCCAGCTGCGGGCTCCAGCTCTTCATGGTGCCCCCGAAGCTGATGGTCCACTGGGTCAAGGAGTGGACGTTGAACGTGGACGAGCAGGTGGTCGACCTCGAGCTCCTCCTCGGGTACAGCCCCTCCCACGCGGCGCTACGGGGCGTCCGCTACCGTTTCGTCAGCCAGCTGGATGACTCGCAGAAGGCGGCGCTGCAGTACCGTGAGGCGCAGGTCTGGGGCCACGCAGCGGGCCTGCACCGCTACACGGCCGCCACGGGCGAAAGGTTACGGCGCGAGCAGCAGGCACACCTGGAGGATATGCGTCGGAACCAGCCTCTCGCGCGACCGGGCCAGGATCGGTACGTGATCCTCACGACGCCCAAATCCTTCCAGACGCAGGTGGTCGAGCCGCTCGCGGTGCGTTTTGCGCAGGCGCGGCCGCGGCAGCGCGGACCGAAGGGAGGACTCAGAGCACCACAGCCGCCGGTGCGATACTTCTTCCGGGACACCACGATCTGGTCGCGGGCCTTCCGGGACGAGTGCCACGAGGAGAAAGGCCGCCAGACCAATAGCCTCCGTGCCCTGCGCGGCCTCCGCGGGCCTACGCGACGGGTGGGGCCGTCCACCGATCCCACCGACGTTGCCCCGACAACCACCCCCCCCGCCGGTGTGGTTCATGTCGGGGACCCCGTTCGAGGCCTCCCCGGGCGATCTAAGCGGCTACCTCGAGGTGATCGAGCGGCCGCAATGGACCGGCGATGAGCAGCTCCGGTCCTGCGGCAGCAGTGCGCTACAGCAACTCGGGCACGATTTCCGCCGCGCCGCACTCCCCAGCCGCGAAGTGACCGCGATCATCGACCGCTTCCGACAGGTCCTGAACCGGATCAACTACCTTTCACGCAAAGTCTCCTCCCGCTGGCAGGGCCAGCCGATCATCACCCTACCCCCGCATCGTTCTATCGACATCAACTGTCCGATCCCCGCCCCGTTCCTGGCACAGCTTCAGCCGCTTGACCGCACGACCAATGCGGACGCCCAACGGTTCCAAGGACGAAGGACGCCCGGTTCCCTTGCCCCTGCGGTCCTTCTCGGGGCAACCTTGCAGCGTCTCCGGGTTTTCGTCACCTTCCCGGCCCTTTATCCGATCTACCAAGAGCGGTCGGACCTGCCCTTGACGATCGATCGGCTGAGCGAACAGGGCTGGGACGTCCGACCCCAGGAGTCCTGGTTCGCGACGCACCTGGCGCGAGTCGTCGACCCGAGCCCGAAGCTCCAAGCGCTCTTTCGCATTATCCATGGGCTGGGGGTCGACTGTGGCGGCCGGGAGGAGAAGCTGGTCATTCTGTCTATGTACCCAGTGGTGGCACTGATTGTGTATCTAGTTCGTCCTCTTCCCCCTCTTCCCCCGCTCCCTGCGTGGATGCTAACCGTGGTTGGACCCATAGGCCGTCCAGGCGGAGTTTCCCGAACAGCACGCTTCGCTGGTCCTCTCGACGACTCCGAACCGCCAGAGCCTTCTCGATTCGTTCCAGGAGCATGATACCGGGCAGGTGGTCGACGGGATGCCGGCGCCGGGCATCCTCATAGGCACAACAGGCACCCTTGGTACCGGAGTAACGTGTACGCGCGCATTCCGGCTAGTCTTGATGGAACCGTGCTTCATGGAGGGGGCCGAGCGACAGGCTTTTGCTCGCATTCGGCGGATTGGGCAGCAGAACCCACGCACGTATGGGATCCGACTGACGACGGATAATTCCGAATGCGAGAGGCAGATCGAGCGCCGACAGATGTTCCGCCGGCAGCTCCGAAAGGCTGAGGACGTTGCTCCAACGCTGGCGGTTGGCTCCCCACGTCTGTCGCATGCTAGCTTCGAGGATGTGGCATAAGATGGGGTGGCCAGACATCATCTGTCGGTATTAGCAGACTAGGAGATCAATCGGAATGCCTAGGTTACGTTATCTTCAGGAGCTCCTTAACTAGACAACCATAAATTCAGCTACAGCTTCGTATAGTGGTAAAGGGAGGGGATAAGACTAGGACGGTGTCGATGGAGTTGGTGTTCTCCTAGCTAACTTGTTGGCGGAGCGAAACAGCAGCGGCGCTTATATTCAAGGTACTAAAATGCAGGAGAGATGGCAGGAGGAAGAAAAGCCACACCAACGACTAGATCCTCCACAACCGTCAGCCAGTCCTCCATCCCAACCTTCCGTAGGTCGCACGACATCTTCCAAGACAGGCCGGTAACGGGTGGTAGAAATAAGCAACGGTGGCGTGGAGCCGTGTCTTGGAGTTTAGCAATGACTCATCTCATATATAATGGAGACAATCTACTTTCTGGATCGCTGCTGAATAACCCTTTGATGTGTATGCCAGGTTGAATTATTTTTTTGATCAGTGCACCGTGGCCGTTGTGGGCTAGGGGAGCCGGGATAGTTGCTAGCTCTTTGTCAACACGATAGGCCTTCTTTATCGGTATGCTTGATGGTCGGTAGGAGGTACGACTGGGTCTGAGCCTTCCGAACGGTAGACGAAGCTTTCACAAATAAAGCTCGGGAGGCTTTATATACTGGAGCAGATATATGTAGATCGGCGGAAGATCGGTGGCTTGTATGTTGGAACAGATATATATCACAAAGACACAGAGCTGCTCTGCTAGGTAAGAGTGGAGAAGACCTTACACTAGGTATTTTGGATCCGAGATGATGTTCCTCTGGTATTGAGGATAGATAGGGCAGTGTTTGGCATAAGAAGAAGAGAAAGATGAAGAGGAAGGTGAGAGGAAGGTGATATTTATAGATGTAGGGCTATGAATTAGTCGGCCTAGTGACTCATAGGCAAACAGTGAGATAGTCAAGCGAAGAATATGGTTATTTACAGTAGGGAGGGTGACAGGTAAATAAATATTGTGACCCTCAGGTAAGTCAACTTATGACTTATGATAGTAAAATATACTGATCAGAGGTCACAAGATTCTATCACACAGAACCAGAACTGACTAATACCTGGTCTGAGACAACACCGTTTCCTTCATTATCGTCCGTTAGCCGAAAGGGGATGCTCATAGTCGGTAGTCGGTTAGAAAGATAAATAATGAAGGATAGATCTATTGATCTTCGCGGCTTGTAAGGCGGAAATTGAGTTATTTATATACGGCTGAAAAGAGAAAGACTGGTGGTTAACCGAATCCAAGAGCCGACGAAAGTAATTTAGACGCTGTGAATCTGCTCAGCACTCTCCTAGGAGCCATTTAGACGCCCCACAGAATGGCCGCAAAAATAAAAGACAGAATTATTGATCTATTTAAGACCTTGGGGTTCCTGGCCCTCAGCTTAAAATCACCTTCTTCAAAGCTCATGTCGAAGATGCATTCAGAGTCAGACCGGAGAAACGCCAAATCCTTTACAACCGCACAACAGCTTTCCTTACGGCTTCAGTTTGGCATTTGCCAAAGCTCGGGATTACCAAACAATGCCTCTCTCGTTACAGCATCGGCGTGTCAGTTAGGACCAGCGTTCGAATACAAGCGTCGAACATACGCCAAAGACAGAATTGACCTCCCGTCTTTCCGAATGCCCCCAACCGAAGGTCCGTACAAACTACAGTACATGTTCTGGATTGACGCCTACAAGCTGTGCAGTCACACATTCTAAAACTTTTATATAGGCCCAAGCGAATATCGCAACGGGGCATAGGGGCCCTATCTCGTCAAGCCATCTGGAAGAACATGCGCACGGTCTAGCCATGGGCGAAGTGTTGAGTTGTTTTTTTTTGTTTATTTTCAAAGCCTAGACCGGCCTGAGGTTCTAGATATCTTGTGTATCTGCTACCTGCCCCCTTAAGTTTCCGGGGTATATGTAATCACCTGAACTATGGGAATTAGGATTCCTAGCTTGAAGTTTTATGTCTACTATACCATAGCCCTAGGTTTGCATCATGGAGAGAAACGTTTCAGGATTCAGTCTGTAAACATGAACGCTAAACGATGAAGAATGTGTCTCTCTGAAGAGACATTATATAAATATCCTAGTATAATAGTAGACTAAGCTCTATAGTTGATAGCTTGTCTGCAAATTTTTAAGCCAGTGAAGATAAGATAACGATAATCCCACGCTCCTTTTGATAGACCTATCAGCTGTCATCGTACGATATAGCTTCTGAATAGTTGATTCCATCTCTCCATGCGACATATAGTATATGCCCTGCAAAAGAAGACTGGCGCTAGATTTGGAGAAGAAGATGTAAGAAGATGTTTGAGAATGATACATAATAAAGATTTTAATTGTTCGATGGAAATACAGTTTGGATGCCTAAACTTTGTGCTGTCTTTGGTGCTAATCCACCCGCACATGGCGTGGCATAGCCATCTAGAATACGACGGCCTACTATTTTGGCTGCGGGTTGAGTATTAATAATAGGTTTTAAAGAGACATAAAGATATAAAAGGGTATCATCTTATGCTTTTCGATCCAGCTTTGTCTGTTTTTGGCACGAGACACTGCTCGAGCAATAGCCATGGTAGCATTACGTGGTGGCAAGTCTACCGATTCTGTCCCTCCCTCAAAGACAAAGACTCCTGGCACTGCGAAAGAAAAGGGGACAAGATACAGAAATCGAGATCAGGTCAATCTAAGCAGAAGGAGAGAGAACGTCTTGAAAAGGCCTTGAAACAAAAAGCGGAGGAGCAGACGAGACTCCAAGCACTTGAAGACGAAGTCGCTGCATTAAGATCGAAGCTAGATTCAAACGAGTCTGACGAGTTACGCAGCGACATTGAGGCAGAAATTGAAGAGAAAATACAACTTTTAGCGCAATGCAATGAGTCTCTCAAAGAGATTCAAAGTGACATTGACGGAATGGATATCGACGAACCTGAAGACAATATAGCGGTGAAACCGGAGCCCCAGCAAGCTCCTCCGACCCTGGATGGTTCCAGCGAGGCACATGCAGGATCAACAGAAAATGAAGATCCGATTCTTGAGTCCGACGTGCGCCATACCAATGACCCACAGCTCCACAGGGAAAATCCGGAAGAGACCGATCGCAGCTCCGACGAGCCCCGCCAGTCAAATGATCTGTTTGTGCCACTAGGTGACAACGTAAAATCTAAGAAAGTCCCAATACAGACAACATACAAAAAGCCCACAAACTACTATGACTTTGAGTTGGTTGACCTGACTTTAGACGATGAAGATGCAACGGAGGATCAACTTTTCACCGACAGCATAGTCATTTTGAAATCCCAATCATACACTGGTCACATATATCTGAATCAATATGGGCCTAAGGAATGTCCAATGGCAGTATGGAGCTCCAGCGCAGCACCTCAGCAAGTTGAGAAATGCACATTTCTCAAAGGCGCTCCTCACAAAAACGCCATGGCCACTCATGATGACGGTGACGATACTGGAAAACCAAAATATAGACTCCTGATTGACAAGGTTAAGATGGTAGCTTGGCAGCCCAAAAGAGGCGGCTCCACTATACAGGACTTGATGGACTCGGTGGAAGACCTGAACCCTGCCAAGAAGGAAGGCAACCGAAAGTATATCTTCCCATTCACAACAGTCCTCGTTCAATTTCAGGAAACAGTCGGACTACCACTGGTCTGGATTTCGCGTTCAGACTATGACAAACTCTCAAGCGGTGCAAAGCGCGAGAAGGCGAGACGGGACCGGAACATATACACATTGGCCCGGCAGCAAGTCCGAAACTACAAAAAATGGGCAGAGCAAGTACTCGGTGGTCCGCTCCAGGACATCAGTAGCAGGGAGAAAGAAGAGATGTCTTCGTCGCCTTCAAAGAACCAGCTCTCTGAGCAGTTTCCCGCGCAGCCTCGGCGTAGCCAGAGACTTGAACAACAAAATAAAGCTGGAGACACGCTGAGCATGACCGAGATTATGCGACTGCAGAAGAAATTGCAGGAGCTAGAAAACGACCGGATGAAACCCCAGGATACGCAAAGCTATGGGCAGCGAGGCCAGAAAGCTAGCAGCAAAAAGATCAAGGTCATCAATGAAGTCCCAATCAGTCGTTCCTTCAGAGGTTTTGCGGCCAAATGGGATATTGAAGTTGCTCCAGAGGACTGGAGGGACCTTGCCGATGCGGACTTTGCCAGGTTCCAGGTGATGGCCGAGATTTTCATCGAAGAACAGCGGGATAACGGCAGGTCGGTTGTTGACGATATGAAGGTTTTCGACGCTTTGGGCGTCTCTGATCGGTGAGCCAGAATAGTCTTCCGGTGGATTTCGGGGGCGAACTAAGTATGATGCTTTGCTCGTGGGGACCAATCCCTATGGTATTGTTGATTTGCGAGTCTCTTTGTACCAGAATGATCTCAGGTCTCTTTTGTGTAGTTTGTTTACTCGTTCCGTGCACTGCGCTTTCAAGAACAACCAAAGTTTCTATTTTACTACCTTTCACGTATGCAACTATCCAAAAAGACCGCTATAGTGCATCAAATCTTGGTAGATGCTAGACCTTCTTCCCTCTTCTCTCTTCCCTTCTCTCTTCCCTTCTCTTCCCTTCTCTCTTTCTAGTATCTCGAATTCGAGCGCCGTTGCCGTTCCGCTCCGCCATCGATAGGTTTCCATTGACACCCGGCTTCCACCGCGGAACGACTTGTCTTCTGGATACCGTCGGTCTCTATATCCGAGTCCTCATCTGCTCCAGAACTCTAAGACATTATATAAAACATGCTTACACTAATACATCCTCTCTATGAGTAGTGTTCTAAGTCAGATGCAAATAACCGGGAATGAAAGGCTTATTTTTCGACCCGCCAGCTTTCCTGTGTGTGCTGTCATCTTCTAGTGTCGACTTGTATGTTGTATATACTAGTCACGTAAGTCAATGCACATGCGCTGGGAAACTTAGCCCTAACCACAAAACGGCTTGGCCACTGTATTCGGCCTGTTGCTGTATAGGTAACAAGGCACGCCTTATCTTGAGGCAGTATAATTTACAAGCTGGTACATGGTTCGCTTCCCTTCAACATTTGCCCTGGTGCACTGTTGCGTAAGGATCGATGTAAGACAGATCTTGGGGCTCTGGGCATGGCATCATAGGATCAGGGTACGCGGGGAGAAGAGGACTGCCGGGCACTCCAACCTGTTCCTTCTGCCCTTCCCAGGTCGTTTCTGCATACCCATCCCCCGGTAAGCAGGTCGAGAAATAGACATTGTTCGACTCCTCCAGTTTCTTCCAGACCTTGCCGGTCAACGCAGCGGCGACGGTGTGGATTTCCTCCAGGATAGTGTTCAATTCGGCTCGTCTGATATAGCCCTGGGGGTCCGACTCCAGAGTCCCGACATGGTCTTGAAGACGGGCAATTTCCCCTTTCAGGCGGCCCACCTCGTTGCATGCCCGTGCTTTTCCGCGTTGGCTTGATCTACCGTAGACTGGAATCTTGCCTTTTCCTCCGCCGCCTCACGTTGGCTTTGTTCAAGGCGCGCTGCCAGTTGCTGGTAACGTTGGTCCGCCTCCCGAATCATCTTCTCGCACACCGGATGAGCGGCCTTCATGGCCTGCTCAAAGTCTGGTGGCGATCTCCTGACCGTGCGGAGCGGCTTCTGCGGTATACCGTGCTTAGCAACACTACTTGCGAGATCGTGTTCCCGGGAGCCGCCGACACTCATCTGGCCCTGTCGCGGTGAACCGGCACTGTTCGCGTGGGGCGCCTTCTCTATCCCGCCAGCCCACGCTCGGGTGCCTCGAGCTACGCCGCCTCCCTTTGTGGGGCGGCGGGTTGGGTGGGGTGTGGCACCTCCCACTGTGCGTCGGACGTTGGACATGCTGGAGATCTTGATGTATTGGCTAACTCTGGAGGTGGGGGTGCGGTGGCTGGGAAGGACTGGCGGGGTTTTAGGGAGGCTTTAGACCACGCAAATAGGACAATCGGTGCTATGATTTGAGTCGGTGCTCAAATGGCGCCCAAATGCTTTTTCCATCTGCGTGGAAGGGATAAACATGATCTCTATCGCAAGCGAGGGACTAGGTTCAGAATGTCTGCCCAAGCTCTTATTGTATCTCTCTTACTTTGGCTACTTAGATACTAACTAAGACATAGATCATCGGCTTATTCCAAGAAGCCCCTCTCAGCCCCTCTCTCTAGTGTAATCCAATTTTAGGAGATATAGGCTAGCTAATATGACGAGTGGTAGCCAGTGAGTATATTGAGACATGCAAGAACTGTGGCATAGGCTGGGGAGCCATTTGGCTGAATATGGTATCCTAAAATTGGCTGCGAATGTGATCGATGATCGATCAGGCTGCCAAATAAAGTCCATATTGCTGACCATCGTATTTCAAATCAGCTGCCAAATACAAGGGTCAGCTTATTTTCTCCCGGCCCGAATTCGGTAGCTTGATTAAGCACTTGCTCAAGTGCCGAAATTAGATGTGTAGATGATGTTCAAACTTAGTACCGTTCATTCTGTGCCTAAATAAGGACTCAAATGAGGTATTTACATTGGGTACCCAAATTAGGCTCAAATCAAGTGCTCAGACTAGGTGCTCAAATGAAGTGCTCAAATGAAGTGCTCAAATGAAGTGCTCAAATGAAGTGCTCAAATGAAGTGCTCAAATGAAGTGCTCAAATGAAGTGCTCAAATGAAGTGCTCAAATGAAGTGCTCAAATGAAGTGCTCAAATGAAGTGCTCAAATGAAGTGCTCAAATGAAGTGCTCAAATGAAGTGCTCAAATGAAGTGCTCAAATGAAGTGCTCAAATGAAGTGCTCAAATGAAGTGCTCAAATGAAGTGCTCAAATGAAGTGCTCAAATGAAGTGCTCAAATGAAGTGCTCAAATGAAGTGCTCAAATGAAGTGCTCAAATGAAGTGCTCAAATGAAGTGCTCAAATGAAGTGCTCAAACAAGGTGCTCAAATTAGTTACTCAGATTAGGCTCAAAATAGATGCTCAAAATTAATCCTGCTCATTCTGTGCTCGAGTGAGGTATTCAAATTGACCTAGATTAGGTGCTCAAATGATGGTCAAATTGGGTGCCTAAATTAGGCTTAAAATGATGCTTACACTTAGTACCATCCATTTAGTCCTCAAATAAGGACTTAAGTGAGGTATTCAAATTGGCTCAAATCAGGCACTTAGACTAGGTGCTCAAATCGAGTGCTCAAATCAAGTGCTTAAATCAAGTGCTTAAATCAAGTGCTTAAATTAGGTGCTCAAATTATTTACTCAGTTTAGGCGCTCAAATTAGGTGCTCAGACTAGGCGCTCAAATCAAGTGCTCAAATCAAGTGCTCAAATTCAGTGAAGTCCATCCAGTGCTCGTTCTAGTATCTGGATCTATAGTGCCTATACTGGAATACAACTATAGACGCGCAAATCGGATAGGATACTGTACTGTATAACGGAAGAAGCCAGTACGATTGCAAGTTCATTGTACAAACACTCGATAGCAGCGGTAATCTTTGGGAAACACCCGGATCCCCTTTACAATTAGCCTATACATTGTGTAATCATCTAGCGAGCTACCCCGCGTGGGCCCGATGTCTGTACTCAAGGCCGTACGGCAGTTGTTCGACTTACGTGAACGATGGCAATATCTGACCTCCGAGGGTCCGCCGCAGGTCCCCCGCGCCTCGCATCCTCGCAACTGTACAAAGCATGCCGTGACGCATTCAGTGCTCTAGTTTAGCTCTCTATATCTATAGTAGGCTCCCTACCTTATCAAGCACTATGAATCCCTTCATAGATAGTTATAATAGAATCTTGGTCAGGAAGATACGCTGATTAGCTACCACTTGGTTATAAAACAAGGAGTGGGGTCTCTGTCGCTCGATTTTACGGCCCTTCACCGCCTTATTATTAGGAGATGTGGTCCGAACTATGGCAAGTCAGGGTGGGAGATCATTGGAGGGAAGCTAGGTGGTTGCTGTGGTGCTAGTTCCCCCCTTCTTCCTCTCCTCTCTCTAGTTCTAGTATCTCGGATACCAGCGCCGTTGCATTTCCACTGCACCAGTGATTAGCTCTCCTTGACCAGAGGCTTTGAGGATTTGATGATGTGTAGAAAGGTACAGGAATTTCTATAAATAAGTCTAACTTTATCATGGCGTTTAATGGTGAATAGGAGTGATGATCTTAGAATTCTGAGCAGTCTGATATGCCCTAGCGGCCATTATTAAGACATGCCGATCAGGTCTTCAATCCATATAGCACCTACGGGACAAGACGGTTGAGCCAATACAGGATTCATGGCTTTCTACTACTAATTCGAAGGGGCTACCCAAGATGACTTTGTACCATAGCCGCATAGGCTTAGGCATGACACGGATTCCAAGGATATCACTCCGGAAAAGAGCCTGGCAATCTACTTCTCCAAGCCTAAGATCGAAGCATCAAGGCCCTAGATGAGATTATAGCTACAGGGGTTAAAGCTGATCGATCTTAAATACACTGATACTCGGAGTTAGCACCTAGTGACACCATAGTCAGTTACAATGGTGATGGTTCAGGGTTTGGATATGATCTAGGCCTATTAGGCAACCTGGACTTACCTAAAGAAGACACCATAGCATCCGTTTCTAGACTCCGACTTCACGTTAGGATCAACTTCAGATCAAGAAAAGTTGCTGTCATGATACGCTTTTTACTCTCTGCCGACCAAATAGACAAGTCCCTAGCCTTGGTTCTGGATACAGACGCTTACACCTTGTTGGGGTTCATAGTCTTTTGGTTGGTTCTACTTCCTGAACATCGTACCTTCCACACCATACCTTCCTCATCATACCTTCCTCACCATACCTTCCTCACCATACCTTCCTCAACTTGAAGTCCAAACTTCTCAAGTCAGTCAACTCTTTGTCACTAGGACACCTTTGCCTTTGCTTCTCTTCCAGATCAAACTCGAAAATTCACCCTGTGCGCTTTCAGACTGTTTGAAACAGCTGCGGCATCTGACTGTCCAAATCTCGAAGCCAAAGGCTTCGCCTGGTAAGCCTGACCTGTACGGGGGAACTGCAGGCTCTCATCTAAGGTGTCCGCCACCACTATACTATCACTGCTGACCCGTCTCCAACTGGCATCTCTAGGTCTCCAAGAGCTCTTCCGAGTTACCAGTGATATCGCCGAGCCTCCCTTCCCCTGGACCACCCACCGCCTTTTCGCCTTGCTCTACCGTGAATCGCCACCGCCCCCGGGCGATTTGCAACATGTCGAGCCCTGCTCAAGGTCCCTCGCATGCTCTACCTTCTTCTCCGGCATACCCAGAGGCGATTTCGATCGATACCGCAAGTGTCTGGTCAGCGACCTCTGCAAGTCGGCACATTCCTCATTCTGGGAAGCATAACGAGCTCCCATCCCCCCTTTCTGCCTCGTCCCCGGAAAGCATGGCTACGAACGACGCGGAGGCACCAGAGAGCGCCACCAGTCACTCGAGCCGGAGTTCAGTATCGCCATATGTCGATCCAGAGCAGGCATATATATGCCCTGTTGACCCTGCGGGCTTGGATCCCCCATCCGATGCGGGATATCCTCGACCCCAAGTATCGGATGGACGGTCACGGAGGTTTCGTGGGATTCCTCACGACAGTGATCTCAAATGGTATGCCGTCAAGGGGGTTTACATCAGCCCTTTGCGCATTGGGGGTCCTCCCAGCCAGCTCTCGTGGATCCCCTGCATCGAGGACGTATTGTCTCCTGACGAGGCTCTGTATCCCCACCAAGGCAAACTCCAAAGTCGTTGTTTCGCGGTCCTACAGGTCCATCGTATCCGTGTCTCATCGGTCGAACTACTCTACTGCCGACCAAGACTCAACCCACACAAGCCCCCCCGTCTTGACGCTGAGGGTGATATCCCAAGATGGAGAATTTACTGAGTCTGGCGCCAAGGCAGTTCTAGAGATCCAGGACGCCATCAGAGACATGACCCGAGATCTGGATCAGCCACTCTCCACCATCACGGTGGATATCATCCACCCGAGACTCCTACGCCCCAAAAATATGTTCCCCGTCGAGCAGGACAATCTGATCTTTCCACAGTGGAAGGACGTTCTTGAAAAAGTCCTTGACCTTCGCTCATGCCCAGAGCTTTCGGCACAGGCCAGACAAATCTCGACCATCGGCTGTGTCCGCCGGGGCTGGCATGAGCATTCCGACCAATGCCCGGTTACAATCCTGATTACGGTGAAGGGATCAGTCGCTGCCGACTGGTCAGAATTTGCGGAAAGGGTGGTGGAGATCCTCTCTCGAATGGGGCTGCCAATGGTTGCGGTCGAGATTGCACTAGGGGGGTATAGAACCATTGATTACTGTGAGTGTAAGACGGCGGCATGGGATACCGCATGCGTTCCTCCAGTGTCCAGTCCTGGTTGGGGAGAGTCTTGCGCCAAGTGATGACGCTACCGGATCCGGGACACTTGGGGGGCTTTTTAGCGCTCAGCTTCGGAGATGGCGTAGGCAAGGACGCAAAGTTGGAAGTTTTCGGTGTAACATGTAGCCATGTTGCACTTGGGGCAGCGGACACACGGCATCCACCTGGAATGACTGAGCAAGAGGAAGGTCCCTGGCGGTGTGAGTGATGGTCCCTAATACCTTTCCGATCCCAGTGCCTAATTGTCGCTAACCCCATTCAGTGAAACCAAAAGCTCGGATCTCGGGTGCAAGCTCTCAGGCGGAAGTCTACACGGTCGCGCACCCATCGAAGATATCTGTAGCCGAGGAAATCCACAGCTGTACATCCAACATACGGCAGTGTGAGGGGGATCCTGGCTGGACAAGAGCGCAACAGCTCCAGAGGGACGGCATCATTCCCCCGCACGACTATCCCACCAAACCGCGTTCTCTGATCGCACAGGAATTCCCAGCTATGATGGATCGGAGTATGGAAAGGCTGTCTAAGCTGCTACAACAACACTATACGTCGATCTGCCTGTTGACTCGTCTACAGTCCTTGAGCGACGCGCCCGACCATAGCTTTCTAGGCACCGTTTTTGCCTCCTCTGGTGCCTACCTCCTCCCGTGGATCTCTTCTAGGGAAATAGCGTCGGCCCTATACAATACAAAAGACCATTGCCTTGGGATGGACTGGGCGCTCATCCGTCTGAGTAAGGAGCGTACGAGCGCATTCCGGCTGGCGAAGAGGATTGTATGTGACCCCGGAGATCATCTGGATCATCAGTTACTGACCTATCGATTAGGTCGAAGAGCCATGGGAGAAGTCCGACCAGTCCAAGACGGATACCAGGAGCCCTCAGGCACGCTCTGACCCAAAGGTAGAGAAGTATCTAGCTCAAGAAGAAAGGTTTATCCCAATGCTCGTGAGCCCGCTGAAGGATCCCCGCAAGCCCACAGGCACAAGTCACCTGCAGGGAGATGGACTTCACGATGGTTCCGAGCAGCGCCCTACATCAATGCCCGGCCCGGAGCCCTTCTTGCAGAATGGCGACAAGATCACTTACTGGGGATACCGCTCGGGGCAGATGGAAGTACGATACAACAGCCTCAAGGTGGCGCACCTCTTTGATGCCTTCGACGCCGACGCAAACTTCACCGAGCAACGCCAAACCCTTGAGCATTGCATCCTCCCAATACGACCAGGGGGCCATTCAACTGGCAGTGGGGATTCAGGCTCATTTCTCTACACCCCCCAGGAGGATCTGGCTGGGATGATCTGGGCTGGTGACAACAGCCAAGGTTTTGGGTTCTTTACCCACATTCAAGATCTGGCTCGACATATTAAGCAGGTGACTGGTTGCAAGGAAGTCTTTGAAGTTGAGATGCAGGTCGGCAATTTCGCTTAATGGGCAACAGATGCTCCATCGCTTAGTCGTTGTGAAGGTGGATTGGGGGACGCTTGCTTGCTTGCGTGGTTAGGTATTATTATGATGTTTTCTATTGATATTACCATTAGCGCACATCAGCTTAATGGACCCTCGCTCTGTATTTTTTCGATCCCGATTTTGCCACCCCTTCCCCGTGTAGCTGCCGCCATGGGGGGGGAAACGCGCAAGAAAATGGGACGGCCACTGGGCCTGCCAGACGGCGACAACATAACGCGCTCCACAAAGACACCCGCCTACAGGTAGCCCGGTAGCCCACCGCATGGAAGGAGAGACGGGAGACAGGAGACAGACGACACCTTCCTGCCATATGAGCCTGTTTTCCCTCCCCACCGCAAGGCCCTACCGAGACTCGGCCACGCGACAATGTCGCGGCCCGAGCCATCAACAGGATGGTCCAATCGTCTAACAGAGGGGCCGAAGAGCAGCAATCGATACCCGCGCGCTCTAACCGACGGAGCTCTAACCGACAGAGCTCTGGCGTCACCACGCTACCCACGACAGGTGCCGCTGTCCCCCCGACTTAACTACTCGGGAGGTCCTCCCAAATCAGGTGACGTCACGTATCCAAGGAACCCATCCAAGCTGCCCTGAGCTGCACCCAACTGCCTGCCTGATGGCTGGCGGACACCACCTGGCCCCAGGCTCAGGCTAGCTGCTGATCGTGTGTACAGAGAACAGCCCACTCCCTCTGAGAGACCTGCTGGCAAACTTGGTGACCTGAGAGATTCACGTGTGGAAAGTCAATCAATCAATCAATCAATCAATCAATCAATCAACCAATGCCTCTGTATATATATTGTAAACAGCATGTGAGACACGTCCATTATAGGTGGGTTGGTACAGTACACTAGGCCTTGACCACAGCAGTTCCGTTCAAAACAAGTGCACAGTCCACAGCTCCTTACTTCTCCAAAAGATTCGGATTGCTTTTGAGAACTGCTATCGCATCAAGAATGCTGGTCTGGGAATTAGAGACGTCTTCTTGGAGTTTCTGAATCACCTGCTGACACGATACGACCTCGGCCTGTAAGTCAGCAATCTTTGCCTGCCAGTCCTGCTCTTTGCGCAGAAGGGATTCAGACTGCTCTCGATACTGCTCCACCTGCCCAATAAGCCGTTCATTCTCTGACTCTACTCTTTGGATCACCTCGGTAAAGCTCTCTGGGCGGTCCTGAATAGTCGTCTTAGCTTGGATATGATCCGTACGGACGAAAACCGCTTACCTGACAGGCCGAGGACGCTTCGCTGCTCCTTGGAGTCCGCTGCAGGGGTTGTGGCCGGACGGCCTCGATAGATTTCCCCAGCTCGCCGATGATCTCTTGATAAAGCCCGATCGTGCCTCGCCGAGTGGGGTTCTGAGAAGATGTATCTGGGCGTCGGAGACGGACCACGCGTAGCCATCTTCCGCAGACGGTTGAAGACGCACGCGGTAGGGTGGAACGGTGAGACCGAGCTGATGATCTGGTTGACGGAACAAAAGTTAATTGGCTCTGATAGGGAGCAACGAGCGTGGTACTGACAAATATGGTTTGCCAATGCCTCCCGGCATTCTTGCCGTTTTTCAGCACGTCTTACGTTGCTATTGGAGCTCATACTAGGGAGGGCAGATCGGCAAAGTTCAGTGCTCTGTAGGGAGCGGGCAAGGTGCTCGTGGATATATATTACAGGTGAGATAGGAGTCTACGGTTATTGCTCAAATTGAAGCATCCGCATTTTTGGTTCCGTGTGTTGCGATCAGACCCAGCCGGATTAGACGCCCAAGTTCTATCAAATGAGGTTGCCGTCAGGAAAACGCCATACGGGCCCCCATCAATGGGTGTTCAAGGCAATCAAGTTCCTGGCGCATCAAACTGGCATCCGGGCAACCGGGATTGAAGTACATGCAAGGACCGTAGGTAGCCCCGGTAGAAAGGATCGCCTTATCCAACATCATCAACATACCTCAGGATCTGTCAAAGGGCCCATCAAGATCGGCCCAGAGGAGGAATTGTGAGACCCAGACGATCGAAACCTACAAATACGAGCCTATCATGATGTATCCCGCTGTGTTCGTTTACACGTTATTTGTTCTACATACTCAAATAGGACGAATGTCTCGCACCCAAAGGACCCATTCGAGAAGACATACTGCACCCTCTGATTCCCAACGCTATCCTGAACAATTGACCTGTTCATTTCCGCGAGACAGGGTCAGTGCCAGCGCTGTGGGCAGCAAACCAAATCCCAGCATGCCGGAGATTCAAGTCTGTCCCTCCAGCCGGCCAACCCGGATCATTCTTCGCATGGGACGACCGCCCGCTCCCAGCGAAATGCTAGGCAGTTCAGCAGCGCCTTCGACCCAGGTGGGCCCAAAAAGTAGAAATTCGCACCACAACGCCGCGCCGAAGCCCCGCACTCGAGAAGACTGGCTCAAACGCCTCCGGCCACGCAAGTCCATCAGCACACCTCCTGTATCCGGTAGAAAGTCCGCGCGAAAGCCTCAACGCAGAAGTGGGTCGCATTAATAGAGAATGCTGCTTGCTGGTTATGGTTTACGATGAGCGATAAGCCGTGTTACAGTTAGGAACTAGATATGAAAGTTCTCCACCTAGTGTCCTGGACATGTCAAGAACCAGACCAGTAGATCCAGTACGTGCAGTATATACATATGCTTCTTTATGTGGGGCATTTCGATTATATCTTCATACACTACTATTCTGTCAATCAAATTGTCTCCTGATCCATCATCTGCGGTCTATCATCAGCGGTCTCTCATCAGCGGTCTATCATCAGCGGTCTCCTAGAAATTTCTCTTATCTCACGAGAGAGCGCTATTCCTAGGAGTCTATTCTTAAAGCCCTAGACCTTGAATATAAGACCCCATACAGATCCGCTTTCTGATTTACTCTGACCTTCTATGTACATACTCCTCAGTACACTGCTCATTACTGTAATCCAGCTCCACTCGGACAGCAAATACTGTGTGTAGTCACCGACCTGGTCAAAAGGCTTCCGATATTCGGCATCGTGCAAACCGCTCGGTAATAATATCATAGCGGTCTTGGGTGATAGTCAAGTCGCGCATGATAGTCAACACCTTCTCGAGGAGAACGGACATCTTATCGGTATAGCCTCTGACCGAAATGTCGAGACCCAAGATGTTCGCAGAGAGGTGATAATCCAAACCAGCGAGTTCGGCGTCGTAGGAGTATTCGTTCAAAGCACCCCGAACAAGCTCGCATTACAGCCAGGTTTTAATTAGGTTCGCCGGTGTCTCCCACACGAATGGATTACGCAACGTCATATGGAAACGTTCCCTTAGGAACCCAGAAGCGGTTGTCCTTCTTGAGGTGAGTCTTGAGGTGAGTCAGAGAAGAAGTTTCTCAAAGGCAAATAATGGTTTTGGGACCAGTCTAAGAAACTTTGCTTGTGCTCGGACTTGAATACTATTAATAGATCACTTCTGCTAGAAACAGTAGCATTGGGTTTTTGAATCTAGACGCCTTTATAATATCGATATCGCACACCTCAATGCTGGTGGTAATTCCTTATTTCTGAATAAGAAGATTATGCAACCCAAAGTCCTGGTCTCCATTGAATCTCATGTTAAGCGTCTCATGTGTGCTGAGCGGGAAGCAAGGTATGGTTCAGATTCGATTCGAGAGGCAGGGCAAGCAAGTGAAAAAGCAGTTGTTCCAGGGGATGCACGTACCGCTTGGCTCCGCGGGTCATCTTTCATTCGTCCTCTATGACTCCTGAACATCAGCTCTATGAGCCATGAAGAGCCTGTAGCCTGGTAGGGCAACCCCACGGCATATCGAGACCACAATGGGCTCTGGGAAGATCACCGCGGCTTCTGGGAACTCGACTGCTCCTGTCAGGGATACATTAGCCATACAAGACGTATGGAGATATGATCTGCGAGACTCGGGTCCCGTTGAACGCGATCCTCACATTCCCAGAAACTGGCGTTCCTAGCATTAATTGTCATCACCCGCAAGATTCCCGCGGTCAACCCATTTCATGAGCACAGCTAATGGGAAATATCTTAAACGTGCTCAATGGGTCCCAAATCAAATAATGTATCGTGATATAAAAGAATGTTACTTCGCTGAACCAGAAGTACCTTAGTCAAAGCCCCTGACAGCATGGTAGTTACACTTTGATTCCTCGGGATATCATGCAATATCTACTCCCCTTCTAGCCTTTTGAGATACCTTGGAGGTCGAAGCATGAAGATGGTGCAGAGGCCTGCTGTCGAACTGATTTCACCCTATCAGAAAACAGGGTTTCTACATAACGCGCATTTCTTTCGTCACATGAAAGCCTTGCCTATCGCGAGGAGCACTCCAGCGAGTCTTTCCATCCCTTCTCTCAGCGCCTTCGAGCGGGGGGATCTCGAACGTTTGCGCCCAAGTGGATTCGATCGAGCATTCTACCTCTAAACCAAAAATATGGAGTAACGAGGGGGTGCCATTAAGTTGGCGGACATGAGTGGGTCCGCAATGGATGAACCGGATTGGACGGTTACGCGCCGAAAGGAAGCTGGCCGCGCCATGCTGGTCAACGGTTTCCTGTCACCACTCGATACCCGCCTCCTCTGAACTGATGAAACTCGACCTTCCATCTGCTCCTGTGCAAGTGTAGTTCCCAGCAAATAAAATGAACTCTTTGGCTGAGCCTGTCCACAACCATGAAACGCGAAGCGTCGTCTGAATCACGTTGCTGTACCAGCGATGAGCGACCAGCAAAAGTGCCCCGACGGGGAAACTCGAGCACCAATTCAGAACTTTCGAAGAGTATACATGACCACGCTAACGTACAGCCGCTCTCTCCATATTCATCAAATCGCCCTAGCACAGTGAGTCGCGATAGCCCTCCGTATAAGCCAACTCACTGACAGCGTAGAATCCCGATGCTCTAGGACACCAAACAGTTACCCCAACGTTCCCAGCGCATGCGCCCACCGAGCTCACGGAAAAGATCTACCAGTGGATCCCTGCGCCGTCGGAACAACTCGACGAGCTGGAGGTGATGAGCCAACCGCCATCAAAACGATCCCGGTCGCGGTCAATTTCAACGGATCGGGGCCGGGCTCGATCGGTCTCGTCGGAGAACAGCGAAAGCAGCTCGGCTCGGGACACCAGATCGTACGCCTACAAAGCCGCCAACTATGCCACTATTCTAGAGACCAAGAATTGCTTCATGCGACAGTCGTCCGCGGGTCCAATGCCAGACGACATTGCGCTTTGTGAGCGTCTTCTCCGTCAGCCAATCGAAACCCCGCGCGGCACCATGTTTGACGACAAGCATATACTTGACTTCCGTAACGCTTTGCAAGACCGTTCGGAAGCGCGCCTGCTGGTAGACCTCCACCCTCTCATTATGCCATCCGCGGAGAACCAATACATTCAGGGGAAGGAACATTTGAAAAATGTCATCGACGGATACAATGATCCATGGCTCAAGACCGAGCCAATTTACGGCCCGAAGCCACAGCCCGATCATGCGCGGGGCCTCAAATGGTCCTCCTTTTCTGAGAGCCAGCGGCGCAAACTTGGAGTCCAGGCCGACGAGAAATCGCCATATACGCCGCGGGAGGAGATGTATTTTCCTTACTTGACCGCCGAAATTAAATGTGGGAACCAGGCGCTGAAGTTTGCCGACCGGCAAAACATGCACAGCATGTGCGTTGCCCTGCGAGCGGTGGTCTCATTATTCGAAGCGGCGGGCCGTACGGCCGAGGTTCATCGACGGATCTTGGGGTTTTCGATCTCTCACGAGCTCGAGGGCTTCCGCATATACGGCTACTATCCCGAGGTGGATGACGGCAAAGTGTCCTATTATCGCTGGCCTATTGCGCAGCCCAACGTGTGGACTCCAGAAGATCGATGGACATGCTACGGATTCGTAGAGAATGTAGACCGTGAATTTCTGCCTCTCCATACCAAGCGGTTGATGAGCATTCTCGAGAAAATCCCGGACCCGGACGATGAACAGTCCGTTGTCGATGCCGACGAACCAGAATCTCAGTTGTCCATTGTCGGATCGCTGGAACGCCCGGGGTACCGCAGAGCGGCATCCTCGCAGAATCGCGGATTACAGCCCGAGCTACGCATTATGGTCCAAGCACTGCAACAACAGCTAGCAGAACAGAAGGAACGAGAAGAGAAGCGGGATGCAGAACAGAGAGCACGTGAGGAGAAACTCCTTGCTCAGTTGGAGGAGCAAAAGCTACGAGAAGAGAGGCGAGAAGCAGAGCAGAAGGCTCGGGAGGAGAAACTCCTTACCCAGTTGGAACAGCAAAGGAAAGCAAACACCGACCTGCAAGCAAAGCTCATCGCCTTCCTAGAGCGAGCAGAAAAGTCGGTTTGAGCATTTCAACAGTTCGTTTGGGCATTGATGCGGCGTGTTAATCCATTAAAAGTGCCCGTAGGAGTCATCATTTTCTAGCGAATCAGTACAGTACGCCGACAAAGCCAGCTAAATTCAGTGGCAATAAGCTAATACGAACATGCCGTTCTTTCAGAATTTCCCTCGGCTTTGGATGATCATTGTATGGCATATCTGGCCATGAAGCTGATCAGTCGTGCACTTGAGATGATGTGGTTAAAATCGGACCGTCGCAGTTTCACCTTTTCAATAGTCCAGGGTGAGCATGCATGTCTTAGCCCTAGACAGCAAAAGCAGGTAGCCTGACATCGATACTGTATGATTGGGGTGCAGAAGCCTCTTGGTTGAGCCGGGGCCAAAGCGCATGCTAGACGCTTTTTTGGCCCACCAGTTTTCTGACCATGGGGGGGGGGTATGTAGGCTGAACTTTTAGCTGCAGCCATGTCTTTGCAGGGACCAAGGTCGTCGTTACGCAAGAGTGGTCGTGCTCCAGAACTGAAGACTTGACAATGCGGTTTTCGAACACTTTCTAGAAGAAAGCAGGCCAAGAAACCCTTTCAGACGCGCTCGTTGACTGCTCGACGGTCAACGCTGAGTGGCTCGCGGTGAACAACCACCTGGTATATTTCGCCAAACGTGCAGTCAACATCAACACAAATCCAGAGGCCAGCCATACATCATTCCACAACTCTTTTTGATAAAGAAGTGATTCAATCGCAGCGTACAGTAACAGGATCTAAATGGGAAGCTCTCGATCCATTGATAACTGTTGAAGTCGATATAGAATTGGAAGACGGCATATTTGAGGCGAATCTGCATTATGGACGTAAAATTAGGATACACAATATCTCTAGTCGTCTTCGCCACCTCGACTGTTCTTGTTGAAAACCTCAGTAGAGACAACGACAAGGCCGAGTTAACCTATCCTGCCACCTCGTATGTAAGACGCACGTAGAACATAAAACCAGATCAACTCCCATAACAAGTTGAGCACCAGCAGATCATGTTCGATACGACAAGCCCTACGTTACAGTGCAGTATACGTATTATGTGTTAATGAATGATTTTGGATCATGACCCCTAGCTCCACTGCTGGTCTGGACATACATTGGATACATCTGATTTCATCTGCCTGGTACTCCCACAATACTGTATGTGAGGCGCATATGTCGCGGGATGCTTCTATTCATTGACAGCGGAGGAATTGGGGGGCTTTGTGAACCGATAGGCTTGAATCACTTGAAAGGAAACGGTCCCAAGATCACACTACAGTGCAAAATAGCCTCGCTGCCGCTAATTTGAGACTCAACTCAGCTACTGAACAAACCACTGGTTACCAAAAGCGGGATATAGTAGATCCGAATAGGATCATTCAAGTCCCGGGCTCGTTTCCACCATATATTATGGTAAGACAATGGACAGGCTGTATCTGTTATAATAAGAAACCGGCGTAGAGCAGGGACAGAGCCCGCACCGTCGGAGTTGGTTTCTCGGAAATGTCTATGTAGCATCGGGTTGATTGGAAACCATCCAGTATTGCTACTGTATATATAACCGCACGTATCCCCTCAAAATGATATCTCAAGCTTCCCTTACTTGACAACAGCTTATAAGTCCGGGAGCAACCTCTCGGCCGCAGGACTTCACGATAATCTATCACGTGATGTAGCATGGCTGAGAACATTCACCAGACGGCTCTTTGAGCCTTTGGATCGGAGAGATGCCATGACTTACCCGTAGTAAGCTGAAGACGGAAAATTCTGTGTAGAGTCGCTCGCATAGGAGGAATTACAAGCCCGATCTGTATGGCGGAGGTAAAAGTCAAGAGTCGCCATTGGATTGGATCTGGACACTTGTTTGAAGTACAACTCAGTTGCCAGCCCGTCACCCAATGATTCCGGCATCGAACCTATCAGGACCAGTAGGTTCTGAAGCTCGGAAAATCTCGTCTTTGAGATTCTGGAATGCCCTATCAACGGCAAGACGATTTGTAGGCTTATCATCCAGTGACGAGATGAAGGTCCGAAGCCGGCCTTCAAAATCATGCAAGCTAGTCAAGAAATGCAGGGCATTGTGGTATGAAGCACTCCTGGCCACTCTGCCGTAGACTCTAGCGCGGACTTGGGTGCACCGGCAAATCCGGAAGCAGCTCGTCATCAGTCGTGTCAGGTATATGTAGTTCGCGGCGCAGAAAATGCCCTGAATAAAGCTCGGATATCGGAGGCAAAAAGATTCTACCAGGACGATCCGAAGACTCGGCACGGTCGACTTGGAAGTCCTGTGACGTTGGGGATTTCCAAGGGCGGGCTTTCAGCCCGCTGCTTTGAATGAAGCTCCCAGTTGATCATTTGACGGCGGCACGACTGCCATGATTATTTCCGGCCAGTCCGCTCACAGAACAGCTTCGAGACTTCCGTCCAAAACTTCTTTTTATGATCCTGGAATGGCTCATCGAGTTTGCGAGAGTGGCACAGTTCGACGAGAACATCCCGATGTTTCGATGTCAATGTTTCACCTCGTCCGGAGTGAAGTGGCGTTACATTAGGGACAGGTATCTGATACGATCACATCGACCGAGATCAGGATAATCAAACTAATTCACTTGACAATGCTAGTCAGGCGATACGATTAGGCACCCAGGATCTGTCCTATCACATGAGCAAAGGTCACGTGTTGAAAACGGTGATCTCGTGATAGATGGTCACAGGGGTCAAGATAAGGGTTCAACCGAGGTTATACCCGGAACAAATTACATTGATTGGCTAATTCGGGGAGTAGACATCCTCACCACCTACTTTATTGACTACCCTGCGTCGGTAGCTCAACGGGACCGGTCCACCAACATTCACCGTGAACGCTTGGTCGTCAACACGCATAGCCATTCACCATAAACATAGTCAACCACGGTCAGCCGTCATGTTAAATCGCCGCAGGCATTTACTTTACATATCTACCGAGGAGTTTCAACAGATCCCTGCCCTCACCACGCCGAGTCACCGTCAACGCCTTCATCATTCACACAGAATGATTCTTGTCACGTACCAGTAGTCAACGCCATCTACCACTACTTGCATCAACATCCTCATCTAATCCTATCGCATTGAGTCATCAACACCTCTATCAATCAACGCAGGCCTCAAGTCTATCGAGAAATCTATCAACAACCGCTTGCATCAACATACCCGTCGAACCCCAACACGTTGAATCACCATTTATCCCGTGAAGAGCTTGCCAACAATCATTAGCACATATTACCACGTTGTTTCACCATTCATTCACCACTCATGCAACAGTCTTATACCCTTGCCGCTACGATATGTCAGCTTAGTCAACGCCATGGACGCAACGAAAGGCTGTCCTAGCTACAGAGCGATGTACTTTCCTGTAAGCAAGATGATTTGGCATGGAATTGAATGAATCAAATTACGGTAGCACCAAAGCTAACCCCCATCCCGGTGACATGAAACGAAACACCAGAAATACTGTAATCAAGTTTTGGTTTCTCATTCGGCAGCATTTTTGAAACAAAGATTATAAACTGTTATGGTGGCAGATTACAGCAAAACACTCAATTTTAAGAAACCCATCGTTTACCACTTAAGGCCATCTATAAGACCTTCTGAGGTAGATATATGAAAGACAGTATGGTACTATTTGCCTTCTGGGCATCTAGTTTCGTTCTCTTATACCACTACGATCACGTGACTCAAGATGCCAATTGCGGTGGGATTCTTGGCGGCAGAAAGGTATATTAACTAAAAATGCTGATGGCTAATTACGGCGAATAGACGACAGGAACCAATGACGTAACGTGTAGTATGAAAACTAACCTGAGAAATGGGACTGCGTGAAATCTCACGGAATATGCCGAAAGTTTTACACAAAGCCGTCACATCACGGGCCGTAGACTCCAGAATTGGACATTGACTGGACGGGATCGAGAGTAAAGGCGGGAACGCTCAGATCTCCATCGAACCTATTAACGACCCGCCCCGGGTTATGGTTTGTTCTCCTTGGATAGGGCCTTTTGCTTCGTTGTGCTGATTGTAGTCCTGGGTGCCCCAGGATGAATCTTCTTGCTTTCGCGTGCGGATCATCGTATGGATCACCGTCAGGAAAGCACTCTCGATATCCCCTTTTCCTCGCGTTATCGGTGTGTAGTGCCACGTCATTCCCATTGCTGGGTCTGGCGTCGAGTTCCGAGCCCGGGGAACTTTGCCAGAAGTCGTACATGCGTCCTGGTGGGACTGAGCGCTCAGTGAGGGGGTCCACTAGCCGGAGGGAGTATTCATCGAGACTGTTGCCGAGTTCACCGATCCATTGAGGATTGAATTCCATCGTCCGTTGCTCTTGGTCCTCAGGGAGCCCCAGGAACTTGAAATTGACGACGACTGGGTGCGACGGGGAATCATTCGAGACCGTCGACAAGCCAGCAGATTCGCTGAGGAGATCCGTCCCCGGCAGAACACCCCCTGCATGCGACACATTGTTCGTCGATTCGTGGGATGCTGAGTTCCCTTCGTTCGGCAGGATCGCCTCGCTGCTTGCATCTGCCTGGCCTTCTACTTCCGCCTCTGTTGGCCCGGGCTGGGGCTCAAACGTGGATTGATCTTGACGATTACCTGGGCTCTTTAGGTAGCCGAAGAAGGCGTCGAAGACTGTACGGCGAAGAAATCCCGCAGTGACGCGCCCAGGCACCGACTGTTGCTGCACCATTGCAGCCGTCAAAGCGAACCGGTCCGCAGCAGCGGATGCGCTATACGGTTTCCCACATCGCTTGGCCGGTTCGATTTCTTCGGCCGGGTCCGAGGGGTACTCGCAAGGTAACAGGACCGGTAGCGGTACGGTGGGATTTGCGATGGTGCTCCCATCCTGCGGCCTGAAGCCCCGTGCTCTCATCAGAGCATAAAAGTGCGCCCACAACTCCGATTCGCTCGGAATCACGGCTTCCCCCCCGTTGAGTGGTGGCTGCTCTCCATCATGCAGGTGATATGTTTTCAAGCGGCGGTGGTCGGTCATCTCGAATCCGTATTGGAAACAGAAGCGCCAGAATTCCAGAAGATCGGGTTTAAGGCATTCCTCTCGCATCGCCATTGGCATCGGCACAGCAGTATCCCATAAGCTGTAGAGGCCTGTATCAATTCGTGGGCTGAGGATCCTGGAGATGCATGCAGACTCGTTTCATCGCACTCTGGGCCACTTCGAGGTAGACACGGTCTTTGAAGAACGTTCGTAGCGTGGGGATAGGGTGGGCGACCTCAATCAGGTTGCGCCAAATCTCCTCGCGAACTCGATCTTCCACATTGGGAAAAAGCTTGCCATCGTCCATTTTCTTCTGGAGGAATCGGCGGTCTCTCGCGGAAACCTGTGGGACACGGGAGTCAAGTAACTGCACCGTCACGCCATCAATGAAGGGAAGCAGCTGCTCTTGGCCTCCCACAATCCTCAAAAACGTCTGCAAAATGTGATCCCAGTAACAGCAGATGGCCTCGTCGCAATGCATCGCCGTGATTTTATGCAGCACGCCGATACGCATGGCTTCCCACAGTCCCCTGATGGGCAGCAAGGAGTTCAGTTTCTCATGCAACATCTCGTTTCGGAAAAAACCTCTCAATCCCTTTCTTTTCTTACTATTGGGCTTCGCATCGAGGACAGCCCACCAATCGTTAGCCGCGGCGCGGTTTTTCGGGCGTCGAGATGCCCTTCATAGTAGTTGATCCGCTCGTAGATCATTCCGTCCGGTGGCCTGAGATCGTTGGGGAACCTTTCTCGTAATAAGCGTACAAAGTCGTCTTGGATCTCCTGCGAGTCTTGGTCTACAGCATTGCCGCAACTACAGCCGAGATGATCAACGAGGTCTAGAACTAGCCGCTGTATTCACACGAGTGTTAGGAAAACCTTTAAATACAGGCACAAAGCCTACACCGAGGCTTGACAAGGCGAATAATATAGCGCCTCCAACGAAGTACAGACATTTCTAGCCGGCCTCCCGTTGACTGAAAACACACATATTCAGAATCAATTGTCAGACGCAACTGTAAGCGGCCGTCAGCTATCCAGATCTTAATCACATCTCGTCACACACACACACACACACACACACACACACACACACACACACACACACAAAAGGGCATTTGTACTCATCATTCAAGAACCTTCTTGTCTTTCAACTCAAGTTTCTCCACACAAGGGTACCCTTGACAGCACGTGCAGATTCAGCCGGAATACCAGGGTTAAGGCGACCCTTAATTGTGAGTCCATTGTCGGCCGTGAGCTGGAAGGTGTCGGTTTCGAATTTGCCACTCCATGAATGCTCGCCTTTCAGATCGCCCTCCTCATTATATTCAATAGTAACCGTGATAAAATCAAAATTCGGCATATATGGAGAGACTGGTGAATCAAACGAGTATGGAATGCCATCGAAGAGAGCCGATCCAGTGATCCGCCAGGAGCTGACCTTTTGAAGGCATCCAAGTGCGGTAGGCATGATTGCTTAAGGTTTAAGATGTCCATGTGTGAAGGATATATAAAATGAGTCAAAAGTTTAAGAAGAGATTGATTCAATTCCTCTACCATGAAAAATTACGACAGAAGAATATGGCTGTCTTTATATGAATTCGGCATCGCTCCTCTAGAAGGGCCTAAGCTGTATAAACCCAGTATGCGGACAGAGATATATAGGAGAGAGTATCTAATTACCTTCTACGTATGACGTTGTAATGCAGCTGAACTGACCATGCCCCAATTTGTGGACGCTAAATTTCTTGTGCTGCGATCAAAGCCACTTCTGCCCGCCGATCGCAATTATCTCTAAAGCACTATCATTGCGGGTTATTTCCCAGCTTATTTTTATCTTACTGATTTGAGAAATGATTCTCGATGGCCCATGTCTTCTTTTGGGATCTATTCCCGGCGATCCTATTCCTTGAAAACTGACCATTGCTGATGCGGCGGGTCCAGTATGCACAATCAAATCGTACATTCGATCTCCACCATTCTTGATCCACAACAAATGAGGCTGGCTGAGAGTTACAGGTAACATTCAGCTATTCAACTAGAGATTGCCAGGTTGGTGCTACAGTTGGTGACGTGTTTGCCACCTTTATGTACATGCTCAACCTTGCGCTCTGAATCTTCGCGAGCGATCATTGCCTAAAATGCTAGACTATAGAATAGGCTTCAACGAATCAAAAAATGAGTAGTTTACTTGTATGATCTACATACAGAAAGCCATGGTCAAATTTACCCACCCATCCCGCCAGTGTGCGCTGGCACGTTTTTGGATGGAATATACCTTCACCGCTAATCGACACTGCTTGCAACGGTTGTCAGACTCACTCTGGACCGGTATGCACAGAACGGAAATTATCAGTCCTGCACATTCAGGCTTTCTTTCTTAACCCTTAGATATTTGACTGTATATAGTATGCACGGAATCTCATCCTTTTCAATTGAGGAATGCTGATTTCAATCAGCTGGCTGTCTAAAAAGCCGAGCTAGAAATCTGACTCTCACAATTGATAATGTTTACTGTAATTCACGCCCGAACGGAACACACGGTTGAGCGGAACACCCTAAAACACCATACTAAGTACGATAAATTACAGTAATGTTCGAAATCGGCTTCCATGATTTACGTAGAGGAATTGTCTCTGGAACCCTAGCGTGAAACACACTATGCTACATATAGCTAGCGTATATGCAAGGGCTAGCAAAGTTTACACAGAAGATATCATCATACATTATATCATCTATACATAAATTACATCATCCCATTATAGCACTAAATAAGCTTCCGCCTAACCTAGTTTTCGGCCCAACTTTGGCATTCCCAAGGACCCAGTAACCCACTTTCGACCCAGGTTGATACATAAATATGTACTTTTATGCCAAAAACAGGATTTGGGCTATAGTGCTCAACCTAAGTTGGGCTATACAGATGCGTCATTATGACAGTACCTTGACGTTCTTCAGGTATGAATAAGTGGCGGTGAGAAGTCTGTAATAACAGACATATCTTGAGCCCTATTTCCAATCTATTTAAGTGACCCTGCACAAGCTATACGAACCACCGTATAGTTCTACTTCTTTGCTCCTTTCGTTAATTACTTACCTCTTTGACATCTTACCTCTTTGACATCTTACCTCTTTGACATCTGAAAACCATGGGTATGAAATTTGATGATGTCTTATCTTACGCCAACGGCGCCTACTATTATGAGGATTCTCAACTTCAGCCACTTCCGGTAGCCGATTTTTCGACAGGCTACAAAATGAGCAGAAAAGATATCCAAGACTGGTTCGGCGTCATCAATACCTTGCCTGAAGTACCTAAATACTTCATTGTGAATGAGACCTCACTCAAATCAAACCTGGAGCCATTTCGCGGCAATCGGACATATGTCAATGGCGGCTGGGCTGTTTACGAGCCAGTCGAGTGGGTCCCTACTATGTTTTTGAATCGGGTGATTCCGAAGAATGAGTTTCCTATCCAATTTAACCGCACCACGACATCGATCAATCAAACGAAGCTCTACGCTGGTCTCAAGTCTATGGCCTCGGCATCCGCAAGCGCCAGCTATGGAGCAATGAAAGCAGAAGCTAGCGTGGAGATCAAAGGAGAAATTGAGTTGGACCTCGATACCAAAGTAGTTGAGACAATGTCCCAAGAAGGAACGCTAGGCTCGAAGCCTGTGCACGAAGTTGTGCTGGGAATGACTATCAAGATGCGTCGAGTTTATTCTTGGGAATTCGCCGAGGACGATGTTACGTACCTGTTTCGTATATCACTAGGTCCGCTCGTTGAAGACTGCAGATGGTCAGGTGCTACAGACGGTGGCAACAGTATCTCAAACGAGAGTTTCCGCCACGTTTCTGAACTACAGTACTATGCGGGTTACTATAAAGCACAAATCCTTCCGGCATTCACTAAAGAAAAGGAAGTTAAGAAGGTGCACGTTGCTTTAAAGGCGCCTACGTGGAGCTGTTGGTACGTCTACGAGGAACCATATGGCTCGCCAAAGAATTTTCGAGAGAGAAATAACACTGAGGCGACGACGATGGCCTGGCAGACTTTTAAGCCAGTAGCCACTTTTGTAGCAGCAGCATGAACCTGAGAAGGGACTATCTAGCTATTGATAGACTAGCATGCTAGCCTTTTAATACAATGCTTAACAGGCTCCTAGGCTATTTTGATTCTTTCTAAAGTTTCTCCCTTAACTACCCCAGAATCAGTATCGATTAGACCTGTCCATAGGACTTCTCCAGATAGGGATTTTGATTCTAATTCTATATAATAGGTAGGCAAGTCCTACCTATTACACCCATGCCCGTCTATACCCTAGTGGCACTTACAGTCAGGCCTTATTCGTTGTTTCTGGCCGCTGATTTGCTGCCTATACATATTCCTGCTGCTTATGATATATGGCATTCGTCTAGCATCTCGCTCCCTTGTCCTTTCCTTCTTTCTTTAGGATAGAGACACTTAAGCAAACCTTCAATCTTTCCTATATCTCTTATATCCTATTAGCCTTTGTACCTAACTCTTACTCTGACTTCTCTGCCCCTTAATTGGGTACTTATATATACTCTTGCCCCAGCGCAATATATGGTAGTAGTTGTGTGTAGGCTTCCGCATAACCTAGCTTGATCGAGACCTAACCTAGACCTAACCCGGAGAAGAAAATAGCAACTCCCGGGTGCTATATTTATAGCTCCTTATGGGCTTCATTATGTCTTAATCTCAGGATCAGAATATAACCCCGCAGCTGCTAGTGGATACCTGTATATGACATCAGTACTTCTCGTCGTTCACGGACATTTATGCACCATAACAAATTTTTGAACATGGACAGACTTACCGACGGACACGCATCAACTCCCGTACCAGCATGCTTTTATGGTTTCTGAAAAAGAGGGTCTGGTTACTCTCAGCAGGCCCTTGGGGCTGGATGGATATCGTGACAACATGTAAGCTGCGGGCTACATGTGGGGGAAGTGGGGTGGAATGTATTGATCTCATGCATTCATCTCAACCTTGGAACTGCCTAGTGGTCGGGGAGCAGCTTACTCGGGAGTGGAGCGGACGCAGGACGTGATGTGATGCCGCATCACATCGAGGTGGCGTATTGATTGGGCCACTGAACGGCTTTTTGCTTTTTATCGGGACCTCCGAAATGCAGAAGCTGGTAATCCTACCTGTACGGAGTACACGAAGGAATTTGATACAGAGAGATCCACCAAATCTACTGAGAATGACGTCACCTCGCGTTCCAAGGTTTACAGCTATGTACAAAAACTAGTACGTTTTATCTGGAATGATTTGAAGCAATTTGATTTGTCACACAGATGGAAGCATCTTTTTGCTGTCATCATCTTTCGACTATTTCTTTTACTAAGGTTGTAGTGACTTGACCAATGGCGACTGAATTCAAAAAGATGTAACCCAATATTCATGGACACCAGGAGCGACAAATTCTCAGTCTTCGACTTATCCCAGACAGAACCAAACTTCCTGAAAGTCCAAATCCATGTAGTAGCTCACTTCGCAAGGCAGAATTTTCCCTTTCGAGTATTGGGCCACTTCAACGTATTCAAGTAGCGCATGCCCTCAGTTCGGCATTGTTCTTTGAGCTAGGATGAACAACCATCCCACAGAGTCTATAGAAATGTGAGGAATTCCCAGCTTTCCACCATGGATGGTGCTCAGAAGAACTCCATACTATATGATCAGAACTTACGTAACTGATGTTATTGTTTGTGTCGTTTTTATGGTTTTCGTTGGCTTTATTGTTGTCGTTCTGGCCACATAGATCGCCCGAAACCCGCCTGGATTCCCGCCTCTATACACCGTGTCTACCTGAAAGACCGGGAACTCAGTCAAGCGCTGTCCAATACAGCCAGTTGGCATCATGGTGTCTCTGAGCACGGATGTAGTTTCGGTGGTCCGAGTTCCTCTCTCTGTCGTAGTCATTGTGCCTATATTGTAAAATGGCTTCGGGTAAGTTTTGGTCACCTTTGTTGGCTTGCTATCGCTTGTGGTCAAGTAAATATATTCTGTTTTGTCAGTCCCGTTTCCTCTTTGTCCTCTTGTGTAGTTGCTCACTTGCAGGGTCAGTCAGAGAAACGGCGTGATTCATTGCGCTTGTGCCCCTGGCTCCAGCGATTGAATACTGAATACCGCCGCCTATAAGCTGTTAGAGGTATGTTCCTATGTTATTCGTACGACCATAGAAGTAGATATCATACTGGTACACTTGAAACTGGTGAATGTGGCTCTCGGGGGTGCTGCCGCTGTTTCGGCTGGCATAGGCGCGAGTACTACCTGCTGCGCCATTGCGGCCAAATGGCAAATAGGAAGAAACAATAAAAGGGAAAGAATCTCATAATGGCAGCGTCCGGGTGGAGTCGCTCCTCCTTGGCCTGGTTGATTTGAAGTTGATGATCTGAAATCCTCTAGAAAATCTGGTGAGTGGACTCAGGCAATGGTGGTGGGATGAAAGCCACTATTATATCAAGCTCAATGCTACACTTATTATTCGGATTACGATGTCATGTTCTCTCGCCACCTAGGCAGGCCAATATCCATATTACGTCATGATCTAGCTTACCAGTTTTGACATATTGTTTTGAAATTGGAAATACACAGCCCGTGGAGGACCCACTGCGAGTACTCCGAAGCGTTCCGAGAGGCACGGGCCGAGCCACTATCAGAAGGGCATCAAAAAAGACTACTGGCTTTCTTAGGCTTCCGCATAATCCAATTTGGGTCGAAGGTTACGACTCAGAACCCAACCCGGGACCAGCTCCTGGGGCCCCAGTAGAACCCACTTTGGACCTAATTCGACCCAGTTTTGCATGAAATTTCACAAAAACCACTCATAAAGCTGCTAACTAATCCGTATACTTTACTATATTTGCGACGGTTTTGGTTCCCCTCTCAGTATATATGGTATACCATCTTTAAGATATATAAAATTTCGTGATATGACGTCAGAAGTGTCTGTTTCAGTAGGTTATTTTTTTTGAATATCTTAATTACCTGGAAAAGTTGTGGTTATATTGTAGTGTACTGTAGGGTATATTGACTAATTATCGAAGTAAGAACATGATCTTCAGGTTAACCGAAAACTCGGATTCACACGATCGGTAGGCAGTAATTAACTTCGGGAGTTCGATTTCTCATCTTCATCAAGTCTAGATACCGGCACGGTGTTCAGATCCTCAACCTACTAGGACCCATAAATAGCGTGTAGGAAGCGGCAAGCTAAGCAGGTGCCGGCGACATGCCGATCGAGGGCGTAGGTTTCCGTCGGCGAGCCATCATGCTGGTACAGACTACTATCCAATTATCGCTCTAGAAGCCACAATCAGGTGACTCACATCGTCTCAGAAACAGGATCGCCAACACGGCCCGTAGGGTGGCGGCTGGAGAACGATTCCGTCAAGGGGTGATAGGAGGGGTCCCTTTCCCCTGCCGTCCGAGGTCGCGCTATGTATATAGCTACCCCTAGGGGTTATAGGTCCCCCTCCAACGTATATCTTGAAATCTTCTAGTAACAGTTTCGAGTAACACAGACAAATAGCACTTGCTTTTGCAAACAAGCAAAGACAAAAGAGAATATCTCCGTAACGCCCACACATACTAGACACGTGCTCGACCCCGGGTTCTTGCTCGGCGATGCAATCTTGTGGCTTGGGTGATCTTCTTCCTGCATGCGTGAACTCATGAACTAGTTGAACACTAGTATCCACAATTCGCCACGTAGTACAGCCGGACCCGCCTTAGTGCCCGAAGTCGCCTGTCGGTAATCTCGATCTCCGATCGTTGACTGTTGCCCAACGATCGAGGTCTCATCGTAGGAACTGAGAATGATCTGCCATAATGTTGCCATTCCCAGATCTAGATCTCGGAGTAGCTCGGCCTTTATTGTGATGCATCGTCTTTAGGGCAGTCACACCTCCGCTCTTCTAATGACGAACAGTACTCTCCAAAGAAGCCTCTGATAGCCTAAAACAGAGGAAGAAAGTGCCCGGTGAGGTTGCAGGCTTGGATTGAGCATGGCCTGAACGCCCACTGGGATAATTGGTAATACTTAGACTGCGTCACGATCCGCAATGTCCAAGGATATCCGCAATCCATATCCGCAAACTGCGGATTTGGATATGGGCCTCATATCCGTTGGATAATTGCGGATATTCAATGGATATCAAACAAAACAAATGTGCCAAGACTCGTGACTTTGACGGGTATACATTATTCTTATGCGGATCCATACCCCTTTTAAAATTGCAGTCTGTATTTTGAAAACTTCTGTCCACAATTTCTCTTACTTCCACGGTCGGAATATCTTTAAACTCTAATATATCGATAGCTGGAAGATAAAGTATTGCTTTGAATCTAGAACTAGGACATTTTATTAAGAGATATACATTTTTTCCTTATTCATTCTGTTTACTATGAAATTGAAGGAGGTTAATACTAACTAGTCAAATATACATTTCTCAAGTAAATTATCACGAAATCCTTATTTCGCAGCCACACTCAAGATTAGAGTCAAATTCCCCTAAATATATAGCCTCATATTTAATCGTTACATAATCAGATCTCAGATACATATTCATTTCCTAATATTTCACACCATCATGTGAATTAAAGATGTTGGTTCTGTCATGACCAAACATGGTTTTCTTTCAGGTGGGGAGAAATAGATAGTCTACTCACAAAGCATGACAATGTCAAGTAGCTCTATAGGTTGCTTCAAGCAGAGACCTAATCCCACATTATCTTTGCGTGTCCCTCATTACTTCCACTCACCGACCTTTTCTCGGATGTGCAACTTGGTCTTGCCAGCCTGGAGATCACCCCGGTAGGTGGGTCTGTTCTGGAAGACCGTCACGATATCAGAGCCGCCGAACTGGAAGTAGGATATGTTTTGTCCCTTCTCCAAGAACTGCCCTTTTTCCACGGTGAGAACGACCGAGGAGACCTGGGCCATCCCAATGGGCAAAACCGCAACCAAGCCATTGTCAGTGGATTTTTTGTGGCCTTTACTATCGTAGCTAGTGTCGATCACAACGAGGCCACGAGTCTGGCACCATTGATAACCAGCGTGGTCGGGTGCAGTGATACCGGCGTTAGGTTTCGGACCGTTGGCAGCAGGCTGCTCAGACTGATATCATAGCAGTTCCGCAAGCGGCAAAATATAGAACTTGTATACTCTTGTTCCGATGATTCAGATAGCCTTGTCAAGGACGTCATCATAGCAGTGCAATCTAGGACAGTGACCTAGGAGTGATACAGCCGCAAATATGGATACCAGTAAATGTAAGCAAAACCTATCCATAGATAATTCTCTGAACTCGACAAAGATTTCCGCTTGTAGTTTACGGGGCGGGCCGACCGGCTACTGTTCGGTTCCACTGAAAACCCTGTCTTGGTTTGGATGACGATCTCGATTGAATGACGGTGTCGAATATTTATTTGCCACTCAGTTTACGAGATCAGTGAACTTTGGTGTCAAGATCCAGATCGTGTTATTGATGGCCTCATGCCGCCCAAAAGAGGCAATAAGAGCGTAGTATGGCCATGGTTGTAGTCCGGCTGGCCTGGAAGAACTTCGCGTGCAATATATAGAAGGATGACCCTACCTCCAGCCCGGGGATCATGCAGTGGAGACTACTCAAGCTCCACGTTCGGGCGCAGGGATACCGAATAGTGCATGACGACCACGGAAAGGCCTCGGTATTTCTCTCGAAAGTTTCCTTTCCTCTGCTACCTATTATTAACAATGAACCGCCGAGACTAGGTCCAGCAGCCTGAAGCTCTACCGATGCAAGAAATCACCGCATAGGAGAGCGTAGATGCTTTGATGAGGACGTCTTCGTGGAAGCCTCCAACCCTCGTGGCGACCATCAGGATTGACGGTCACCAACAGCGATATCAGATGATATGACTTCAGTTATGACGGATCGTGTATCCCCTTGAACAGCATGATGATCTTGACCACCGTCTAGGCGCCATGGAAATAGCCTAAGGGAACGATGTTTTGAAGATATCGAAGATTCAGGGTTTCAGGGCTCGCCGGACAAGACAACCAAGGACAACCATTTGGACCCCAAACTGTAAGAAAGACAGATTCGTCGTTCTTTAATTTAGCGGCGTGGGATCCTTCTATACGGGCTAAAGTCTATAGGGGACAGGCAGCCGCCCCTACTATTCTCTATCCATATGTTACGGACCCACCCCAGAAGGAAGGAATAAGTCAACCACGACCAACCAACATACCGTACATAGTTGATTAGCCTAGCCTGTCTGCCGCGCTGAATCCTAATACATCTGCTACTGGACCCGAACCCTTACAAATATGAACCACCTAGCAATTGGCCTGAGCAGAAGGCGTACACCACAGCTTAGTAGCCACCACCAAAGCCACCACCACTACCACCATAGCCACCACCACTACCACCATAGCCACCACCACTACCACCATAGCCACCACCACTACCACCATAGCCACCACCACTACCACCATAGCCACCACTACCATAGCCACCACCACCACCACTATTACGACCACCAGGGCGAGAATTAGCTAAACAGACTATGATACGGTGACCGTCAAGACTATAATATCGTGCATTAGCTGATTTCTGGGCTTCTTATTATAAAGTTGTCCGCAAGCCTTACTCGGTGTCATTAAGCCCATCGATTGCAGATGAAGACTCTTGGCTGGAACTAAAGGTAACGAAGCCAAAGCCTCTGCTCCGACCTGTGTCGCGATCACGCATAACAATCTAGTTCATGTCAGCACCAGGTGGGGTTTATTCTGGAGTATCAGTAGACATAGCTTACCGAGTCAAGAACACCTCCAAATTGGGAACATGCTCCCCGTAAGGTGTCGTCCGTTGTATTCGAAGCCAGATTCCTTTTCGTATCTTAATTAAAATTCATTTCATTTCAGTTGTCAAGGGAGCCTACCCGACATAAACCTTTGCAGTCATGGTGGGTGGATATAATAAGCTGAAGTATAGTCTCCGCGTTTTGAAGCACAAAAATCCTACCGGCACTGAAGCAGAAGAGAAAGTTTAGAATAAGCGGTCTGGTAGGGGAATGGGCGTGCTTTTAAATTTCAGCTACTAGCGGTCATCCACCCATACTCAGTCAATTGATGAAGTAAGCCATGCTTGTTACGCATGCCATAATAAAGCATAGGAAATCATCAGCTCACCTACGTAACGTGCCAAAATCGCGTACCAACTGAAACTTCTGTACCCCGCCTTTCTCTACGTAGTAAAGTGAATTATATGGGATTTAGCGAGATGACGTCAGTATATATACCTGTGGGTCTACCTAAATTCCTATGATTTGGTGATCATATATGTACGCAAATTCTGGCTCTGAATATTCGGTGAAATTAAGAACCACTTATTGGGTGTTATGTTGGGGCTAAGTTCTAGAATGAAACCTGTATAATTACGTATCTTCGGTCGCGCCACCCGGACAAACTCCGGAGCGAAGCTCTTACAGGTTAGAAGTTAGAACTCTGGAACCAATCTAGAAGTTTAATAAACTATCTATATGTTACTATAGGTGACATCATTCCTCTGCCAAAGATACTGCCTCTTTGGGACATGAAGGAGTCGGGTAGCTCCTGGGAACGTTTCCTTCGATCGCGCCCCACTTGTCCGTTCATGTTCCGTAACACTAGACCTGCGGAATATAGCTAAGGTGAGCCTGGACTGAGTTTTACACAGTAATTCTGAGTCTAAGCGTCTTCACCAAAGCGGCGCTAGGTATGCAGAGAAGGATGATTAGGCTTCCGCACAACCCAGCTTGACCCAGACCCAATCCGGAACTAACCCGGACTGGGCTGGATTTTGGGTCGAGATCTCCGACCCAGTATTGGGTCCGGGTTGAACTGGGTAACCCAGGCTGGGTTACTGGGGCCCTAATTGGGTTATATCATGACAACATAGCGTAGTTTCGAGTGAAGGTACATTTTATACATATTTGTATTGAAATTTTGGTATCAGGCTCTAACTTTTGAGCTCAAGAACGGTCCCTCGATAGCACTGAGGGCCTGTACCACAATATAACCACAAGTTTTCCAGGTAATAAGATATTTAAATAGAGAAACTTACAAACAAAGACACTTCTAATTTTATATCCTACTTTATTATACAAAATTTCATATTGGAGTAGTAATACCTATGTATGTAAGTATTGACATATTGACTCAAGCATCCTTTGGGACTGTTGGACGCCTGTCCCAAGTGATCATTCAGCTGGCCGGCAGTCGAGATTCGTGGTTTCTTCCATGAAAGCAATTTCCTCGCGTGATGAGAGACATGAATCCCAAATACCTATACAGGTGATTAAAGGAGGAACGCACTCAAATTCATGACCCATCAATCATAAAGTTGAGAGGGCTACGATGAGGTCCCGTCCTCTTCATAAGATGCTCAGCAACCCGACCAGAGCTTCGCCAATTGTGTCTAAATGGAAAGATAAAGAAACGGCGCAAGGACCTCAAAGGGCCTGAAAAGCAGAATCTAATGCTTATGTTCGAAGACCATGGGCCTCAGAAGCATTGCCACCGCAGATGCATCTCGTGTAGGACGGATAGATCGCAAAAATTGCATCTTCGGTCCATCAAGTGTGAGTCTCTAAAATGCCTTCTCACTCCATTATAGTCTGCATATGCCTTGGGACTTTGAAAGCATGCGAAGGTTTGCTCTGCATTCGGGATAAGCTTCCTGTCAGAGGTAAGTCCATTCCTCTCCGATGTAGTCGTCGGCGTACCAGCCTTCATCTTTCGAGCTGGCGGAGGGGAAATAACGTCCTCACTGTCGGACGGCGCAGAGCGCTTCCGTCGCCCTCGAAGAGGACCACCCTCCTGAAAGCCGCAATATTGTATTCCAGCAGCAACAGCTTTGTTGCGCCGCGTCCACTCATCCTCTAATGAATCGGTGCTGGGCCAAGTAAAGAATGTCTCCACGAGAAGGATCTGCTCCGATGGCATTGCAAACTCCTTCCGTAATACCTCGCGCGCAGGCTCATCGCTGACAGCCCCGCCGGTCAGCTGTCTTTCAATGTCAATCACCGCCTGTTGCCGACTGAAATCACGGCGTATTTCCTTCCGCCGTTTGTCCTGCAGACGGCGGCGCAAATTTTGGACTTGACGTCTCTGGTCCTTCAGCATTGCCCGCGACGCTGGGTCATGAGGGCGGCCACCGCACTGAGTCTCTAACTCGAGTTGCCAGCGTATGGCCGATAGCAGTTCAGGGTTTTTCTCCACTGATTCCCGATCGGCGTGGCTCAGGTCCCAGGACGAGTCTGGTCCTAGGACAGCTCGAAGCTGCTTCACACAGTGCTGGGCCCCTGATGTCTCGAGCGGAAACCCCTGCTGTGGGCATGTACATCTTCCAATATGGTATGAATTCACCCCTTCTATTGGGAGTGAACGTGACGTTTCTATATCATCCCCTGGGCGCTCTTCAGCCGGGGAAGGGTGGGGAGGTCCCCCAGAGATCCCCTTACGGGGTCGACGAGGCAATTTCCAATTGCTGGGGTGCGCCCCCAAGTTCTAAATTTAGCATAGACTGCTTCCATTGCCTCCCTTCACCCAAAAGAAAGTGAGTAAATGCCGCTTCCATGTGCTTTAAACTCCCAGTCTCGACAATTGCCTACCATGGTGTGCCCCTGGAGTCTTCATCTACTGCCACTACTGTTCAGTATCAAAAAATAATGGACTCTCTACTAGCAGTGCCTTACTTGGCCATTTATCATCGATGCTGAATCAGCCCCTGCAGCCCTCAGTCTGAATAGCCCCCAACGCTGTGAGAATGTGAGGCTCTATGTGACTTTCTCTACTGTATCAGCTTGAGACGGCATCGGTTGGTGGTTCACCAACCTAAGAGAAGCGATGGAACCAACAAGATACGTGTTGAACCAACAGATTATGGGCACATTCTCGTTTGAATTCACGCTGGGAAATTACTGTACTGTACTGTATTGCCTCTCCTAGCCCGAAAGTATCCATGGTGAGTCAACACCTCAATTTGACCTGGTTTCATCTGCGTATCTTCCACCTTGGTGATTCAATAGGCCTTAGACTTCACCATGCTTCAACATTCATCTCTCTTCTCTGTATCGAGTCTTGCGCGTGCATTCTACCACAGCCTGGGTATAAATGCCACCTCGCCCACCCTAGTGCAGCTTTCCTCCTGATCATCCTTCCCAGCTGTTTCTTCATCGGATTTTGCTCTGCTAGGGCGCTACAGTCGATAGCGGAAACAGCTTCTACCCTGACGCCTGTGTGTCTTTACTCAGGCCCCACTGCTAAGGGATCTTTACTCCACTATTGTTTCAAAGATAGATGGAACTCATAAATGTGACTGTACGGATACCGTAACTTACGTCCAATCTACAAAACGGTGTTTTTACTAAAACAGCCTTATAAGAATCCCCGGCATAAGCGCGACAATAAGACAGAAATTTTGAACTTTATGGAGACCTCTTCAGTCAGTCGTAGATTATAGTTCTTGTATCCATATACAGTGAGACTACGACATGGCGAGAATGGGAAGCCACTTAGCCAACGCCGTTAGGTAGAGTAAGTATGTACATATTTCGAGGTCTCATGACCTTCGACTTCGTAAGAGAGATGGAGAAAGGTGTAGAGAAATTAGTAACCAGACGCAGTGGATTTCGAAAATCTTATATTATTCTACTAAAGAGGTAGCTTGGACAGTATTTCCAGCCTCTCCGCCCTGAGCTCCCCTCTCCAACAGGAGCTGCACATTCTTATCGTGTCCTTCAAAAGATGCAGCTTGGAGAGCATTTCCATACCGCCCACCTTGAGCATTGACCTCAGCTCCTCTCTCTAGCAGGAGCTGCACAATCTTATTGTGTCCTTCAAAAGACGCAGCGTATAGGGCATTTCCATACTCCCCACCTTGAGCGTTGACCTCAGCCCCCCTCTCTAGCAGGAGCTGTACAATCTTATCATGTCCTCTCAAAGACGCAGCTTGAAGAGCATTTCCATACCGCCCACCTTGGGTGTTGACCTCAGCCCCCCTCTCCAACAGGAGCTGCACAATCTTATCGTGTCCTTCCAAACACGCAGCTTGCAGAGCATTTCCATACCGCCTATGATGAGCGTTGATCTCAGGCCCCCTCTCTAGCAGGAGCTGCACAATCTTATCGTGTCCTCTCAAAGACGCAGCTTGGAGAGCATTTCCATACTCCCCACCTTGAGCGTTGATCTCAGCCCCGCTCTTCAGTAGTAGATTCACGACCTTCTCATAACCAGCCAGTGAGGCCCAGATGATAGGGTAGGTTCCGGTGCTATCGGCTGAATTTATAGCTTTCCCATCGAGAGACAGTAGAAACTCAACTTCTCGCTCATGTCCGTTCAGTGATGCCAGGTGTAAAGCAGTCATTGACGGCGGAGCGCCGTAAGGGTCGATAGCCTCCCAAAAGATTGGGAACCACAATGAAAATCTCTTTCTGCTCATATCGTAGATTTGCTGAACTTGACCGGTCGCTTCTTGGTCTTGGGTCAGACTCATCTTCCGCTTGTGGTCCGGCCAATATAATGCTGAATACTCTAGAAAGCTTCGAATCTTAGTGCATGATTCTTCCTCATCATCTTCCAGATCCTCCATCAATAGGTATCGTAAACAGATAAAGGCCATTTGATCCTCTGTTTCAGTCAGGGACCACGAGTACAAGCAGTTAACGCTGTTAGAGCAACTCTTCTTCAGAAGAAATTCTCTGGCCGTTTGATGAATAAGGTAGATCTTGGAATTGTTGATGAAAACAAAAAGGCCACATAATCGACGTAGCTTTTTGTCGACTTGGGATGCTTCAATTCCAGCTTCTGCAGCAGTTTGAGCGTGTGGAGAGGTGGCTATACCGAGCGCCATGGCCATTTCCGCCGTTGTTAACGGGCGCCGTGCTGCAACGATAATTTGTAAGATCTTCCTCGTAATGGCTACTTGACGGGAGGGCGATCGACTAAGAATCTTCTCGTATGCCTCATCCACTGATTGAGGTATCGTCCGTATTTCTTCCTCGGAAGGGCGAAGACTATCCTCAAGTGTGGATCGAATATCGTCTAGGGCTAAATATAACCAGAGATATGTACGGTGCTCCATTTGTAGAAGCTGCTGCTCGAGTCGCTGCTCTGTGTCATGTGATAACGCTGCTCCTTCGGCGAGCTCTCTGACTCGGACCTTCACGACAAGGTTGATTTCTTGATGGATTTGATCATTTTCTTCCTCGCCTTTCAGATGAAGATGGGGGAAAGAGTCCGTGATTTCTCGGAATCTTTTCTGAATATCGTCATAGGGACGACTAGTGACTAGAAATTTCAACCAGGTTTTCTGTCTCTGCGAACGTGGCAGGCGATGAAACGACTGTAGCTTCTTAATCAGTCGATTTTGATCAACCTCACGGCACTCGTCAAGCGCATCGAAAAGACAAATCGTCTTGCATGATTCATCTGATAATACAGCGGTTGTAAAAATTCTCCACAGTTCGTCAACCTCTTGTCGCAGCTTTTCACCATTTCTTTCCCATGACGGTATGGCATGGCGCAAGAGCTGAGGCCGCTGGCTAAAAAGCTGATGGAGTACTGAGCAGAGTGCCGTGGCAAGATGATTCTGCTCCTCGTTGTCCTTGAAAAAAAAGTAACAGATGGTGACTCCTGAATCAGAAACTTCTAAGTGGTCTTCGATTATCGATCGGGAGAGCACAGACTTCCCGCAGCCTGGGTCAGCAGACAAGATGAGAAGATCATTGCAGTTGCTTTCCGACCAACGGATATATTCGTGGCTCTGTGTAGCCCACAGGCAGGTTCCTTCCACTTTTTTAGGATTGATGTTCTTTTGCTCCTCGTAAGTTGATATCTTAAAGATTTGGTGGCAGCGGTGTTGCTGATCCGTCAAAACAAATGAAACCTTCTCCCGATGATGTTGTTCGTGCTGAGTGAATGCCTGATCGAGGCGTTGATTTGTGCCTTGGATTTCGGTCTTCAATCCGTCTATAAAAAGCCATATAAGCAATTCACTCTCCATTCAATATCAACTCAGCTAAGACTCATCTCACTTACTGCATACATCTACCACCAAACTCTCTTGTGATACATGGCCAATAGGAACATACCGCAGCAGCTCCTTTGTATACGCCGCGGCAACCAGAGCGGCATATCCTTGCCATTCCTTGTTCTTGTGCGAGTCGGCGTAATCACAAACACCGCGGATGACAATACAGGGGAAGTCTAACATCAGACCAGCTGCCTCCATTTCAAAGCACATGGCCCCGGTCTGTGAACGAAGTTGCTCTCTTGTCCGCCCGTGCTTGATGACATTATTGCCAGAAGCAATGATACCATAGCGTGGTAATGGGTCACTATCCTCGCGTTGATCTCTTGTCTCTTCCCACTCGGCGAGACATCCATCGCAGCTGCCCGCATTAGCAGGGTGATCATACTCGTCTGAAATAGTCGATCAGATTGTGTAGAAGGACGGCTAAAAGTTTTCCGGGTTCGAGCGGTTCTTCCGATTGCGTTTTGGAGATATTCTAGGTATCGAGGATCCTCGGTCAGCGCGGCAGCTCTCATCATACCAACTGCGGTCAATAGTGCCCTTGGGGGACTGTTCAGCGAGCCCGTTCGTTCAAATTCACCACCCGCAATAACTTTCCCCATATCATACTGAATCACCCCACCACAAGTGCCGTGGGGATGACTGATGACGACATCGCCAAGTCGAATATCATGAGCAGGGGAAGGAACTCCACCCCCGATACCGACCATCAATCCGATTCGAAGCGACTTGGAGAAGGTGCGAAGCATGTTGTTTGCGACCGTAGTAGCTGTGGTAGTTCCGTACTGGCCTCCTGGCAGGCAGGCGATCACGACGTGGTGTTTGCCGATTCGGCCCAGCGTGTAGGTATTCGAGTCCGCTGCATCTTGTTCATCGAGAATCCCAAATTTCTCATCTAGCATTTCGCCGGCGGCAGCAGCCTCGATTGGAAGGGCACAGATCCAGCCAATTTGGAAGGCGTCTTTGGGAGGACGGGTCATGTCGAAAGCTAGCGTGGTTCTGCGAAAAGTACGCTAGTGTGGCGATGAGTATTAGGAAAAGTTGAGCAAGAACAGAGCCTGGTGACTCCTGTGCGGGGTCGTCACGGGAAAAGAGCCCCATCGTGTAGCAGACGGAGCCTCGTCGCCAGCTGCAGAATCTCAGCCCGGGCTGGGGGGGAGGGGCATAATGCGGCAACGGAGCAGCTGCTATTGGACAAAGCCAACGGCCAGCTAGGGTGTATCACACGTGATATGATGGTCCGTGACCGGCGATGCCGTGGCACTACGAAGTCCAATCAGAACGACTGGGTTGAACAGCGTCAGTGGTACTGTAGAAGTATGGCACCCAGGCTTGACGCATGGCGGCTCGAACTCATCCGTGACATGATCCAAGACCCTCATCCATATACTAACGCGCAGGTCGCCGAGGCTGCCCATTGCACCGCACGATCAGTCAGCACTCTCCGCTCGAACCTACGATGCTTTGGAAGAGCCAGAGCGCCAGCCAACGGTATCGGCCGACGACGAACGGTTACCCCACCTATGATCGAAGCTCTCTGCGAGCGTCTCGTTAAAAAGCCGGATCTCTTCCGAGTTCCATGGTATTTCAGAGATCGACAGCTATTCCTGATTGGGAGTAATGTCAGCATTTAATATTGAGGGCCCTTCCAAACCCAAAAAAAAGATTCACCAAAAATCTCTCTTTTCTTTTATTCTCAGTTGAGAAGATGGAATGTTAGCAACGTAAGAATATGAGCTGGCTACTCGCATATCATTGGTTTCCGTGCTGATGACTACTCTGCGTACAATGCATCGCGCATGGACGGTTCCCACAGTAAGTTGCGGGCCGCGCGATGGGTCCGGAGCAGCCAATCGTTTTGCATAAATATAGTCACGTGCACTATCCAATACCCAAGTACACCCCCGACAAAAGGATAATAAAACCAATGTGTAATATTCCGTCATCATAATACCGTAAGTCGACTCTTGTATACAGAGCATTACCTTAGGTGCTTATTACCGTACCGTTAGCCGTTAAATAATTTTACGCGCTAATGCCTTGGCAGTGGGGCCTGAGTAAAGAAAAGCAGGCGTCAGGGTAGAAGCTGTTTCCGCTATCGACTGTATACATAGAACAGGTAGGCGATTAATATGATAGCTAAGAAGGAGCAAGAGCAGCGGACTGAATGTCTCTCTTTTGTTTCTTCCGCAGTAATTTGAGTACCCCGACCTGAACGTAGGGGTAAATAGAGAGAGCAGCCATTGGGAAAGCCTAATTTTTATCAGTGACATCTATGGTGGCTAGTTAGCTTGCCCTCACTTTGATGAATAGTTCGCATCGTTTGGTTTCCGTCATATTGCAGCACAGCATTATAATCGCGCGGCCGAAATGCGGTGGGTGCGGTCTCCAGAAACATCCCAGCCCTTATCATAAATAAGCACCATCCCAAGGTTATCTAGAATCGCCAATATACTGATAGGAGCAACTATGCCAGGCTGTCTTCCCAGATCAGAGAGCTTTGAGCCAGCATACGCTTCCGACTCGACAGACATAGATTCCGAGTCCGAGTATATCCCTTCTGAAACAAGCGAAGATAGGGATTTCGTGGTTTCGGATACAGATCATATATCTGATATGCTGAGTGTTTCTGATGAGGACTCTGACAGTGAGCTTGAGAATCAAAAGGCGGGTCAAGCCATTTCCTCTTGCCTCTTAAGAAGCTCTGCTGACCTTGATATAGATCACTCCTCACTGTGCGGAACCACAGCAAAAGGTATACATCAAAACAATTATGAAAACGACGGCGGACACCGAAGACGGTGGAAAGCTCCGTTATATGGTACTATGGTATTCTTGGGAGACTGAGGATTCAATGAGGAAGATCAAGTTGTAGAGGCTGGCCTACTTCGAGACACCATATGATATAACAGTCTGGGTTGCTATAATTTGAATATGATGAGCAGGTCTGAGAAGGTCTTCCATTACAGAATATATGGCCCAGATGAAAGCTTGATGCTCTTGTCAGGTGATTTGAGAGCTGTTTGATTAGCGGGGAGCCTATCATCTCTCAGGCAGTCAAGTCCGTGACTAATTTGGAAAACTATCCGGAAATCAAAATAAACCCTCTTCTCCGGTTATTCATAGCGCTCTATTACACAAACCCAAAACGCTCTCGCTATCCATTCTAGACAATCTCCAAGCAGCAAGAATCACAAGGCTCCCGGTCTTATGAATACTCTGAGAACCGGGAAATCTCTCTTAGCTCGTTATCGTGCGGGGAGTGATCAGGCAGCATTCTTGCTTTCTTCCTGTCAACTCTGTCTCTTCTAGGTCGCTGGAATTTGCGGTAGCACCACCTGTGCAAAAAACGATGCCACAGAAGGCGGCAGCTCCCGAGAGGATCGTTCCAAAGAGCACGGCTATATTCTGCTTATGGACTTCCATAGAAGATTGACCGATGTCTATCTGAGCCAGCTGCGCCATATCAACATTGGCTATCGTCGAAGTGGCTGCCGTTGGCGTGGATATTGTTGACGCGGACATCGTCGACATGGATGTCATCGACGATGTAATACTCCTGCTCGTCCCAGTGGGCATATTTGTATGTTCCTGGGTGGGAGGGTCAGCGGCAGTGGTGTAAGGGTGGAGGTCGGCAGACGTGTGCTGCCCTTGCTCGGAAGGTGTATAGCGTCCTTGGGTATTGTTCAATGATTTGGATTCAACGTTCCATCCCGACGGTAGATGGGTCTGACCAAAGTCTCCTGCGAAGGTTGTGTGATGGGTTTGATCTGATGGAGAGAACGAAGAACCCTGCGGAGAGGTCATGGGTGTCTCATTATGGAAGCCCGTTCCTTGAACCGTTGTCGATCCCAGGCTCCCGTCCGTGGTCGAGGCTGGCGGTAGAGCAGCGGGCTTGTATGGATCGGAGATGCCCGCGGGTAGGTGCTGGGATATGCTCATGGGCGCGTCAAGATCGACTGATAGCGGGCCTGAAATCAAAGACCTGGGGCGTCAAAAGATCCGGTTCTTCCCCGATTTCGCCGGAGCAAAAAGACTGACCTACGTGGTTGGTTTGTAGCACGGTCGTTTGTGGCTCTGAACTGGATGAAGGATAATATTCTGCGGTCCCTGAAGCCACTGCACTGCCGCTGCGGGTACTGCCGGTGAGCGTGACGCCGTCGTATCCTTGCGTGGCTGTCCCGTTACGGCTGGAAGAGGCCACGGAGCTCTGCACCCCTTGTGATGAGCCTACCGCTGCACTTGGCTCTGTAATTCCCGCAATGGATGCCGGAACCGTAGGCACGGTCGGGGCTTGGCTCGGCTCGACCAACTTTGAGGCCGTCGCTGCATCTAGCCCGGCTAGGTGAGATTGATCGTACGAACTGGTCTTTGGGGTTACTGGTGACGCCACCGACGCCATATCACTCGAGCTCGGAAGGAATGACGGAAGAGCCACACCAACAGTTTGACTTGGAATGATCTCCCTTCCGCTGGATGCTGGCGGCTCCCCATCGATCACGCTTGACGACGTTCCTACCTCTAGCTCTTGGGTTGCTATTGCCATGGTTGAAGCCGTATCACTTTCGTTTGAGGAAAGAGTCTGGTCTGTAGGGGCCGGTACATTAGCTAACAAGGTGGGTGGGTTGGACAAGCTGGTCTTTGTCTCGTCTACCGGCACGGCCTTATTTGATGCAGCAGCCGGGCTGGCAATGGCTACCAAGCCGGTGCCACTGCCTACCGAGTATAAATTCTCATCACTTGTACTGATTGGACTGAAGACAGCGACGCCAGGAATCGACGACGGTTCAGCGAGACTCGAATTGCTCATCGGTATGTAGCTGGCCGTACTCCGCTCTGTCGTCTGTGATGAAGCGGCACCATCAGTCCTGGCTATGGTTGATGCTAATGTTAAGCCTGGCTTGCTGCCAGCCGGGATATGGGAGGAGTGAAGGATCGTCGCGACAGAGTCCTTTGTGGCGCTGAGCTCGGTAGAGGCTGTTACTGCTTCTGAGCGATTGTCGGTGGTATTCCGCGTTGACTCCGATCCGCGTGTGCTTTGCGGGCTTGATAATGGAAGGTCTGCGCTGGTAGACGGCATCACTAGCGATGTGCTTACCCTGTCTGTAGCTATAGTGATGCCCTCACCGGACCCAAGCTTAGATACCTGGTCAGCCGCACTGTGGGAGGATGGTGCGCCTCTGTCTGCTATAACAGACGAGCCTAATGGATTTGTCATATTATTCTCTTGCTTTATTGCCATGTTCGAATCTTCCATGCTCCGGGTTTCCGCCGGCGCTGTGGAATGTAGATAGCGAGGAGTCGGTATAATAGCTTGTAAGGTTATCTGATGCTAGACCTAACCTCAAGGAGATGCTTCCGGGCCTATGGAGATAAAAAGGTCAGATGACCGTAGCCGGCCACAGTATTAGCGCCAAATACTGGAACGTGGCGTGTTTTGAGCGATGCAAAACTACGGATATGTACTTCTGGATTTGGGCAACTCTCCCATGGCGAACTTGTCGGAATTTGGTTATAGAACATATGGCTCAGACCCGAAGATACCCAAAGTCCCAATTCAAACTCCAAATGTATGCCCTGTTGGATGCTGCTTTCAGCTCAAAGGGTTATCTTTGGATGATCTTCAAACAGAGGATAGTCTTGGATGCGATCCCCTGGAAAAAGCTCGGCGGAAAATTCGGACAGCGATTTTCTGTACCTTCGGTCCTCCCTTTCTTGCAATGCGTGCTTTGAGCAGTCTAGGGACATGAGATAGGAGCCGAAAACCCTTCTCTGTGCTTTTGCCATGCACGCTCTTTCGTGAAAAATACCCTGATTTCCGTACCCTCATGATCATTCTGATGATATGCTCAGCTATCACATCTACTTGCACTTCTTGATGACCGAGAGCCCCATTGCTATCTGGAGAGCGTATCAACTCGCCGGCTGAGGGCGGATACTGTTCATTGACCACATGCCCACCGGGAGGAAGGAAATAGCTCAGTCCGGGTATGCCAGACTCCGTGATGAGCCATTGCGCTATAGATGCTAACGTCCTTTCGGTCTTTTCAGAGTTGGCAAGCTGGATGAACCGGTAGAGGACGGGCAGCAAATTAATCTGGTGGGTTGGCCGGAAGGGTTGGGAAACCACTGTCCCACGTTGAATGGTTGGGACCCCGTTAGGTCTTTCTTTGCTTCGTGGGATTTCGTCTTGGCGCCTTGCTTGACCATCGTATATAATACTTTGTAGCGGTTCCTTATCCACCTCTAAACAAACGATCAGTACGATGTGGCGTGGGGTCGAAGGGAAGACGCAAAAGCCCTACTCTTGTCTCTTGTGAATGTATTCACAGACTCAATGCTCTGATGCCTGGAACTATGGACACAAAGGCAGCAAGCCGGCGAGTCTTCAGAGGAGCCCTTTCTGGCCATGTTGAACAAAGATCTGTTATAACATCTCCAAGGACCCTGTATATATCCCCGAGAATCAATAGGCTCTTCGGCATGCTGATAGAGCCCCAACCAAATAAATAGGTCGCTTGTGTATGCTGTACAAATCGTGGCGAGCTTTCTGAGCGTCCCGCAGAAAGCCGTTCATTCCAGTAAGCTTGAATGTGTTATATGCGTCGAGTATCTAATCTTCCTGCGGCCCTAAATTTGAGCATCAAACAACCACCTAGTTGAGGGCTCTTATTGCCACGGAAAAGCGTCTCAACCGTGCTTGTCCTGCGGGCCAGGTATGCCCTTTTGGGAAGGTCGGTAGATAAGAAGCCCTGCACGACTTTCGACGCCTCCCAGGGCACAAAACAGTTGCCGCCACAATTGCCGGCAAGACGCCGGACCACAGTTCCTCGATCCCAACAACCCCCCTCCCCCCTCCAGGACATCATGGCCCCCGTCCTCAGCCGAGTGAAACAGGAACAGTTACGGAAACGGCGCAACAACCTCTTGAAGCGCCACAATGATTTCTGGCGCCTGTACTCCATTAAAAGCTGGCTAGTCATGGAGATGCCGAACGGAAGAATATATACGTACCAGTCAAATCCTGGTGTACAGATGCCTAGTGAGGAAGACATTGTAAGGTCGTTGAAAATAGCATAGTCTTTCTCCGTTTTGACCGTCTACAGAATAGCCGCTCACAATCCGCGGTTCATCGGACCCCAGCCGACTATGAACCTACTACGCCTCGTAAGCTGACCGTCCCGACGCCGCCCGTCTTTGATATGACTTAGCTGGAGGGCATCCGATGGGACAATTCCATGAGACCGCGTTCGAGCTGGTACTGTAACCGCGCAACCAATCCCAAATGTCGGCGGGCCTTCAACGCTAGAGCGTCGGGCCCAAGCCTGAGGGTAGCCGAACTTTCGATACAGGGCACTACGCAGCGGCGGACCCCCCCCACCACACCCAAAGATCCTTGGCGCGTACCATCTCGCGGTACGATCATTCTGTACTGTGTCGTATGGCTACATTTGGAATCATCTATCAACTACTTCAAATAATGAAAATACGTAAAGGAAAATTCTCTGTTCATTCCTGTCACTGGTACTCGATTTTTGCCTGATGTTACCGCCTTGGTATAAGAGATCTTCGAATTATGAAGATAGGGGCCGGGGGGGGGGGGTCCTTTAGTGTCTCAAAGAGCCCTGTACATACAGCGGTGGCGATGTCTATACGCTTGTATCTACGTGAATTTGCCTCGCCAACTCGCAATGGATCATTGATGCCGGCGCCATTGCCATATGATCAGAGGGATAAAAGGTATGGTCCGTTGAGATGTGCTTGACCGGGAGGAAGATAGAGGGTAGAGGGGGACTGGTGGGACTTGTATGACCTAGGAGAAATAAATTAAAAAAAAAAAAAACACCGAAAACGAAAACGAAAAAAATGGTGAAGGTAAAGAAAGAAAGAGAAGAAAGCAGGGAAAAGGAGGCTGGTGGTTTTACCCACACTAAGAGTTGAACGCGAAGATGGCAGTCGGAGTAAAGGGGCTACCCAATTCGGCTATCCGGCTGCTCAGGCTTCTGCGTGGTAATATAGGTCTCTATGCCGCAAGATCCAGTATAGAATATCCCGGATCTTTGTAGGTTTTGAATCATTTCCCCATCCTCAGCTCCTGCTCAGTATGGCTTATATGTTGGTTATATGACCTACGAAAGGCAAAGGTTCGAACAGGACCCAAGCCGGTTCGAGATTTTGGTTTTTCCAAGAGGATAGTGAATTGACTAGCTGGGTCATACAGAGGGTCCTACCCGCACTATATATATAATATATATATGGAGGAAAGATATCATCCACATATTCAAGTTTGGTGGTGGGCCTTCTGTATATCCAACATTTACTATCTAGTATAGCGTGGATCTCTCCGAAAGATCTAGATAGCAGAGCTGGCCCTCGCTCCCTAGCAAGCGTAGCATAGATTGCGGCGGGGGCTATACCGTGGCATTCCTTCTCCGGTCGCATATCGCACCGCCCCGCATTCATGATTTATCCAGTATGTCAGCCGTGGGCCGATTCTGCCGCTCCCCACCGCCCTTGATGCCAGCACCATCTGAACTACTGTCGTCCGAACACATGCGAAAGTGGATAGTAGGGTGGTGGGAGTTGGGTATTAGATCGGTCGTTGTAGCTTCTCCTTCTTTCCCTTCTCCTCTTCCCTCCTTAGCTTTAGTATTCCAAATTGAAACGCCGTTGTTGCTGTGTCCCAACTTCGCTTAGGTTTCCCCTTGACACAGTAACCTCAATAGAAAAGATTGGCAAAAGAAATATCAGACTTCGAAGGCTTCTTGTTCCCAGAGCCTCAATATGGTACTAATGTTCCAGATAACAAGGCCTCAGCCGACACAGAGGAATACACATTCCTATAAGCACGGCAGCGGGATTGGTTTTTTCCTTTTCTTCTTTTTTCTTCTTCTTCTTCTTCTTCTTTTTTTTTTCTTTTTTTTTCTTTTTTTCTCTTTTTTTTTTTTTTTTTCTTTTTTTCTCTTTCCTTTCCCTTCTTTCTTTTTCTTTTTGGGTTTTCTCCTATATGCCCTTTTCCTTTATAGGGGTAGAATAACCTGCAAAGTCCAGGGCACGTCCAGCTGTTTCAGGCGTGAAATACTGCGGCACTTCCAATTTCCGCACGTACCAGTGCGCCACACCCGGTCTCAATGCCTAACTGTGTACGCAGGAGGTGGGCTTGGAAGGTCGACGTCGTCTGCGCACGAGCAGTGTGAGCTTTGAAAGGTCTCGCCATGAGATTCGGCCAAGTCTTCCGCCACGACTGGTTGGATCAGAAAAAACTTATACCAGATCGAGAGGATCAGGAAGATCCCGGACGTGGTGCCGGTGACGACGAAGGTCATGATTGCCATGATGGAACATTCACCGGAGTGATTAGCCAGGACGCTGACAAGCGTGGTGAGCAAACCAGCCACGGCATTCATACAGCCGGGTCTTCCGGTTGATTAGTAACTATGGTTGAAGGAGCGGCGAAATCACGAACCACCTACAAGAAGATCTTGTTGACCACCCACGAGTAGCTCTTCCGAAAGCAGACGAAGAGATATCCCAAGAGCGTAGCCCCGACGACGAAGAACAGGCAAGCGATGGCTAGTAAGGGAGGATTCCTGATGGTCCTCAAGACCGCCCGCCCAGCGTCATTTGCTTGCAGCGTCTTCTCTACCGCAGTTGAATCGTTCAAAGAGGTGAAAGTCGCAGGAACGACCAGATACCCGGCTAAAAGGATCCAGTTGGCAGCGCTAGCAGATACGTTATATCTCCAGTTCATCTGCGCTTCCTCTTTCAGAATCCGCGTGTACTCGGTCTCATGGTTAGAACATGATGCGCAGTCATGGACACGCTGATCGACTACACTTGCGCTAGTAGCTCCAGCTCCAGCTCCAGCTCCAGCTCCAGCTCCAGTCTCAGCTACCTCCACACCTTTGATCCGAACCTGCCACCGCTGGGTGAACATGGTCGATGATACAGGGAGACAGGGAGACGAGTACGGTGGTTCCGTGTCAAGGCTTAAATAAGGCAAGGCCGGTTAGTCCGAAACATCGACTGGTTCCTGGGCTGCAGGAAACGGCAGCCCTCTCGAAACAGCCGGTAACGCCCTCCAGGACCCGCAAGATATGAAACGATCCACGCACACTGCGGGCGGGGGCACGGATGCGGCCCGGCCTCGTCCTTTTCATGCGGGTTGTCCGGTGTGCGTGCTGAAGTTGGCTGCCGTGTCTTAGGCTAGGCCCGTGGGCTATATCAAGGCTCCTCGGCCGCACCCCGACCGATGCCCTGGGGCAGAGGACCCGCCCCCTCCTCGCCAGGTCTGTGCCGCAGTTCGCCATGGCCGCATGGCTCGATATCTGAACCGATGCCGCCGGTCGCACCCTGGTCGATACGGGACGGCTAGAGAAGCTTGTAGGAGACCTGGAGAACCCCGAGTCTCAATCGCCGTCTCTTGTGTACTTTGCCGGTGGCGACTCCCGCGTCGCCGCGCTCCAGGCCTTGTTCCCCTATAACAATATCACACGGCGAGGCCAAACGGGATTCGTACGGTTGCACATCAGTACTGACACTGCCAGGACCCAGCGCCCTGTTTTCCTGGCAGAGGGAGATCTCAGAGCCTACCCTACCAGTCAAATGAACACATGCCACTGGCCCACAGACAGGTTCCGCCGATATCCCATTGCTTCGCGGCAGGACTCATCCTTAGCAGACATACAATGGCAAATTATCTCTGATTTTATCTTGCCATGGACGCAGGTCCTATGCTCTTTTCGTAGATTCCGTTACGCAGCTGGAGCGGATGCAGAGACTCCTGCTGGCGCCCCGTCGCAAACTGACAGTGGGGGCACAGCGGCTCTCGTCCCCTTCGCAGGTGATTGTTGTCTTGACCGGGAGCACTTGCGCCTCCGTCGACATGGCCGTGGAGACGACGCTTTGCTCTTGGCAAGACGACCCCCAAATCGAAACCACCCTTGTTGACCTGCGGGACCGACAGATGCTCTCTCCGACAGCTCAGGTTCGACCCGCTGCGTCGGGCGCTTTCAACAAGTCTCCACGTCGCACAGAGACGGTGGTCTGAGAATGGCATTGCATTCTCTGCGGCTCACCTGTACGCTCTTTGGGAACGAACGATCCAGTTAGAGGTCGGGACCGCTGTCCACTCGGCGCTGGACTGTCTGGCAATTGCGCGAGAGAACCACAGGCAGACAATCTCTACAGAACACATCCTATCGTTTTTGACCGAAGCCAGCCCGAGCGGCACAGGGACAGAGGCAGAGGCGCATGCTTTCATCGCCGCGGCGCTGATCATGCATGCCTATCCGCCCCGGATGCACAGTAAGCCCCTCCGTGCCTGGACGATGCCATGCCATTACGTCTACTGATGAATGGGCCAGCCTTTCCACCAGGCGCCGTGTATAGGGAGCTTTACAGTCGGACCTTAATACGAGCTTTCGAGGAACACGGGTCATCGGATGGTAAGTTTGATAGCGGCCAGATATATCACTACTTCGAGCGCTTCTTCGAGCAGCGACAAGCTGGGAACCCAGCATCCATCATTCGGCGAGCAAGCGCGAATGCATTCCTGGTCCGCTTCGGAGGACTCCGTTCCACGTCGACCTGCTTCTCCTGTCTTTGCAGGCCACCCGAGTACGCGCTGCCCTGCGGACACGCGATCTGTGGTACCTGCGTGATCATCTTCGGCGCCAAGGCGAGTCGAGGAGAATATCACTTTGACGTCAATGAATGCCCCCTTTGCGGGGAAACCTGCCAGATGACAGTACGGCAGCTCCCGCCGACAAAGCGACCGGTGCTCCTCAGCTTGGATGGCGGAGGGATACGGGGGATTATACAGTTGGGACTGATCTGGTCCCTGGATCAGCGTTAGGTGGGGAGATACCGCTTAGCGAGATATTCGACTTGTGTGCGGGCACCAGTGTCGGTATGTAGTCGATTGAGCCGCCCCGGGGATCTCCCCTCACTAACCACGCCGTGGCCCAGGGGGATTGAACCTGATGGATCTGGTGTTTAACGGTTCCCGTCCGGAGACGAGCTTTCAAAGCTTCTCCGGATTCGCCAGAAAGATCTTCGAGAAGCCCGGGGTGGTCAACATGCCCTGGGCCAAGTGTCTCAAAGGGTTTCTGAAGGATGGCCAATATGACGGCCAGAATCTAGAGGGGGGTGTTGCGAGGGCAGCTGGGTTCCAGCCGTCGGATCTTCAGCGCTGAGACGACTACATACCCGGGTCCCAGAGTCGCTCTGATCACCAGTCGGATTTCCGACGGCAAAGCTTGCGTCCTGGCTAATTACAGGGGGTCCGGAAATCGACAGGAAGACTCGGCATACGAGTTCCTCGTCTCTGGCACAAAGAGCGAAACCCCTTTGCTGTGGGAAGTGTAAGTGCTTGAAAGACTGTCGCCTCTCCTTCTCCACTTCCTCTCCTCATGGTTCCCCTCCCCCGCCCGCGTCGTTCCGAAGCAAATGCTCGAGGTAGACTGTCCATATGCTCCACCGACGGAAGACCTCTGGAAAGTCCCGATTGCTGATGTGCCGCTTGTAGAGCCCGGTGCTGCGTTGCAGCCCCTTGGTAAGGACCCCAGCCGCGCCGGAGACGAATCATTGACGAGTCGCAGGTTCTTCAGCACAAAGACCCTCGCAGGCTTTGGTCCGCTGCAGGATGGTGGGGTTCGTGCGAATAATCCGCTGGCCATTGTCTTCAAGGAGGCGGCGATCCTATGGCCTGGTGCAGAGAAGCAGGATCTGCTTGTCTCGATCGGCACCGGCACGACCGTGAAGCGTCCGAGCTCCACGGGCAGCAGGCAAAACCGAACGGTACGCGACAGCGCGATTCCTCGGATGATCCGAGCGGTCTTGGCCTCGCCCTCGATGGACGCTGAGCAAGGGTTCTTCGAGGCGCTCAACCTTGTGCCAACACGGATGCGCACCGACATTCATCGACTGGACCACGTTGTGCCAGGGCGTCTTCCGCGCTTGGACGACGTAGATGCACTCGGGTTGCTCGCTCAGGAATCGTTCTCTGTGCCCGACGCGCTCATTCGTACCGTGCTAACCACGGGCTTTTTCTTCTTCGAGGTAGACCGGTACCCGCTTCCAAGACAGGGCTCTTTACTCTGCCACGGTTCCATCCTGTGTAAAGGCGTCGTTCCGAGGTCGGTGGTCCGGCGGCTGATCAGAGAATTCCCTGATGCCCACTTTGAGACCCAACAGGGTCAATCGCTCGGTCGGGTCGATGAAGACGATGGCTGCGTGGATTGCGGCTACTACCGCAAAAAAGGTGACATTCCCCTCTATCTAGCCGGGAGGAGCGCTTCACGATCGGAATTGCCGGGGCGGCGGGTCACCAGCGGCTAGGGGGCTTCCCGACGTCCCTGAACGAGCTCCTGCTGGCCCAGCAGGCGTTTGATTCTTCTGGACGCTCGGATCACTCCACTGTCACGTGGCCGCCGCGCCGTGCGTGCGCTTTCTGCCCCCGAGGCTCGCGGCGAAAGGTGCATTTTGCTGAAGCCGCCACGGTGAAGAAGAGGCCTCGGACCGGAGAGCACTGATCGACGATTGATACAGCGGGTTTGTGAACTCGGGCTTGGTCGGTTGGGATTGTTGACCAGCATACAGAATGGTGTGATCCTTGACATCCTCTTTCCGGTTAGGGTGATTGATGCCGCCAAAACGCCCAAATCGACTTCCAGCGCCCGCAGCCAGGAACCAAAAGGCGTGGATTTGGAAAGCACGTATACACAAAGTCTCCGGAAAGATTGAGCATTTGAGAGGCGAACAGATGCGCACGAAAGGAGTACTAAAAGACCGGTGAATAGAATAGCATTCCTGTTTGACCCAAGGGCACTTATATATCTAGATCAATAAATGTCCGTTCTCTCTCCTGTCCTATCGAACACCTATAGCACCTTAAATGCCCTCTATCTTCTGTCATGATGCATGGTGTTCCACTGGGTAGCACCAGCGCACCCCCTCCCTATACGAGACATGGTAAGGAGAGATATATTCGCGTGCTATCAAGGCCGGGCTGACATGTAGCAGACTGGAAAAGCGCCAAGGTGTTCTGGGCTGGTCAGCAAACGTGGTCGGTGGCTAAAAAAATCAAAACCGACTATCAGATCTGCAAAGCCATCCTTAGTACTTCCAGCTTCCGAGCATCCTCTCAGGCTGTCAAAGCTCGCCAGCGTATGGCGAAAGTGTCACTAGGGATCAAGCTTCTGGACCGTAACGCTACAGGGGAACACCTGCCCCCGTGTGAACAGGGAAGGCGACGGATGGTTATGTTCAGTCGCCTGGCCGAAACCATGAATGAGATCGAGTACTACACAGGTGTGGATCCCTGTTGTTATCCCTGTGCACAGCGCACGAGAGACTGACGGTCTTAGCCTTTCGGTTCCCGTTTCATAACAGCAGCATGAGACAAGACGGCTCCTTGAACTGTAGTCATTTCTCTAAGACGAAGCTGGGACAATAGGTGGATCGGGAATTCTGGACAAGCTGGCTGTATCTCCTTGGCTATACTAAAGATATACATATCAGCTTCTTTAAGAACGTGGCGAATTCTTGGAAAGGCACTGGTTAAAGGGAAAAGCGCTGGTTGATGGGACTTTCATAGCATCAGCCTGGTCTACATCGGCATTCGATAGCAAGCCCTCACTGACTATTGTAAGGGTTAATCTAGGAGGTTAGGGACAGATCGCGATATTCTGGCAATCAGTATATAGCGTGTCGTGTAGCATCAGCAGAGACATCCCCGTGGTCGTCGTGCGAGCCATTCCATCACATTTAGCCCCGAGTCCAGGGAAACACTCTATGTACTTGCCGACGAAGCTTCGATCTATAAGAATAGAATATGTATAAAGGATAAAGGAGAAGATTGCATTATGACCCGTTAACAGGTGTCTTAATAGCACTATAGGTAGACAAAAAACTGATTTAGATAGCTTTAATCGAGGTACTAATCTCCTAATTACCCGCAGCGTTAGTATTTTGAAGCCTTTTCTTAGAGAACCATATAAGGATTGGGGTTGTGTATCTGTCGTTGATAGATGATATCCTTTCTTAAGACTACCGCGCAAGCCAGCACATACTACTATACAAACACTATAAACAAACAAGTTGAAGTCACATGCTTTACTAGCGTAGCGAGAAAGACGGCATGCTAGGCCACGTTTGTCTTATGCTGATGTGAACAGAAAGCTCACTGGGCTTAGCGCTGTAATGGCGGACCCCCGCTAGAAATTGACTACCCTCACGCTAACAGTATATAAGCCCGCTATTTAACGTGGCCACATCGTATGCATTATGACCCATTTACGATGGCCGCGCTTTTCTTGACCTCGCCAGATATCCTTATACTATAAAGGGCCTCTTTCCTGTGCAGATCAACGCCCATCTCCTCATGTACGCTCTAGACAGCGAAGTTAGTGTTCCTTGTGACGACACGTCTAGTATTTACAGCCGATCCTCTACGTCCCCCAAGTTCTGGCGACCAGCCTCAACCCCCTTGCCATCCAAACACAGCCTACCGGAGATCAACGCGCTAGACCACCAGATTGCACTACTCCAGGGCTCTACCATCGCACTTGAAACCACCCAAGCACGTCTACAGGCGGGCAAGACAGAGCGGAGGAAATCGGAGCAGGAAGCAGTGAGCGACAAACTCCAGCAGTACTACAAGCAGGAGGCCGAGAACCGTTTCTACCGGACGTGTCGGAGTATTCTGCACCAGCTTCTACAAACCTCTTCCGACGTATATGATATGCTAGAACTGCAATGCGAGTTTGAGCCTGAGGTAAGCCTATTTGGCAATGCGAGATTGCGCATGGCGGCAGAAACCTTGCAAATGGCCCTGGATGCTTCACGTACCCAGGAGGTACAGGCAGAGCAAGAGTGGAAGCGCGAATGGAACCCTTCGCCAGCACACGAAGTCCAAACCGGATGGATTTAGTCGTTTAGAGGCGTGGGAACCGGCGTGGCTCCTGTTCATCTTCAGATTATCTGTCTTGTTCTAGAGATATAGAAGGCTGGCGAATCATCGATAGGAGACCGGTACCGAATATAGTCACTTGAATCTCGTTATAGTTACGAGGGGTGTAACTATAACGAGGGTGGTAGTTAGTCACCTAGTAGTATGCCAGGCGCATAATCAGCCCATGTACTTCTGATGTCTGGCTTCGTTCCGTATATAGTGTGAAGTGACTTGTATCAATGCAGGGTAGACGTTTACGTATATCTGGAACTGGGAGTTGAACCTTGGCGATCTTAACGGCCCTGAATAAACGAGGCCTGAGTATAGCAGTGGGATATGTCGGCGGCGAGGCATATATGGATTAAGGGGAGATCCGTTGCAAAGGACACGGCAAGGCATGGGTGCCTAAGAGCGGGGTCATCCTGTATATTACCAAACGATATCCCTTATTGTAGCGCCGTGCCTGTTACCCCTATCATCTTCAGCAAATCCACGTCATTCGAGATGGCTTGGCATCAGATGAAACAGTCTCCCTTAGCATTTTAACTTGAAGCTGCGATCACGGTCCTCCGCAGCAGGCGGTTAGAGTCGTGTTGAGACATTGTTCGAACCAAGAAGTGCAACTGTCGTTGAAAGATTGGCCGGTTTTCTTGGATCGCGTAGCCTTATTCATTGTACGGGAACCTACGGAGTCACTTGATTTTAGATTGCCAAATGGCACTATTTTCCCAGATATCAATGAAATGGAAGCCTGCCATGCACCATAAATAGCCGGACGATGTTGAGCGGGTGCTGAATACTCCGAACTAATTAATACAGAACACCCCCCCCCCCTTCCTCCTGATACTACAACATGAGGGCACAATCAGCAGCGGGAAACGGCCTTGGAATTAGGGTCTAAAAGAGTTCCACAGACGTATGCTTTGGTCTGATACAATTTGCTCGGCAAATATAACGCTAATCACCTCACAGATGAAGATCAGTCCGCCCCCTTTCCCCAGGGATCATGGACATCGGAGTAGGAGCGGATTATCGATAGCATACGTTCCTTCTCGAGCTGGCGGTGATAAGGCGCTATCCGTCTGAAGCTAGAGATCAGTTTTTGGTCTTCAGTCATCACAGACAACTCATTAACTCACATCTTACTTTGGGATTTCACGACACGGTAGATATCATGAGGAACCTCATGTATAGGGCGATGATTATTAGATTTGTCGATGTCAACGACTATATGAAACCTCG